GAATTACTCCGTTCGATGCTTCACTATTTGAGTCTCGGTCAAATGTCTCTTCTTGAGACGAAGCCACAGTGTGATGCTTAAATTCTAGGGATGAAGATATACAGAAAAAATGCGACTACAATCGCTTATCTACCCAGTACAAGTAGTTGTTCTTGTACAAGTCCCCTACGTCCTTGATAATGCGGCCGAAATTCTGGCTAAGATTTATGAAGGAAATCTTCGCAATCAGCTCGCAGACAGAACAGATGTCGTTCAATTCGACTGCAGACCACGTGGTTCCTTCCTCCTCGATATTTGTCAGCACCCAGTTGAAACGCCTGCCAAAATCGTCCAAGTTATCCAACAAGGGAAGACGGGCGTAGAGGCGGTTACGGTGGCGATAGAGGGGCTGAAGGCGCTTCTGGACGGCAAGGAGACGCTTGCACAGGATCTCGACTTTGTCAGCGGTTGACTTCTTGCGGAAGTCGGACAGGAAGATAGGCTTTAGAGCCGTGGGAACGATGGGAGTTTCTCCGCTAAGACGCTCAATGAGCGAAGCCTTGGTCTCGGCAGCAGCGGCGCTAGCGGCACGAGCAGCAGCGAGTTCGGCTCGGCGAGTCTCGGCGAGAGCTTCGGCAACGTCCGCTTTCTTCTGCAAATACAAGAGGTGCTGCTCCGGCGAGGTGCGGCAGGACTCCTTGGGAGGAATGGACGTGTCTACGCGGCCAGAGGCTTGGCGGCGGCGACGAGGGGTAGGAGCGAGGATGATGTCGATCTGGCGACGGACGGGTAGATGACCGTACAAATGCCGATGACGTACAGCGATGACGTTAGAGTCGTCTTCGTCAACGTCGTTTCTCTCACGACGAGACGGATGATAAATTTCGTAATTGCCTTTTCGGGCTGCCCTAGAGATGCGCTCAGACAAGGCCTTCGGCACTATGTCACGCAGCGACTTAAAAATAGTCCAACAAAGGACAAAAATTGCCAACTCACTCTTTCAAGAGTTGGGCTTTGGAGCGCGCAAAGAGGGGTGCAGGTGATTAAAGAATCAGAGCGCAGGGCTCATAACCTGTTGAAAAAAGAGGTTTTAGGCTTAGTAAGCCCAGTGGCAGTGAAGGACTAAAGAGTGAGTGAACAGACCAGTCCCAAAGGGAAGATCCTATGCTGGCAGGCAGAGGAGAGGACGAAGGATCGTTATCATTACAGGGCAAACCAGCCCAGTATATATACACATTTGATACAGGTCACATGCTGTATCAGTGGTTCATCAGTAAGCACTAAGTCCGAGGTTTTGGGGATATGAGTAAGCTGGTAAGCAGCATGAGTAAGCCAAAACTCGGAGTTTGATGTGGAGAGATACATGAAACGTGATGGAACATCAGGAATAATATGAGACATGATGGAACATCAAAGAGTAATATAAGACGTGATGGGACATCAAGGAATGATATGGAACGTCATGGAACATCAAGGAATGTCGTGGAATATCATGGAATGATCCGGACTAAAGTCACATGACGTAATCTAGGCAAAGTCCATCAAAGAACGTATGTAATCTGACATTGCAGAACATAAGTCCATATCCGTACATAACTGATAAGATAAGAACACTGAAAACTCGGAAGTTCAACATAGTGAGCATCCTCTGGGGCTTGTCATCGAAAGGGGGTCAACGAGCTTTCCACGGACTGACCATTCATTTACTTGTAGCTATAGACTAGTAAGTATCAGCACCTCAAAGAGGTTAATCGCGCCCATGAACACGCTGTACATATGATACACTCCTCCGTTGTAGAAAATACCTTCTATATTTGACCTAATTGCTCACAACGCGAGCAGTATATAGCTCTGTAATGCTACCTATACCTTCTTTATGTGTATAGCAGTCCTGGAGAATATAATGATCATTTTACATGCCCTGTACCCGTTAGCTAAAGGCATCGAGGGACGGCGCGTCCACCTTTTCGACGCGTCTGGGTCACGTGACGGGGGACGCGTTCCAGAATGGCGTTGCCCCTAGTCACGACCAGTGATCGTCCGATTCATCGTGGGGTAGCTAGATTACGTAAGTAGGACTGGCGTCTTTTTTATTTTATTTTTATTTTTATTCACCGTGTTTATAGTCCCTCGCCCGAGGCAAGATGCGGACACTAATACATCATAACGGCACGCTAAGACCGTTCTACTCGAGCCCCATTTCCCCTTACGGGTCCCTGCCGGAATCTCCTTTTCACGTCAACTTGAGCGCACCGGCGACGCTAATTGGGCGGTCCTCCTGTAGGTAAGCGCTCCGGTCTTCATCGTCATGGCCCGCGTAGGTGCGATAGCAACATCCCAGTGATGGTACGGAAAGGTGAATTTGAAAGCGGCGCACCGCCGGGTGTTCACCGGGTCACTTCCGGCACATGTCTTCTTCGTCTCGGCCAACCGCTGGCCAACACCCAGACAAGTGGGTGCGGTGCGGAAGGCATTGCCCCTATCGCACTACGAGCGACGTCGGGAGTCTATGGGCGCCAGCGGCATTAGTGCAAGGTGGCCAGCTTCCCACCCCGGGCGATACGGGTGGGTGTCACTCCAAGAGTCCGTCGTCGTAGAAGTCGAACCTACGGACACGACTAGATAGCCGTGCCCTCCATCCACCTCCCTCCAGAAAACGGCTTATCCCACCCGATACAGCGTGCAACAGCCCATACAAATTTACCCCACCCAGGAAGTAGGACTGGCGTCAACCTGAGTAGTACCTACAGAACGTACCGAACTCCGAGTCTGGTTTGTATAGGCGACGTGGGGATCTATCCTGATGCTCAGCAAGAGGCGTGTCATGTATAATCACTACGAAGCTTGAAAAACTGGCTTGGGTTGACAGACCGCCGGGCAATCCTACTACTACGCGATCCAAGTCGTCATCTCCTGAGTCTTCAGACAACTGAGCTCGAAGGCGATTCATATTCGTTCTTCCTAACTATGTACATGCATGCACTGGGGCGGCGGCCGACAGCCGACGTCGGCGTCGACGTGCCCGGGGATCACAGCCGTCCGTCAGTCTGTAGTGCAGCACTGCAAGTCGAACGATGCACCTACGTATGGTTAGCGTGGTACGTCAACTCGAGCGCCACCACGCAGTCGCCCCCTTACCCAGGGAGGGCACCTACGCCGAGGGCGTTCGCGGCCACGATGCCCCTTGCGCGGGAGCACCGCGTGTCGCACGCCCTGAGGTTTCAGAGCGCGAGGAACGCGTGCCCGCGGCGACGCGCTCGAGGATGTCGTCCACGCGCGTGTCGGGCGCGTGAAGTGTGAGCAGGAGCAGCCGCTCGCTCGAGGCACGGTCCTCCTGCTCGGTCGCAGTGGTTGCGAAGCTGGGCTGCCTTGGCCGTGGACGCCGAGGGAGCGCAGGGAACTGGGCGGAGGTCGTAGAGGTGTGGGCTGGCGTAGTGTGCTTGGCAGGGGCGTGGTGAGAGGGAGGCGGAAAGTGATCTGCGTACCGAGCCTGAACGCGCTCACTTGCGAGTTGGTATGATTTACTAGTGCGATGGAGCCTAGGGATGGGTGTCCGAGCCACCTCTGCAGCAAGTTGAGGCTCGTTTGCGGGGCTGTGAGCTTCGACGTTGCTGAATTTCGACTTCGACGCTCACTGATGCTCGTTGTCCGTGCCAGCGACCTGTTGAGAAAGAAAAGCAGAAGCTCGAAGGGAACATCGCGTCAAACCAACGTCAAACGCTCTGTCTATCCTGTTGCCAAGCTTGAGCATCGCAAGAACCTGACTCGATTTTGCAGACACATACCCCTCGTCGATGCTCGGAGACTTTCTCAGACCCATCATCACCACAGCACCAATTAAGTTCTATCTTCCCCAAATCTTGCTGGTCGTCTTCCATGACGCATGAGAGAAGATATTGATGTGGCGTCGTTCGGAGGTCTTTAAGTGGACCGTGAGCACTGTCGGGATGTACATGTAGATCGTCTTGGATTGATGATGACAGATTCACTCACCGTCACAGTTCTCCCATTTGGTCTATGTACGCAGCCATGGAGTACCGGTATTCCTTTAATTGACAGGTTTGAGCAAACAAATTCGCCCTGCGCACTGGCCGTGCGAGGCTTGGTGCAACCACACGAGCAGGTATCTGGGCGAAGTCCCCAAGGCTCTTATGTGCGCACCGCGAGAGGCATGTCACTTAGCTGTCAAAAAATAAGTATGTTCCCGGAAACCCATCGAGGTGTTGGCTGTGTGACGTCATCACCGCGTCGTCTCTCGACGACAACACCTTCCGCAATCGGCCGCGCGCCTTCCGCATTCGGCGAATCCCTCTGGCGGTCGCCCGCTAAGTTGGAGACATGTCAAACATTCACTCACCGCCGTGGCTTCTGAGGTGGCTGAGTCCTCTGAGAGCATATATATACTTAAGACCTTGACAGGACTGACATCGCCATTCACCTCTCCCCGTCCTCTTCGTCCACGGTCCATGAGTAAGTACGTTCGCCGGACGCTGTATGCCTCCTGCGATGCCATTCACCGTCGTGCGCGCACGACTTGCCGCTTGCTTGAAGGCTAAAGCGCTGAAAAATGAAAGCTTGGATGGATGTCGTCTGGATGTCGTCCGCGGTGAGATTCCTTGGGCTCGGTGAACCATGCGCGTCACGGCTGTGACCGAGGACGTCGCGATGCCCATAGAAGGCAGTGCTCGCCAAGCCCTTCGGTTGCAGAGCAATTGATCCTTGCGATGACGTAATCGCCTTGGGGAGGCCAGCCACCGCAGCCAAGCCGCACAGCTGTGTGCGTCGGCGCTCGATGCTGCGGGGCCGCGCTTCGTTCGCTCTTCGCCGAGCCTCGTCGTCTAAAGCCATGGGGCGCTGTCATTTTGTCTTGGACCCCCATTTTGGTTGCAACGCCCATCTACTTGCGCGACTCTGCTGGCGGCGGCGGCCCCTTCTTCGCGTTGGCAAACTTCCTTTGACCGCCGATCCCTATTTGCGACAATTCCGGGAGAGACGGAGGAGTTTGCAGCAGCCCGATTGCAATGGCACAGATTCACTGGAAACTGACACCGACGGCACGCTACGTGTTGCTCGTCCTCTTCATCCTGGTCGGTGGTTTCATCCGGCCGCGTGCATATAAACTGAACGGCACACCCACAGTTCGGGGTCCATTCGATCCTCAGCTTCACTCATGAACCGTACGGCCGCGCAACCTCCATCTCGCAGTTGACGGGTGGCTTCTCTTGGTCGACCGCTGCAGCGCCGCCGGCGATCCCGGATGCGTACTATGACGACACCCCTCTCCCGCTTACGCCGGCGCACAACACCAGCGCGCGTGCCAATGCTACCATCCTGATGCTCGCGAGGAACAGCGACGTTGATGGTGCAGTGCGCAGTATTCGCGAATTGGAGGACAGGTTTAACCACAAATATCAATACCCATGGGTATTCTTGAACGAGGAAGATTTCGACGACGAGTTTAAACGGTGCGTCTCGACGTTACTATCTGAGTTGCAGCGGCTGACATAGCTGGACAGGCGCGTCACCAATATCATCTCTGGCCCTGTGCACTTCGGGAGGATTCCTCATGACCATTGGTACCAGCCCGCCTGGATCGACGAAGACCGCGCGAGCGCAGCCCGGCAGAAAATGATGGACGACAACATCATCTACGGCGGCAGCGTGTCGTACCGGAACATGTGTCGCTTCAACTCGGGCTTCTTCTACCGCCATCAGCTCCTGCAGCAATTCAAGTGGTACTGGCGCGTCGAGCCGGACGTGCACTTCCGGTGCGACGTCGACTTCGATCCTTTCCGGTACATGGAGGACCACAACAAGGTGTACGGGTTCACGATCACGATGTACGAGTACCTGGCGACCATCCCGACGCTCTGGGAGACGGTGAAGGAGTTTACCAAGGCGCACCCGGAGTATGTGAAGGAGAACAACGCGATGAACTACATGAGCGACGACGGCGGGACGACGTACAACAACTGCCACTGTGCGTGCTTCTCTTGTTTCGGTGCCGAAGAGATTCACTGACAGATCCTACCTTTCTCACCCGTCGTATATTTGGCCGCACCCCCTCGTCTTCTTTTCTGCTGTGCCACGCCACATCCCGTTTTAACACCGAACCTTATGTTTGTCGCGATGTGCTCTTGGTGCGCCGTGCGGGCAGTCTGGTCCAATTTCGAGATTGCGAACATGGACTTTTGGCGCGGGGAGGCGTACTCGAAGTACTTCGAGTACCTGGACTCGAAGGGCGGGTTCTACTACGAGGTGCGTCCCGTGTCTATCCGTACCCACGCACTCACTGATCTCTCTCGTCTTCCCATCCCTGTGCTGTCCTTTCCTTCCCGCCCTCTCAATGACCTGCCCATATTATGTATACCGGTCGTACAGCGCTGGGGCGACGCACCTGTGCACTCGATCGCGGCGGGATTGTTCGCATCGAAGGACCAGATCCATTTCTTCGACGACATCGGGTACGAGCACAACCCGTACACGCATTGCCCTCGCGGGCCCGGCGCGTGGGAGCGCGGCCACTGCGACTGCGAGGTGCAGAAGAGCTTCGACTATGATGGCTACAGCTGTATGAGGCAGTGGGACCGGATCCAGTGAGCTTGGGTCGCGAGGCCGGGGTGTATGATGTGAAGAGGACGGACGAGGTGCTGCTGCTTGAATTAGTACGTTCGCCTAAATTATACTTTGCTTTCGCCCGATGTTTCTCTAGCACGCTGCATATCACTTCGCATCAGACATACGGATACGGATTACGAGATGTGCATACAAAAACATGCATGCGTCCGACAAGGCAGGACCGACTTGGTTCTGTTGTCGAGTCTCAGTACTTGGTTCGAGTCGAGTTCGGTGGGCGCTGGGTTCATGAGTGCTCGATGGTCGCAGGTGCCGGTGAGTCCGCAAGAGACTGCACTATATTATAGCGGTGCACGTCCTCTTACATAAAGGACCAGCGGAGACATCTAGTGTAGATGTGTAGATATAACGTACTCTACAACACTTGTATAACGCAGCAGTGAGCAATCGTCGTCTTCCTGGTTGGTACATCACCGTATTGGTCAATGAGAAGTCTACTCGCACGGCGAGAATAGCAGGTCCAACTCGGCTTCGACATAAGCAAGCATGATCCTGACGCTCTAGCATGTCGTCGTATAATCAGCATCTCACTGTGGAAGCAAGGGTACCACGTTCCTCAGTGCTTTAGGCACTAGAGATACAGGTAAGGGAGCGATGGCCTGGAGGGGTGCGCGCTTGGCGAGGCCAAGTAGATTCATCCGGAGAGCCCGCATCGCAGGATCCTCATCGGTACTTTCGACCTTCGCAAGGGGATATGCTTGCGGCGCCGCAGGGGAGGTAGCACGTGCTGGTTGAAGAGGTGCATCTGGCTGTGGAGGAGATGAGGGGGCGGGCTGCGACAGAATCTCTTGCGAAGGTAATGGACCGGGGACAGGTGTCTGCAATTTGAAATCCAGTGGCGGCTCGTCCTTGGGCTCCATGTCAACGTCCGTGTCCGCGTCCATGGCCTCAGGAAGAGCCTCAGGAACAGTACCGAATGACTGCGGAGAGCCGCCTGTCGCGCCCTTCCTCTCAGCTTCGTCTTTGTTCTCTCCAGCGCCCCCTTCGGTTCTCGCCTTGATCATCCCCTCGATCGTGTCCGTCACGACACCGAGCACATATCGCAACACCTCAGGGTCCTCCTGGGTCGCCCCAGTAGTCTTTGCCGCCTCTGTGCCAACAGTCTGTGCGAGTCCCTGAGTTTGCGCTTGCGCCTCCTGGTGCTGCTCGATCGCGAACCGCAGGAACGCCGCGGCGTCGCCCCGCGCCTGCGCCTCCTCCTCCCTCTGGCGCTTCTCCTCGCGGTACGCGTTGCCCGCCCAGTGCGCCTCGACACGGTAGAGCTCGTCGGGCACGCGGATGAGCGGTATCATGTCCAGTTTTGCCGTGAGCGCTGCGAGGGCGCGCTCGGCGGCGGGGTATGTCTTCAGGGAGAGCGGAATCTGCGCGCGGACATGCTCGGGGGCACGTGCACCGTGGGCGGAGTCGCGCAGTGCGCTGAACGCGGATGCGAGGGCGCCGTGCAGCCCGCCTGTGAGAGGATCGAGGACGTGCTGCGAGACGTAGTGCGCGAGGGGCATGCCCAGTGCATCGTAGGAAGCCGGTTCGGACGTGTCTTCGAGCGGCTCGTCGAGGTGGACGAATTGGGCGATGCTGCGCGCGTAGGCATACCCGTCCACGCCGCCGTAGACGACGTCGCGGATGTACTCCTGTGCTTCGCCGCCTTTCTCTCTCCAGTACGTGGCGTCCTCATCGTCATCCGCGCTGAGCTGTCCTCGATCGACCTGCTTGCCCTTGCTTCGCATGCTCGCTGCCTCCACGCTCGTGCGTATAGCCTCGAACAATCTTCGTTCTGACCCGAGGTCGCTCACATTGGCTGCGGCGCCTTCTGAGGCCAATGTGTTCTGGAGCTCAGCAAATGAACCAAAGTCACTCGCTGAGGGCAAACGCGGCGCCTTCCACGGCGGCTCCTCCTCATCCTCCTCTTCGCGCTCCTTCGCGCGTCGTGTAGACGCGTTGCGCACGATCGTCCAGTGCCGTCGTTTCCGCTTCTTCGAGTTTGCAGTAGACGAGGAGCTCAGGGAAGGGACGCTGGGGTTGACTGCAGCTGGGGTAGTAGGAGCGACGACAGGCGTTGGGAACGGTGGGAGTGCAGATGTGGACGCTTGAGCGGACTGGGGAGGTTGGTCGGCAGGAGGGGGATATAGGGGCGTGAGTAGCGGACGTGCAGGAGGATCCGGAACGAAGAATTGGAGGACTGAGAACGCATCTTCGAGCTCGGTGTAGTCGAGACTGCCGTCTGCTCTATACGGAGGACCGCCTCTTTCCATCCGGAGACGCTGTTTCTTCGTCCGATATCGCTTGCCTAAGCACCATCAGGGAAATGCCACATGCAATGCAAGAGAAACACACCTTTCAGCTTCAGTGCAAGCATCAGCTCCGCCCAATCGGACCCGGGCGGGAAGGCACCCAATCCATCTTTCGCGCCAGGCAAGCCTCCGTCCGCCTCCAAGCTCTCGGACAGCGCACCTGGAGGTTTCTTCGCATTCACACCCTTGCGCTTGGTGGACTGCGCGGTCGCAGGCGTCTGCGCACTGACGACCGACCCTGTGTCGTCCACATCCATCGACGTGCTCTTGTCCCCGTCCGCTGCCCGCCCCTGCTCCCTGTCAATGCCTTCCGGCTCATCGTCGCGCTCGACGTCGATATTCCAGTCAGTTTCATACTCGATCACGGTCCCGGCCGCTTTTGCGATGTGCTCGAGTGCCCAGGCCTCGACGCGGTCGGCTTCGGTGTGGTAGATGGTGCCCGGAGGGTTGAATGCCTTCGCATTCGTTGTGACCAGCTTCAAGTCATCCTGCGCGCGGTGTTAGGTGGTGTGTAGACTGTAGAGCGCATAAACGCACGGCAAACTCCTCCAGCGACCGATATCTCCCTCTCTCGACCTTCGTGGTCATCGTTCCGAGGTCCATAGGACGCTTGACGATATCTGCGTACCCTGGCACCTTCGAGACATCCACGGGTTGCAGGAAGAATGCATAGTCGTCTTTCCTGGTGATCCAGCGGTATAGGCTCAGGTTCTCCTGGGCGATGTATGGCACTCACTTCTTGATTTGTACAATCAACCTCGCGAGCACTTCCTTCAGCGGTTTGAGCTTGATAGGTCGTGGTATCTTTGGCTTTGGTTCATCTTGGACGAAACCAAGGACCTTCTTTCGTTTCTGGCCTTTGAGAGCTTGCACCGTCTTCAGAGATGGAATCACGAGCTTGAGCCCGCTGCCGCTGGCGTGGTGAGGGCCGTTCATGTCGCTCCTAGAAGCCTGGGCCAAGAGAGGCTACAGGATGTTTGATTTGAGTCGGGTAGAGGTAAGTAGGGTGAGGAGCTGAGGCAGATCGCTCCGCCACGGTCAAGCTCGAGGGATACCATTGCCTTTCTAGGTAATTATGCCCAATCGGGTAAGTGCCTTCAGCCACACAGTCAACTTGTGGTTCCTCTGGCGTGCACAGTGATTAATATTATGTCTATAATTTCCCTCTTGGTGATGCATGTGAAGAGTTCATGCGCTTGCTCTAAACGAAAGATACTGCTACTACTACTAGTACTACTAGTATATATCATACTGGCCGCCGTCATACGCCTTCCTAGGCGCTTAATCACGGTGGGCGCTCGTATTCAATCCAAGTCGGCAGTGTGGTGTGTGGTGTGGCTGAGCTTGGGCTGAGCTGACCCCGGACCTCCATCTCATCTGTCTCCCTTTCCCACTTTCTCCCCTCCTATCGAGCCTGGTGCACAGAAAAGCTGACACACAAGCTACGGGGGACAAACAAGTTCTCATTGAACGTCGCAAGACGGGAGACGTTCGCACATGAGTTCATTGGCATTTTTGGTAACAGAGCTTCAGGTGCGAAGCAATGGTGCTGCTCTTTCACACTGCATAATGATTGCTTTCAGTCGCTTGCTAGTGAGACGCGTAGAAAGCACCCAGATGTCCGCGAGGTGTGTCATTTGCACGCGTCACACACCTCGCCGTGAGCTGACAGAGTGACACAGGCCGCAGAGAAGTCTCTTGCCATCTTGCGGTCCTCTCCGGAGCAGGCCACAGCAAACCTAGCACGCGGTATGTGCTCGCGTCGTCGTGACAGTCAATCCGTCTTACTATGTACTTCTAGATGGACCGCAGTCGGACGACCTCCTGCGCCCCGTCTTCATGGGCTGCGCGACCAAGAACGCCAAAGTGGTCATGATATCCCTAGGCTCGCTCCAGCGACTCATCGCCCTGAAGGCTGTACCGCAGTCTGCCGTACCCGTCATCATCAGCACCATGAGCGACTGTATGAACCAGGGCGTCGACATCCAGCTGCGGATACTGCAGACCCTTCTGTCCCTCATCACGAACTTTCCTGCTGTGCACGGGCAGCTGCTTGGTGATGTACGCGTGTCTTGCTCAAGCTCATGGTAGCTTGCTGACGCTCCTGCATAGGCCCTCCTGCTCTGCTTCAAGCTACAGGAGTCCAGGATCGCAGTGGTTTCTTCAACTGCGGCCGCAACTCTCCGACAGCTCGTTATGTTTATTATAGATAAGGTTGTTGACGAGGACCGACGAGATGAAGTTGACTTGAAGACCATGGTCGATGTGACGCTGCCGATGGGCGAGACCAAGACCTTGGGCCCTTCTGCACGAGATGCGTACGCCGTCTTTGAGGACTTGTGTCTCCTGGCGAACGCGGAGCGACCACGTTTTCTCAAGCTCGAGGTTCTTCGGAAGACATTCGCACTAGAACTCATTGAGAGCGTGCTCACCAACTACCACGACCTCTTCCGCAAGGCAAGTCGGTGACATTCATTCGCGAAACGGGTTCTGACTTCCTGTTCATAGCACCCAGAATTGCTCCTCCTGCAGCGCCACCATCTCTCTCCGTTGCTGCTCAAGGCGCTCTCCGACCGGCCGAGCTTTCCACTGACGCTACGTGCCACGCGAGTTGTGTTCTTGCTCCTGAAGCAGTTCTCAGGTGAACTGAAGACCGAGTCTGAGGTTTTCCTAATGCTGCTCATTAAGATTGTCGGCTCGGATGGAGACGCCGACCCAGCAGAAAGTGGGCACCCTTATGGACCGCGTCCGCTGTGGATGCGTGTGCTCGCCATGGAGATCATGCGTGGGTAAGTGTTCGCCACCATCTGGCTTGACGTGTGCTTATGGCTCTCCAGACTTTGCAGCGATGCAGAGTTGATAAGAAATGTTTGGGAACGGTACGACGCGGACGAGGGTGGCTCGAAGGTGTTCACTTCGCTCATAACTGCGCTGAAACGCCTTGTCACCGAGAAGCCCGTGCTACTTGGCGTCTGCGCGCAGATGTTTGGCGTCGGCGTCTCGACGAGCAGCGGCTCGAGCTCAGACTTGACCTCGTATGGGCTTGATGTAGGCGGCGTGGCGGGTATGGTGGCGACCGCCGCTAGCGCTACCGTCTCTGCAGGGCTGAGCATGATAGGCTCGGAGGCGGGCCTGAGCCTACACGGATCGGGGATGAAGCTGCAATGGTAAGAGCGACATCCACATAATTGGGGTTACCGCTAATGCGTCATGAAAGCATCGACCAACTCGACAAAGCGGACTCGCCCGTCATCCCGGAGTCCTACGTATACCTCCTTGGTCTGCAATGCCTCGTTGCGCTATGCGAGGGCTTCGCCTCATTCACCGGGCCGCTCTACAACTCGCTCATGATCCAGCGGCCCCGGGCGGCAGGCGAGCCCGTTGTGCGCGCACCCCCCGCGCTCGACCTGTCCGCGTTGCCCGCGGATGAGCCGACGACAAGCCAGCTGCGGACGGTGCATGACATGGTCGAGAGCGGATGGCCGGCGCTGCTCGCCGCGCTTTCTTTCCTGATCTCGACGAATCTCTCCGACGAACTCTTTGTAGAGGTCCTCGCTAGCTACCAGGCGCTCACGACTGTCGCGGGCATGCTCGGCCTTGCGACGCCACGGGACGCATTCTTCACTAGCATCGCACGGCTGGCTATCCCGACGCGCGTGATATCTAGCCTCGATACGTACTCTAGCTCGGGCACACACCACACGGAACCGATAACCCCACGCAGCGCTGCGAGTACCCTTTCGGAGAACTTGGGCATCACGCTCGGCAGTTCGGCACCACCCCCTGGCTTATCTGAGAGGAACATGGCTTGCCTCAAGGTACTGGTGACGAGCGCGCTCTTCCTAGCGGGCAGTCTCGGCGAGAGCTGGTTCAATATCCTCGAGGGTCTGCAGAACGCTGACTACGTGTTCACAATACGGGGCACCAAGCCGATGACTGCCAAGCGCGGAACCGGGCCCGGGGCTGGAAGCGCGCCCGGTAGCCGTGTATCTTCACTCAGTAGCTCGCAGTCTTCGACCCAGGTAGGCGGCGCTGGGAATCAAGGCGCAAGTCAACCACAATCAGCATCGCGCCACCCGTTGTTGGCTGATCTCGATCCAGAGAGCATGCAGCACGCTATCCAACGCTTGTTCGACGCTTCCAAGAACTTGGACGATGACGCGTTCAGGCATTTCGTGAGCTCGCTGTGCAAGCTGAGTGCTGCCATGATAGGCATGCAGTCGGAGGCGCAGGAAAACGTACCGGAGTCGGAGTCTTTGGACGAGCTGGTGACCAGCCCGGGCCTCACATTATACGTGGAGCATCACCGCAGACGAGTCAGTGGAATTCATATGCCCAAGACTCCAGTACGTGGCTTCCTCTCGTTCATAGTCTTTTTTAAGCTTAATTTATGTACTCACAGCGATCTGGCGACTTCGGAGTCAGCAAGCTGGGCGGCGTAGCTATGCTCAACATCCACCGGCTGATATACAGGTCGCCTGATGTCGCCTGGGATCCTATTACGGAACACCTGCTAACTGTCATCCGGAACGCTCTTGCACCTCCTACGGTGAGAACACAAGCGGCACGTATTCTCGACGACATCCTAGTCGTCGTCCCGCGTAACCTATCATCCACCGGGGAGCTGCAGCCGAAAGTACAGCGACGTGTGCTTGACGTCCTTGCGCGGCAGGTCATCCCGGACAGTGCAGTCACCAACAGCACTACTGTGGAAGTGCGACGCATGGGTTTCGAGACGCTGCATCAGATCTTGCAGGCTTCTGGACATACTCTCGTGGTCGGGTGGGAGACTATCTTCGAGATGCTGAGTAGCGTCTGCACTCCGGCCACCTTGCCTTCAACTGCGACTGCGGAGTCGCTCTCGACACCCACCACTGCCGTCCCGGAGACCCCGCGGCGCAAACCAGCACCATTGGGTTACACGAACGACAGAGGACACAACTCTCTGGTGAAGATCGCCTTCCAGTCGTTGACCTTGGTTTGTGATTCTCTCAGCTCGTTGTCTCCCGAACATCTCCGTCTTTGCATCAGCACCCTGGGGCAATTTGGGCGTCAGGCGGATACAAACATTGCTCTCACAGCAGCCGAGAGCCTCCTCTGGGGTGTTTCGGACTCCATACAGGCGAAGCGTAAAGACGCGGAGATGGAGCCCGAGTACAGCGGTCTATGGATGTTCCTACTGCTTGAAGTACTCGGTCTCTGTACAGATGCTCGGCCGGAGGTGCGGGTAGGTGCCATACAGACGTTGTTCCGCACACTGCAACTCTACGGCACCACGCTCAGCCTGGATACATGGGACGAATGTATATGGAAGATTACCTTCCCTCTGTTGGACGCGATCACTGCCACTGCCCAGCAGGCGATCGCTGATGCTGATGACGAAGACTCGACCGCGGATCCTGCTGATCTTCAGTGGGACGAGTCGAGGATCCTCGCGTTGCAGTCGATCGGCTCGATCTTCCATGAGTTCCTGCTAACCAAGATCATGCCCTTGGAGAGCTTCTTGAAGGCGTGGGACGTCTTCGTGGGTCACATACAGACTTCGTGGCGTAATGACAGTCGTTTGGTCACCGCCACCGCGCTTCGCTGCCTCGACAAGTCGATCAATGCACTCGCCACCGGTGAAGGTGATCTGGCAGGGAAGACGAAGGAAGCGCTAGCCACGGTTTGGCGTGCCTGTGATGAGATGGGTGCATTGGTCGCAACAAGAGACGCCAGTCAACAAGCAAAGCTCCATTCGAACCCCTTCACCCAAGAAAGCCTGATGGCATTCGTAGATGTCATTCGCAGTACCAGATCTGTCGGGCGCAATGTCGAGAGACACGAATGGTCCCTGGAGCGACTAGAACGACTTATGAGCATCCTGAAGGGTGTGTCGGATCAGTTGTCTTACTTTCTCGTGAGCTAACATGTTGTGTCCAGGCGTTCTGACTTATCAAAACTCCACCGACTATAGACCAGATGTCGATGCATTGAGCCCCGTCCAGGTACGATCGTCTATTCAGTCTACTGAAACCGCGTCTGACGTCTGTCAGGCAACTGTAATGCAAGCGATTGACGGCGTCGATTTGTCCTCTTCGGGTGCACCCTCGCTGGTATTGCGTGACTTATCCGAATATGCAACTCTGCCTTTCCTAGCAGCCTTCGATATCCCATCACGCGCCTCTGTTGTCTCGGCCACACCGTCCAGATCAACAGCGGGACGAGTCACGTACATTGCGCTTTCGAAGAAGATTATGCCAGTGCTCGTGGAGCTATTCCTACGATTCAAAGGTCAGAGCGCGATATACTTGGATGGCACGGTCGAGCGGATCTGTTCGGTTCGCGTCTCTTTTGGATGCTCGCCTGACTTCGCTCAGATTGCTGTCATCTAGGCATATGCGATACCGATCAAGATGAAATACGAGTGTCCTCAGCCATCGAAGTTCGGCAAGGATCCCCCGCTGTGGAAGACGGCTACGAACAACTTCCTCCGCATTGTCAAGGAGTGCGGCCCACAGCTGCGCGAACTGGGGGAAGGTGAATGAAGGCTCGCTCCTAATGGACGACTACTAACTCCTGCATCAGATATCCCCGACGCACAGCAGGAAGGCATCTGGCGTCAGATCATTGAGACATTCCGTGGAGGTATCCTGGCCGACTGGTATGTGTGAAGCTCACCTTCTGTGAATCTCCGCCTGTTTCCTAATTGAAATGCAGCTCGGCCGCCGATAGCTTCCCTCTAGACGTACAAGAGGCTGAGGAAAACTTCGACCTCGCGTTGATTGCGGCGCTTGAGATCGACGTAGTGCCCTATCTGGGAGACCCGTGTATACCAGACTACCTCATTGTGCAGCTATCGCGAGTGCTGCACCAAGGAAGCCAGATCCGGGATGCCGATGACGATCTGCCACCTTCACCTGCTTCAATCACGGACTCCCACTGGGACACCAGGACACGCAGGCTTTCGCAGGACTTCGAGAAAGTGGAGAAGTTCGGCACGGACGTTGTGGCGCTGGGAACCACGGAGAGCGGCCATTTCCGGCCGAGAGAGCGGTTCTCTTACTGGTGCCTTGACCTTCTGTTTCTCATTTGTTCCGACACAGCCAAGGGTGAGTCGGAAGCAACGGGGTTGGGACAGCATTTGACCAGTCCTTACGTAGATCGTATTCCCGCCCGCCGGAGGCTAGCTGCATTGAGTCTTCCGTCGATGCTCGAGCGATGCCGTGCTACACTGGTGAACTACGTAGCTGACGAAACGTTGCGGGGCAACTTACCGTTCCCAAGGTATGTACAGACCGTCTCAGTGCGCTGCCTTTCTCACAAACGCGTCCAGGGCGAGGGAAGAAGAGCTATTGTATGTACTGCAGAAGTTACTGAGGCTCCAGCTATGGCCGGGTACACTGTGGGCAGCGCTTTCGGATGTACCTTCACAATATTGCGTAGATCAACCAGGTGCGCGTTCATACCGCTGTGCTCATTGTAATACTGTGTGAACTAAAATCGGTCTTTGCGCAGCGATCGACCAGTCTCTGGAGCCTGCGCAGCTCATCGCAGATGCAGTCAAGCGATCACCGAAGGCCCATCTCTTCCATTTCTATCCCGTCCTGTGCGAGATTGTTTCAATCCCGAGGAGAACACCCTCAGCTTGGATTTCACCCGAGGCGCTCTCACTAACGAACAGCACACTCTCACCTCTAGGCGGATCCACGGGTTCCGATCGCAGAGCCAATGGCGTTGTAGAGCACGGAAGGCCGGTCGAACTGGACGCGCGGTCGCTGGTCAAGGAGTGTTTGAAAGAGGTTGGCAAGGAGATGGGGGTACGGCAGTAATCCACCACATCGCCTCCGACGGGCACATTGCTTGAACTTCTCCGGATGCGCACACGACTGACATTTATATATAACTCGGATTCACATGGTTCACATACAGTAGCTTACACATGATTCCTAAATTGCAATGCTTCTCCGGATGCTGGTAACGGTGACACTGCGCACCTACCGGCATACATTAGTGCATGTACGCACGTATCGACGGCTAGTGGGGTGGTCCTGGGATGGTGGGTAGCGGGTCCTTCAGATCGTCTTCCGTCGCTCCCAGGATCTCCAGGATATCTTCTCTTTTGAAGATGCGCGCTGTCTGGATTGCGGTGGGCGTGCCCAGCCTCGGGTTGGCACCTCCGGCCATGAGGATCCGTACACTCTCATCTTCGCGTTTGAATACGGCACCAGCCAAGGGCGACTGCCCGTTGTCGTTCACTCGGTTCGGGTCCGCGCCCTTCGACAGCAAGGTGCCCGTGAGATCCGCATGTCCGCTGTAGGCCGCGAGCATGAGGAGGGTGTTTCCTGCATGTGATGTCAACGACGTGTAAATTGGTCGGCGCCGGATGCCCAACCTTTCTCGTTGGTGAGGTTGACAGGGAGTCCTGCATCGATTGCTTGCGACAACAACGCCGTATCGCCGCTCCTAGCTGCGTCAAACATGCGATGGGCGAACTCCACCGTCTCAGAGGGGAGAGTGCCTCCGTTTGCTGCTGCCTGTTGCAACAGTTCCACTTAGGCGTCGTACTCTGCCGGAGGAAGTCAACGCACCATTTTCGATCAGTGTATAGCGGACTTGCGCGGATCGTTGAGTACGTTATGCTCAGACCCTCCTGCTGTCGCGTCGTACGCGATTGCCGTTGCAGCTGACTGAGCTTTGAGATGCTCACGGGGTCAGTCCGACTGACATGCCGCCCTCGGCTCGGCGTCTGAGGTATCTAGTACCGGTCAAAACCCCTACAATTCATGCCCTCGCTTTGCACAATCTCTCAACTGCACGATGGAGTGCATCTACCATATGTAAACATACACGATCGGTCGAGGTAAACGATCGAATGGTTGATCGTGATACGTAAGTGTGAGTGCCGCGGATCATCCTGGTCGTCGGTCTGCCCTTCCAATCAAACACAGCGCTCTGCGCCTTGGCCCTGCCACCACTCAGTCTCAGGGGCATCATTATGATCCTGAATTAGTTGTCGCGCAGGTTTCTATTGCGGTCGAGCGTCAAGGATTGAGCTCTTCTAAGAGAACTGCTCACATTGAAAGAGTTTACGTGATGCCGCCACTACGGCGGCGCACTGGCAGTCACTACGTAAGAAAGTAGGTTCTGGCCTCTTTGCGCATGCCTTGCGCATCCCTGTTGAGATCCTGTTCGAGGTTAATGAGATGGGTTCAGTCCAGACCTCCGCCTTCGCTTCTGAAGTTGGGGCCCGCAGTCCATTGGCTACGAGACTGTAGGCACCGCGTGCTTTTAGCGGTTGCTAGCTGTAATCTGTGGCAGGCTCCATGCGGCCGGTCTCTCGGAGGAACCCGGAGGGCCGCAGGCTGAATAGGACCCTTACACCGGTATGACCGAAGGCAATGAATGTTGAGACCTCGACATCTCAACAGCGATCGCAGCGGGTCCACTGGACTTACTAACATGGAGACGATAGTTTAATCCGGTTTCCAGGCCCGCTTCCCGAAGGGATCGTAGAGTAGCCGACGACACCCTCGCGAGCTTGAGAGGCAAATTCGCGCGTAGTGATGAGCATTGTCTACCCTGTCACTGATCATTCGTGAATGCGTACTCCGGGCCCCTCCTCCATAAACCTACGGGGCGTGCATCGCGATGAAATCGCAGCTGTCCGGGGACAGCGCGGAGATTGACTACAGCCGATCGTAATACTACTCACGAGCCGTCACAGCACGAGGGACGTGACCAAGCGCGACCCTTGGCTGGGCATGGTACCTTCAAGGGGATCCGTATGTAGCGCTTTGCAGCGCTCGCGACACACTCTATTCCCACTTCGTTCTGAGTACATAACGCTGAAGGACGTTATCGATGAGTCAAAGATCCAGCAGCTGACCTGTCGTGCAGAGCCAGTGCGGTACGAAGATATGTTTCACAGTTCCGAACTGGGATCGCGGAGAGCTCGCCCATCATCTGGTTCTCGATTACCTTCTCCGTCGAAACACAGTCCCCAGGATGGCGGGTTGGTGTGTCCCTAGGCAATCTCACGGTCGACCGTGCTTATTGTCATGAGCCATTGACTCGTGTCCTACGCACGCTCAAATTGCATCACCCTTGCCTCCGCGACTTCCAAAGAAGTTTTCTATGGATTAACTTGTCATTCTCGAGATCCGTGCGCCAGATCTCTCTTTTGTCTTCGACACGATCCCTTACGTTGGCCTCATTATGATTACACACTGATATCCGTGCGATGTGCCTCCGCACCCTTGATCTATTTACTTAATTTGTGCAGATACGTCAATACACTGGCTTCGTACATCCACATTCGAGTCCGCTCTCCTGCTTCGGAATAAGTCTAGCCATGGCGGGGCGCATCTAGTGCGGCCTCCGCCGGCCAAAATCCCAAGGTAAGATACGTGACTGATTGATCGGCATCGAGCAAGAATGGGATACTATTCAGAGGTTGCGTAGGTCCGATTATACATTGTAATGCCGGTGCAACATTCCGCTTTCGTGTCGCAGTCGATGGACAAGGTTGAGCCAAAGAATATGACGTCGACGAATAGCCGGCTAGCAACCATGCACCCGATATGGTCAGCTTAGTAGTTGTAGACTGTACGAGACTGTGACACATGGTGGTGTTCCAGCGGCTCGGGTGCACTTCATACCTGGCCGGCATTTCATTCGGAAACCACGCTGTCATTGAGCACGGCATCGGTCCGCAATTCCTGTACTAGCTGAGCCTGTAGGATCCCTTGAGCAATCGCCTAGAGGATGGCAGCTAGCGCCGGAAGCAAAGAAGCTCTACTTGAGCTTACCTGTAAGGGCGAGGCAAGAGCTATCTCACCCTACTCTGGCTGCTCTACGAGGATAGTAGGCGTCTAAATTACACCGAGGCCACAGAAATTCGGATTTGGCTCGGATGGACCAGCTGAGTCTTCGGCACGGCCCTGCTGCCATGCAGCTCGGCGCAGCATGTCGTGGTCTGTCGTGGCCGGCGATATGAGGGATCAGGGGAGCCATATGTCATTGAGTGCGGCGACACTGTAGCAGCAGTCGCCAACGTTACGATTAATAAATGGGCGACGAGTGCGTAATGAACGACGAGCCAGGCGACGATGGGTGACAACCAGGCCCGGTCGCCGGCCGCGGCGCGCGATCTACAATCTCGACAGCGCTGATCTTGATGAACGAAGTTGCCTGTTCGGGTATCTTCAGCACGTGGGAAGGTTGGAATTTGGTTGGGATCCTCCAACTGCGTCCTTCTCCTCGTCCCATCACAGGGCCCTCGAACTGTCGCAGTGAAGCGAGAGGTGAGTAACGATCAAACTCGCGGTTATTTCTGCCCCTTTGCCACGCACATGCGGGTGTAGCAATGCGCTGTGATCAGCCAAGGGTATGCGGTTACCACGTTGCAACGCGACGCCAGCGAACGCGACGCGTAGTCACACGACGGTTCCGAGCAGCGCCGGAGTATGCCTGGATATGGATTCAGGCTCATCGCTGTCTCGCACGCTGGCGTTCGAAATATATGCTCAATCATTACACTGCGACCTCGGAAGCAGCCCAGCATCAGTTACCGTCGGCGTCTTGCGTACAAATGCGGTCTAGCGCTGAGGCGACGGAGGAAAGTTTGGTCAGAGGCTTTGCGACCATTTCCACCGAAGTCATGATCAGAGAATTGATTTCGACTGTGTTTCTCAAAGCGCTTGTCTCAGGTCATTACGAGCGTCCGTACGATCGGGTCGCCGATTGTCCCTTAGCGTATATATACCGTCCCTCTTCGTTTGCGGCACACTTTCCTCGCGCCCGACGGCTCAATGACCTCGGGCCTCCCTGGCTCATCCCTGTGTACTTTTTTCTCTTCTGGCGGTCTAATTGCCTTCCACGACTAATTCTCACTCCTCTAATACGACAAATAATATTCCGCATGATAATCTTGTTCCGCTATGAGCTTTTCGACAGCAGGACCCTCCTCCAACGATCCCTCTGGGCAGCATCGGAGCCACAGACAACCACCTCGACCTGCTTCACGTACGCCTCGCTCAGCTTCACCACACAGCTCCTCCCGGAGGGCTTCGCCCACCACCAGCGACCCCGCGTCTGAACGATGGGCTTCTGGGGACGCGACGGGACACACAACTTCGGGGGAGATGGAGCACGAGTCGGAGGGCCGGAGAAGGGAGCGCTCCAGTCCTTCAGTGACGTCTTCTCAAGGAGACATGGCCGACAACGAGGGGGAAGCGGGTCCTAGCCAGCCTTCTCAAGCGGCGCAGCCTACGACGACGCCTCCCAAGAAGAAGCGGACGAGGACGCTCACGACCCCTCACCAATCCGCTGTACTTCACGCACTTCTTGCTCAGGTAAGCGGCAGCGAATGCGGGGATTCGAGTTGTCGCTGAACGCCTCGCCTTTCTAGTCACGCTTCCCGACTACTGCAATGCGAGAGGAAGTAGGCCGCGCCATTGGTCTGAGCGCTCGCAAGGTGCAGGTACGTGCGCTCAGCTCTGTTTCAACGTTCCTATCTGACTAGGTTGTCGCAGATCTGGTTCCAGGCAAGTCGACTGTACCAGGGACGAGGATACTCGGACTGACATCACTTTGCAGAACCAGCGCCAGAAGGCTCGCCGCCCTCGTGGCCAGCAGAGCGCACCGCTGACGCGACCCCCCCAGTTTGGCCCTTTCACCAACGTCCCCCCTGGCTCTAGCAGCGATGCGACCGCTGTCGCTGGCCCCTCCGGTTTACACGCTCAACCGAGCTCTGCTTCGGGAAGCGGTTCTTCGACGGGTGCGCCGCCTCTTATGCGCGGAACAGGTCCTTCTGGCACAGAGTTCTACGCCCATCAGGAGACCCATATGTCTTCCCAGTACCCGAGATCTGGCACTCTTTCTGGACCGGGCATTCCAGGCCCTATCAGCGCGATGCTGCCGCACCCGGTGTTACCGAGCGAATCCCGCAGCGCGCTGCCGTTTCCAGAAGATCAGCGGGGTATGCCAGCCTTCCCCGGTTCGAGCCCAATTCAGCTCTACCCTCCTCCGTCCAACCCGTTCGGTGCTGACGACCTGTCGCGCACGCATTTCACTAGCGCCGGAGGATCCCACCGCTTCAGTGATGATCCGAGGATGCCGCACCGCGTTACGCTGCCGCCGATCGTGGTCGACCCGAGGCAAGACGTTATGGGCCCCAGCCCTAGCAGCCGCTATCCCCCTCCTTTGCCTCCTGTTGTTCCTCACTCATCCACGTTCTCTGCTGTCGGTCCGCGCCGCGCTTCCTACGGCCAGGAGCAGGCGGAGTCACCCTTCGCTTATTTTCCGCCGCTCAACATCCCTCCGCCGTTTACACTGGAGCCGCGGCCGCAATGGGACGACCCCGCATTTTCGCCTTTCTCTCGTCCGGGATCGTCATCACGCCCCTCTAGCTCGTACGCCCTTCCGCCTTCGCTCAATTTTCCATTGCCGCCAGTAGAGGCCACGACGACACGTCCTAGCGAGACTCTTCCCCCCATACTACCTAGGCGTGCTGAGGGCGCAGAGGCTCCTCATAGCCCCTCGACGCCTCTCCTACGCCGCCATCGACCAGATTACTCGCGTCTTGGGGATCGCCCTTCACGCTCGGTCACCCCCCGAGCGGGCACGAGCTCCCGTCACTCCGATGAAACTACACACCCTAGTCGTTAACCTTTGCCGACATTGATGGTCCCTCGTTAGACCTCACCCACGACCTAACCTTCGACGTCGCTCACGAACTCCACCACGTATTGCCTAAGGCGCATACTTATTAGCGCACCTACCCACGTCTAATCGCTCATTGTCTCCAACTGATCTGCTCCCTACGAACGTCTAATCACTCTTTGTCTCAACTAGTGTCATCATCACATACGACTACTGCACGCTTAATTCAATCCTTACGCATAGGTAATCTATAACTCGTAGACTATCTGACTGTTCCGAAAAGTTACGTGGGCTATCTGTGCCCTATACGATATATGTCGTAATTTCATTCGTTTGCTCCGAAGCATATGTTACAACTAGGCCGCCGTAATACATGATCTCATCGCGACTTGGTGCATTTACAGGTTTCAGGGCCTGTCTACACCGGAAGATGTACGTCGCTCTACCAACCGGTTCCTCAGCAGCTCCTCTTGTGACTGCGCCTCTCCCCCATTGCCACTATCATGCGCCGCACCGCCGTTCACCTCAGTGGAGCTACGCCCCGCGCCACTTGCAGCAGCCTTCTTGGCAGCTGCAAGACGCATCCGCAGCTGTGCCTGGCTACGAAGCCTGGCTTCCCTCTCGGCGGCCCGTTCTGCCGAATTGTATAGTTCAGCACCGACCACCCCGCCCTCCTTCTCAGGTCCAATACAGTCGGATAATTCATGGGTTGAGGGAGCACGATCGGTCGCACGGCGCGAATCGCCAGGCGTGGCTGCCGCACTCTCCAAGTGGTTGAGTTTCTCAGCTTCCAGCTTGCTCAGTAGCAGCGCACGTAGGTCACTAGTTGCTGATGGCACAGCTTCGTCTAGGGAGCATAGTCATCAGCGTAAACTCTATATGGACGCAGTGGTAAACGGAGTATCTCCAGAAGAAAAACTACGCCACTGTATAACTCACCTGTGCGAGCAGAAGGCATCCCGACAGACGATCCATCAAACGCGGAGCGCCGCGCTTCCGCACCAGTAGCAGCAACAGAAGCTTGCAATTGTGTGGGTACCACAGACGGAGAACGTACAGCAACATCGTGTTGGGGTGAGTCTCCAGAAGTGTCAGCAGCAGTTCGCACGATCTCCTCAAGAGGGGATGCCGATGCAGTATTGGACAGCCGCTCGAGTAGAGAAGGACGGTCTGCGCGGGCAGGATTGAGGGCCTCGTTACGTTTGGCGGCCCCGCCAGCTCCACGGGAAGTTACATGCAGCGACGATAATGTCCCTGGCTTATCCAATGCATGGCTAGAACCAGGGTGGATAGACAGATGTGCCTGCACGGACTCCAGGAGGTTACGGGTCCTGAGGCGTACTGGAGCATTCCTTCGTACATCTTGGCCACTGGATACAGGACGATCCGTGGGTTCAGACCGTTCGCGCCGCGCCGCATCGCCTGTACCATGAGCTGCAGTGTCAATCTGCCTTTTCTTGTCATCGGAGGAGACACCCTGGTCCGATGATGGAAGCGCGGGTCTCGAATGACGGGTTGGCGAAACGGGAGAGCCAGCTCGACTCCTGCCAGCTGCATTATGTTGCTCATCTACTTTCATGCGACGAGGAGCAGGGCTCTGGCTCTCTTGCTCCCTGCTACCACCCGCAGCATCACGATTGCAGTACTCTCCACGTGCAGTGGTACCACCGTCGGTCGACTCAATGAGGCGCTCTTTACCCTTGAGAGCGCTGTGTGTGCCGCGAGGCGATGGGGATCTTCGCCTTCGTTGCCACGTCGTACTCGACTCCGCCGTCCGACTACCGTGATTCGACCTCACGGCGTTGTCGTTGAGTCTGTTTCTCCGCCGTTCAGCATGATTCGTTTGCTCCAGCGGCCAAGAGCCCCCATTGCGGGAGCGAGAAGCGCTACTGCTGTCCGGAGGCCGTGGCGATAATGGGGCGGATGCAGCATGTGACGGGCCATTGCTGCGAGGGGATAACGGCGAGGGTGAGCGTGGACGGCGGGACGCTCCGCGCGGCGAAGAACTGGGCGAAGAACGCGAGCGAGAGATCGAGACTGAACGAGACCGCGACCTCCAGCGTCGGCTACGTTGCGGCAATGAAGGGGGAGGTACATCGGGAGGTACATCGTACTGTGCGATGTGAAAGAAAATGGACGTGTGAGCGGTGTGATGAATGTCAGATGCAAGAAGGGGAACTTACTTGCACGACTTCATCATATCGGGCTAGATCCCGGTACGGAGAGCGGAGGTAGCTATAGAGTTCTGGAAATTGTGGTCAGAGTGCTCTCGTGATCACGCACAATAGGATGCCGGTCAACGTGATAAACTGTATACAAACAGGAGTGCTGCAGAACCCACAAGGCCCGAACCATCATCAATCAATTTGCGATAATTTGTCATGAGGCCCAGGCAGCACGACCAGAGGAACGGAAGGCCGCGGCGCAGAATCGAAGCCGGGGAATAAGGAGCACTCACCATGAGCAAAATGTTCGGCATTTACGTGTTCCCCTCCGCTATCCATGTCAAGAAATTCGGCAAGAAGCCGTACGGCTGGTTCCGAGCGTATATCGAGTGACTTCATCAGCGACAGCGTGAAGGTCGTCAAGAACTGTTAGTCGTCACATTGCCACAGGCAGACAGGGCACGAGGAGCGTGTTAGATGGGAAGTCGGACCGTATAGAATTCGGCGCGAGATACCATATCGTCGTTCGATCCGGGTCGGGCAGACCAGGCAAGGAAGCGGAGAAGCCGAGGGCACGTTGAGGCGGAAGAAGACACAAGTGAGAGTGTAATAGACGGGTATGATATAGCCATTGAAGCCGCAAGCGTCAAGCGTAGCACAACAGTAGTGGCGCATCACGGATATTGAGAAGGCGAATGGCGGAGAACCGTGCAACGTTTCCAATGGCGTGGGCGATCCAGAAAGCAGTCCCGAATAGAAATAAGCGACACGTCAGCTCAGCTTCTCGATTGATGCACCCGCGTCTTCCTACACGAAGAAGGCTGGACGCGCACAAACAATGAGGGGACACTGACCTCGACGTCAAGACCTACCCACACACGCAATTCGCGTCGCAGAAACACCGTGGCCCGACTGATCAGGTCCTGCGACGCGGAAAACTGGGCTGGCGTCGGAAATGGACGGTAACGCGTGTATGGATTAGAGGCGACATGCTGTGGACGTAGTGTTAACGCATGAACAGTCGAACTAGGCCGCCCGCAAACAGGTAGAACAGCATATTGTCAGGTAGTAAGACTCATCACTACGGATAGCACAAGTTCATCGCACCAGGGATACGAGGGATACGAGACAGGAAAAGAACCGTGACGGTGCCTTGAAAGTCTGCTGCGCTGACAACATACCCCATCACCTTGGAAACTGAGAAGCACGATGTCCACGAGGCCATGCCCATTGCATCATAAAGCTTAGAGATAGCTCATGGAAATGTACAGCGGTTGAGACCGGACGACGCCTTACGGCGTGCCCGTTGAACTCCATCAGGCATGCTGCTTCTCCCGGAAAATCGTGGACCGATTTGAAATGTGACATACCTTTGCGTAGAGATGGTGCCGATAAATCCATCTGCGCTTTTCCATGGCGCGCTCAAGCTCATCGGCTTCCTCTTGAGCCTCGCGCTGTCGTCGACCCCATTCGCGTTCGCGTCTTGTCCGCGCGCGTCTACGCGCATCTTGTTGTGCGACAACGGCAGCACGTTGAGGGCGAGGCGATGCACGCAGCGGCGTGAGATAGTGCTTCTGATAGTCGTATCTCGAGCGTGTGTGGTGGATGAGGTAGTCCCCGATCGACTGAGCGCATAGCGGACACCGGCGCGACTGGTCTGCACATGTAAGTGAGGTCAGTGAGGTTTGCAGAACGTACACCTATCAACTAGAACAGGTGTCGGAACAAGTGCTGTGATGAATGACTCACCGGTCCATATCAGCAAGCACTCAAAGCAGAATTCGTGAGAGCAAGTGGGTACGACTGTGCGGTCCGCGAAAGGCTGCAAGCAAATGCTGCAGTGTTCCTCGTCAACAGTTTCGTCCGCTGGTTCATTTGGCCCAGTACCGCCTCCAGGGGGTGAGATCTCAACGACACTTGGCGACCGCGAGGGTGACGGTGGTTCTAGTTTCACCCGTTTCGTCGGTGGACTGCCAATCCTCCTCGACGCCATAAAAAATTCCTGTAGCGTGGCTCACCACAGAGCCATGTGCTACGGTTTGAATCCCTGTGGTTGCGCTCACGAAACCGATTCTGCGAAGCAGCCGAATGTCGTGGTCAGAGCCGAGTCAATAGGCGAAGATAAAGTTGCAAACGCTGTCCCGCCCAGCAGTCGAGAGCCTCGTGGCGCGTGGGAAAGTGGGCGCAACAGTGGCGCCCGTGAACCTGCGTGAGCACCTCTCTGTCTGCAACTAACCACGATGACAACGAGACTACCCAAACTCATCGCATTTGATCTCGAGTACGTGTTGCACAACGTCTTTATCGGAGAAGAGATCGAAATGAACACCCACATGGTCCACTTTGCACCAGCACAGCTACACGCTCTGGGATTTGTGGATCGACACTCATGTTACTTGTGCGCCTCGAGGGATGCGTCACCGCGTGGAACTTGCTAATCTATTTCTTTGAATCAGCTCCATTGCGCCGTGACGGTGATACCGTGAACAGCGTCCGCGATAGGTGCGTAACCTCATCCATCTATACAAATCACCGGACTAAACACGGATGCAGATATAATCATGAGATTGCATTTTACCGCGACGTCCCCGAGATTCTGCACCGACTGCGTGCCGCCGGCGTGATCATTGCAGCGTGCTCGCGTACGGGAGCGCCGCCCCTGTGAGTGCACCTGTGTCCATTATGTGTGTCTGTCCGTCTGACGTACTGATCACGGCAGCGCTCGCCAAGCTCTGTCTTTGCTGTTAGTCCCCCCAAAGGCCGGTGACAAACATGCATCTCCAACGCCAGCCATCAAGTTCTTTGATCAGCAAGAGATCTATCCAGGTGAGTTGCCTTGTTGAGCAATGCCACGGCCTGCCTGGTTTCACCGATCACTGTCCGTAAAGGGTCGAAGGTCGCGCATTTTAAGAAGTTGCACCAGAAGACAGGTCTGCCCTACTCGGAGATGGTAGGAATGCCTCGCTCTCCGGCTCCTGGCATCGTGTTCATCAAATGCCTTCTGTCCAGCTGTTCTTCGATGACGAGAGTAGGAACCGCGAGGTCGAGTCACTAGGTGTGTATTGGGCCACAAATACAGACATGTCGAGCTGACAGTCATGCGAGGCGTTACGTTCTGCCTTGTTCCTAGCGGGCTCAGCGAACGGGCGTTCCAGCACGGACTGGATCTGTGGAGAAATCGACATTCGGTAGAGGTCGTAGAAGACGCAGCAGGCACAGCCGAAGAGGAGTAGATACACGTTATGAACTCGCCCATGCTGCGCGGCGAATTCGCCCGGGGAATCTATATGGGCACAAGGACGATGAGACTAGGAACGCTATACGCACCAGGTACCGACCGACCTGTGGATACTGCATTCTCCGGGGTCAGTGTGCTCAGTCCCAAGGCTGACTCGACGTCGGCCATTGCTCCTAGTTCCGTGTGTCATAGAACCCAACAGGTGTGTGTATGACTGTATGATAATCGTTGTGTCGTTTGTTCACTCCTGTGCAAGGCATTGTGGGCTCTTGCTCTCATTCAGAGTATGGACGTACGAGCAACTTCCATCCGTCATCCACGCTTTGTTCATTGGCGCCACAAACCCTCGATGACCTAGGCCGCAGTCGAATAGTTATCAGGTCATTGACGCACCGCCTCGCACAGGTATACGTCGTATCATCGCCGTTGTGGCGTTGCTACTCAACTTCTCGGCTGATCATCTCGACCTGCTTTCTCGATTTGGTGCCTTGAATATCCTTTCGGCACAGCCGAGCAGTCTGCGCATTTGTGGCACTGACTCATGGGGACGCGGCACGCTCAACCTCCAACACACCCAAATACGACACGTTCTTGGCCCTTGACCCCACAGTAGCACCGCTGCTGCGCGCAATACAGTGCTCACTGTCCCATGACAGGTATGCATTGAGGCGTGGAGGCGATGCATCGAATGTTGGCCTTCGGTTCTCTTTCGTCTGCGGTTTCAGAGGCTCGGAGGCCAGGAGAATGGGTCGCGCATTTTCGCTCACAGACCTGGCGGCCAGTGTTCTAGGTGTCGGGATCGTGCCGCCCTACTTCGCTGAAGAGGACCCCTAGTATGTCAGGTACAGTACCCCACAATGTTCGAACGCCACTGACACACAACCATCTAGTGTGGGCTACTCGAGGTTACTTGGTGCAGATCGAAGCGCAGGATCCGGACGGGACAATAGTGCGTGCGTCACGCGTTCTTCCAAGTGCGTGCGCCTATGCTGCTGGAATGGTCGAGCTCAGGTACTCAAGCCGAAGAAGGTCCTCCTCAATGGTCCCGAGCACAGCACCCGTCAACGACGATAACCGCGTCCCTACGATGCCGGCATCTCTCGTATTCTTCGTCGTGCTCGTCTTGTCCTAGTCATCCTCGCGCTCCGTAACTTCTGTCAATAGTGTGTCGAGCGGCGGCTTCGAATATGGAGGCCATCTGGGTGGGCGCGCAGACACATTTGTGGACACCATCCGTGCATTCTTCGCACTTCCATTGTGACCTCACGCGAACCGCAGATGCTGAATGCAGAGGTACGTTCATTGAATGCCTTCCGTGATATCCGATCTTTTTACGAACACTCGTATTGCCTCTGTAGACCTCTGTGTACAACTTCTCCCCGGATAACCGCGTGGCGTCATAGAGTCGCGGGATGATAGGTACATTTCTGTGCTCAATCCGCATGCGTTTCTAAAGCAGAAGACACATTTCAATCAGCTGTCTGCTTCAGCGGTTGGTCAGTATCAGGAACGAACTGAGGTCCTGCGGATTCGGCTGTACGCACCCAGCCTCGATGCAGGATGGAAGGGCATTGCGGTTGGGCTGCGCCCACAATTCTCGCCTGATGCAACGATAACAGCTGCCATAGATGTCGTTCAGAAGGATGCTGAGTACAAGCAAGAGCTTTTGCAGCGATGCTGTGTACTGTCGCGAGAGGGCCGGAAATCAGTCAATTGCGATGGTATGATGATACACGTTGTTTTGGCACGTCTGTGGCGGCGAGCCGGAACCGGACAAGCGCTCGGCCATAGCAAGCCAACAAAGCGACAAATGTTGCCTTTCTCACATCGCCTGCCAGCTGTACATAAACGTCCGGCTCTCCTTGTGTTTGGTTCATGCTCCCTTCTTATACCCGCCCTTGCCCGTTCGGACTGTCGTTGTGTTGCTGGCGCTCGGAATGTCGATGTCACAATGGTCGCATGGCTCCATCTCCAGTCGGTCATCGTCGCGCTCAAGCACCAGCAGCAGCGACCACAACGAGGTCATGCTGACGTGCAGCCTGCTCTGGACGCTCCTCAATGACCTCTCTACTCGGTTGCTGCGATGCTTCGGACGTCAAGTACGACTCGTTGTCCACGGTGGCGTCATCATGGTCATGCATCCCAAGCTCGCCAGTCGTCCGGGTACCCGCGACGTGGACTACAACCATCGCTCCTTCGTGTCGGAGTGGCAGAGGAAGGGAGTTTATGATGCGGGCGAGCGCTTGAAGTCTTGCATCGCGTCGACCGCGTTCAAGTTCAACCTGGGAGCGGACTGGATGAACGCATGCGCCGACGTCGCCCTTCCCATGTCCATCGAGTGAGTCATCATTACGATCATTGTTCGTGCTGTTGTTGAAGCGTGGTGCAGTAAGTACGGTCAGGTATATGACCCCATCTGGGCAGACGCCATTAGCCCGCAGAACAGGAAGATCAACACGATCTTCTCCCAACCCGGCCTCGAGCTTATCGGCGTCAGCTGGAGCTGGGCGGTCGCGCTGAAGCTTGTCCGGTATCAGAAGTACGACCCTCACGACATCGCACACATTCTACATCTTGGAAGACGTCAGAAGGGTGTTCAGTGGACGCGTCACCTAATGGAGGAATGGCTTGTCAACATGTGTGGCGCCATGGGCTACCATGCCTACCCGTCCTGGCAGATGGAGGCGACACGACAGAAGATGCGCCACGCTATCACCCTCTCGCAGAGCTATGCCTAGGACAACTCTCCACAGCGCAAGAGCTCCATTTCATAGGGCGTGCAGGTCAACGTCATTATAGTCGCCATCGTACGTTCATCTTAGCGCGTCATCGTTGTCCTCAAACTGAGTGAGATGCGCCAGCAGCGGGACTCTTCCCAGTAATTCTTTACCTCATCTTTCTGTGACTCCTATGCTTCCATTCTCGCCACTTGGACTCTCCTGGACTTCTTCATGACATTTACGATACCACCTCACGTCAAGACCGGTGCTCTTGTTGTACTGTACAATTGTGCTTCACCCTGCTCTTCACACTTATCTTTATTGATCTACCACCCGGACGTATACCCTGGGCATTACGTGCTTCTCTGTTGCAGATCTTCGCACGAGCCGCGATAGTTCGAATAATGACACTATACCGCTCTACTCATTGGTGCATCTGCTGTAAGAATAGCGCATAGTAGGGGCACCTGACAGTGCCTGTCACACTAGGTCTGTTGTTCGTCATGTCATTGTCATCCCGTACTAAGTGCGACAAACAGGGGCCTGTAAATACAGAGGCGAGCAATCGCCGAGCGAGATCTTCGACTGCAGAGGGTTTGCAGGCAACTTTAGACAGCCCAACACCGGCAGAGCTCAGCACCGGCAGGTCCCAGGATCATAGAGGGACCCGTCTTGCGCATTAGAAATCCAGATAATGCGTGAACAGCGGCAGACCGATCAGGGACGCATGTATTGTTCCTCCGAGAACTGAGCCTGACTGAATAGCACATTTCACGCGCAGTCTAGCAATTGACGTACTCTTGTAGACGATATCGATGTCGTCCAGTAGGCGTCACTGCTCGCGAGCTGCGTTCGATATCAATAACATCTCCGATTGCCTGTCGCAAGTCTCTAAAAGTCTCTAAGTTACATTGTATACGTATGTACTCACTCAACTGGTATGCGGACGCGAGTGATGACCTTGCGCCTTTAAGCTTTAGGACTTAGAGCCTCGGAGAATGCCATGGTGTCTTGGTGGACGCTATCGTCCGGCGGCTATTGTCTCTGGCTCTGCGCACGGGACCCAGCCTGAACTGGCTGGGCTATACATACCTGCCTTGTTCCAGACAGGAGCGCGAGAGAACAGGGGCTCGGCGACCTCTGACAGAGAGATGTGCCTGTGCAGGATCGCACAGTATAACGTTCGGAGGGCGCTCGGTGTTTGCTGCGAGCGGACCCTGGTCGCTCTACATCCCCGCTTCCCGGCACGATGCTCATCCCCATCAAGCTGCAGATCAGCATACAGTTCAACTTCCTCACGATAACCAACCACGGCCGCTCGCGCACGCGAAGGGAGGCGCCGGCCGCGAAGCCACCTCCGACCACGAGCCCGGCGAAGTTGAGGAAGCAGCGCAGAGCGACAGACGTACAGCGACACGTGCGTCGGTACTGCTGGGGTGTCCGCGTACTGACCGCGGAGATAGCACACGCACCAGCCATGTCGGTACAGTTCATTTGAACACACGGAGTCTTGCAGCTGCAATAGGTATGGTCAGCGATCGACCTGCAGCTGCACGTCGAGCAAAACAGGTGAGTGCGCCATCACAATCACGTAAGATGACTCATGCACTCCATGCACAGCTTCCTCGAGGACCGCTGCGGCGAGCGAGAGGTTCTCGTGGAAGGCAAGCGGGTCGCCTCCAACGATCGCTCTGTCTGGAGCGTGCCATAGCAGCGGGGATAGGCGCACGGCGAGCCACACCTCTGGATCCTATCCCAGTAATGCCGCTTTCACGAGCCGCATCTCCAGGAGGAGCACAACGAGCTGAGCGAAGGCTAGGGTATTGACTTGAACGACGAGTCATGAGTGCGATCAAATACGAAGAGTTGATATACACACCTCCCGTGATGCCCCTCTGTCCGGCCCTCTTCCGGCCCTTCTCTGGAGGTCTACTAGTACAGTCTCGTCCATTCCTCCTTGCAACGAATTTTGAAGGACCGCCTGCCACCAGGGCGCGATCAGTGCAAGGTAGTGAATATCTGATAAAGTCACTCCATACGGAAGCTCAGCACCTATCGGTGACAACTCAGGGGGGGGGGCTTCCTACTTAAATGTGTTCCACTGATCGATGGTAGCATATCAGCGAGTATACTCGCCCACTTCGGACTGCGATGATCATCAGCCACACATGTTGTCGACGAACATCGCTTGGCGTGGCCTGACAGGGCGACTTGCGTTCCAGAGCATGTCGAGATCACGTCCCGCGACATAGTCTAAGTGACCTGCATCAGCGATATCGCCCGCAAGACTACACCCATACGATCGGGAACTCACGCTCGCCAAGAACGAGGTTTGCACTTTGGCAGACGCCTCTCAAGTCGAGGTGAAGCCAAGAGCCAAGAAAGCCCAAAATAGTAGGGTTAGTGTCTATACCACCCCGTCGTCGCAGAGTTTAGTCACATCATCTCGCATATACAGAGAGACATACGACGGATCAGGACACCGCTCCAGTCTTAAAATGTACTGTCCGAGGGACCCGAGTAGAATGTAAGTAAGCGTGATCTGACCTGCATTGACATGCATTGAGACGCACCTCCTCCAGCTGTTGGGATGAGCCAATCGGCCGATGTCCCCAGGCGAGACCTCGCCCCCGGCCTCGTTCGAGCCTTCCTGTCATTCACTCGGTGGTGCTTGAACAGATTCTCATTTCACATCTGGTTGAGTTTGACATCGCCGAGGCCATCGAACAGTGTCTCCCAAGGAGGCCTATCTTGCGCGACTATCGACAATCGAGACTGCTCGTTGTCAGCTGGAAGGATCCCGCTCTAGAAGTGTATGTTACCGAAGGAGTATGCCCAAGCCTCTACGCTGCGAAGGGTGTAATCCCTTCAGGCTTAGGATCCGGAGAAGCCTGTTAAACGCGCAGAAGCTCGCGAACAACCAATGTGCAGTGACGTGCGGCTCATAGTGATACCATATGTTGTGCGAGGATCCCACAGAGACCCTCAAAAGGATTGGAGACCTGCGGTGCCTCAACCAAGTGAGGAGCACATCTCGCAGGGTCCTAAGTTAGTACGCACACGCTTTGATATGAAGCACCGAGACTGCGGTATAGCGCTCGCTGAAACCACGCCGCCAACGAAACCTTGCCCATGTTGCTTCGCTGTCGGGGCCTATGTTGCATAGCGAGCGTAGAGCGCGGTCCTGTCACCGTCGCGTGCAGGCAACGTTGCAGCGTCCGCACTGACCAGTAATACGGACCAAGGATACGCGGGTCCACATACCAGACCATCCACGACTTGGTATCAGACTAAAACTGCTTTAGTCCTAGATTTTTTCTCCACATATGCACAACGTACCCCGGTGGTCAATGATGATACGATATGCGCGGATTTATTTGAGATTTGAAGGAGGACAAATGATACGTAGCGGAACCAGCGACGAGGACTCGGAGATTCGGAAGCTGGGAGGAGAGGCCGTGGGAAGAACATGTATTCTATTTGTGGAAAGTCCAGTTCTTTGTTAGTTTAGCGCTCGAGACTTGACTGCAACCGCTATCTGGTCCTCACTAAGGTCCCAGGTTCCACCACACAGCGGTAACTTACAGCTGTGAGGACGATAAGTATACTGTGAGTGTGTCCAATCTTACCAGTGAAGCTTAGCTTTTCTTCGTATATATCGCCAACGTTCTGTTTATTCCCAGCTACCGCCCGTAGACGGACTTCAAGTGTGGCCTGAATGCGTCAGTGCTGCAGCCCTATAAGCGTCCAGACGTCAAAGAACTTGATATCGACGTCTTGGCTTCTGGAACACAAGCCTTCTATAACATCTCAATAAGCAGCGCCCTCCTCGTACGTCCGAGGCTGCCGCCCGCAATACGCGCGTCTGGTCCGGTCAGTGTATTGGAGCTCTGTTCATCTACGGTGCGCTCGGACATCACCCTTTGAAATAGTTGTGGTACGCCAGACAGGCTTTCGCTACACGTCAGCAAAGGCATGTTGCCATGTCACGGGGCATCGCCCTGTCTCGACACGTATTTCCTGTTAGGAGAGGTGAGTCCGATGTGTTGTTGATGTTATACGTCATCGTATCACTCATGCCGCCCAGTCTTCAGAACACAGACGAGAAGCAGACATCGCCAGATGACGATGAACGCGCGGCCCGCCAGCTATCTCCGCGCGATAGTCTTCACTGGCGCGACGCTCGTCGAAGTGCAGCTTACTATGGAACCTATCCCGTCCCGGCGCGGAGATACATCAGCGCTTAGCGTAAATCTCCCGATGCTCAGAAAGTTCGGAGACTGTGCACTCAAGGTTAGGACCTCTGATTTCTTCCTTGGGCGAGTGAAGGCTGTCCATCGGCCAACGTTTGCCGGTATCCGTACTTCCGAGGGTCTGCATTCCTCATGAGCACGACTACGTTCCTCTCTTATCACTGTTGCGCACAGAATGAAGCGCTGCGTCTCCAAGTGGCTCGGGGGACGGTCAAAGGGCGCCCCGAACAGACCAACGCGAAGCATATGTCGTCTCAACTTCTATCCCCCCGTATACTGTTGTCCATGATGCGCCCTATTGCCCCGATCGTAAACGGTAGAGCAATTCACCGCAAGACCTTGACGCCGTGAATGTAACCGGGACCCTGGATATGCGCTGTGTCTCTGTGGGGATATGTGCGATACACTTCGTGGTATATGCAATGCAGCTCAGTAAGCACCCGCCATCCTTTGCTTGGCTACGATGCTCATCATAGTCGCAGGTGTTTTATATTCGCTCCGGCGGCCTATAGAGTCAATAAGGATGCCAATCGAGGTGAGCGTTATCCGCTCAGCAGCCGGCCGCCAAGTTCAAAGGATGACAGCTGCATCGTGTTTCGTGCGCTCGCGACCGCTGAGCGCTGCCCACCTCGGTGTATGTTTGGTGAGCCTTCCAAGGATGGCTTCTATCTTATCGCAAATTCGCCCCGGGCGTTGGCAAAATGGAGCAATGTCCAAGTCGAAGCACGTTCCGCCGCTAGTTCTGGATTCTCCAGCGTGACGCGCAGTGTCCTCAGACATACTTAAGACATACTGTACTCAGAGCTCAGACTCAGGACTCGCAACCTCCACCCCCCTTCATACACTCATTCATACAATCCGACCGTAGCCTTCACCATGATCAGGCCGACGAACCAGAGAGTTTGGTTTATTACGGGTGAGTTAACTACGTCTCAGCACCCCTCGCCTGCCTACCCATTGCTGACATGGATGGCTAGGGACGTCGACGGGCTTCGGGAAGTACCTCGTCATCTCTGCGCTGTCGAGGGGCGACTGTGTCATTGCCACGGTGCGGAAGCTCGACGACTTCACTATCAAGAACGTAGACCAGTCAAGGCTACACGTCATCACCCTCGATGTCACGGATAGTGAAGAGAGCATCCGTTCCAAGGTTGACGCTGCCGCCGGCATCTGGGGTCGCATCGACGTGCTCGTCAACAACGCGGGCTACGGCGTGAAGACGGTCATAGAGGAGGGAGGGTAGGTTGCCTCATGCTAGCCGTGCTTCACTAGCGAAAGTCTAATACGTTGACATAGGTCCAAAGTCGCCATGACCCAATTTCAGACGAACTTCTTCGGTCTCATTAACGTCACCAACGCCGTGCTGCCATATATGAGGCAACGCCGGTCTGGAACGTTGGTCGTTATGGGAAGCCGGCTGGTCTGGCAAGCACACGGGCCCGTAAGTGTCATACTCTGGTCTCGCTTCTCGGCCAGGCTCTGACCCAGCGCCATACAGACCGAGGCATATTACATGGCATCAAAAGCCGCTGTCCATGGTATGTCGCAATGCGCTCCAGTCTCGAGGCGAGCCGAACCTGACTGTGCGCGACAGCTGTCACCGAGTGCTATAGAGCGGAACTTGCAGAGTTCGGGATCCGAGTACTCCTCGTTGCCCCGGGCGGCTTCCGCACCAACATCAACAAGGAGATCACATATGAGGTGGACCGTCCCATCCCTTCATATGAGCCTCTCAAGCAGAACGTCATGAAGAAGCTCGGCGGGCTCTTCGCCAACGCCAAGGGGGACCCTGTGAAGGGCATGGAGCTCGTCGTGGACGTTGTCCGGGGCGAAGGGAAGGCTGTGGGCAAGGAGTTCCCGACCACCCTTCTTCTCGGCAACGCGGCATATGTACACGCGCAGCTGCACTGCGAGCGGTTGTCGAAAACGATGGCGGAGTGGGAGGACGTCTCCCGCAACCTCGACTTCGAGGACGACGAAGGCTACGCCGCGGAGAGCCCGTGAACCTCGATCCCTCGCGCCGTCGCTCAATAGATTACCCCCATAGAGCTGCATTTCCACCCCATTCTTGCGGTCACTTGCGGTCACATAGAGTAGAATCGGGCATAATCGCATAGACATGTGTACCTTCTTCAAGTTGTATTTTTGCTCCTACATGCAGCCACCCTCGAGTCCATATGTATATACACTAGCCATATACACCGTTACACGTATCCCATCTGTTTTGACTCGACCGCATGTGCATATGCCAACCTCGTCATACCATGCACGAGATTGCAACTGCAAGGAACGTCGAGGAATTTGATTGGCGCTTCCAGCACCAGAGGCGGGTCCGAGCGCTAGCGGCACTCGCGCGCTACGGTGCATACGAGTTCATATATCATACATGGCACACTGCACACGCAACGGAATTGATCACCTCAGTTATGCCCAAATGTTGCTCTAAGGGAATCACAGACAGCGTTGTCGCAGACGGCTATACAGCGGGTTGATAAGAAGCATATCTTCAGTCGTCTTAGCCTGCGTAGGTATCGTCTTATTGTCGTAGTCATTAATATGCTCTATTGAGTCAAAATGAAGGTACCATCCTTCTGGAGTGATGAGATAGCGGAATACTGAGTGTCCGAGACGTCGCCATGGCCATTCCATGTCTATGCCACAGCGATATGAATGGCATGCATCAGCGTGCGAATGACAAAGCTGAACCTTCGAGGCGAGCCGAAAGAACGGAACCTGAGAATGAAATACATCCACCGCTCAGACGGCGACATCCATGTCGCCCTTCGCGTCGCTAACGGTGGAGCGGTCTTGCCATTCCATACGGAGCTTCGCGTCCTGGCCGTTGACATCCGCTAGCTCATGGGTCTCGACATTGACCACGATCTGAATAGCGACGGCGTCACGGTTACTAAGAGACGTGAGCAGAGAGCGTACAAACGTACCTGGGTTGGCCGAGCGGCGCTGCTTTTGACAAAGCTTCCGATGTCGGGTGTCTGTGTCAAAATGTAGTTTCAGGGATCATCGCGCCGCTAGCATCTGGTTATACTTACCCTCCCTCCAGTCATCCTGTGCGCCTCAGCTTGACCAGAAGGGGTGCTGTTTGCGTTCTTCAAGAGGGCGCGCGCATTCAAGCTGGACATCGCCGAGTTACCGTATCTGGTGCCGGACCATCAGCGTCCGTCAACACTGAAAGGATTGGTAGACGTACAGCTTGGCCAACGAGTAGTTGAAGACTGTACAACACATCCTTAGTAAGCCATCAACAATCACAGCACGACCTAGCCGGAAGTCTCACTCAAGTGATAGCCTTTCGTCTGAGCAAATCCACTCAGTACTCAATGCTGAGTGAGCGCAATCAGTAAACACTTACCGATGCCAGATATGCAATGAGGTCAGAAACGGCGAAGACCGCTGTCAAAGCACCGTTTGACATGATGACTATCAAAATATGAGCCTCAGTCTTCAGAAGACTCAATCCGGCCAAACAGACAGACGTACGCTGTATCATCCTAGTCACCATCGTGTCTGTAAATTGGAAGCCCGTACGCTGCTTTTTCTTATAGCAATGAACCATAGCGGATATGTGAGCCGGGCAATATAGTGAAGGTACGACATAGAGACCAACCAGATGCCATGTCAGAACACAGGCGATGGTGACATCTGCGATGGCGGAGCCAGCCAGCCAGAGGGACACAACAACCTACTCAGTGCTATCAAAGGATTGATCAACTCCTTGGGACAACGTCGTACCGTCAAACGCTGCAAACCAGCAAGTTGGGGCAGAATACCGACGCCAATTGCTGTGCCTATTCCCGACACTAGGTGAAACGCCGCCGTCAGAATTCTTCGCAATATCAATATCGCAGTGGAACCTCTACGTACGGCCACCCACTACTGACGGTATTAGGACCGACGCGACCAGAAGCTTGTTCCCAGTCAGCCTGTTGATCCGCCAGGCGTAGAAGAACTGGACTTGCATCGAGATGATGCCCTGCACGTCGGTCGTGTTAACGACAGCTCATTGTATGCCAGGGAAACTGCGACTGACAGTCATTGCTTGGTCTATGCGGGATATCATTGAGTACGGGTGTAAGGGAGAAAGCGAGTCGCGCTCTTACCTGTCTGGAAAACTAGGGCAATAACATTGATTAGGGACGATATCAGCACAAGAAAGGATGTTGCTAACGCCAATTTCCGACACCCAGGGCTTCCTCATTCCCTTGATAGTACGTTGAGCGTGAGATATCTATTCGGAGCTGTTTTAAAGTAGGAAACCCATACCAAAGTTATTGATGAGAACCCCATAAATCCAAGCACAGTTGAAGATCGTGTTGACCGTGTCCGCAAGAAACAGTACGCACACCTGTGGTATGACGCATAAGACGCTTCAATCGCCGTAAAATTCAACTCACGTAGATCTTCATCCACCTAGGATCACTGAGAGCGCGTCAATTGAGGATGGACACTGGATATTGGCAACGTACGTTTTATAGGTCGAATAATAGAAGAACGTCTGGGTGAGCATAGCCCCGTATAGCCTGAGATTTGCGGACGTTCAGAGGTTGTAAGCCATACGTGGCGAAGCATCCCAGACTTACATAACATTGATGAAGATACCGATGAAGGCAGGCCCCTCGCTGTAAGGCAAATTCAGTTTCTGTCGTCCCCGTGTGCAAAGCAACTTACGCCGCCTCAGCGATCGCCTCTGCTTCGGTGGGCATCTTGACTGTTCGGCGTGGCGACAAAAGATGGGGTCAAAATCACCACCTGCGAGGAAACAAGCTTACCGCGAGGGTTATATCCTCAAGATCCTTACGAGAAGATCCCGCATTCGATCGCTCTCGATCCAATCTGCAAGAACTCACCGAACGTTGAATTGCCTCTAATTGGCTTCGCTACTGAGATCAGTGTTCGAGTATCGGTCTATTAGCGTGATGAGTCGTGGCCTCCTCCGCCTGGCGCTCGGTGACAATCGGACGGGCTACGCGCGTTCGCGAAGGCGGAGCATTACTGCGTATGGTCGCAGCGTTGCAAGCATCCGTCGCCCGGCTTGAGATTGGCTCGCTATAGTAGCGCGTCAAGGTTTATGTGATAGCAGACAGAGGAGGATCCGCTGCGCATGACACCGCGCCTACGACCGTACCTCGGCCTTCGTGAGTTCGCAGTCACGCTGGAATCGATAGGTATCTCGGTGGCTTCGGGTACTACGCCACAGTATGGTAGTCGCCGCTCTGTGAGAAAGAGAGTTGCAACCCTGAACGAGGAATAGACTATTTCGAGAAGCCAATGCGACCGCATCATTCCGTCATCTCGACCTGTAATTCTCCACCAGATTCGATCGCAGGGCATAGACGAGTACAGGTAGATACGGCGTCCGAGTCTGCTGCTGACCTCCCCTCGACTCGAATGTATACCTCTTCGTGGTCAGAGGTCGCAGCACTGACCAAATAAATAAAGATCTCTTCAATACTGAGCTCTTAGTGATGTGCTGCGTCACACGCGCGAGTCCGGCAGATCAAAAGAATGGCGCACTCTATTTGTGCCCCCCATCTAGTGACGGCGCAGGCAGATTTAACATCAAAACGCTATAAGGGTCTCTGGATGATCTGTTCATGCCCTCCGCAAACATCGTGGGATCGTGACGTGAACAGTGAAGGCCTGGAAACGCGGTTGACAACTGCCAGACGTCAAGGACTATACTGTTCTGGCCGGCCCCTTCACTTAGCGCCAAGCTGTTCACCATGGGTGCGATACAGCTTCGGCAGGGAACTTCAACTTGGGGGGTGGTCAACGAGGCAGATAGAACCAAGATAGAACCCTCCCATTGAGCAGATCGAAGGCGGTAAGACGCAGCAACTATAGCAACCAAGTCAGCCGATCATAATAGTGACCAAGTTACAGTCTGGGCGGTGGACTGAGATCGCACAGCGCGGTGAGTACCAAACACGGAGCGTCTCAGTACGTGATTCGAAGCATTGCGGCATACCTAGATGCTGGAACCAACAGAAGACTCAAGCCTTGTAACAGAAGGGACGTAAGTACCTGTATCCAAGAAACGGCAGAGTGACTAGTATGTCAGTTTGACATTCTTAATGAGTACGATAGCAAGTGTTCCCCGACGTTAGTGGATGACCCAAAAGGGGTACTCGGAGGGTGCCGCTGTAGGTGAAACCCGCTCCTTGAGATTCGTGAGGGCTTTTGGCGAAACAATGTGCGGTGCAAGTACTCGAGAGGCGAGATCCAAGAAGACAGGAGCAAGATTTTTGACCCCGATGGACGCGAGAGGACGGTCATATGCGCTGACTCGGCAATAGCCGAGGATGAACAGAACGCCTCCCACTGGTACGGCAACCCCCTTCAACGCTTTGTGATACCTGCACGAAAATCCTTCGGTGCTACCAGGCCAGCGAGGGGCTTGGAATAGAGATCTACAACGGCACTAGTAATGTACGCACAAAACAGTATGGAGCGGGTGTCGCTGGCATTCATGAGTACTACTATGGCATGCTTGAGGATCAGAGGCCCATGGCCTTCAAGTTGGTATCGCTGCCAGCGGAGCTTTTTTGCCATTCTACATCGTGTATGGGCTTCCCGACGACATCTGCCATCTCATGTGTCTCCACATTCACCATTATCTTCCAAGACCGTGAGTCTAGTCGTACGGAGGCTAGCCAATTTCCAACGTACCTGTGCACTCCGTCCCATGCCCTTGCCCGCTACGCTCCCCACGGCGCCATTCTGCAGGCGATGAGTCATGTCAGTCAAAGTGACAGAGCAGTGACGTACTCCGAGTGCGACCCTTGCGTTAGCATCGCCTTGATATGACGGTGCGCTCTTCGACGTGCTGTTGACTAGGATCGATCGGGCGTTCAGGCTGGACATAGCAGAGTTGCCGTACCTAAGTGAAAGGTATCGAATCAGTCATTCAAGTAAATGAACGGGCTGTAAAACGTACAGCTTCGACAAGGGGAAGTTGAAGACTAGCAGCGACGTCGTCAGTTAACCGCGACACGAGCCCGAGGAAATGACCTACTGAGATGGTAGCTCTTGCTCTGAACAATTCGGCGAGTAAGCATCAGCAACGGCGTCCCATACTCAAGTCTCATCGAAAAACGTACCGAAGCAAGGAATGCGACGATATCAGCCACGGCGAAGATGGCTGTCAGCAAGCCATTCGACACGATCACTGTACAGGACAGGATCAGTTTTTACATCAGCTTACGGCTCGCACGGGCTCAACGTACGCTGCGTGATCTTGGTGATCACGGTGTCCGTGCGGGCGAAGCCGGTGCGATGTTTCCGCTGAAAGCGCAACACATGAGGTGTCTGCTCACGGCCTAAATCGAGCACCATTCAGTGCTCACCAAGTGCCAAGTCAGAGAGACCGTGATTACAACATCGCAGACAGCGGATCCGATCAGCCAGAGCGAGACGATCACCTTGAGACGCTGCAGCTTGGCGAACTCCCGGACCATGCCGACTCCGATTGCAGTACCTATGCCAGATACTGCTCCGCGCAACCACAACCGTCAGCACTGGGCACGAGGCTTGCAGGGAGGCATACGCACGACCGCCGACTAGAGAGGAAATGACGACCGCGGAAACGACGAGCTTGTTGCCGGTGAGCTTGTGTAGTCGCCATGCATAGAAGAACTGGACTTGCATCGAGATGATGCCCTATGATGACTGGGAATGAATGTGTTGCTCGAGCGTGGAACGTAGACGGACTGACCGTCATTGCTTCCTCTGATCGCGAGATCGTTGATTCAACATAATATAGCTGTATACATAGACAAATCGGGTCACCTGTCTGGAACACTGAACGACAAAGAAGCTGGTCAGCGATCAATTCGTCGCATGCCGGATGTGCAGGAGTACTTACACCAGTTACCCGTTCCCAAGGCCTCCTCGTTTCCTAGAACAAAGCCACTAATGTCTCAGGGGATATCGCAGTGTCCACAAAGAACGAAAGCGCGCCGAAATTGGTGATGAGCACGCCATAGATCCAGGCGATGTTGAAGACGGCGTTGAGTGTGTCTGCCAAGAAGAGGATGAAGACCTGACGGTTCGGTGAGAGGCTCGAACACAGTACACAGAGCATGCGAGTACTCACGTAGGCCTTGATCCATGCCGGATCTCTGATGCCTTTGCGCGTCCAGCTGCGTTAAAATGCATCGAAGACGGTGCACTTACGTCTTATAGGTAGAGAAGTAAAAGAACGTCTGGGTGATCATAGCACCGTACAACCTGGAGCACATCAGGCTCTTGACGCAAATGCGATGTATTCGGGTGACGTACATGACATTGAGGAAGATGCCAATCAACGCGGGACCCTCACTGGGGGGCGAGACTGCATCAGCGTACTGCACAGCGCAAGGCGGTTCCGCACTCACGCAGCTTGTGCGAGCTGTTCTGCGGAAGTCGACATCTTGTGCCACTGAGGTGAGGACTAGCCAGGGGGCGGCAACAGTCAGGACCAAGTCGCGAGCTGCAGTGCACCGTCGTTTATAACACGAGCAACCAATTCGCCAGGTAACCGGTCGAGTAGATACCTCCCGGAACCCGCGAAGGTCGCGTCGGACCGTGATTCTACGGTATGAAGGAGGGAGAAAATTGGGCCCGCGCAGCTCCCCATACTAACGCGACGGCGAGCCGCCGCAACATTGAATTTGTCGACGCCCACAACATCTCATTCCAGTGGACAGACCGTTGATCCGGATACGGTAGCGCGGTAGAAAGTTGAGCTCGGGGCAAGTTCGGGGAGGGGTTCGACGCTGAAACCGCTCCGGGGCTGCCGTCGGGAAAGGCGGCCAATCCTTCTAATAACGATCTGATCCTCGGAGTCAAATTGGACTGATGCAGGAGAAGAGCCCCATCGGTGAAGCAAATTCGGAAAACGTCGAGTCTCGACCCTTGACCGAACTGACAGTGAGCTGCTCAGTGCAAGCTCAAGAACAAGAGAGAAGCGGCGTCGTCATTGCATACTCAGCCTGAAATATACCCTTCGACCCAGGTCACATATTCAAGATGATGAGTCTTACCGTGACGGTGACTGCACGACCCATTGGCAAGTAACATCCGCGCGAACACCACGGATGCTATCGATCTTGAGATTACAGTCAGTTCGCAACGGCCTGACAGGTTGTTGATTGCCTGCTCACCTAGTCACGTCCGAGGATGCATTGTGCTGATAGAGTAGTTGGTGACATACTTACGTTGCTCCAGTGACGCGGGGGCAGCAGCACGACCTAGCGCGACGTTCTCGTAGAGCCTACATAGAGCTCGAGAGACCAAGAAGGCCGACCCTTCCCCCACCTCGCCCGGGCTGTTGGGTGGCGGGTTGACGGCAGCATCTGAAAGCGGATCTAGGGCGCCTAACGGGATCTGGGGCAGGAACCCGATCGTGATCTACGGTCTTGTCCCGCACACCCCGCTCCTCCTCCTCGCCCTCCTCCTCTTGTCCTCCTCACCCCAGATCCTCTCGAAAGTGGCATCCTGAAGAGGTTCAAACTGCCCACAGTAATATCCAATACTCCGTATCGTCAGAAAAGATGAACGCTCTACCGATATAGCCCAGAGACATGGGTGACACTTGATCGGAATTCACTTGTGCCAACGACCTTCGCGACGGCAACCACGCAAACCATGCAGTTCATGATACATGGAGTGTCGCTCAGGGGCGTTATTTGCATGTGATTCTGTGGTAGAGCAATGGCAGGGCTGCCTAAGCAATCAGTCTGACGTATGTTTCGCCGTCCACCTCACAGACATCCAGGTGCAACGTTCGACAGAGGTCGCGGAGACGGCCCAATGCGCGGGGCTATCGATGGCGTTTACGATGTAGACGGAACCAAACTATGAACCTCGCGTAGCGTGGGCCTTCACTTGGCCTTCACTGACGGCAGACAGTGCAGTCGAGTTGGAGTCTGGAACTGCGGGCAGTTGATGGGTACGTTTCTCATGTGCCTGTCACCGATACATATGCCACTGATCTCGACCTAACGACTGCAGGTCGTTACGACAGTTCGACAGCCCATCTGCTTCTTCACTAGAAGTCGAGACGCGCGTGCGCTATCGGCCGGTGGCTAAATGGACCCCCCTCCTCCTCCTCACTTCTCTACTTGAGTATTGACGGCTTGACCTGGCTGGGCGGGTTGTTCCTGTCATGTGTTTGAGTACGGTTGGATGCATGATTTGTAGTTGGTCGGCGAGGAAGTCCTTTCTGCTGCCCATCACGCTCGAATGCGGTAGACTGTGAACTCCGTGAATGCAGGTACTACATCCTTTGTCCCTTATGTACATAGGGCTGATGCTGTTACCCAGCAGAGCCTCGCTGAAACCATGGCTGCGACGTACTCAGGGTGAGTGAGTAAAACCGCGTCTCGCCCCAAGCACTGGCGTCATAGTGATGGCTCACTCATCATTTGCGATGATCACACAGGTGCTACGGTTCTACAAGTTGGTCATCCAAGTCCTTGAGTGAGTGATTGTGCATGGTAAGTCGGTGTCTTACCCTATGAACATTGATGTCTACGTCTTCGCAGTCACAGATTTAGTCGCGCATGGGAAATGTAGCGCGATATGACCTGAATACCACTAGCAGCTGTCGTCTGCAGCACGTGGACCATTTTTACTTGACCAACACGATTCTGATGAGCGGGGACAATGGGTTGAGCGGCCCTACCTCCGCTGCAACCTATGACGACAGGTATGACATGATGTATGTCACTACTAATCATTTCAACTCACGAGCTCGAACTCTACTGCATCTCATTCTTACCCGTGATGGAGATCCCAACATCGTTGTGGACGGACAGGTAAGTTGAGCCATTCTTGCACGTATACCTATGTATCGATCGCTAATCCGGCTCTTACCTCCCTTCCGCGGGAATGGCCAGGACGTTTCAAGCTTGTCCACCAACGGCTTCTCATCGCGGCCCTCCGCTCTTGGGAATGGACTGTTGCGCTCCGCGAGATTTTCCGTGTGCTGCAGCCCGGTGGATGGGTGCAGCTCGGTGAGGTCGGCCCCTGGAAGGCAGGCCCTTTTTAGCGGGTACGCCTCTTCACTTAGCATGATTCTGAGGACGCTGACTGCGGACCTGTCGAAGTTGGGTTCTGAGGTCGTTTCTTTGTCTCACGGAGCTGCCTTCGCAGATAGCAAGTCGTGCATACGTCAGCCTGATTGTATCTTCGTTTCTTGCTGTTCGCGGATATACCTAGCTCGAATCTAGACCTCTGTCTGCACAAATGAGCTATAGCTCCGCGCTTGCTTGCCCATTCATTCCACTACTAAGTATTGTACTGCTGTGACGCATCGGCCCTGTCCTCCGCGTCTGATCTGCAGCGTATCGTATGATTTCCGATCCGCACTAAAGGAGAGAAGCAGTGATTGTCCAGTAAGATGGGCAAAGATATCGGATGCTCTTGTCTCTCCGGGTTACGCGGCTGCGCGTGCTGCACCCCATACGGCGAACGGCGCGACTTCACCATCACTCGTAACCAATCCGAAACCAGTCCTGGACTCTTGCATATATGCCTAACAAACCGTCATGGCGAGCCATGACCGGTTGACCGACGACGTATGCCGTTGGCTATACCCTTGAAGTGTTAGTTTGGACCCCTCTACTGACGACTCCTTCGGGGTTTTGATCGGATGCGATAGATTGCACGTACGTCTTACTTACAGAACGCCAGTATGGTACATGGAAGGCTGCCCGCAGTTCCTCCGCAATGCCGGATGTGGGGTTGTGCTTGTTACATAGACACAGAAGAGGATGAATCGGTCTTGAGCTCCCAAGCATTGGTTCACGCTGCTTTGAGGATGTCCGCGACTGGAAGACACACGTGAGGGACTGGACACAACGTCAGGCAGGACAGGCACTTACGCTTCTCGCCAACGTAGTAGGCAGCGGATTGAGTATGAGATGCGAAGTGGAGAGGAAGAATCGAGAGGTCAGCGACGCGCACGTTCGTCGTGCCATATACCTGTTTCTGGCTGAACATAGGAATACGACTACATACTGTGAACGACAGACCTTCAGGTTAGGGTCAACGACGCCGTTCTTGTCGCGGGGCAGCATGCTGTTGCTGCCAATGGCATGCCAGCACGTGTGGGCGTAGTGCTTCAGGTACTCTATGCAAACAGAGTATGGCGCTCAGTCGCGGTGCAGGGATAAATGTGTGGTTATCATACCTTTGATCTCCTCGTCGGTGGAGTGTTCCTTGCCAGGGTCGACTTCGCGAACGATGAGAGACTTGAAGGGCTCAGTCTCGGACATGCGCTTCGTGTATTTGACGCTCTCCTTCAGCATCTCGAGGTCTATACGGGGTTATCGCTACGGTGCTTCTAGGAGAGAAGCACTCCGCACCATAAGGGTTCTCGAAGAGGGCCGGTTCGATTTCAGGTTGCTCCAACGGATCACTGGATTTTGTGTGCTGTAAAGATGCCCGTCAGTAGGACTGCACTGATGTGATGTTCAATTGTCCAGTGTGTACGCACAATGCTTCCCCTGTGCAGAACGGCACGTCAGCTTGTCCTAAGCGATATCAAGATAGGACTGACCTCGAGAATGGATGCTGAAGGACAGCGAGGATGGTAATCTGTAGAGCCATGTCAGCATGCTGCTCTTGGTCTCCCAACGGAAAGCTAGTCTAAGCATACATAAGCCTTGCCATCTTCCGGGGCCGCTGCATGGCAAGTTTCAAGATAAGCCTAGATTCCCCGAGGAACGAATCACTTACACCGGTGACTCATGTAGCAGTGAACATCAATGACCTCCAGATCCGGTATGTGCGCGTCCTGGAGGATGCGCAGCTGTATCTTGTACTGCTCCGCTAGCCCAGGAGGAAGCTTGCCGCTCTTGATTTGCTCCTCGATCATCTTCGTCGCACCCGCGACGATCTCGGGCGCCCCATTGGGGTTCATCACCTGTATCGGTAGGAAGGAGTACGCTGAGATGCCGTAGCGGTGCAAGTTATGAACGCCTTCTTTCCTGCGAACGTGGAGGACGATCAGCAAGGCTGGGGTATGATAGCCGTATCAGACGTACTGGAGCTTCGCCTGCTCTTCTGCAAGCTTGGCGTTACGAAGGACATCAAATGTCTTGTGATCGCCTTTCGGGTCGAGCTCATAGGAGATACCTAGCAGAAGGGAGCGAATCATTATTGCGTAGGTGGCTTGACGATGGACAGCGATCTTACCGCAGAGGGTATGGTCCTGGACATTTTCGCCGACGCCCGGGAGGTCCACCTTGACAGGGATGCCAGCCTTCTCAAGCACATCGCGACGGCCGATACCGGAGAGCTCGAGTATGTGGGGCGATTTGATCGTCCTGGCGAATGTGAGTCAAGAATTCTCGCGAGTAAGTCTCGGCCATCATACCCCGCAGACACGACCACCTCCTTGTTAACCTTCACGCTGTACGTCTTTCCGCCGTGGATGAACTCCACACCAGTTGCAGTGATGTTGTCGCCGGATTTGGCATCCAGGAGAATCCGCGCGACGTGCGCCTCAGTCAAGACCTATTAGAGAGGTCACACATGGTCAGATGGCACGAACGTCGGACCTCCGAAATGAGTGCTCACCGTGAAGTTCGGCTTGTCCTTGTTGGGCAAATAGTGCACAGTCGCAGCGTACGAGCGCGTCCATTGCGCCTTTCGGTCCAGGCTGACTGCCGCCTGCCAGCACCCAGTGATCTACGCGTGGGAGCACAGAGAATGATTAACCTGTCACCCTCAGAGGCACCGTTGACACTTACATTGCCACCGTACGGATCGTCGAGAAGCGGCACACCCATGTTCTGAAGCGTGTCCAAGAAGCCCTTCGTGAGCGAGACCTCCGTCGCGGGGACCGTTGTCTTGAGCGCGCCGCCCTTCCCGCGGTACTCGGCCTTGTACGTATGGGCGAGCTGCTTGAGTTGGTCTTCCGTCGCCTCCGAGAAGCTACAGAGCACCCAATTGAGGAGCGAACAGAGACAGTGGAACTGCGTACGTACTCTTCGGTGCGCATCGTCAGTTCCTGATACGACTTCCAGTTCCACCCAGGGTTACCAAGTTCTTCGATGGCATCAACGGCTTGCTTCGGCGGCTTCGTCCAAACGTAGAAGTTCATCGCAGAGCTTCCGCCTACACACATTTTTTTTTTCCTTTCAGACGACAACTCAAGTGACGCCTTCGTGCAAGAGCCACTCACCGAGACCCTTTCCGCGATTCCAAGTCATCACCTTGCCATATGCGTTCTCCTGTGGCTTCGTCGTGAAAATCCAGTCATACTGTGAAGACGCGTTAGCTGAGCGCAAGGAATTCTGGTCGGAATCAAATGACCTTGGGATCTCCAAACGTGCCCCCGAATTGGCCTCCAAGCAGAATCTTTGGGTCGTCGAGGTTCGGCTCGCCCGCTTCCAAGACGAGAACGGAACGGTCCGGGAAGCTCTCTACAAGACGAGAGGCTGCGGTCAGTCCTGCAGTCTATCACCAATGGAGTCAGTGAGGATTCGGGAAGCAGCTCGATACGTAAGTCACTCACGCCACCACCAATAACGACGTAGTCGTATGCCTTGTCCGCGACAGTGTCAACGCTAGCCACCATTCTGCAAGGGTATGTTAGGAGTACGAAAGTTCTCGAGGACCCTAGATGAATGGTACGAAGACGTCGTCGTCTATATGTACGAGGTTCCCCATCCTTATCGTGCTGTCTGTCGTACAAGCGGGGTCGTTTACGGGACCTTCAGGCGACCAGCTGAGCGTGCCTGGAATCCCCGGCAAGATTTCTTTAGCCTGAGAAGACGACAGCATTCATATCCTGCTGTGGGTCCAGAAGATCTTCAATGGAATCCGATCTGTCAAGCGAGAAGACCCCGGATCTATACTACTGCTATGATGCGGCCGGGTGGTGAGCACATGTCTGACAGCGCATATCAGGGATCCAAGGATACCAAATACTTGTGAGAGATGTCGTCTGGGGCTTCTGGGCAGGTGTGGCTTGGGTGCGGCCTGGACGCAAATGATAGTAAGGATGTTTTCTAATGGTACGTAAGTAACCCGGACTCAGCGACTAGAAATATGGTAAAGCAGCGGTGAAAGTTGGCAGTTTGTCTTATTAGGCAGTACGCAAGAGTACGCATCGCTGTGTTTTCGGCGCTGAGCGTCCAGCGCCTAGTCGGCACAGTGGTGCACTCAATGTCATTGCGTAAGTTCGCTAAAGCTTACAAGGGCAATCAGGGATTCCACAGTGAGTGTGACCGCTTTGGCACTGCGAGACGTAGAGGTTTTAACGTGTACTGATTGAGACCGGAAGATGCTTCCTAAATGAAAGGGTCAATTGAATTCTGTCCTGCGACGTGAGAGCACAGAGAACCCCACGGGGCTACCGCGTCGCAAGCTCGCGTTTAGCGGCCTGGCTCTTGGGCATTCCGTCTCAGTGAGCATCCGCGAGAAGGTATCAAGCGCCCATACCCCCGCATCAGAGAGGGGCCCATGATGCCATGATGCCGCGCGGTGAGCATCCGCGACCGTTTCAACCATCACTCCTTCTTTTAGCTTCCGCTCAGATGCTGCAGGGACGACTGGCCCAGGACTGCCAGCCTCGATTGGCAACTTGAAAGGCGACCGCACATGCTTCATTGTTCTGGGGAGGCTCCGCACGTGGCCTAGCACTGTCACCGCACAAGCACGAGCAAACCAACCCCCGCTGTGGCGGAATCGGCTATCACACTGGAAGACGTACGCGTACATATGCCTCGTATGCCTGTGTCCGACAGCGCGGACACCCCAAAATGCCTTGTGCCTGTCTGTTCACGTAAATCCCGAAAAATATCCGACATACAGCATACTTACAACATAGCATCCTATCGACCTCAGTGCGCTCTCCGATCTCTTCGTGGGAGGAGTTGCAGGTTTACTGGACACGTACGCCGGCGTTCGACAAACTTCATGATCCTCCGTAGCGACTTCACCGCCGGACACGGTGCAGCATAGGTAGCTTCAGTCCTCCTCTCATGGTAAGTAAGTCGTGCACGACTCCGCATGGATGATGGCACTTGCTGTGCCATGGTGGATGTGGCGGCCCACTTACGTGGATAACATCCCCGTGACTGGTACGGCATACGCCGTGGCCTGGCAGCCGATCCGTGACGCGTGAGGGTGCGGCTTGCTGCCAGTTGCTGTCACGTCTGATAGATCATGATCAGCTGCCAGCATCCCAATATCGTCCCAGTGGGGACGAAGCGAGCTCCCCAGGCCTACATAGTGTCCAATCGCCACTCTGCCCAGGGACGGCTGCTGCGGGGAGCGACGATTGGCCTAGCCTACCGTATTTACGGCAACTGGCGGAGACGCTTGTTCAAGTGCTGGCGTTGAGAAGACACGATGCGTCTTAGCGCGTCACATCCGACGCGGCGCCGGCATCAGAATTGATTCCTAGTTACCCTGAGCGCTGAGCGTTCAAGGGTATGGCCTAGCAACGCCGCAATAAGTAGCCGAATATGCTACCTACCAATCGCACTTCGTAAGTAGCTCCCTCGTCGTGGTGGCCAGTCGCGCAGAAGCCCGTCATCTGGTAAGGCTGTGAACGCATCGACACACGAACTCAATTCCATCGAGAACGGGAGGATCCCTTTCCGGCTGAGGCAATTCACTTAAAGCATCTCGGCGAATGGGATACAAGCTCGGTCTATTCGCTCCTTTCTCCACCATCCGGCATGGCGACTCCAGCAGAGAAACTTGCTGAGACTACGTACGCGCATGTCTTCATTGTTCTTCACTGGGCGTTCTGACTTATTTTTCTGTTGTGCAGGGAAGGCCCTGCCCTTGTGGGGGTCTTCATGAACCTTACGTTCGGCGTTTACTCGTAATTATCGAGCTCTGCTCACGTATGTTCTAGTCTGTATGGAGTAATGATCTCGCAATCGGTCTTTTACTATACGAACTATCCAAAGTATGTTTTGGACGTTTCTATTGAACCTCGCTGCTGACGTATCCACCGACAGGGATCCAACGTGGATCAAGGCCTACGTAGATCACTCGTACACGACGCTTTTCCTGCCTAACATTAGCACCCGATTTCATAGGTCGCTTTACTCGTAACAGCGGATACTCTCAATGCGGTCTTCATCTGCGTCTGGATCTATCGGGTCTTGATCAACAACTTTGGTAGGTCTTTTTCCGTAGCAGCTGCTAAGTGGTACTGAGTGCTACTTTGTGTTGCAGGTAATCAGGCAGCGCTTGGAATAGGCGACTGGTGTAAGTTCTGAATTGTGCCACATGTATTGAGCGTGGCGCTGACGTCCTTACCTGTCTTCAGTGTTCGAAACAGGTGAGCGAATTTACACTAGCAAATCGGATGATAACAACGGGCCGAACGATCTACATAGAGCAGGCCTTGACGGTCAGTTAGGCAACGTCATGACTGACACTTGAGCTCACCTAGACTGATTGCGCAGGGCATCATCTCCTTTCAAGTCCAGATGTTCTACGCTTGGCGCATCTGGAAGCTGGTCGGGAACCGGTGGCTCGTTGCTGTCGTTGCGATTACAGCAACCATCGGCGGCCGTGAGTCCATTTCGGTCTTCTCTAGAAGTCTCTTGCTCAATGACGCCGCCATCTTTCTGTCTGTAGTGTCCGGTATTGGTACCGCGATCGCGATCGGAATACGACCAGAGTTCCTCGGACTCATTCACCTCAAGGTACGTCCGACGGCATTTCTACATTGCTTCCGAGGACTTACTTGCGTGTAGTCGATCATCATCTGTTGGCTCCTGGGAGAAGGGATCAGTGACATCATCATCACAGTTGTTCTCACCTGGTACCTCGTGCGTGTAACCCGGTTTTCCACAGAAGTCTGGACCAGACTAACGTTTACCACCTGCAGCGCAGGCATCTGGGCGGCTACTCGAAGACGGACGGCATTGTGACAAAGGTCATGCACCGTAAGTGTCTTCAAAGAACGGCAGGATGCGGCTCACGAAATGCACCATTTGGAAGTTATCGTGTCGAATGGTGCGCTGACGGCTACCTTCGCCATCGGTGACCTGATTTGCTACTTTGCCACGGTACGTGTTTCCCGATGTAAGAGTCTACGGCCACGAACTCAATTGTCTATAGGATGAGGCCTACCATCTGAGTCCGTGAACTTTTTACTGTTTATCTGCTGCTCTAACGTTACTGCAGTCTTCAATTTCCCCCTGTGCAAGCTGTATGTCCTTCTCTCTGAAAGGCTGTGGCGGACAAACGTGTCGTTAACAAACCTGATCTATTAGGTACGGCAACTCGGTGATGTCGACTCTGAACGCCAGGGCCATCTTCATGACTTCGTCGAAGGACGCTGCCTCTGCGTATCAGAGTGACCCTCCAATCAGGTTCAATCAAAGCGGAAGGGTTCGTCACACACTCGCGTCGTATTCATTGTCTCTTTGTCTAACGTTGCTACGCAAATTCAGCCGGACATCACTGGCATTCTTGCGACCTCGGTAGACAAGACGCGTGCCAATCAGACACAGGTATGCGTATACCCTCTTGTTCAATTTGTCGTCACGATCACGGCTGATGAACGTGACAGATCATGGTCAACGTGGAGACGCATGAGATGTCCGACATCCAGGGACAGGAGCACAATCCGGACGACATCAAGGCTGGTATGGTTGTGTAGAGACTCCGAGCGCGAATAGATCCACTCCTTTGTTAGACCCCGTATGCTTCACAATCCGGAGTGTATATGGCCTCGCCCCCACAGGTTGCCTGATATGTCGGAGCCGAAGGGAAGACGTCACTGTTTGTGTTCTTTATGGTAGTAGATGCCTGATCCTTTCCAGCTCAATGTTACTATAGACGACTAGGATACGACACGTAATGATCAACTGATGTGCATACCAGCGACGCGATATATCATACACTTAATCTCTCGATCATTTCCCGTGCGTTTGTGACTGGCATGGCGTCGTGTGAGCGTACGTAGTGTAGAATCGTCACAATCCGATCGGTACGTCGTATTGTTGCCGCCGGGTCCTCTGGCTTCGCTCTGAGATCTCAGTACTCAGTGCTCACAGAGCTTTGTTACTCTAAGCGGAGCGAGGCACGAGCGTCTCGTAGTCTACGCACGCAGGTGGAAATTAAGCGCACATTGACCTGTTCTGCGCGCCCACTCGGACATTGAGCTCACCAGGTTGATAACAGCAAAGCAGAAAGACTTCTGCTACATTCTGATATCACTAGCACTCAGAAATTGACCACGCGCCCCGTATTCGCGAATTTATCACCTAACTCGAGCGGACAAAAGGAGTGACACATACTTGATGCTAAGTACATTGATAGAGCTCGGTGAATAGGACAGCAAGCATCGCCCCTCTATCTTGCATCGATAGCAAGTCAAAGAACCCAATCGGACGGCGCATACGACACATACTACCCTAACAGTCCTTTACGCGAGCAACCCAAAGAAAAGACGACAACGATAGATAGGGATCTACCACATTGGTATCAGCCGTCCGTCTAAACCTGGCCGCCATCAGACCGACTCTCCTCCAGTACGGGTTTCCCATCGTCACTGATGATTTCCTTTGTCGTGGTCAACTTAATGACAGCCTGCGGGGCCAAGTTCTTGTAACGACTCGCTCTGTTGAGTTAGACCCTGCATCAGTCGTCAAGTTTCACTCAAGTGTAGCTGACGACTGGCCTATGCCACGAGGTCTTCGCATCTTGCTGTGTCTGTCTGGACAAGCTGTCGAGAGGGATCTCTTGCGCTGATATAGCGCCCGCGGAGGCTGCAGAAGAGCCTTTTTGTCTCAGGTGATGGCGTGCATTGAAACTGCAAGGAAATGTTAGCGCGACCGAGTCAAGACGTTGAGATAGCACCGACATCGCCAGCAGCGAGTTGACATAAGCTAGAGGTGACGGGAGTAGGCGATCAGCAATAGCTCGCACTAATGTATGCCTCGATATAGCGCACCTTTACCCCCGACGAAATGGAAGATAGCCCAAACGAACGTTGTATCCGGAAGAGAAACGTACTGTTCAAAGATCGGTCAGCCCGACGTTTGAATCACCACTATGGTAAGCCCGTACAGTGATGAGCTGGCCTATCTGTAGCGCACTGAGAGACCGGGGTGTGAGCACAAGCGGTTGATGCATGGGTTATGTGCAGCTCACGTCGTCAAGACACCACGGTTGATTGCGTACGTGGTCAGCTTCCGTATCAGATTCTCTGTGCTGTAACACCCTCAGCCATTGATCTTCGAATAAGTTGAACAATGTACATACTGCTTGAAACCGGTCCTCTCCCCACGTAGAATGAGTGTCAGTGACGTCGTGATGTAGATATCCGCCACGGACGCAGATACAGTCTGGAGAGAGGCAGGAATCTACAGGCAACGACGTAACGGTGAGAACAGCACAATAACCCTGAACATGAGGGGAGAATCTACCTTAGTCTCGATGAAGATGCCTGGAACGGTTCGGTCGATATTCCTACTCATTGCACGTCAATTAAATATAATGGAACGCGAGGACTGTCGCACCCCATGTATACACTGGCTGAAATTAAGATGTTAGTAACACGGCGCAATACCACGATACCGAAACATTCGCACCAAGACTACACGCTGTCGAAGAGGTGATGGTCAGCAGTTCAGGGGCTGAAACATCAGACTGAGTCCTGGACTCACCGCAAGAAATAAGTACCAGTATCAACTAGTCAAATCAGTGAGTCGAAGGCAGCAGAGTTCTGTGCCAACCCACGTACAGAAACGATAGTAAGCGGTAGCCTGTACCAACGTTCATGGAGAACTGTACCCGTTTGTCAGAGTTCGTTGATCCGAGGGCCCAGGTATGTACTTACATTGCCAGACGTTCCGCATATAGTAGCTGGAGGATTGGTATCAGTAAAGGTACGCAATTGCTTACTCAGATTGCTTACCACTGTACGAGAAGAACTGTGACAGCCTTCGCAGAGCCTCAGTTCCACTTTTCGGCGTCATATCAAACGGTTGACTTACAGAAAGAGCGTATTCCACCTTCGCAATCATGCATGAGGAGGACAGTCGTGTCACTAATCACAGGTACGTACCAAGAACGCGCTATTGCGAGTGTCGGATGTCAAGCTAACTATCTCAAACACACTGGGAGACGTACTCGGTGAGGGTGAATAGGGCCACGGGATTACCGTGGCTGCCCACGATGTATCCCCATAGTACCTAGCGCACCCTTTCAACATGCGTACGGAGTGAACACCTAGAGAGAGAACTCACATCAAGATCGGCCATTGTTGTTCCCGTGTCGAGGATACTGACGGAGGCTTCAACTAATGAATAGGGTCCGAAAAAAGAAACACAAACAATAGCAGAGCGACCTAGCAAGCCAGCTCAGTATCTGCCGTTGACAGACGTGCCAAATACGTACCATGCTCTTCATCCACCACGTATCCGTCCGGTACTCCCACACGTAGAACAGCACTTGCGCGCATGTTACTCCGTAAAAACTACGTTCGGCATGTATGGTCAGAAAGCACTGACATCGCCATGTCGCAAAGGAAGCACTCAACATTACGGATAACAGTATACCGATGAAGAAACATCCGATACTAGGGTCAAGGTGGAGGTTGGGACCTGTCATGAGTATCGAGCAACGACAGACGAGTTGAGGCCCTCGAGGAGTTCAGGCGTTTGTGCTCTGTTTTGAGAGCTCGAGTCGCTCTGTGCGGAAAGAATCCGCAATGCATCGGGCAAGAGAAGCCTGTCAGTCCTGCCGTCTACGCGTTCAATTTAGCGAAGACTCCGCCGGGACGGAGCGCTCCATGAAGAAGTTAAAGAAGGCGATGGCCCTGACTGAGATGTCCTTCAGTCGTAAGGGGGATCGCTGCTACATCTGATCTTTAGCTGCGTCGGGACAGTACTTGGGATGGGGCCGACGACCAAGCCGGTGAAACTCGCTTTCCCAGGTCCGTGTGCAGTCGAGGATCCATCTCCGTCAATTGCGCCGTTATGGGAGCGGCCGCTGAAGCGGACATTCCCGCGGAATATGGACCAAGAAGGTGTTTGAGGCCTTGCCGATGACTTGTGCCATCGTGGTCCTCCTCCTGTTCTCTGATGAGTCAAAAATTTCGCCGTTTACGAAGAAGCCTGTCGAAGCCGAGTTGATCTTCAGCTACCAGTAGCTCCGCGACATATCGCCTTCCAGTGCGACGGACATTGGAAAAGCTCCCGTGAAGATGTGTACATGGACTCATTCGCGCAACGTAAAACGCACCCGACGGACATTGTTGAGAGAACGGCAGCGGCTCAGACCATATACTGATGTGACAGGAAGAGGAGGAAGCCGCACTTTGATTTCGCGATCGCGCGCGGCGCGCGGGAGCGATCCGTCCATCACACGATCACGTGACAGACGCGCTTTTCGCGTTCTGGCGTCGTTCTCTTCACGGCCAGTCGCGTCTCGACCCTCGACGTGTCATTTACCTGCTTATGTTATTTTTCAGGAGCCTTAATGGATGAATGGCCTACACTAATCTTAATTGTGCGAGGGGCCATTTGGCCATCACCATCCCAACGTTGTGCCAGAACTCGGTGGGTCTGAACTCATCCCACGGCCCGACTCATCATATGCATCACACTTCTGACTCGCCTATAGTATATGCTCTATCACAATCTGACAGTCTGTCTCGGCGCTCGCCGCGTCTGGGTCCTGACAGTCTGGCAGGTCATCGTCCGTAACGGTGTTGTAGCAGTCCCGGCTGCTGGTTATGTACCCGCATGAGCCGTCCGTCTTCGTTGAGGCACTAGGGTCATGGCGGTTCGTCATGTCAGAGCCCAGCGAAAGCACTTGGATGCATGGCTCCTGGCTTCGTAATAGCTCGCTTGGGGCACCATTCATTGCAAGGCCTGATCATACTCAACATAACCCGCATCACCTTTGACCACGGTCGGGCTTGTCTTGGCTGCCACGACGATTCGGCGCTCAAATGTACGAACTTCGGTCGAATGGCTTCGCGGGCATCCGCAACCGGCGGGCCCGGCTGTGGTCTCGTACCCCTCCGTGTGTACGAGACCAGCGCGGCTGCTGCTAGCTTGTCCCTGAAGTGTACATGGATGACCGGTAGCCCACCGAACGCCTTGGTCCGATATCAACGGTAAGCTGTGTCCGCATCATCCAGGGCGCTCGGCATGCCAGCTCACACCGCGCACGAAACACCCCCGTTCAATTGTTTCTGTCTATTAGTGGTCAGATCATCACGTTGTGGTGGTCTTAAGCAGAGAGCGCAAACCGTGGCGACGAGGGCGCGTTTCTCTCCGGGAACAATGCTTTCTGGCGTCCGTCTGTTCGTTGATTCTTGGAGACGGGAGACGAAGGAGGGCGGGCTGGTACGACACCAATTATGTGCGTAGCTCAGACGTTCAAATTCGAGAAGTAACCCTCTGCGAGTCTGTGTCGTGTTGTCTTCCCATGGTATTCAACTGTGAGATGACATGTGAACGGGTTGAGCAAGTTCGCCGCCGGCCACACCGTGCACGGGGAGCACGATTCATGAGGCGTATGGCCTCAGGACTGCTCTCGAAGGAGACCTACGTTGTCAAATCCAACACGTCAGTCATCCTGCAACGCTCATCAGGACCCAGACCACAGACCTCATTGAACTCTGAACAGGCCTTGTGTCAATGCCCGGCCTGGTCAACAATCTCAAACTGTACTGCGCAGTGCGCGCCGCCGAACACCAAGCTCGTCCGTGGGAATTCTGGCGCCACACGTCGGTGTGTGGCCAAAATAGGAAAGCGATCGCGCCCTGCCTCCTGCTAGTCGCGCCGCCGAGTTGTCAGTACTAAGTGTTCATGTTCAAGGCCCTCTAAAAGCTCACCGTAGCATGGGGCTTGAGAGCGTCAACTCCGCGGTGTGGTCGGAAAGATGGAGATGCCGACTCGGCCGTGACCTGTGCCCGCATCACAATACGGCGCTCGGCACACCTCCATATCCTGGGCACGAAACACATTCCTACAACGGTTCCCGTCGATTAGTGGTCAGATCATCACGTTGTGGTGCTCTCAAAATGAGAGTACAGAACCGTGGAGACGAGGGCTCGACTCCCTCCGGGAACATCGTATTTTGCTTCGACTTGAAAGTAGTAAGTACAGCAGTGGGCACTCAGCCTAGATCATGTCAGAAGAACAACTCTGATAATATATAGGGAGCCCGTCGCTGCCTCGCTGCCATAATAAGTATGCAGCCCCGTGTCGTCACCATTTATATGGCATCGGCGCGAGTAACGCAAGCTGACACGACTTGGTCGGAAGGAGGAGGGGAAGGAGGGTGCATCTAGCCAACGACCGATAACGCGAATGTGAGAGCGCAGCGCTCTGCTGAACCCAGCGGACCTGTATGCTGATGAACATTACGACATCTGAGCTTCCGCGCACTCTACAACATCAGGAGCAATATCAATATCTTAGCGAAGAGGTAGTAGGAAGCGCACCTTTGGGCGACCCGCAGTTGGAGATTCAGTACTGCTCCCTGTCGCTTTGGGATTACATACTCGATGGGCACTCGTCGTATCTTCGAGCCTATTCCGCGCCAACAGAGGCCCTGCGTTTGTCAGGGGTAGAAACTGAAAGGACAGAGAACCAAGAGTGAACACGATTACTGCGATGCGTTGGCTGACTCCTACGCATGAAATGGTATATCAGGTTAGGGTTTAGACGCTCGGGTTAGGGAAACGGGTCTCTGGAACACGAGCAAGTGCGTGGGGCAGGCAGGGGGGGGAACTATCGACGGCAGGCAGCCTCGTTGTTCAGGAGGAGTGAAGAGGAAGCGGGAAGGATAGCAACGCGAAGGTGAAAGAGCCACAGTGACAATGGGCGGACATACGCCTGTTTTCCGAAGCTGAAGACATGCAATATGTGAGCATAGGTCCCAGTTAATTATTATGTGGGGGATCATAGCGAGAACAAGACAGATCATGACATTTCGTTCGCCGAGGCAAGGCTCTGCGGATCGCGGTAGAAACCGTGGACACGTGGATCTGGTACGCAGTGAGCAAGGAAGTAACAACAAGCACGGGGAAGATGACATACGCACAAGTTACAACGGTCCCCACTCGTCACCTATCCCCTGACGTTCTGTTTGGACAGTCCTCGGGTGCTTCCAGTGCTGGCTGTACGCATGCAGGATATCTTCATTCATTCTTGGGCGAGCTCTGACAGGCCGGCCACATCATACTATACATCGCGTCTGCCTCGTTTCCTGGTACGTATCCTGGAGTAGAAGGCGCGGGAGATCCTAGACATAGCACGCCAGGAAGCAGGGAAAGTGCATCGGGGTGACCAAGTCGACGTCGCCGCAAGCGTGGTGGCCTCAAGTCCTGTTCACAGCCGTCATGTAAAAGGAGACCGCACGTCGTGCAAAGGACAGTCTTTGGGGAACGCCCAGTAGTTGTCGAGGATAGTCATCTAGGCCACAGAGACGTACATGGCAAACAGTAGGGAAACAGTAGAACATGTCAGTGAGCGTCCGGAGTTGGGTCGGCGTCCGCTGTACTGCGTGGGCGCGGCGCTCGGCCGCCCTCGGGTCGCCCGATTCGGATCTCCGAGTCTTTGCCTCGTCCAACTATCGCACGTGCGCCTACGGCCGGTGGCTGAATATGGTCCCTCCTCCTCGTCCAGAGAATTGGTCTTCTGGTGTGTATGAACGGCTATCCCTGAACTGCATGTCTCCAGGATAAAATTACGCTGTGACCCTCTATGAATTGTATCTCTTGGGTTCCTTAGGAACTCTGGCCAAAAGCGCTACCTGTCAGACGTACCGTCACGGTGTAGTACTACTAGTAGTAAGTATCAAGAAGGCCTGTCGGGTAATCAAGGCAGCAGGTCCATATTGGCAGGTGAGATTTGCTTTGTTTAAGCCGAATTATGGCTTGTCCAATCTGATTAGTTGAAGGAAGCTGTAACATGGATGTGACTCTTGCGAGAACATGAAGCCCGAAACACGCACTTTCGGGGAGGCAGAATTCCCGGACGTACGTTCTCAGGTCAGCATGCCCTGCTCCATCTCTCGCACAGAGTATTGCGTCTCTTCGTGAAGGTGAGCTTCACGCTTGGTGACGATACATCAATCTTATGAGCGCAAACACTCACACCGCCTTCAAAACTAACAGAGCGTTCGTATGTTCTCCCAATCAGTCCAAGCCCCCTTGCTCCCCTGCACCTAGCAGCTTGACGAGGCAATGTGATTCCCCTTCATCCCGCTCTTCATAGTCGGCCAAGAGCAGCGCTCAAGCACGCACTCCTCCTTTGAGGTGCGGAACCCCTTCTCCAATCACCTGGTCGGCCGCGCCGCCTCGAGCGCAGACTGCCTCGCAGCCACGATAGATGTAGTCTTGCGCGCTTCCCTGCATGGGAGAAAACCCCGCCGACCGCGCGCGCCGCCATCGTCCTCAAGGCTGCGGACCTCTCAGCCTCCGCCGAGTACACTGAGAAGCTCGCAGCGGCGCTGAAGGCCGAACTCGTCGCACCAGATTTTGTCCTTGCGCGTGATCCCAAGGGCTCCGTCGCGTCCGCGCGTGAATACGCTACGGCGATTGTGCAACTGAAGAGCGAGCCGCCGTCCCGAGTGCCCGGCCGCAGCGCGAGTGTGGTCGTTCAACGGCGCGCGATGGGTGTGATGTAAGTGACATATCCGTCATTCCGGCTGAGGAGATGCTGAATGGGCTTCGCGCACACGTAGCTTTGTGATCTCCTTGGAACGTGTCGTATCTTCCCGATGCTCTGCGGCAATACCGTCGTCCTGAATAGCCGCGAAACTACACCCCGTTCGCAAGCCCTAGCTGTGGCGCTCCGGTATAAGGTGTGTGATGTTCCTCACGCACCGGATGAAACTTTCGATCCTTCAAGTGAAAGATCGATAAAATTGACAAAATCTTTTTCACGATATTTCGTATGAAAGATTGTCAATAAAAGTCAGAAACAATCAATTAATCATTCAGACTCGAAGTATCAGGAACAGATCACAGAAGGATTCATTGACAAGTGTCTTTGATCTGTTTGTGATCCTCTAGGCAAATGATTGAGAACATGATATTCAAAAATTCTTGAACACTATGTGGCTCAATTGTTCTGAAAGGATTGAAAACAGATTGTCACATGGGGTGTTACAATCTTTTCTCAATCTTTCAGGCTGTCACAATCTGTTTCAAATCCTTCCAGCTGTTGATATCTTGGTGAGATTGGAAACAATTTGTATCCCAGGGGTTCAAAACAATTTGCCCAAAAGGATTGACAAGAGATTGTGACACTAGCTGTGACACTGTGCCACTTCCCTATGACAGAGCAGTGAAGGCAAATATGCCAAACCTATGATAAGCTGCCTTCTGCTGGTATGCTCAGTCAATTTTGGTCCCTCTTTCATTGCATCTGGACATGCACAGGTCTGGGACATGTTCATTAGTCATACAATGAGATGCACGTCTCTAGGAATGTACAATCACAAGTACAACCCTGTACACTGAGTGCATCTAATGAGACTCATGTGATGGCAGGCAATGAATGAGGGACCAAAAATGACTGAGCATACCAGCAGAAGGCAGCTTATCATAGGTTTGGCATAATTGCCTTCACTGCTCTGTCATAGGGAAGTGGCACAGTGTCACAGCTAGTGTCACAATCTCTTGTCAATCCTTTTGGGCAAATTGTTTTGAACCCCTGGGATACAAATTGTTTCCAATCTCACCAAGATATCAACAGCTGGAAGGATTTGAAACAGATTGTGACAGCCTGAAAGATTGAGAAACGATTGTAACACCCCATGTGACAATCTGTTTTCAATCCTTTCAGAACAATTGAGCCACATAGTGTTCAAGAATTTTTGAATATCATGTTCTCAATCATTTGCCTAGAGGATCACAAACAGATCAAAGACACTTGTCAATGAATCCTTCTGTGATCTGTTCCTGATACTTCGAGTCTGAATGATTAATTGATTGTTTCTGACTTTTATTGACAATCTTTCATACGAAATATCGTGAAAAAGATTTTGTCAATTTTATCGATCTTTCACTTGAAGGATCGAAAGTTTCATCCGGTGACGTCTCCGGGCATGTATGTACCTATGAAAATTGCCGAGTAGGCAGGGCTGCCCAACGGCGTAGCCAACCTGTTTAGCATCTCCAAGTCTGATGCGCCCGTTCGTGTGGCTGAGGTTAACGCGCACCCCGTCGTCCAGAAGATCAACGTACGTGCTGAGCATTCGCATGACGATGATACGTAGGCATCTGAAACAACCGCCCACAGTTTCCAGGTGGTCTGAGGGTCGGGCGAGCCATAGCCCTCGAGATGGCCCGCCACAATCAAGCCATGCGTCCTCGAGCTCGGCGGGAAGTTCGCGGTCGTCGTACGTTTTCGAGTCGTACCGACTCTCCAGGGTCGGAACTGACGACTTCTGAGCAGGTTCCCAGTGGAGGTCGCGGACCTCGAGAGCGAAGCAAGGCCATCACGCACGGCACGCTTCTTAACTCGGGCCAGATCTGCATGTCGTCCGAGCACGTTATCATACAGCGCAGCGCGGCCTCAAGGCTCTCTCAAGCAATTCAAAGGCGGTTCGCCGAATTGAAGGCAGACGCGCTCGGGCATGCTTTGGGCTCGCTCTTTGTGGAGGCGTCGGGAGAGCATGTACTCTAGCTCATACGCGAGGCGGGGGACGCGGGAGCGGAGGTGCTCTTGGAAGATTTGAAGCGCCGGGTTGACGTGGTGCAGCCGTATATCGTCACGAGGGAGATGATGTTATAGAACGAGGAGCCGTTTGATCCTAGTCAGTGGTGAGCCTAGCAGTCGATGCGGCTGCGATAGCTTGGATACTGGCTGATGCAGTGTTAGTCGTCGTGCCAGTCGAGGTTGACAGCGTCGAAGAGTCAATCGAGAAAGCAAATGATAGCGAGTACACTCTGATCCGGGCCACTGGCCGCCTTGTGGACCGAGAACATTCACGATGTTCGAAGTTGCCCCGCGCTTCAGGGTAGGTGCGCATTTGACCCCCGTCGCGCCCCGCTGGGCAGTGATGACCGTTTGCGCAGGCGTCGTCAACATCAATGGTCAGAGCGTCGACTCATGAGTCCGGCGTACGGTTGGCTGGACTTGGGTCAGTTCTAGATCTGTCACGTCGGACGCGTAATCCCCGTTGCTAATGCTGTTGCGACAGGGGTCGATCAGGATATGGCAGATTCTCGGTGCAGGAGTTTACCGACACTTATTATTCATCCGGCGAAGCCTCTCATCCCGCAGTTGAAATGACCGGGCGCAGTAGCTTTGTCATGGAATCTACCTGTACGGGACTCACTTTTGACTCACTTGTGTGGCTATCAGTCGTGTGCGTTCGCTTACATCCCCGCTCCGTAGTGCCTTGCGCTCCACTGATATGAGTCACATCGCTATCGGACGCGATGCTCTCAGTTCCGAGTTGCGCGCTTTCGTACCTCGCCCCGGCCAGCCTGAGTCGGTCAAGTAACACAGGACCCCATTCCTAAGTGGGACGCGTTGCGTAGGGTGAAACCATACGCACCGTTGTACGTATAGATCGGCTGAGCGGGAGTACGACCGGCACCTGGAGGACGTCTGAGTGGGCGCTATCAGTGGTGTCTGTGAGCATTGCGAAGCCTTAGTTGTCTGCCAGACACGTCAAAAGTGAGCCACACCTCGAATTGATTGTCATATACTCAGACTATGAGTTGACCACATTCCTGGCAGACTACCGTGGTTACGTTGACTGCTTCAAGAGTCCGGAGGATGTCCGGCACCTGCACCACCTACGACCCGGCGTAACACGGCCAGGCTACTTTGTGGTGGTTCTCAACCTCCCGGTTGTGCGGCATGTTACGCTCAGACTGGATCACCGGGCTCCAGCGTGGGCCCGTGTCGATTCATAATGCCGACTCTGGATTTGATCAGTGCAGCACGGATCAGGCGGTTTGCGTCTGTTCCAGTTCGACGTCACTGACCATCGCCGTGGACCCCAACGAGCCCGTTGGCATGGACAAGGCCGCTTCTGGTCTCTCAAATTGATATGACACATGAGCTAGAGGCTCCTGCGATGCTGCACGACGGCCTACGACGGCAGGGTACCGGAGCTTGGCCCGAAAGATCGGTAGCCTCAGGGCCGTTAGGTTGGTAATTGGCACCGGCGTGAGCGTTTCATTGTCACGACCACGGCATAGAGTTGAGGCTTCAATCGTTGTGCGCCGTACAGAGCATATCTGTGAGCATCTCAATGTCATGAACGCATTCACCTGTGCCGTCTACTAAGTACCTTTGAAGTCTGTACTTATTGCATCACAACGATCATTTTGGTCACGGTTGTCACTCTCCGGCGACGTGGGTTCTGTATTATACCGGCCAACTTGACTGTTTACAGTGCGTTGCGTGTGTCCAACACGGCCCGTACTTTTAGCGTTTCAAAATTTCAACTTTGTTTGGAGGACCATCCCCGCCCACGCGTACTACTGCTGAGCGTCATCGTCATCATCGCATGCGCACACGTCCGATCACAGCCCCGTGGCCGTTTGTGCACGGGCCGCCTTCTCCCCCGCCCTGCACGTCCAACTTGAGGTTCCTCCAACTTCTTCTCACGCATGTGGGCTATCCCGATTCAGACGGGAGCGGGCCTCCACGAAGTGCTGCGAGTGCGCTTCCTGAGTTGCCGAGGTACTATGTCCCTGACGACGCCATGATGCGTATGAGCCCTTGATCGTCATACTAATATGGACCGCGTCGTAGCTCCCCACGGTGAGGCATCTGTGCGTCGCGGGAGGATGAGACTGTCGCTTTGTTAGTCCTGTAACGCCACGAGGACACTCGGCGAGGTGATGTGGTATAGTGAAAGAGCGGTGATTTTGGCATGACCCTGACGGTAGGTGACTCCAGCGGGCTTGGTCCGAGCCTTGTCGTCATAACGCGTGGACTGCGTTGCATATATAAACGGGGACTGCTTTTTGGACTCTGTGTACTGCCAGCTTCAGTTGCGCCGTATACTGACTGTGTCGAGCTTGACAAGATCTTGTGAGTACACAGCTTCACCTGTTAGCCTGGACGTGCTCGAGCGTATTCTGACTTTCTTTGAGTAGAACGCATTTATCGATGGCAATCTCCTCTGCACCTCCGCGCCGGTCATCTGTGGGCTCGCAAGCTCCGAAGACGACGTACGTTCCGAACCTGCAGCCAAAGTCCATCGCCGCCGTCTCCAAGCGCGCCGTCGTTATCCTCCTGCAGCGACTCCAGATCGACGTCCCTCAGTATACCCGGGACTCGGAACTCGAGCGCGACGCCGTCAATGTCATCCGCGAATGGGGCCCTGACGTTTCCGCGCGCCTGCGCAAGTACCTGCCTCCAGCGATCATCCTCACGACGACCTGCTACCGTCACATCGCCGACCATGACACGAAGCTGCTCATTGTGCTCTTCAGCGCGCTCGTCATTTCGCTGGACGACCCCGAGATTTTTGACGCGTCTGGGTGTCGCGACCTTCACAAGCGGCTGTGCAATGGCGAGTTCCACCGGGTCAGACGCGGAGGTGGCGGCGTACTCGGGATGCTCATGGACGTCTTGTCGGGGATGGACCACGCGTACCCTGCGTTCCCTTCCAGCGCCATCATCTCCGCGGTCCTCGGGTTCGTGAACGGGTGCGTGCTGGAACAGATGGAGCTGGACAGCACGGGCACCGCTGTTGCGCACTGCCTGGACGCGCTGCCGTTCCTCGCGTATCGCCGCAGCATGTCTGGTCTCGCCGACGCTTTTTCGTACTTCATTTGGACGAAGATGGACTATCCGGATGTGGCGCGGTATCTACAGGCAATCCCGTGAGTATCGTTTTCACATGGTACAACTCGATTGCGACTGACTCTATTGAAACAGGGACATCTCGTGCTTCCAGAACCACGCCAAGTACGTTCAGCTCGGCTACATGTACCATTTACTTGCTAACTGACTCGGTCGTAGCGATGTCTTGTCCTTCTACAAGGAGGAGCTGGCCGGAGAGACGGGGAACTACGTGAGCGACCGGGCGAGAGCTTGCGGGAAGTCTAGGGAGGCAACGCTGCTCGAGATCGTCGATGAAACCGTCATGCTTGTCACGCGTATACGGAGGATCCTAGGTGATGGGCCTGTGCGAGACGCATGGGAGTCCTTCGCGGAGGGCTGGCTGGCGTTCCACGTGTGCAGTCCCAGGTACAAACTGCGAGAACTGATCAATTGCGAGTATGTAGTCGTTGGTGATCTGGGGATTTAATAACCTTACGAGCGAAGTGCCATTAGTAGTAGTAATGTTCTTAATCATAATCTCCAGCTTATGCGCCACCCAAGGCCGTCCGCCGTCATGGACGTGACTCATCAGCACTTCAATATCGGGTCCGCGTATAATGTAGTGCTGGAAATAGCCATTAATGCCATGAATGGTACATAGTCGCGCGACTGGACTGGGCTTGGAGGCTCGGGTTAGGGAGAACGTTGAACATCCCCAGACGACGATGACTGAGATAGTATGAGATTTGAATAATCCCTATGATATACACATGCGTCCTTCGACATTGATGTAGCAGACGAAGCGGGCTCACCGGCTTAGTATGGTTGACAGCCTGCAGGCATACCGATGCCATCATTCGGCCGCACATCTGCGGGCTCATACGGGTACGGCCTCGGCCGCTCTCGAAGCGAACCACCCCAAGGTCATCCGGCGATGTCTCTGACTCATCCACAACTTAAAGTTAGGGGGCAAATGAGACGGGGATTTGTGCGTACGACAGGTGTATGCGATTGCTTGGTGGCCGGACTCAGTTCAGTGCGCGGTGCCGCCGGCTTTGGCCGTAGGTAATGGCCCCCGTTCGCTGGTGGGATCGCATTTAGATCGCATGCCGCTGATGGTACAATGCACGGAAAGTATGCACCGAAGCGAAAGTAAGAACACTGAAAGATGGAAAATCACATCCACGACCGCAAGCTCATACAGGGCTCTTCTCGCCCGCGGCGGCTTCGCCGCCCAGGCAAATCAAAGCCTCTCCCAAGCACACATAATCTCGCAATCATCGGTAAACTCAAACGCACCACAAGTGGCGGTGCAGCAAAAGGAGCAAAATGTAATGGCAGATCACCAGCCACCCACGCATCTTCTCCCCCCGTCTCGCGATTATATCTGCCGTGAGCACACCGCGTCTCTGTTCAGTCAGCCATGGATCCTCGGACACTCACTGTCCCCTATTCCCCTTCGCCGCGCTCATCGTAGCGGCCTTCACAGATGCCTCCCACGATGGTGCGCCCCGCTAGGACGCGAGTACGCAGATCCAAGAGCCTTGCTACCGCGAATATGATAAGTGCATGCGGACGGAGATCCTCGGTGTGTGAAACAACAAAATGCGGGGAAGTACGCGGGCATCACCATGAGCGCCTGTGGATGGGTATGCGCGCTGACAGACAGTGACACACGGGGATGTTGCGGGGATGGCAGCGAGAAACCGATTGGGCGCCAGAGCTAGGCGGTGAGTAACCGGTGAGTCCCGACCAGGCAAGCCAATTGACACCTTTCGCGAGGAGGCCATGCTCTTTTACTATAAGTAGAAGATTGGAAGGAAGGAAGGAGGGATCGGAGAGACATCGACACCTTTATTACTCTGTCCTGCACCCCTACCCTTCAGTTTCCTGCGCCATGTCCGCATCCTTCACACCTCTCTTCATCGACGGCCAGGAGCGGCCCGCTAGGAGCGGCGCGACGTTCGAGGTACGGAACCCTTACACCAACGAAGTGGTGGGTCGCGCCGCAGCTGCAAGCAGCGAAGACTGTCGTAACGCTGTCGCCGCCGCCTCACGAGCCTTCGCGGCCTGGGAGCAGACTCCGGCGTTCGTGCGGGCGGGAATATTCCTCAAGGCCGCGGAGCTCCTTGATACGCCAGAGTATCAGGAAAAGCACAGAGCCGCGATCAAGGCCGAACTCGCCTCCTCGGAGTCTGTCGCCTTCGGAGACTTGCTGGGTACGGTCGCGACCATTCGCGACTCCGCCTCAGTCGTTGCGAACCTCAAGGGCGAGAACTCGCCGTCTCAAATCCTAGGCGGGTACGTCGTGGTGCAGCGCAGAGCCATGGGAGTGATGTACGTACCTCCTGTATACGCATTCAGCCTGTCGGCACATTGCTGAGTGATCTCAATTTCAGCTTCGCGATATCTCCGTGGAATTTCCCGCTTGCTCTTAGTTTCCGCGCCATCATCGTTCCCATTCTGTGCGGCAACACCGTAGTGCTGAAGAGCTCCGAGGTCACACCGCGCACGCAGGCCTTGGCTGTTGAAGCCCTGCACAAGGTATGCTCTTCGCTAGTCAAGGGATGAGAATTCGCTCATAATCAGCATAGGCTGGCTTACCGGCGGGTGTATTGAACCTTGTAAGTACAGACAAGTCAGAGGCACCTGCCAGGGTCGCAGAAATCATCGCAAACCCATCTGTGCGAAAGATTAATGTTAGTGTCTACAACACGTCTGGTTTCTACTCAATTGATGGAGTCATTCGCAGTTCACTGGCGGCCCTAGAGTCGGACGAGCGGTCGCTGTGAAGGCAGCGGAATACCTGAAGCCATGCGTTCTGGAGCTCGGCGGGAAGGCAGCCGTAGTCGTGAGTAATTTATCCTCACACGTCCGAGTCCTCACCATTGTCAATCGAATGATCCACCCTAGGTCCTGGAAGATGCGGACCTCGAGACCGCCGCGAACGCCATCGCGTATGGGGCGCTACTCAACTCGGGGCAGGTCTGCATGTCGACAGAACGGGTCATCGTCCAGAAGGGCGTCGCCGCGGAGCTCGCGCATGCCATCAAAACGCGTTTCTCCGAGCTCACCGCGGGTGGCCCGGGGCACCGCCTGGGACCGCTGTTCTCCGAGGCCTCGGCGGAGCACGTCGTCACACTCCTGCGTGATGCGCAGGCTGCGGGCGCGGACTTCCTCGTGGGCGATGCAAAGCGCGAGGGGGCGGTAGTCCAGCCACATATTGTGACGAAGGTGACGAGGGATATGAAGCTGTGGAATGATGAGACGTTTGGCCCTGGTGAGTGAACCCGCTGTGCGCATGAGAGTGAGTCCGCTCACCAATCATCAGTTATCGCATTCGTCGAGGTGGATAGCGTCGAGGAAGCCATCGAGAAGGCAAACGACACCGAGTATACTCTGATGGCTACGCTCTGGACACAGAACGTCCACACTGCGTTCCAAGTTGCGTCCCGCCTTAGGACAGGCAAGTATCTCCACCGCAAGCACTAGTAAGCTCAACACTGACCGTCAACCTGACAGGTACCATTAATATCAACGGAGGGAGCATCAATTCCGACGGCCGGCTGGGCGGACTTGGGTCAGTTCCAGTCATGTGGCCTCAAAGGTCTCGCGATACTGACGTTGGATGCAGTGGACCGTCTGGTTACGGTCGATTCTCCGTCGAAGAATTCACGGATACCAGAAACCTTGTCTTCCACCCTGCAAAGTCCCCAGCTCATCCTCTGTAGTGGTCGATTTCGTTGCATCTTCATCCCGTTTGGCTCGGAGGAGGGGCCTGATATGTCCTTGCCTTGTATTGATACCGTGGAATGAGGTCCTGGGCTGTATATTTAAAGATCATCAGAATTGAGATCAATGGGATCCCTCCCTCATTGATCGTTTGAATAGCATTGCGTTTGGACTTGCGGTCGAATCTTCTGTAAGTGATGCGAACATTGGGACACCGGTGTGCAAGGAAGTGTCAAATTTTCTCCAAAACGAAGGCTCATGGGGAAACAGGCAAACGCGCAGGCGTCACCCATCACCTATGTATGCGTACATGATACTCACTGCTACGGCGCCGTTATGCGCGCCTATTCCTAGCACACTGAATGACTTAGAGCGATGCTCTACGCATACTTGCTCCATCGGGGCATTTCCGTTGATACTTACCTGTATATACGTATCACAGAAGGTCATCCATGGCCACTTTTCCACCTGCTACGAGCGTCAGTTGAAGCTGTGTTCGCATCACCAAGGGCGCTCGGCATACCTGGATATCCCGAATACGAAACACCTTTCTGTAACGGTTCCCGTCGATTAGTGGTCAGATCATCACGTTGTGGTGTTCTCTGCAGTAGAACACAGAACCGTGGGGACGAGGGCTCGACTCCCTCCGGGAACATTGCTTTTTGGCCTACGACGGACTACGGCGCTGCGATGAAGACGACGGACTACACGAACGTACAGGTCAGAAGGTACACTCTTCAACAAAAACAGATGGGCGTGGCGCACCTGGATTTTGGGCTTGTCAGTGCATGAGTGTGTCGCCTACGGTCGGAACTGAGAACGCCAATTGTGTGCTGGGTTGAGCTTCGTAGCTGTGGTACTGATTCAACTGCCCCGTCCGAGTCTGACGAGATCACAGCTTGTATACCTCTTCGTACTTGTTGATGGGTCATTGACTCGCTCACATCGAATGGCGAGGGCTACGGCTCTATCTATCATGAATATTGCGATGAGATTAGTGGCATGGAATTTTTTGAGTTGGGCAACAATTCAATCGCTCACCTCCGTATCCGACGCAGCGCCACCGCGTCGGTGGTTTGCCCAAATAGGAAGGTAGGCGTGGTCAGTCGTCCGTCTCAGCGCAGTCGTCTGTATACGATGAACTATGGCGATTCAACGAGGCTGCTGTCCGGGTCCAGATATTCATCCAGGACTCAGGCGGCACGAGTTCGATGCCGATGTCGGGGGTATGAAGGCGCCGCATCAGCCGGGGCGCTCGACTTGCCTACTGGCATACCATGCAAACGCAACACATACCGTCAAGCGTTTCCGTCGATTAGTGGTTAGATCACCACGATGTGGCTTCAACAGAGATGTGATGCAGTACCGTGAAGACGAGGGCTCAACTCCCTCCGGAAACACAGTTTTGGTCGCTGACGTGTTCATTGGCTGGCGTCGCGGTCGGCCGTCATCAATCATGAACGTCAACGCCTGTATAACAGGTTCCAAGAGTATCCATGAACCTAGATGTAATGATTCAGCGTGGCTGGTAGAACATTCGACTCTCGCCGTCAGTGCAAGATGTACGTTCGCAAACTATGCTCACGGAACGTCTGTTCAGGCAGGCAGCGAGTGAGCCAGGATTCGGGAGCTAGTCCACCAGCAGTATAGTCCCTTTGCGCTCTTGCAGCCGGAGCTAATATAATAGATGGTTGTGAGCGGGTGTGCGAATAGAACAACGACTGTAGCATCGCACTCACACACTAAGACTTCAAGTTCTGCGTGACGTCGACTTGGTAATTGTCACTTTGTGAGAATCGATAGACGATGAGATTCACATATGTGAGGAACCGACCATTTGAGTAAGAGGTTACTGGAGCCTACTGGGGCAGGGTCCAAGACGGAGAAAAATGAACTTCAAAGATCGTGGTTGCCAAATGTAGACAAAGTCCCTTCAGCCACACGCGCCACAAGCCCCTAGGATAATCGGAGATTGCCGTTTCGATCACATAAGCGTTGCTGGCGGCCACCCAACGACAGCCAACGACGGTGCCACCACTTTGCCCGTTGTCAACAGAACTTAGGCAGCTGATGTTTCTTGGCTCGTATGCTTCCCAAGTGCCTAGGAGTCCCTCATAGCTGCTGCTGGTTAACTGTGATCGGTCAAAACAGGTGACTGGTGAGCAGGGCGTCGTACTATAGCCTGCAGAACACGGAATCTCAGACAACTCAGAACACATGGGTTACGAGCCAAAGCTCATGGACGTATATCATCCACAATGGTAAGGATGATTATATCGAGAGTTGAACGTCACGGTCAGCTCATGTGGCTACACTTAGTGTGGTGCGTACATTCCAACCTCGCATTGAGCCAGCTCTTCAGGGTCTCCACTGAAGTCAGTGTTCACGAGTTCCATCGGCATTCTACGTTGTTCGTTCTTGGCAAATATATCACCGTGTAGCATCGCGCTGACCATACCCTACGTAGACTTCATGACACGGCAACCAATCCCCGAGACACCTATTGCGGGTGAGGTAGTGACCGTCAACAGATACGTGCAGTCGACGTGGGTTGCCGAACTGAGATCCGCGGAGTGTGCGTCTATGAGACCCACAGTCCTCCGAGTAAGACAAATCTGCGGTGGGAAAGCCGGAGCATGGAATGCTACCGAGTGTTTCCCTCAATAGTTCGAAGCTGCGAAGCGTTCAACTGCTTCCCTCAGGATGCTACAGTGAGTCAGTATCTTCAGCATTGCGACTCATGGGCTGACAAGTCAACAGGACCTGGACTGGTTCCCCTTGGAGACTGCGGCCAGGACGATTCCGCAATCATGGTACGCCGGAAGCGCGTATCGTCCATCAAGTGCATCCCCGTCCAGTCGCATGATAATCATTGGCTGCAGTCATCACCCAAGAGCTCTCAGTACCGCTTGTCACCTACGCTGAATTTCTCTCGGCGAGGCTTGAAGTGTGTGCAGCTACTTGTACTGGTCGAGACGGTCAGGAGAAAGCAGATGGGAATTTGCGTCTGGAAGTTTTGGAGCGGGTTCCAGCTGCGTTCGCCACGCTCTAGCTACTAGCACTTGCTGGGCGTTCATCACGGACGAACATAATCCATGCCACTGCCACCACGTACGCACTCTCAGTTTGTGTTTCCTACACGTGTGGGCCGTATGTCGTGCTACGCTGACACTATGAAATGCGTCTGCGGTCCGATGCCTCGTTTTCAGCTTGATATGTCTATCTTTCGACGAGCGGAAAGCGTAGTTTCCAAATCAATCCTAAATGCAACTAAACTCGAATTGCATCAGGCCGGCGTTTTCACTGTATGAGGGATAGGGCTGCAAGCACGCAGCTCGGGGCCCGACTGTATCTCAGTCTGTCATGGCAGGATCGTAACTCTAATCACTTGAGAAGACATACCTCAGGTTCACGGTGACGAGGATCCTAAGTATCTTTCTGAACTCTAATATGCCTCGGGCGATCCCAAGAAGAGAAAATCGGGTCGCGGTGGAGACTCCGGGGAGCTTCCGGCTCTCGTCATGCTTGAGGTGTGTCCAGGGATTGATGTATACAACGCTTGAACTTATCGTTTGTACCAGTAGTGTTATGAAACACAGTAGCTCGGGATGTTCGGGAGAGACTACGTCCTTGTGCGTGCAGTAAGCTCGGACTAGATGTGGGCTCAACTGCATTCCGAACATCCATTCCCCTCAGTTGTGAGTTATTCAGACTTCTGAAAGCATCCATGGGATGCCCTTCTGGCGCCCGCAAAGACCGCGAGACCATGGATTCTGCCCTCGAAGGCCGGCTGCGCGGGGGTGTCGGTGAACACGTACAGTCGACGAACACGTATATATAGTGTGCGATGGTATGCGACTTGGGTCAGCGTGCCATCGCATCTCATCTTCTAGTGAACACGATATGGGTGACGGTTAGTATGCATTGTTTCTGCGAATTCCTTCTTATTCGGCGCAGCTACAGACAGCCAGACGCATGCCTCTCGATTTGACCTGGGCGATTTTGCCATTGATGAGTATAGGCAGATTAAGGTCGTCTGCGTCGGCGCGGGTTTCAGTGGGATCCTAGCTGCAATCAGGTGACTATCTGCGTTCGTTCATATGTGACATCAAGTCTTGATTGACTACGTATACGTCTTCAAGGTTTCCGCAGAAGGTGCCGAACGTCGATCTCACAATATACGAGCGAAACAATGGGATAGGCGGGACATGGTTTACGAATCGATTCCCGTACGTTTCAATCACATGCGTCGCGAACATCATCGCTCACGGAATACTTTCAGAGGGCTGGCGTGCGACATTCTATCTCACTGCGTATGTACACACTATCATACGTGCATTGCATGCACTACTGACGAGCTTCTAGTATCAATTAACCTTTGAGTCGAAGGTAAGCCATACGTACGCCTGGTATGACTGCGCACATTTACGTTTCTGCAGACGGATTGGTCAAGTTTTTACGCCCCAGGCCCCGAAATCTTGGCATACCTCCAATCAGTGGTCGAGAAGTATAAATTGATGCCGTACATCAAGCTCCAGCATGAAGTCTTGCACGCTCGTTTCGATGAGCCTTCGGGGAAATGGAACCTGCGTATCCGCCGGAAGATGGGAACTGATTCTCAAGGTCAGGCGATATACGAAGAGTTCACCGACAAAGCGGACGTGTTCATCACCGCGCTCGGGATCTTCAGCAAATGGTCTTGGCCGGACGTTGAGGGTCTGAAAGACTTCGGAGGGAAGTTGATGCATAGTGCGGACTTCGGCGAGGAGAACCAACACTGGCGGGACGTCGTCAAGGATTGGAAGGACAAGAGAGTTGGTGTCATTGGCATAGTACGTCACCATGAACTTTGAGCTATCATACAAAACGCTGAGGCCGTCTTCCTTTCAGGGATCCACAGCGATACAAATCGTGCCGGCCTTGCAGCCACATGTGGCGAAGGTGATCAACTATGTCAAAGGAAAGGCTTGGATATGTCCTCCCTTTGCCAGCTCCAAGCTTGCGGAGCTCGTGCAACGTGATGCCAATGCGGAGAATTGTGAGTCAAGGTATAGGGCCATTATTACCCTGACTTCTTTACTGATATCACGCAGACGTCTTCACCGGCGAGGACAAGGAGAAGCTCAGGGATCCCGCCTTCTACAAGACCTTCCGCCACGAGCTCCAAGCTGATGTCAACGTACGTACTCAGAACTTGACGCCGATCTAGATACCTCTGACCTCGTGCAGTCGCTCGACAAAGCCATCCTTGCTGGGACGGAGTGGCAGGAGCAGCGCAGGGCAGAGGTGGAGGCGCATATGCGGAAGAAGCTGGCGAAGAAACCGTGGATAGCAGACCAGGGTGAGTGCAGTTACAGCTCTTCGAAGGTTCCAGATGAGAGAACTAACCTTTGCTCGCCGTAGTCATACCTGACTATGGCGTAGCGTGTAGACGTCTGACTCCGGGGCCTGGATACCTAGAAGCACTGTGCGCGGATAACGTGCGTTGGAAGTTTCCTTGGAGGATAGCCGAGTCTGACTGATACGTACTACATAGGTGGACTTCGTGTCGTCGCCCATCAAACGAGTGACCGAGGACGGCATCGAGACCTTTGACGGGAACAAGCAGGGCCTCGATGTTCTCATTTGTGCGACTGGTATGTTCAGTCTTTTAATAACAGCCCTGGGCCATCTAATAACTCTTTCGCTTGCAGGCTATGACTACGCCTTCCAGCTGGGCTTCCCTATAATCGGTCGCTCCGGTGTCTCCATCCAAGAGAAATGGCAGCCTGATCCGACGACCTACATGGCTATTTGTGTGGATGGCTTCCCTAACTGGTTTATGACCATGGGCCCCAACTCCTGCGTTAGCTCCGGATCGCAACTCACCGTCATCGAGCGTCAGATTGATTACATGGTGGAGGTGACCAGGAAGCTCCAACGCGAGCGGCTGAAGAGCATCGACGTGAAGCGAGAGGCTGTCAAGGCGTTCGATGACTACATTGAGGTAAGGTCGTAACTCTCAGAGTCCATGATCATCCGATGTTGACGTTACGCACGTAGAGCTACTTCCCAAAGGTTAGTAACCGGATCTACTGAGTGGAAGCTCGTGCCACTCATATGGGGCAAAATCTACAGACCGTGTTCACGCAGGGCTGTAGGTCTTGGTACAAGCGGGGTAAAGATGAAGGCCGCATCGTTGCTCTCTGGCCGGGTAGGCTCTGCTCGCTCCTCCGCAGATAACCGTGATGGTTGATGCGCACAATCTAGGTTCAACACTCCACACCATCCGGGCGTTGCAGTATCCGCGTTGGGAGGACTTCAACTACGAGCGCGTTGATGATGTGGACAATTGTCTTTACTGGTTTGGCAATGGACAAACGTACACTGAGAAGACAATGACAGGTGACAGTGCGTATCACCTTGGTGATAATGGGATTCGGGATTTGCATACTAACAACGATCCAAGGAGCATGGTACCTCACGGACGATCATGTAGACTTCCCTCCTGGTATGTATTACGATATCACTTTGACTTCAGTTGTTGACGATTGCATCAGTACCGTTGTGACGGAGAGCAAACTGCGCTTATGTCGTGACCGTAGCCTCGGCGGTGGTCAAATGATACAATTCCGGTCCTTCTCTACGTCCGAAGCCAAGCTCATTATGGGCGTGTGGTGATGCATCGTGTGTTTCCGAATCAATCGTGATTGTCTTGTTGCTATCATATCACGAACGCCCCTCATCAAGAAGAGGATATCGCGACCATTCAGCTCACTTCGTACGGTGCAGTCAATGGGGATTTCAAATTTACTGGTCTCTGTAGCTCTTCGAGCTGTGATTACTGAGCTCAGAGGTGACAGTTGACGTCGGTTTCAGCTCTGCTCAAGTTAAGTTCGGGAGATAAAGGGGAAGACTAGGCTGTTCGTCGAACCGATTATGCCACATTCGCATCTTCTAATATGCGAGGTTCACATACAACATCATCGTACCTTCGTTTTGCAGGTAAGTTACATAAATGAGCAGACCTGTATTCAAGTGCTCGCTATACCCTGTTCGTATCTAGCTGCTCGAGACTGGCGTGGTGGCCGTATCGAGATCGGATGTGACACTCTCGATCTCCGTGCATACGAGTAGCAGCGCGTGCCCCAGCTTATCGAAGTCCCCGACCTGACACATCCCTCGTCATACGTCACGGAATGGCCCGACAAACTCAGCGACGCACCTCATTATAGACTTGTACGCTCGCTCTAGTCCACCATTTTCCGTTGTGATAGAACTGCGTCGCGGAGACGTTATGGCGGTTGAGCAGCCCATCCTGGAGCATTCGTATGATTCGCGTGGATGGCTGGATCAACCCAGAGAGCGGGATGACGACGTTGACCTCAGCACGGATACGCTCATTTTAGCTTGCAGCACTGTCCCGAGCTCCGACTGACGTACCATATTCGCTGTGAATAGCTCGGATTCTGGATCCTCCGGCGGGTAGAGCATGTGCGTGTTCATGACTTCTGCGAGGCGCTTTCCTCCGGCCAGAGCCAGGTAGTGGCAGTACTGGTTGATGCGTTCCTCTCCGCCGAGGAACGAGCTGAACTCGAGAGCTATGCGAGTGGTCAATCATTTTCTGGCAGTAAGTACTTATGTCGGAGTAACTCACCGGCTTTGATGCTGAGAGGCGCAGTGAAGTCCAGCGTGCCTGTCCCTGCGTAGCTGGATGAGCGACAAGCTCATCAGATACACTAGTATACTGACAGTAGAATTTCAATTGCAGCTCTTCTTCGTACTGGGCTGGATGGTCATAGGTAGAGCTCGTAGGGAAAGCTGACTTGATGACGTGGTGATTCCTGCAACTCAAATGATTATTCGTAACCACTATGATAGGTATCAATGACACACCGCTTAGGAACATATAATACCGCGCAGCCATGCTTTGCGTACATCCATTTCGAACAACTCTGTCACGTCGTCAGCGCCAAACTACCTGAAGACCGGAGCAACGCACAGATACCCAGAAATCCGGCGCCGCGCTACTGAGGTCAATATCACGCTCCTGTCCCAGCGAGTGCGCGGCGTCCACGACGCTCCACACATCGTTCGCCTTGCAGATTTGTACCATCTCTCTCCAGGGCATTACGACACCCGGACTCGCCGATATACTCTCAAACACGGCAACGACCTTTGCGTTCGTTTTGCTCGTGCTCCTGAGCGAGCGGATATGGGCACGGAAGCGCCTCAGTATCGATGAGCGCGTCTCTGGGAACAATAGCTTGAACTCTGATAGAATAGGATGGGGTCGCGTGTCGCTGATGTACTGAGCGACCGCTGAGATGGTCTTGGAGCTGCAATTCGCTGAAGAACGCAAGCGTTACTCTTGGGACAATCACTGAGTGCGTACTTTTGTGAGACTCACTGACAAGCAGAACATCTGGGTCCTCCCACTCGAAGTTACGCAGGACAGTATTGATGCCATGAGAGACGTTCGGTACGAATACACATTCGGAGGTTTCCGCGCCGATGAGTTCTGCGACTTGCTGTCGCGCTTAATACAGCATATGTTGATATTGGAAGTAGAGGAAGCGGTCTGGATTGGCTGAGATATGAGATGAAAGGTCTTGACTGGCGTCCTCGACATGGCGGGGTATAGCACCCGCTGTACCTGAATCGTCACCTCGTCAATCAACGTGTAAGATAGCTATTATGAGACTGACCATGATTCAGGTTCGTATACTGAGGATCTAGCTGAAAGAACTGCCTAGCGGTGTGCCCGAAGTCGGGCGGAGACCTTGCGGGGGGAGAAGATACGCGCATGCTCGTGGCCCCCGTGTGCTTCTGGTGGGAAGAAAGTGAATGCGGGCGACCTGAGCAGTGTGGGAGCTCCAAGTGGACATTGACAGAACTGTGACCCGGACAGCCTCCCTTCACTCGTCGTGATCTTGATGTCCAACTGAACGCCCATAGAACCTTAACAGCACTGCTGTATTCAATGTAAAGCCTGAACATAGTACAAGACAGCATAGACAAAGTGTCGTCGATCAATTGGCCAACATCAGGTTTGTACGAGAAGAGGAGCCAGAGACCACAGGTTGCGAGAGCGATGTTTGCAGTCATTCTGTAGGGATGGGTGCCCAGGCCATCTCATCGTAGCAGATGTCGTTTCCGCGTTGTACTTGAGCCGTTTTCGATCGAGTTGACACCAGTCGTCGCCGTAAAACGGACCGTCGATGGCGCGTGCGGGTAGCTTTCTAAGTAGTGTCGGCAAAAGCCACAATTCACCCATATAAGGCAAGTAACAGCATCGGCATCTCCCGGAATGGACGTGCTGGCGTTTGAGCAGCCACCAGAGTTCCTTCAGCTTAGAGCTTGCGTAGAGCTGTCGGGTTCGCCAGTCTGACAGTACAACACCATCCTACTCAATCTCGCTGTCCGTACGCTCAAAGTGATCTCGGCTGCCCCGCTCACACCCGATGAAGTTCACTTTGCATGAATATGTAACGTACGCCGGCCTTCGAACGTGTTTGTCAGGACACAACACAGTAGGTGTCAGGTCTGTCCAGTTCGACGTAGCGAAGGTACCCGTTTTGAGGGAAGTTCCTGCATCAAAGGCGGTGTTGTGACTGAGTGCGTGCACCTCTGCAGGCGCCGATTTATTCGTACTAACGACGTCCCGTGCTTAGAATGTAAATCGTGCCCGTACTAGGACCTCATCAAGTCGACACAAACTCACTGTAGCGCCGCTTCATATATGCATATATCTGCAGGGCAGGTAAGTGTGCTTCTCGAACATCTTGATCAGCATAGGGCTATGATGTACGAGTGGACCCTCTTTCCTCGGTCAGACTACAACAAGCCCGAAGCCACCGCACATGCAACTGCATTATAACAGTATTGGAACACTCATTGTAGGCCTGCCTGAGACAAGCTGATGCACCGAACTGCACCGTTATATGCCTCACCAAGGACCTGCCTACAAAGCCTGAGGGTTGCTTCGAGTTTATACGATGTTCACTGAACCTAGGGTGCGTCACGATTTCACAGAATATCCATTCTCGTCTGATCCTGCGCACTAGAATGGTTCTAGGGTACGTCTCGTCTTCTGCTGCCCGAAGCGGCCGTTACGCTCCGTTACGCAGACGCGAGTCGAAGAATGGGGCGGTGCCGTACTAGATGTTACGGCCTGCGCCGGTTAGTCGTCTCCAGCCATGGATTCTGCAGAAGGCCGTTCAGATCTCGAAGCATGCCCCTCAGTAGATCGGTAGGGCGTTGGTAGGGTGCGCAGCGGCCTTGATCATTCATGGCCCACGAGATAGCGTCGACAAGATGGAATTCCCGAGCATCCGGGGCGGTCGCGGCCTTGATTGGATAGTCGGGCGTCTCACGGAACTTCAAGGACACCGTCAGTATAGGTCAATGATGACATGCCATTTTCGCTGCCGCTGCTCGATGTGTTCATCCCACCAATGAATCTGCCAAGACCTGGTATAAGTACTGAGCTCTCGCATGTGCGCGATCCATTCTCGTCGCGGTCGTGCGTTGTCAACTCTTGCGCATAGCCATGTCCTCCGAGGCTGCTACTCTTGAACTACTGAACAGGATTCGGGGTGAGTGGCACTCGTTCATGTCGATATGTACGCCGCGAAAATTGACTTTCTTTCGACCAGTGACGAATTTTGTTCTGCCTATTCTCTCAATATGCCTCACAATATTCCGTCTCTGGGAGAGAGGGAGTAACCGCCGACTCTGGTGGGATGATGCCTGGGCTGCATTCACCATGGTCGGCGTACTCATTGTCATGGTCATGTTTGAATTGTTCCTTCAGGAGCACATCGAGAATCCAAGTAAGGGCTTCTCTTTGCGGTTGAGAACCGGTCTCTTGACAATTGCACCAGACAAGTACCCTCAGCACCTCAAAATTGCGATCTACTATCTGTCCGTCCTGACTGCTCTCTTTGTGTCCCATTTGCGATCGAACTGACGGAGTTCTCAGATGTGCAGAGGGATTCTACGTCGTCGTGTGGTAAGGTCGTCTTCTGTCTTGCGCGTTCCACCCGTTACTTATCTGTCGTAGGAGCTCACGGATGACCATCCTGTTCACAATCATGCGTGTCGCCACCATGAGGAAATTCCGGTTGCTCCTCAGGGGCGTCGCGATCGTATTTGCGATGACCTTTGTGATCCTTTTCGCTCAGGTATTCTGGGTCTGCGAACGGGAACCAGGCTGGAAAGACCTCGCCTCTCCCCAGTGCGAACTGGGGGACGATGTGGCAGTCGCACAAATTACCAGTACGTCTGGAATCACCTCGGGCTGCGCGGGGCGCTGACTGACCTGCACCTTGGATTGTCAGCCGACATAATCGCCGACGCGTTCTTGATTATTGCCCCTGTGCGACTCGTGTGGGGGGTCAAACTCTCATGGACTCAGAAGATGCGCATCATTGCCATCTTCTCGTCCTCCTTCATCACTACCGCCGTCAGTCTCTACCACGCGTCGACTGTGCTGCGAGGTGGCGGTCTCCCCGAAGCTCTGGGCGCGGTCATAGAGGTAAATCAATGACCATCTTTTTCAGCACTATTCCCGTATACTGAGCGTTTTTCATCGCAGCCCTCAGTCACCTTGATCGTGGCGAATTTGAACGTCGTGGTGGCCTTCATCTTCCGCTTCGGCGCAGAGGACAGACAAGCGACGGCAGCGTCTCGCGGCACGCGGGACATCGTCACAATCGGCAGTGGTGACCCTCGTTCCAAGCGGAACAGGTATGGCGGCAACATGATGGGCGCCATATCGGTGACTACGGAGTGGGAACACGATGGGTTGCCGCCGCCGACTACCATCATGCTCGACCATCTGGACGGTGACAACATCACCAAGAAGGCATCGGGTGATGTCGCTGATGAGAGCTTGGATTCGGTTCAGAAGGTTGTGTCGTGGCACGCTGGCTCAGACTAGGGTACATATCGATGTACAGGCCATTCTTTTGATTTCACTGGCTGTCTGGGATAGTCAATTCGAATGAGTTTAGAAATGTGCACAATGGACTTTGCACAGTATCAGGGATAACGCATTGAACGGGCTATCATTTGAGATTCGGCACCGAGTGTGAAGTATGACGACTGCTACTCGAAAGACATCGTATACTATACGTAGTCGACCGTCACATGAGAGTATCATAAATGGACATTTCCATCTCGTTTGTGGCTGTCGCGCGCGATAGATGCCCTACGGATTCTTTGCCTGTTAAGACCAATGTTAGTTGCGATACGTCACACTCGAAGAGAAAACGAAACTTACCACCACACGTTCTACGAACTTCAAGAGGGCATCCACAGTCTCCTTTTGGTACTCGTAGAACAGCGCATGGCTTCCACCCTCGACCATGACGACGTCCATGTCCTTGAAGTACGGTTTCATCTCCTGCACGACGACGTCGCCCTGCACCTGTTTGTCGGCCGTTCCATTGAGCACGAGCATCGGAAGCCCATTCTGACCCGCCTCAAGCAGCTTTTGCGGGTCTTGAGCTCGCGTCGCGATCAGCTTCGTGACGCTGGGCGGCTGGAGAGCACCCTGGCCAATCCAGGACGCCTTCAGGTCGAAGTCGACGCGCTCGGGATGCGTGAAGACCGACTCCGCGAACTCTACCTTCGTGCGGCAGCTGAGAGCGACGTCGGTTTCGTTCATGAGGCCCGGGAGGAAGCCGAGTACGGTCGGTGTCCCGACGCGGCCCATGATAGGACCAATGTATGGAAGGGCGGCCAAGTAGACGAGCCCGCGGATGGGGTTGGGGGTGATGTGAGTGCAGACGTCAGCCGCGACAGTACCTAAAATAATGGTATTCTGTACTGTGTCAAGCGAGACTACAACAACAGAAGTACTCACAACCGTAGCTCCTGTTAGAGACGCCAGAAGATCAGGGCCTTTTCGACAGATGAACAAGATATCGACCTACCAGCCAACGTGGATTGGGTTCTTCACGTCAAATGCACGCAGGACCTCCGCGTAGTCGTCCGCGAACAGAGACGACGCGTACCCCTCCGGGTTGCTGGGCATACCACTCCTGCCGTGGCCCCGCAGGTCGTAGCGGACCTATTGAACGATGGGCTCGTTCAAGCAATGTCCGTGATAATCACGCGAATTTGGGGAACTCACCAGATAGACCTTCTCAAGAAGCCGCTGGTCCTCAAAGAGGTTATTGAAGGCGGCGGCGGTAAGCGTCAGGCCATGGGCGAGAATAACATGCGGATTCTTCAGATTCCCGATGGCCTCTGCGTAGATGGCGTGCCCGTCGCTGGAGCGAAGGTGTTTAATGACGGGAGTGTACGGCATTGTTGTAAGGCGTTGTGACGCGGTCGAGGAAAGATGGTTGGATCTGGGGGAAGCAGTGAGCGAGAAGAATCCGGTGGATGTGTTCAAAATAGGATGTTCGGCCTCTGGTATGTACTGGGGTGCTTATTCGATACCCCTTTGATTGGTAGAAAATTGTCATACCGAGACAGCCAACCTGCGTGCGGCAGAATTCTGCGCATCCGAGGGCGGCTCGTGTTCATGATACGGCACGCAACGAATTGTGTAATTTGCGCCCTTCGCGGTGGTCACCATCGCTACGTGCGCATGAGCGGGCGCACAGAAGGCCATCGAGGCTGCTGGACATCGGCCTCTAGCAAACTGAGATCACCCCGGCCATTAGTCTTTGCCGGGTCGTGGTTGGGTCGCGGTCTGCCAAGGCCACCCGCTGCCAGTAGTAGGACCTGAGTAGCACAGTCCATCTTTCTGCTTTTGTCCGGGTGCCTTCGACCGGGACTCTGAGTACTGCGAGACGGTGTGAAGCAATGATCGCGAAGGCATTGTGAAGGGGATGCTTCGGCGTTCGCAGTCTAAGAAGCACCATCAGATCAAGATGATAGGAGAAAGCCCTCAAATGCCGTGCACCTGGGGCCGGTTCCTTCGTTCAGACCACCCCGCTCGAAGCTTAATGTCTCGTGAGTTGCATGAAATTACTAGCGTCAGACTCATTTCTGTTTCAGATATGTCTTGTGACAGAGACCGCCGTACTCCTGTGCGTATCGCATTACGAAGTTTGCTGTAACGAGGAGCAACCTGCGCTCACCTTCATAGACCGATCACTGGTATCGAGCTTGAGGCTCTACGTAAGATCGGCTATCATTCCCGCGAGAAGCGTCACTTTCCTACTATCCCTATGTACCGGTGAAGTCGGAGACGGTAGCCTCGTGCTAGAGAGATGAATCGTAATCGGACAGATAGAAGCATCTGAGCTCACTACTAGGCAACACCAACCGAAACCCATCAAGGGATCGGGGATTTCACTGCAGCGCTGGAACATGCTGACGCATGCGGGTCAAGGCGATCGGAGCAGATGTTCAACCGTCAGTTTGGTTTTCCTCGACCACTCAAAATGAGTTCAGACGTACTATAGGATATTCACAGCAACCTGAAGACCAAGTGAGCCTGTTCTCCAAGACCTAGAGGTGGGACTGTTGTGTGTCCCTGTGATTACTGGCCGTAACGTTGTCGTAATGTAGCAAGAATGAATGAGACGACTGTGAGCATGCACTGTTGACTGCTGTGGACATGGCACCGCCTCATGGAAAATCCATCGCTGGTGCAACAGCGCGGACACGTTACCTTTCAAGCTGATGTACATATGTAAGTAGCAGGGGTGAAGCGTGCCGTTTCAAGTTGGCACCAGTGGCTGACTAACAGCGACCGTACGGGCCAAGATCTCCACCGGCAGTGTTCGGGTATTTGGTCAACTTGAAGACAATTTGATGCACAGTTCTATAGTCAGGCGTCTGAAGATCTTGAAGAAAGAGTACAAGCGAAAGAGTACAAGCCAATACTTGCGGAGCTGTCGAGTCGAAAGGAAGACTATTTGCTCACCCCGGATTGGCGGAGATACGGTACCGGGTAGGGAGGGTGGCTGAGAGATCCCGGCCCGATACAGCCCCCACGTGGAGCTGCGTCACTGTCAGTACACCGGAAGTGACCGGACCTTGAGTCGTTGCCCTTCTCATCGTGGGGCACACCGTCGAGCTCGTCGACATCGACGGACTGGGTCGTCGCCGACTCCTTGCTGGCCAGCTTCTCGGCGACTTCAACTTCGTTCAGGCCTCAAATTCCCGACGTTCAACGCTTCCCGTGCATCATACTAGGACAATCCGCCAAGTTGCAGTAATTCTACGATGTATCAGTACTGCCAACGCCGCCCTGTCATCAATGGATATTAGAATGGACGCACGCAACAAAAGCAGCCTCTCATGTACGTCTGAGTACGTACGCAATTGCTATGTACGAAACGTGCCTGACTTCACCATCGTTCTAGCTTGACTCTTCATGCTTCTTGCACCATCCTCTCGTTCAGCGAACGGCGTGCCTTCACTACTGCTCGATGCTATCAGTCCAATCGCAACCTCGGCGGCGATGGGTCAGCTCAAACTCAGGTGTCCTCAGTTCCAGGAACAAAGGTGGCGAATAGACCTTGCGACGTGGGTATTCTTGATGCATAAGTAATTTGTCGCGATATAGCAGGGCTTCGTTGTAACTGTAAGTAGTTCACTGTCAATCCTAATAAATGCTGCTGTTCGAACTCCCGGATGCAAGCCGGAGCACGCCCACACGCCCCCACGGAAAGGAAAGGTCGGAAGAGTCGGACGTCCCGAACCTCCGTTGCCCGAACATTACCCAACTCCGCCACGTAGCATCTGTACATCGACCGCGGAGGGCCATAGTCACTTCCTTCCGTCCACGTATTGACGTTACTGAAACTCGGAGACAACTCCTCCGCGGCAGAAAAAGCAATATGGTCACCCACGGTTGATTCATTACTGTATGCATCAAGGTGCGAGTCCTCGCACGCTCTGAACTTGAAACTGTTCGTGTCCGCAGTACCGGGATCTGCACGCGTACCGCGAGGTTTGAAACGGGTGGAATGCCACAGCCACAACATGTTCCTACTTATCACTCCCAAAGCCGCCCTCTCTTTACTACTACGACCAGTGTCGACGTTCGGTTGTCCGAAGTGAGGACACTGACTCGACTCAGTCCTGTGCTATATTGCTACCTCTGGCGCGTTACTCTGATCAGAGCGCTACTCGTCTTGCAGCCATGATCAGCATCCAGGCGGCAGACATTACATGTGCCCTAGGTATGATTGCGTGCCAGGTCTTCCAGTCAGGGATCGTTGTCGCCGGCCTGTTGTGCGTTGCCTCGTATCTCGCGATTCAAGCAATTCCTAGGGCAAGAACCAGGTTGCCGTACCCGCCTGGCCCGCGCGGATGGCCTGTCATACGCAATCTACTGGATATTCCCCTGGACAAGCCGTGGTTGGTATACTGCACCTGGGCAGAAACATACGGTCCGTGCATACTATCGGATGACGTGTAACGTCTCATGCTAACATGCCTGCTCGTAACTTTGTAGGCGATTTGGTACACCTCGACGTATTCGGTCATCATATCGTCATTCTCAACACCGCCCAAGCCGCGAAGGACCTTCTCGATGACCGATCTTCCATATACTCTGACCGCCCAATCTTGGTATGTGTTCGATCTTTGAATATATCATTTCTGCGAGCTGAAGGATGTTTAGACTATGGCAGAGCTGTGCGCTGCTCCGTTATTTCCTATGCATCATGGGTGGTGTTGCTGACCGTACCTTCCACCCAGCTCAGGATACGGCGACGAGATGGGGATGCTTCATTACAACGACCGGTGGCGGACGCAGCGTAAAATCGTCGCGCAATCATTCAACCCGGGCGTAGTACCGCGTTACTACTCAATTCAGGAACAGGAGGCCCGCCGGCTCATTCATGGCATGCTTCGAAGCCCCGATACGCTTATCAGCCAGACAAAGACGTGAGTTTATCTGTTAGAGGTTACCGTGCAGTCACGATGATCTACGTTCCACGAGCGGTGTTTGCTCATTCCCTCTCACTACGTGAAACTTTTGATCCTTCGAACGAAAGATCGAGAAAGAGGTATTAATCTTCCTAGAATATTTCGACCGATAAGATTGAGAAATCTGGGTTAGAAAAAAATAACTTGAACTTCTGGGACGTGATTGTTGAGAAGGGATACAAGACAGATTGTGGCCTCAAATGTCTTCAATCCCTCTATGATAGTCTGTTGCAAGTGATTGAGTCAACAGTTTAAGATATTGCCTCAACAGAACATGCTCTCATTGTCCTAGAAGGATAAGAGACAAGTATGCATATTGCTGTCTTTGACATTCATGCCACAAATTGCTGTGGATTGTGAGTATGAGATTAAAGACAATTCAAGTTGTTGGGTCTTTAACATTTCTTGGACAAGCCGAAGGGAATTGTGGATGAGCTGTGGCAAAACAACTATGTTAGTGAGAACAGATACTCATAAGAATAAGTCATGACCTTTTCATTTCCCTTTCTGAAATCTGACTACATGAAGGATTGATAACATGTTCTCTGTCACCATTTGTACATATACAGCTGACAAGTAAGAGAGAGATGAGTGACTGATCATGAGAGATGCTTGTCTCAGCACAGTTTCAATACTTTGACAAATTTTCATCTGCAGCAGATTTTCAACAATTCATGATTCATATCATCACAAAGGGATCAGAAAGCATTATTATCAACATGATCTTCCATTGTATGTCTCAGATAGTGAGAAAAGGATTGAAGAACAGAACTAGGAGGATTGGAAACAGGTTGTCACACTTGGTGTGACAATCCTTTTGCAACAAAGCAGATATGAAAGTATCAGAAACCACTCACAGTTCTCCTTGTACTATGCAAATATATGGCTACATAGCTGTACAGACAGCCATGCACAGATTCTACACCTCAACCACACAGGCAAGATGACAGTCCTGCCACTCTGCACTAGTCTGTACACAGGTTGTACAAGCATGTACAAGCATGTACTCAGGTTTGTATAGCCATGTACATGCCTGTACAAGTCTATACTAGTCTGATCATGGGTCTGTACTACCATGTACTAGGTGGTACAAGCTTATACAAGCATGTACACAGGTCTGTACAAGCATGTACTAGTCTGTACTAGTCTAGACATGGGTCTGTACTACCATGTACTAGCTTGTACAAGCATGTACACAGGTCTGTACAAGCTTGTACAAGCATGTACAAGCATGTACAAGTCTGGACATGGGTCTGTACAAGCATGTACTAGTCTGTACTAGTCTATACATACATGTACTAGTCTGAACATTGGTCTGTACAAGCATGTACAAGTCTGCACTAGTCTGCACATACATGTGCATGTATGTACAAGCTTGTATATAGGTGTACAGATGACACAGCAAAGACACAACAGAGGGTGTCGAGCTAAGACTCGCACTAAGCCCAGCCCCCACCCACACGGTGCGAGGGCGGAGAATGTTAGGTGTCCTGAGCGATGTCTGTGGCATCAAGCTGGGCTGCAGCATCAAGTGGATTGCGCGGGTGAACCTCCGTATCCGCGAGAGCCTGTCCATACTTGGGTACTCACCTGGTGGGTACGGGTCAATATCCGCGGGTCTCTCGGGTCTACGCGGGTACGGGTATTCGAGCGCACAGACGACAACACCCGCGCGAGGAGAGGAAGTAGCGGGTAGCGGACATGTTGGGCGACGGCTGACCCGCAATAGCTCAAGGTAGAGAGAGGCCGCAGGAGTGCTCGCGTTGAGCGAGGGCGGACAAGCGGGGTGCACACACGGAGTGGGGGAAGGAGCGGGCGCTGAGAGCTGGCGGAAGGGGATACTTATCTTGATTTCCCTGTGCTCTCCTTCCTCCGGTCTCCCTGCCTCCTCGTCGAAGCCCGTCGGCGCGTTGTTCGCTCAAGCTCTCGCGGCTGAGCGCATTCGCAACGAACCGCGTCTCCTCCGGCAGCCTTGGCAGGCCCGTCCGCGCAGCTTGCGCAATTGCTACGCGTTCATGGCCCGTATGCGCCGGGGCTGGCTGGCGTTCATGCGGTTTGATGGCGTAGGCGGGCTGGTGGTTGCGCGACGCACGGTCGTGCGCCAGTTTCTCGTGTGTCATTGCCCGCAGTTCGTCCATGTTCGTGTTCGCCATTGAGCGCGGGTATGGCGATGTTCGTCCGTCGCGTCAGTGGGGTGTCGTGCAGTTGCAAAGTGTGCGGGACAGCCGCATGACTGCGCCGTCGGTCGAAGGGAGCACACTGAGTGAGCGAGCTTGTCGGACGCTGGCAAGAGCGCAGAACGGCGGCGCGCGGCCCGTTCGAGAGGAGGGCGCCGGCGCCGGAGAGCGGACACGTTCAGAAGGAGCAGGAGCGTCAAGCGAAGAGGGATGTACACGAGGAAGAGACGCACGGAGAGGTGCAGAGCGGCGGGACGTAGACACGTTGTACCTGGGATTTGTCCGGAGGACTATGTCTGGGTCTCCGGAGTAGGTGAGGCAGAATATGCTGCGGAACTGGGCCATAGTGAGCTTGCCGATGTGTTTTATGTCGAGTTCTGGTAGCTAAGGGGAGGCATATGCAACAAGGGCGCAAGTGAACGCTCGGAGGCGGGGTAATGGTCCTAATGAAGACGGACCTGGGTACCCATCTCGAGCTCACTCCCGAAATGAGTGCCGCACATGCAAGGAGAGGAATCAGGTTCTCGATTTGCGCGAGAGGACGGCGGGGGCGGCGAGGTAGTGGACATGGTGAAGTCGGGGTCGGTGGAGAGGACACGGACGCGGTAGAGGACGCGGAAGTGGTAGAGGTAGTCGGCCGCGGCACTGTAGTTTCCGAAGTTGTCCTGGCGCAGCAACTGCGCTACCTCGGGGTTCGTGATGACATCGAGGACAGCCTGTGCGTCTTGCTGGAGGCGTTCGTTGGTCGAGAGAGCGTTCTCGCGCGTGCCCGGCGTGAATTCTGCTGAATGTTGGCTGCGCGAACGAATGGCGATGACGAGTCAGAACTCACCGTCTGGCACGGCCTCGTCTGGGTAAAGCTGCTCGAAACTGACTGCATAGTAGTCCACCATGTTGGTCTCCTTGCGAGCTCATACTGGGCCTTCTGGACCTGCTCTGCAGGGAAGAGCTCATTTTCGATCGACGATGTGTGTCAGGAGGGGAAAGACGAGATGCCTGTCGCAGTGGGGATTGATGGGTCTCGTGAGGTCGTATCCCGCCATTTTGGATGCGAGGGCCCGGATGTAGAGGCAGCGGCAACGAGCAGGGTGCTTTTGAGGACGGTGGCGGTACTCGCGCGAACCGTGCGAGCGCACAAGCGTCCGAGCCGCGCAGCCCTCGGCGCTCGACGCTCGCAGCGACCTCCCTCCCCCTCAAGGCCTCAAGGCCTCACGCCCCGTCTATCCTTCGACGCGCCAACCGGCTCCACCATGCCGCCGCCAAACCGACAGCGAGGACGTGCGACCGTACCGCACTCCTCGCAGTCGATTGGCCACTGCTGACGAGGACAGCCGCGCGCGCACGAGCGCACGCTTTCAACACGACGAGGGACGGGCCACCACTGGCAGTGGCAGCCGCGCTCAACGCGAAGGTTGGGCCCACACATTGGCGCAGGGTAAAGATCTACCCCTTCGCGCCGCCTCGCCGCGATCGCACGCGCAAGCCCTCGTACACGCGCACCACGAGCGCGAAGCCCCGGTCATCGCGCAAGCCGCGAGTGCTCGCGACGCGGAATATTCGACGGAGCGCAGGCCCGCCGCACAACCCGCCCCGACGCGTCCGTATGAAGGGCTCGCCCGCGCATCCGTAACAAGGGGGGAAGACGGACAGGCGAGAGTACGAGAGGGTACGGCTGCGGTGAGTACATCCGTTCCTCGACCTTCCGAACGGCTCCCCTCTCCCCCTCCACACACGTCCTGCGCGTCCCCTCTTGCACGACACACGCGTGTCCGTCGAACACGCCCACCGAGCTCCTCTGCCTCTCACTCTCCCGGCGCATCGCGCTCGCGCCGCACCTGCCGACCTGCTCCCGCCGACGCGCCAATACGACTCGCTCTCGCTCACGCCCGTCGAGCGCGATAAACGCCGTCGAGGGCCTCCACCTTCGCCTGGCGTACCCGCGCCTGCGTCCGCATACGCGACGACCCGCCAACACGTCAACCCCTTCGTCCGCTCGCGAACGGCGCGCATGGTGCGTACGTCCCTGCCATCAACGCTCCTCCCGAAGCTCGCACCTCCCGCGAGCCTGCACGTCCGGCCGCCGCTTCTCGCCCCAGTCCCTCGACCACCCGCGAAACGTCAAGCGCGCCCACAACGCCCACCGTCCTCTGTCGTCTCTGCTTGGAGGATGACTGTCAGACTGTCGTAACCAGGAAGAACTACCGCTCCCAGAATACCTCTCTCAGGCCTTCGTGAATAGTAGGCGGCTGCCTCGCGCGCCTGCTCACCAGTGCGATCGATGCATGTCCAGAGCCCGGCAGAAAGCCTGAGTACGCGCTCATAGCTCGAAGTCAAGTACAACTGATTCGTTCTTGTTGCTTATTGCTCACCTAGAACCACACTCCCAGGCTTGTGTAACATCAACGACATCAGCGTGCACCACGCCACGCCACGGTCCTTTGCTCACCGGATGACGATCCGTCACGTCTTCGCCGGCTGCGACTTCTGCCACGTCGCAAGACAGCCATCGCGCTGAACTATGGCGATCTGTGACGTCCCCCACACTCGCCATGCATCAATGCGCGCGTCCAACATCACAACCGCAGACGGCCCATCGGCCAGACAGTGTTACTGCGTTGCCCACGTCCTGACCGCTTATTTCGGCACCCGGTCATGCGTTTTGCAAGCTGCTGCCCGGAAAGGTTCGACTTGTCAATGTACACGTTGACCATCGCTCACTTCTGGCCGCCAGACGTCCATACAGCCTACGCGCAGAGGTCGTGCCCATGCGCGGACGAAGGGACTGTCCGCGCGCGCATTGTGCAAGCAACTCCTGTCTGTACGAAGCGCGTACACCGATGTACAAGCTTGTACATACATGCACATGTATGTGCAGACTAGTGCAGACTTGTACATGCTTGTACAGACCAATGTTCAGACTAGTACATGTATGTATAGACTAGTACAGACTAGTACATGCTTGTACAGACCCATGTCCAGACTTGTACATGCTTGTACAGACCTGTGTACATGCTTGTACAAGCTAGTACAAGCTAGTACATGGCAGTACAGGCCCATATCCAGAGTGGTACAGACTTGTACATGCTTGTACATGCTTGTACAAGCTTGTACAGACCTGTGTACATGCTTGTACAAGCTAGTACATGGTAGTACAGACCCATGTCTAGACTAGTACAGACTAGTACATGCTTGTACAGACCTGTGTACATGCTTGTATAAGCTTGTACCACCTAGTACATGGTAGTACAGACCCATGATCAGACTAGTATAGACTTGTACAGGCATGTACATGGCTGTACAAACCTGAGTACATGCTTGTACATGCTTGTACAACCTGTGTACAGACTAGTGCAGAGTGGCAGGACTGTCATCTTGCCTGTGTGGTTGAGGTGTAGAATCTGTGCATGGCTGTCTGTACAGCTATGTAGCCATATATTTGCATAGTACAAGGAGAACTGTGAGTGGTTTCTGATACTTTCATATCTGCTTTGTTGCAAAAGGATTGTCACACCAAGTGTGACAACCTGTTTCCAATCCTCCTAGTTCTGTTCTTCAATCCTTTTCTCACTATCTGAGACATACAATGGAAGATCATGTTGATAATAATGCTTTCTGATCCCTTTGTGATGATATGAATCATGAATTGTTGAAAATCTGCTGCAGATGAAAATTTGTCAAAGTATTGAAACTGTGCTGAGACAAGCATCTCTCATGATCAGTCACTCATCTCTCTCTTACTTGTCAGCTGTATATGTACAAATGGTGACAGAGAACATGTTATCAATCCTTCATGTAGTCAGATTTCAGAAAGGGAAATGAAAAGGTCATGACTTATTCTTATGAGTATCTGTTCTCACTAACATAGTTGTTTTGCCACAGCTCATCCACAATTCCCTTCGGCTTGTCCAAGAAATGTTAAAGACCCAACAACTTGAATTGTCTTTAATCTCATACTCACAATCCACAGCAATTTGTGGCATGAATGTCAAAGACAGCAATATGCATACTTGTCTCTTATCCTTCTAGGACAATGAGAGCATGTTCTGTTGAGGCAATATCTTAAACTGTTGACTCAATCACTTGCAACAGACTATCATAGAGGGATTGAAGACATTTGAGGCCACAATCTGTCTTGTATCCCTTCTCAACAATCACGTCCCAGAAGTTCAAGTTATTTTTTTCTAACCCAGATTTCTCAATCTTATCGGTCGAAATATTCTAGGAAGATTAATACCTCTTTCTCGATCTTTCGTTCGAAGGATCAAAAGTTTCACGCAGTGTCTGCAGACGGATTGCCGCGATCATCATGCGCGTCACGCACGGATACACCGTTAAAGGCGCAGACGACCCGATGCTCACTATACAGTTGGCGGCTATGGATAACTTCACCTCAGCAAGCGATGTTGGTTCGTGGTTAGTGGACTTCATTCCCCAATGTGAGTCTTTGAAATCTTGACGAATCGAGAGCGGCGTATGACATACGGACTTACAGTGCAACACTTGCCACGTTGGATGCCTGGGGCGTCGTTCCTGAAACTCGCGGATGAGTTCAAACAGCTGGAACGCCGTTCAGTGAGGACGCCGTACTTATGGTGCAAGGAGCGCATTGTGCGTATCTTTCATCTTGCGTTGCGCACTAAATGTCAGTACTCATGCGAATGCTACCTCACAGCAAGAAGGAACCGAGGACCCTGGATGTCTGGTTGCCACCGCAATCAGGCAATTCGAAGCCAAATCGAATGAGCAAGACGAAGCGGAGCTCCCTTGGGCTGCGTCATCGGGGCTCGGAGGCGGGTTGGATACGGTGCGTCACACGATCAGCATTATGATGCGGTCGAGTAAACCTTTGTATCAGAACATGTCCACAATCTTCACATTCATTCTCGCCATGTTGCACTATCCGCACGTACAAACTAAAGCTCAGGCAGAGATTGACGGTGTGGTTGGCAATGAGCGACTTCCGTCGATTACAGACAGGCCGTCATTGCCATACGTGAGAAGCGTGATAGCAGAGGTCTATCGTTGGTTTCCGGCAGCCCCGCAAGGTACGTGTGTTTCGTGTGTGCCCGAATCTCGCTAACACATCGTCCAAGCCATCCCTCATGCACTGCGGCAAGAAGACGTGTACAAGGGCTATCTACTCCCCAAGTCCTCGATCATCATTCCCAATATCTGGTCAGTCGACGCCGTCTCTGAATATTATCACCTCCCACGACTGGCGCTGACTCGGACGTGTATTATCCAGGGGCATGCTACACGATCCAAGTGCTTTCCCACAACCGGAGAAGTTCGAGCCTGAGCGATTTGGCTATAGCGACGGCGAGATGCGGAAGGTGACAGACCTACTCTTTGGCTTTGGACGCCGGTTTGCCCCGGGTCGCACTTTGCGGAGGGGTCCATTTTCGCGGTGATTTCGACCATACTTGCGACCTGTAATGTCGTGCCCAAGATTGACAAGCACGGGAATCCTATAATACCGGGGATTGACTATACGAGTGGCATGATAATGTGAGTATCGATCATTCATCAATTGTTCTGACTGCTTCGGTATATTGACTCGACTGTCTGCCAGATTCCCTAAGAACCTTGAGTGCGATATCAAGCCGCGATCAACGCGAGCTCAAAAGCTCCTTGAGGATTACGTTTCCCGGAGTGAACAACACTCGTCATGATTCCGCAAAGCGGGACGCGGTACTTGGCAGAAGTTTTGAGATTGTCTACGCGTAGTACTACTTGTACAATGTGCGTGTTTGCATTTGCGAGACATGATAGCATTTCGATCTTGTATGGAACAAGACAGTGGTTGCGGTGGACTGGGAGACGCGAAAGTTCATATCTTCGTACACTTGGGTCACTCTGAGACGGGTAGGCAAGGTAGCGTATGACCAGAGAGTGTTGTGATGGGCCTCTATATATGCCTCGGTCGAAGCAGCTTGTAACGATGTCGACCTGCGCGCGCCGCGAGCAGCGTCCGCGACCTCCTCCGGATAAACATCGGATGGGCGGGCTGGCGGGCCGACTGCGGTTGCGTCCACCGTCCTCTGCCACTAGCTCCGCCCATTCCCTTCATTCGCCGCCGGCTGCGACTCCTTGGCATAGCAGCAACGAAAAGTCAGTAACCGTCACAGATGCAAGTTCAATCGGCTGTGTGTAGTGTCCGAGTCGTGCTGATGTGATCTACCTTGCAGAACGTACTGGCAGCATACATCAGAGGTCACGATCTCCTCGCGGTGCCGACGAGCAGCAACACGTCTCGTGTTATCTCCATCACACCAACGGACGTAGTCTCAGGCTCAACTGCTGGTAGGGCTCCTCTGCTGAAGACGAGTCCCATGCCAGGCTCCTAATTCGCCATACTTGCAGAATCTCCGGACGCATTCGCACTTCGACCGTCTGTGTACATTCCCTTGCGCCGACATGGAAGAAGGTGCATCGACGTGAGTACAAGTTCGAGTGGTGTGCGAGACGTGCTGATACGGGACATGGACTAGGAGGACCGCCGCCTCCGGAGCGTCATCTCAGGATGACCCGGCTCCGCGGTTGCCCACCGAGATCTGCGGACGGATCGTCGACCATGTAGCAGCGGAACTGAATCTCTATCACCGCTATCTGGTTGGGAATTCAGACCTCCTGGCTCTTCGATCGTGCGCACTGGTATGCAGGGATTGGTACTTTCACACCTGGTACCATCTCCGTCGCCGTGTTATCCTCCGTGACCGGAACGATGTCCGTTCACTTTCCAGGACACTCCGCGAGAGACCACGCCTCCGCGGTATCGTTCAACAGATCGTCATCTCAGGTCAAATATCTGGCCAGCGTTCATTGATTCAACAACTCGGAACATTTGCCGCCATGCTTGCCGGGAAGCTCCCGGAGCTGTCGAGGATCAGTATCGAGGACGCGGAATGGCCCGTTGGCTTGATGAGGGTGGAAGACTTCGGATATCTCGCCGCATTTGACCTCGTCCACACGTTAACCATCGCCGACGTCACCGTGTCGAGCATCGCCCACCTCGCCCGCCTCATCTCAGCACTCCCTGCCTTGAGAGAACTATATTGCTTCAATGTCGTCTGCTCACAGAAACACCCAGTCTCTCCTGTCTCTCTCCCGCTCAATTCTGCAAGCCTGAAGGTCCTCGAAGTGCGATGGGTCGCGCCTGCGGTTGAAGACCTACTCGTTCGGATCAGCCAGGCTTCCCGGCTACACACGCTCTCTTTCGGAGTTGACGGTGACTTCACCTCATCCTCCGCAGGAAGCAGAACTCAAGCTTTATTGGATGCAAGTGCGGCCTCGGTGGAAGTCCTCACGCTCTGGATTGCTCCCGCCTCCTCCGTGGACAGTCACACTGTTGATTCCACTGTAGGCAAGTTGTACACATTCGCTCTTGGGTCATCTGATTGACCGTGAATGTAAGTAGAACGACACTTCAACCTGTCACGCCATGAAGGGCTGTGGCTATTGCAGATTCACCTGTACCATCCCTTTGTTGAATGGTCCTGTATTCCTCATATCGTGTCTCGCATCCCTTCAGATCATCTCATGGCCATTTTTGTTTCGTTTGCAACTCGTGCAGATCATGCAGCCGCCGACTTGGATGGGGCGGTGACGATGATGGAGGAAGATGGTATCTTGGTGCGATTGGACGATATATTGCAAGCAGAGGGCTTCGCCAATATCGCACCGGGCGGTATATGCCTAGGCTTCGTTCATGATGGCGATGACTGGCTGCCGCTTGTCAAGTTGTTTGATTCAGAATCATCATTCAGAGAGCAGTGTGGCCGGTGGGACGGGCTCGTTAGACGGAAGATGCCGGGGTGCGATAGACGGGGCATGTGCACGTACGTGATACATTGGGTCCGATGCAATGGCAGAGACGCGCTGAGTTCCCTTCTTAGCATCGTTTATAGTATCGAAGAGCACGAGAACTGGAGGAATAACATGGTTGAAATCCAAGAAGCGACACAACAACAGAAGGCCAAAACCGGAGTAGAGGTGCAGCGAGAGGACGACGCTGAGCATGCGCCGGACACGTCAGGCTGACTGTCCTCATCGTGTACACTCACCGGTGTCCGTGCAACGAGTCCTGTGAGTGCATACAAACTGCCATACATACGTCTGTTCACCTGGTTTCTGCAGTGTTATCGTACGCGGCGCGGTTTGCGCATTTGATTGTCTCCCCAAGAGGCGAGCGGCGATGCCCTATGTAGCGACGTAACACTATTCGCGGGATGTCCCCGAAATACTGGTCCACGGATGTCGTCACGTAGAACATTATCGCTGGTGTAGCAGTGTACTCGGAGCGAACGCTCTCGCACTCTGGGTATGTCAGCGCACGGATCTACCTCCCCTACTACTAGCCTGGTACTCTCAAGTTCACCGGCCGCTGCAGGAGGCTACCTCCAGGGCGGAGATCACAGTTATGGTTTCGTTGGGTTTCCGCTACGTACTAATGTTCATGACAGAGCATGCTGAAACATACAGCTAGCGCGGTGTCTTATGCCTTCTGACTTGCTGTCGACCGACGGGTGTGTGATAATGGCGAGGTCCCAACGTGGACGCACTGGTTCGAAAGACTGACCGGAACGGCCCATCTGCTATGCGGTTCTTACATGCATGCCACACGCAGGGGCGGAGAACTTGAAGGATTGTCCTCGTGGAAAGGCTGACCATAGTTCGGATATGAATATGTGCTGTATCTATCGGACTAAATATTATGTCGTGATGTACGTGAGACAGCATTTTGTCCACGAGAGCATCCGAGGACAGCAACAACGATCACCTGGCTGCGAGCACGACCACAGTGCCAAACGGTGCGCGGCACTGTATAATCAACCAATAAGTGAAGTACACAAAATCATAGGGCGATTCGCCGCAACGTGCATCATTGAGAACTCGGAATGAAGCTTCCACCATGGCTCTCCGCGCACTTCGCCTCGAGGGCGTCGTCATGGTCAACCACGCTAGTGATCTTCACGGCGAGCGGGCGCATCTGGTACGAACCCCCTGATGACTTGTCCGTGCGGTTGGTCGTCCTATTTGACCCGGCACGGGAGTCGTACTGGATGCGCGAGCCCGTTTGCGCCTAGCCCAGTCCGACCTGACGTTGATGAGCATGAACGATATGCCAGACAGCTCCGACCAGGTGTCGACCGCCGTGAAGTGCAGGCTGGAGTTGGCCTGGTACGAGATGAGGAAAAACGTCGTCCACGCCCTGCCAGTGCATTCCAGAGTCAGTCAGCTATGCGGCGAGGGGTAGTCGCGACGATGCAGACTCACGTGCCGAGATCGGCGCTTTCTATGGTTGTCAATACGTTCTTGGGATTAGTCAGATACTGGTACTACGCAGGTCTGAAACGGCGTACGACAAGGCTCGTCCCGCTGTAGAGCTTGACGTCGCGCAATGTCCAGACGCGGTATCCAATCGAGGCTTAGCGGATATGCAGATTAGACGTATTGTCGATTCGCATGGTGCCAAATGGAACTCAACAGTGCTGTAGATTTTGGTGTTGATGCATTCGGAATAGGTATGAGACTGCATCTGTCGTGACGACCGGGGATGTTATGCTCACCGAAGTGTGAATACGCAGTCGCTAGTGATACAACGACCGCCTTGGGACACAAATACGTTCTCCCCGGGCCAGAATTGAGTGAACTGGTAGGTTATGCCGATTCCGCATGCTGCGTGGTGTGTCGGCGATCAGTGCATCTCTCACAGCATATGTGTCACTGACCTGTGAGTCCCGCGAGCGTGCATAGCGGGAAGAGCACGATAGCCGTGCGACGGTGCCAGACGACCCACAGCCTATAGATCTGAAAACACACAAATATACTGCGCAATCCTGCGACCCCGCTCACGATGACACCCACCCCTACAGAACGCAGTTGTGGGCCCAGGACATCGTACCGGCTCGTCGCCGGGGAGGCACATCGAGCGCTTCCCCACAGCTCGCACCGTTCTATTGCGGCCGCGCGTGCGGACGTACTCTCAAAATTGACGAAGCACCTCCCGCGAAGAGACATCGCGGAGAAGTAGTACCTTGAGGCTAGTCGGGGGACCATCATGAGCGCGAAGGCAGCGCAGACGCTCCTCGCCGAATGTTTGCATTCAAGGACACACTTCCGAGATTCGCCCGCGAGCTATACGCCGGCGAGAGCCGAGCGATGTCGACGCGATGTGTAGCAGGGATGTGAGAGACGACGTATTCGGCAGAAGCAACCAATGCGGGGCATTCCTCGTGCATACAAGCATACAAGTCCTGGGGTCTGAGGCCGACGGTAGCGCGCCCGGCGACGTAGGAGAGCGAGACCGTACGCGCGTAGAGGCAGAGTACTGAGTACTGATCATGAGTACCGAGTGCTGAGCGCTGAGCGCGCGGTGCTGTACAACATTGCTGACGTAAGTTGTGCAAGTGGGCAACTCGGTCGAAGCAGCTTAAGTATGAGAATAAGGACGAGTTACATATGAGGCGACGAGTTGGTATTGGGGATCGCGCCGTCGCTGGGTGGGTGGCAAGTGGCGCAGCAGGAGGCGTTCAGCACGAACCCTACTCTAGGGTTCCAGCCTGTCGTGCACGGGACCGGTCGTCGCTTCAGCACCGCCCTCTCTGCGCCGTCTGCGGCGCGAGCCAACGAGCGTCGGGGACACATCACGGAATTCGCACTGAGTACACATAGCCGTTATATCTGCTTGCATGCGAATATAAACACCAAAATCGTTACAAACAGTAAAACACACTATAGCGCTAGCGGATTACACAAGCTCATTACAAGCTCAATACAAGCTCATTACCTACACACTACAATTCATATGTAGATCGATTGTAGAACGTCGCAAGCTTGCACATCTCACACAATCTCCGCTTCAGGCCCTCGGCAGTCCCATTTGTTCGCATGAAACCCGATATGATTCAAGTACAGTAGATCAGGTTACACAGCAGAAGCAACGGAGAAGACAGTATGTAAGACGCTCGGCCCAAGGACAAACAGCACAGGCAAAAGACCTGCCCAATCGTGCGCAGCAGGATCATATCCCCGGCATGAAGAGCTTGATCGTCATCTCGGCGTTCACCACGAGCATGCATCGCATGCACCATGGTCCTCGAGGGAGACGGCGTCCCTCGGCGCGACGCTTGCGATGAGGCTGCGAATGTTCGTGCACGCGGCGAGCCGCTTCGCGACCTTCTTCGCCTTGCCGCCCTCGCCAGCGTAAAGGACGGCGAGCAGTGGCACGTCGATCGCGGTGAGGAGCTTGGTCTACGCTTTCGGCGCGTGCGCCTCGTGTGCAGCGCGCAGTTGCTCGCCGAGGGAGCCGAAGACTCGAAGTTCGGAGGGGAGCTGCGGCTGGGCGACGACGAACTGCGAAGGGTGGTTCTTCCTGTCGAGGGGCACCGCACGGAGCTTGTTCTTGATGGTGTCGCTGCCGAGCTTGAACGTGGCGTCGTCCTCCCAGGTTAGGTTCCAGTCGTAGAGCAGCCAGTAGCCCCCTGCTCCGACGGCGTGCTTCGTCTCATGAGACGCAGGTAGCACCACGAACACACGGAGCAAACAGCGCCGTGTGCCAGGGATGTTACCCGCAACCCATTCGCGCCAGCTACGTCTTCGTGTCAGGCACTTACTTGTCATGCTTGTACCTGTGCTAACCATGTCTGCCTCCCTGCTGACCGTGCTGATCATGCTCGCTCCCTACAACACCCGCCTCGTCGTTGCGTCCATGCTCGTCGTACTGCTTCCCTTGTACGTCGCACCGCAGCCCTTGTACGTCGCGCTCGCATGTGTGTGTCGCGCTCACACTCGAACGCGCCGTACACGCGCCCGTGCCTGCGTGCGCCGTGCATCATTGTCGTGCTTGTGCTCGTCTTCTTCACATGATGTTCATGCGTGTAGCCGTCTTGTTCGGTTTGTGGTCGTCTTCGTGTCAGTCCTGTTTGCGTCGCGGTTGGCGCACAGTCAATGTGCGCTTGCCTCGGATTGCAATGTGCAAATTTGCATACCTGGCAGGTCTTTGATGGGAACAAGGAAGAACATACCAAGCTTCGAGTTGTTGGAGTCGCAAAGAGAGGACTTAGAGGTGACTCAACTGCCAGTGCCATGTTGCGTGACGTGTTGAGCATGTTTCAGCTGTTTGCAGAACGATAGTCACTCGCGAACGCGCGCGACATATGATGACTAAGCGCTCCGCGCTTCGGGAAGTTGGAGGAGGGCGGCGCTGGCCCCATCGCGGCTCTCATCTGTACCACACCCCACCCGCCTCTTCCGCTCGACTGCGCGCACGCTGCACGACGGCTGCGAGGCAATGATCTACGCCACGCCACCCGACGCGATCTCGTGAGCAACGGCCCTGACGCGAAGCAACGACTTGGTAGGACACGTCCGCCCTTCCAGTGCTTGGTCCGGTTTCACAACTTAGAGACTATGAGCTCTTTCGTGGGTGTTGGGACAGATCGCCGGTTTCCGTTGTAGCGAGCCATACTAGTAGTAGTAGGAGAGGCAATCCCCGACTCCTCCCGAAGGGAGGGAGGGCTCTGTCAAGTAGAAACGATATTGCGCCGGGGATGCCGTGTCGCCGTGGGAAACTTTTGTCCATATATGGTACGCGCGATACCGCATAGGGAAACTGTCCACATGCAAGCCGTGCGCTCGCGTCTGACCGAGGCTCTGCCTGGCTCTGTGTTCCGCTCGTGCGGCTGGATCTTCCTCCGGCTTTTTCCGAGCATATATAACATGCCTCCTGCCACTATGATCGAGACACTCACTTCAACACATCTTGTCTTCCCCCCTGAAGCAGCTGCCATTTCCATGTCACAACAACTAACTAGTACTGCCCCTACTTCCCAACTACCAGATAGGGCCTTGGGCTCAATACTAGTTTTACCAGACAGTGTCTTAGGCCCACTACCAGTTTTACCAGATGATTCTGCAGACTATATACCAGTCTTATCATCAGACAGCATACCACATACAATTGCAAGTGTCCCTAATGACACAGTCCAAGGCATCATGAATAGCAATCCTTCATGGTTCTATCATACTGATGATTATTACCTGCAGCAACTACAATCCCTTACCAGAGCTGAATTATGGGCTGCTGTTTGTACATGTGTTGATCAGACACAAGGTATCAGGCAATCCAAAGCATTTTTGGCTAAGCAACTACTGCAGCATTTCAACTCATCTAAAGTGTTATTGGCAAATATGTCAGATGTTCTCCTGTGCCAAACATGCAACTGCTCTCTGCTGCTCAGTTCACCATTCCACTGTAGATATATAATTTTGAAGCATTACTATATACAATTATATGGCTGCAAGATTCTGAAATGTCTATGCCAATCTCCTATGCTTTCCAGTATAGCACATGATGTTGCTCATTCAAGTACAGTTCCTGATATAGACCCTCATATTCTCAGCCAACTGAAATGTTTAGACAAGGACATTTTAGATCATTGTTACACCATATTTCAGACTGACTACATGAAGAGCAAAACAAGAGCAATGCAAATACTGGTTTCCAAGATATTGGCCATTAAGCAATATATCAGTGACTTGAGTATTGCTAAAGTGTACCAACAATACTTCACAGCTGTGACATACAGTGGCAACATGTTACCTAATGTGCCAAAGCCATGCAATATTGCTGAAAGTATCTTGATTGCATACTATGGTGATGCTGTGATAAATGCAATATTCCATAACACACTCCCAGAAGTAAGGAAACAGCAGCAAGTTCAGTATCAAAGAGACTATAGAAGGTTGAAAAGACAAGACAAGAGCATACAACTAAAGCAATCATACCTCAGTGAAGAAATGAATTGGCCTACCATACCTAGCACTGAGACTGAGTTAAGATGTGCATACAATTATTGGAAAGCAACACAACGGCATTCTCCTCTCATCTGCTCTGTGTGCTCTAGCAGTGCCCATAGATTGAAAACAAAGATCTATGATATGAATCAAATCCCCAACATAGTGCATAACATGTCTTTTTTGCAGGTACATGACCCATGGATTATTCAGAAATGCATTGTACAACAAAATTCCAATGAGTTCTTGTATGGAAATGTTTTGGATGGCTTCATGTTGGATAAAAAAGGGCTGCTATGCAGTGATCCTATCAATCACAGAATATCACTATGTTCAGACTGCTACAATTCCCTAAAGAAACCAGCTATGCCCAGATATGCACTAGCAAATAATCTATATAGAGGTCATCTTCCTACTGAATTTTGTGACCTTACATGGGTTGAAGAGATGGCATGTGCTATTTATCATATCACTGCCCATCTAACCCGTTTGTATGGATCTTCAGAACCTGGACAGCCAAAGATTTTTCATGGAAACACCATAACACATGATATGAATGTCATATCAACAACAACAGTGCTTCCTAGAACTCCTGCATACATCACTGGGTATCTCTGTTGTATTTATTGGACCTCATAAAATCAAAGCCAGTGACCTGGGCAATACATTCAGAGTGCAAAAAGCCAAAATATGGCATTTTCTTCTTTGGTTGAAGCACCATAACAAATTATATGAGCAGATCCTGTTGGATCAGAGTAACATAGATCAATTTCCAGATGATGGTGTTCTTCCTGGTGTTGATGCTCAATTCATCCAAGACATTCACCAAAAAAGTGATGAAATCTTCCAAGAAGCAGCAGGTTTTACAGAACATCCTGCAGAGGCTTTTTTGCATGACAACTCTAAACATGCAGATGATCAACCAACTGTACTGCTGGAACAGACAGGTGTATCTGACCCAGAAGGAGACAACATTAGTATACAGTAGTTATGCTGATACTTATGTTCCGCTTTAGGTCTATGTTGTACCACTAAAAGCGGAGTTTAAAATCTATGTAGATTATTGTATCATCTTATCTACACCACCCTCACTGCTCAATCGATATTCATTCATAATACGGTTCAGGCACCCACATGGAGTCGGGGACGGCGCTTGCGCCGCTACAGGAATACAAGTGGACTATGAGACAATCGACAGTACGGAGGCGCTACAGTACACGGTATTCGTAACGTGACCGTGGTATGGAATGTGAGTACGGACAACAGTTACAGAGTCCTGGGGAATTCTGACCTGAGAGGACAAACATCACGTAGAAGAGCGGTGCGATGGAGTCAGCGCCGCCCTCCTCCAACTTCCCGAAGCGTGGAGCGCTTGGTCATCATATGTCGCGCGCGTTCGCGAGTGACTATCGTTCTGCAAACAGCTGTTAGGGCAGACAGTGAACGGCGGAATCCGACAGGTACGATGTATACGCGTTGGATGATGCTTATAAGGTGTTCGTCAGACGATGCTGAAGTGAAATCCGGTGAGGCGACTGTAGGCACTTATCGAGCGCTTGTAAAGTGGCACAATATTTCGATGATCTACAAACACTGAAATCGCTTATCGTTCTGAAGGGGATTCCCTGATGCCAAGAGCGCAGGCGGACGACGGTGCAGCATCTGCGCGGCTCCCCAGGAACCCTACGGCAGGCTCCAGGATACCGTCGGACGCGTACAGACGAGTCTGCGGTCCGGGTTTACGTCCCATACCGTAGGCCTTTCGTATATAGCTCAGTATGCGACGGCGCGACCATTCGACCGTGTACGCTGTGACGCCGGCATGCCCAGCACCGTCCTTCCCCGCATTCACCCAGTTGCGCGTCCCCACTTCAACGCAGACTCGCCGCTTTCTTCTTCCATGGCGCTAGCTGGCCCTGGTACGTCTTCGCCAGACGGCCGCAATCGTATCCCTGTTGCTCGCCAAACTGCAGCGCGACCCACCTATCGTGACTCTTCAACGGGCAACGCTTGGTCAATATCCGACGCGCCTGTTTCCTGAGTAATCACGTAAGCCAGCTGGCAACAATCACTGCGCGAGGATACTTACAACGGCCTGTCAGCAGGTCCCAACGATGCAATCACGCACCTATCCTCGTCACATGGTAGTCAGAGGTGGGGCACAGCTCAGGAGCACTAGCGAGTATACGCCTTTGAGATGCTCAAAAGGTATCGCCGTCTGTCCTATCCATCTGGCGTATAGACAGTGTTGAGCTAGGGCTGGGACGGTCCTCCATACATGTAGAGGGCGTGGGCCTATGCCTCCTACCGCAGCAGGAGCCACGGAGCGCGACGTTGTGCATTGCACCTTTGCGGAGCGACTTGGTAATTAGATTCGTGGCGCTCAGACGGTAACCGCGCTGAGCGGTGCGCACGGTCCTCCGGGGTCGACTATACTAGCAGAGCCGGTCGAGACAATAGCGCTGAAGCGGCGCTCAGCCGGACAGACTGTCCCGTAGGCCATCCAGCGAAGCCCGAGTGCGTAGGATGAGTAGGTTGAACGCATACAGAAAGTCACTACTCACCGTCCTACAGAGCCCGTCGAATGTGCTCTCCGTGTCCTCCAAAATCCCGTCACCATCGAACCACGTCAGTCGGGGCCCAGTCCGCGATGAGTGGGTTGGCCATATGCATGCAGCCTGTCCGTTTGGTAGATGGTGCAACGCACGCATGATGCCGAAATGGCATGGATGACTCGGAGGCCACTACGGATTGCGGCGCCCGCACCAAAGTCAATACCGCAAGCGGCGGGTTCCGCCATCTAGAGCGACCATACCACCGGAAATCAGTCAACGATATCGATGGAGCGAAGACTCGGACGAGGGAACTGACCATGTCCCCGAGCCCCTCGACCTTGCTCTGTTCCACCTGTCCCTGAACAGGAGCCCAACGTGGCGAATAAGGCTACAGGCGAGGAGTTGAGTTTGCCTGCGTGGACCGCGCAGAGCTTGCGTTACATGAGCTTGGCCGCGGGGTGCCGAGGCGCATATGACTGAGGGGGCGGCAGGGCGTACGCGGGCGAAGCAAAGGGCGTGGACAGAGGGACACGCGCAGGTGCAACGCTATCGAGCTGTTCGACGTGGCGGGAGGTAAGAGGATTGGCTGGGAGCTGCCGGTATGCGTTCCGCTCGTCGATGACGACGGTGTCCTTGCTGGACGACAAGGGCGGGTTGTTTGGTTCCTGTCATGGGTGTGGCACGTCGCGTAAGACACGAAGATATTATGGTGGAAAGTGCGCGGAATGATGGGCAGTTGCTCACCGAACCGTCCGCGCTGTAATCCCAGAGAGGCGGGCACGCTGGCGAGGGCGGAGCGTGGTGGAGGGAGAGGGACTGCGCGCGACCAGGTGCGTTGATGGAGAGGTTGGTCGTCCTCACGTAGATATCCTCGTGGTTGCGTTAGCAGAACGCAGACGGTTGGGGATGAAGTTAAGTAGCATATGCGGACGAGATGCGACTGTGCTGCGAGGAAGTGAGGAGGTCCCGAGTGGTTTTGCGGTGCTAGTGAGCGGAGGAGGTGCTGGTAGTTGCTGTGTTGGAAGTGAGCAGTATGGTTGACGGGACGTCCGAGGTTCGTTTGCCGCGCGCCTCGGGCATCTGCGGGCCAGGCCGCTTACGTAAGCTTCGCTCGCACAGTGTCCCTCGCTCGTGTCGGACTGCCCAACACACTCTTGGTGCATTTGAACTGATTTATATGGACCTTACAGATGTTCTCAGTAGGTTTCTCGGTCTGTGTGGGATAAGGACGCGTAATAATGGTCATTTTGGGAAGACATGCTGTAAGCGCCCGTGATAATGAGCACATCAGTGATCTTATCTGAGTTCGCTGCCTAAATGGGTAGATGTAGCTGGAGATCACCTGCTCGTCCGAGAAATCAATAACATTCAAGCACAAAACTTGTCCAGCCCGATGCACGTTAGCATAATCAAGGAATGTCAGTGAGGCACATACTACTCAGATACTAGCATCGCAACCTGACATAGTAATCTGTCCGAAGACCGCCCGTTTAGGTAGCCATGTCAGATTAGATCACTGATATGCCCGTTATCACCGGCGCTTATGTTGTCCGTGCGCAGAAATGGCGGTTTTGCGGACAGTCCATCTCAGAACTCGATCTCGACACCCGGAAAAGCCAGTAAAGCACGGTATGGTATTCTTCAGCATCCTGAGTTGTGTCCGTTATTGAAAAAGCAGCCAAATACTAGCGAGACACTGTCTGCGAGGTCAGTTTACGTAAGCGGCCTGGCCCGCAGATGCCCGAGGCGCGCGGCAAACGAACCTCGGACGTCTCGCCAACCATAGAGCAGAGAGCCTGGCAGTGGTAGTGACCGTCTGGTGTCGACCGGCGCCGCGAGCAGCGTCCGCGACCTCCTCCGGATAAACATCGGATGGGCGGGCTGGCGGGCCGACTGCGGCTGCGTCGACCGTCGACGACCTGCGCGACTCGCCGCCGCCTCCCTCGTCTTCGCGTTTACCGGACTGTATCATCATCACTGTAAACCGCTGTATGCTGTACGCCTTGCCACTAGTGCTTCAGACACTGAGTGCGACCGTGACCGCCTTCAATTACTCAACTTGCGCTCGAACCCCCCAGCACGCCCCGCTGTTTACTGTATCCACCCGGTTTGTCGTCGCTCCCTGGTCTGCGCTGAATCTCGAAAGGATTTCAAGCAATCCGAGGCCTGACAATGTGCTCGTTGCTGCGGCCCGACGTTGAACATGGAGCACAGGTGTGGAGCACGAATATGGAGTGGGGAGGGGCAACGCCTTAGGGAGCACAGGTGTTCTCTCGGAGTCAACATTCGCATGCAGTGGTACAAGATACGCAAGCTCTAGGGTCTTCACATAGGACGTATTGCATTTACGTCGTTGGTACGTATGTGCGTTTCCCTCGTCTGTGCTCTCGCCAATCCCGCGACGTTCACTCGCCGGCAGAGGAACAGATCACGTCGCTCTTCAACGGCTCGCTTATATTAAATGAGAACGGAAGCGTCCAGGTACGACAGGTCGTTGGGTAGCAATGGGCTCGTGTACTAGGACAGGCCAGGCCGCAGAGCATCATGCAGGTAAGCGTTGTTTTGAATGCGTGGCTGGACATAGCTGACTGGCGCTGCCTTCCTTGACAGGCGGGCGGATGGAGGCGGTACATATGGGAGCCGCGACGTAAACTACCGGTTCTTACCCCAAATAGATGCGACGTTGACATACTGATGGTCTACGTCTACTCCGACCGCACGATCTGGTACTCGAACGGTCTGGTGATACAGAGAACATGAGATCTGAATTCCGCGTTCAAGTGGTCCTGTTTGATTATCGACGAGCATAAGTAAGTCAAATAGACTCGACGTTCAACGTCCAGTACTCATGTTTCTGCGCGCTCTCCAGGACAGCTCGCACCGCACCCAAGGACACTGGTCCTCCGTATCCGATTCCTCACGGTCCTAGCTTCTATATGTGCCGGTGAGCGCTATGTACTCTGATATATACTATCATCGCACTGATTAGTCTCTGCCACTAGCTTCGCCCGTTCCCCTTCATTCGCAGGCTGCGACTCCTTCGCATAGCAGCAACGAAAAGTCAGTAGTCGTCACAGATGCGAGTTCAATCGGCTATGTAGGTAGTGTTCGAATCGTGTTGATGTGTTTTACCTTGCAGAACGTACTGGCAGCCTCGCTATACGTCACGACCTCCTCGCGGTGCCGACGAGCAGCAAAACGTCTCGTGTCGTCTCCATCACACCAACGGACGTAGTCTCAGGATCAACTACTGGTAGGGCTCCTCTGCTGAAGACGAATCCCGTGCCAGGCTCCTAATTCGCCATCCTCGCAGAATCTCCAGACACATTCGCACTTCTGCCGTCTGTGTACAATCCGGTGTACCGACATGGAAGAATGTGCATCGACGTGAGTAAAAGTTCAATTCGTGCGCGAGACGTGCTGATACGGGACACGGACTAGTAGGACGGCCGCCTCCGGAGCGTCATCTCAGGATGAATCAGCTCCGCGGTTGCCCACCGAGATCTGCGGACGGATCATTGACCATGTAGCGGCGGAATTGAATCTCAACTACCAGGTTCTGACTGGGAATCCAAAGCTCCTAGCTCTTCAATCGTGCGCACTAGTATGCAGGGATTGGTACTTTCACACCTGGTACCATCTCCGTCAGCGCGTTCACCTCCGTGACCGGAACGACGTCCGTTCACTTTCCAGGACACTCCGCGAGAGACCACGCCTCAGCGGTGTCGTCCGACAGGTCGTCATCTCGGGTCAAACATCTGGCCAGCAGTCACTGATTCAACACCTCGGAACGTTTGCCGCCATGCTTGCCGGGAAGCTCCCGGAGCTCTCGAAGATCACCATCGAGGAAGCGGAATGGACCGTTGGCTTGATGAGGGTGGAAGACTTCGGATATCTCGCCGCATTTCACCTCGTCAACACGTTAGCCATCGCCAACGTCACCATGTCGAGCATCGCCCAGCTGGCCCGCCTCATCTCAGCACTCCCTGCCATGAGACATCTGTATTGCTTCAATGTCGACTGCTCACAGAAACACCCAGTCTCTCCTGTCTCTCTCCCGCTCAATTCTGCAAGCCTGAAGGTCCTCGAAGTGCGATGGGTCGCGCCTGCGGTTGAAGACCTACTCGTTCGGATCAGCCAGGCTTCCCGGCTACGCAAGCTCGATTTCGGAGTTGGCGGCGAATTCACCTCATCCTCCGCAGGCAGCAGAACCCAAGCTTTATTGGATGCAGGTGCGGCCTCAGTGGCAGCCCTCACGCTCTGGATTGCTTCCGCCTCCTCCGTGGACAGTCACACTGTTGATTCCACTGTAGGCAAGTTGTATACGTTCGCTCTCCGATTATCTGATTGACCATGAATGTAAGTAGAACGACACCTCAACCTGTCACGCCATGAAAGGTTGTGGCGATTGGCGATTCGCCTGTACCACCCCTTTGTTGCGTGGTCCTGGATTCCTCACATTGTCTCTCGAATCCAGTCAGATCATCTCATGGCCTTTTCTGTTTTGTTTATGGCTCGTGCAGATCATGCAGCCGCCGACTTCGATGGGGTGGTGACGATGATGGAGGAAGATGGGATCTTGGTGCGATTGGATGATATATTGCAAGCAGATCGCTTCGCCAATATCGCACCGGGTGGTATATGCCTAGGCCTCCTTGTTTTTGAAAACGACTGGCTGCCGCTTGTCAAGTTGTTTGATTCAGAATCATCATTCAGAGAGCATTGTGGCCGGTGGGACGAGCTCGTTAGACGGAAGATGCCGGGGTGCGATAGACGGGGCATATGGACGTACGTGATACATTCGGTCCGATGTAATGGCAGAGACGCACTGAGTCCCCTTCTTAGCATCGTTTATAGCATCGAAGAGCACGAGAACTGGCGTCGTAACATGGATAAAATTCATAAAGCGACGAAAAACCAGAAGGCCAAAAGCGGAGTAGAGGTGCAGCGAGAGGACGACGCCGAGCATGCGTCGGACACGTCAGGCTGACTGTCCTAATCATGTACACTCGCCGGTGTCAGTGTAACGAGTCCTGTGAGTGCATACAAACTGCTATACATACGTCTGTTCACCTGGTTTCTGCAGTGTTATCGTACGCGGCGCGGTTTGCGCATTTGATTGTCTCGCCAAAAGGCGAGCGGCGATGCCCTATGTAGCGACGTAACACTATTCGCGGGATGTCCCCGAAATACTGGTCCACGGATGTCGTCACGTAGAACATTATCGCTGGTGTAGCAGTGTACTCGGAGCGAACGCTCTCGCACTCTGGGTATGTCAGCGCACGGATCTACCTCCCCTACTACTAGCCTGGTACTCTCAAGTTCACCGGCCGCTGCAGGAGGCTACCTCCAGGGCGGAGATCACAGTTACGGTTTCGTTGGGTTTCCGCTACGTACTAATGTTCATGACAGAGCATGCTGAAACATACAGCTAGCGCGGTGTCTTATGCCTTCGGACTTGCTGTCGACCGACGGGTGTGTGATAATGGCGAGGTCCCAACGTGGACGCACTGATTCGAAAGACTGACCGGGACGGCCCATCTGCTATGCGGTTCTTACATGCATGCCACACGCAGGGGCGGAGAACTTGAAGGATTGTCCTCGTGGAAAGGCTGACCATAGTTCGGATATGAATATGTGCTGTATCTATCGGACTAAATATTATGTCGTGATGTACGTGAGACAGCATTTTGTCCACGAGAGCATCCGAGGACAGCAACAACGATCACCTGGCTGCGTGCACGACCACAGTGCCAAACGGTGCGCGGCACTGTATAATCAACCAATAAGTGAAGTACACAAAATCATAGGGCGATTCGCCGCAACGTGCATCATTGAGAACTCGGAATGAAGCTTCCACCATCGCTCTCCGCGCACTTCGCCTTGAGGTCGTCGTCATGGTCCACCACGCTAGTGATCTTCACGGCGAGCGGGCGCATCTGGTACGAACCCCCTGATGACTCGTCCGTGCGGTTGGTCGTCCTATTTGACCCAGCATGGGAGTCGTACTGGATGCGCGAGCCCGTTTGCGCCCAGCCCAGTCCGACTCTGACGTTGATGAGCATGAACGATATGCCGGAGAGCTCCGACCAGGTGTCGACCGCTGTGAACTGCAGGTTGGAGTTGGCCTGGTACGAGATGAAGAAAAACGTCGTCCACGCCCTGCCAGTGCATTTCAGAGTCAGTCAGCTATGCGGCGAGGGGTAGTCGCGACGACGCAGACTCACGTGTAGAGAGCGGCGCTTTCTATGAAGGTTGTCAATACGTTCTGGAGATCAGTCAGATACTGGTACTACTGAGACGCGGTCTGGAATTGCGTACGACAAGGTTGGTCCCGCTGTAGAGTTTGACGTGCCGTGATGTCCAGACGCGATATCCGATCATGGCTTAGTGAATATTCAGATTAGACGTACTATCGCCGGTTCGTGTGGTGCCGCATGAAACTCACCAGTGCTGTAGACGTTCGTGCTGATACATCGAATACGTATGAGACTACATCTGTCGCGACGACCGGAGATGCTACTAGTATGCTCACCAAAGTGTGAATACGCAGTCGCTAGTGATCCAACGACCGGCTTGGGACACGAACACGTTCTCCCCGGGATAGTACTGAGTGAACTGGTAGGTTATGCCGATGCCGCATACTGCGTTGTGTGTCCGAGTCGGCGACTGCAGCTTTTACAGCAACTGTGTCACTAACCTGTGAGTCCCGCGAGCGTGCATAGCGGGAATATCACGATGGCCGTGCGACGGTTCCATACGACCCATAGCCTATAGATCTATAAGTACAAAAATATACTGCGTCAGCTTGTTGGGTCGGCGTGTACGCGCGGAGGTAGTACGAACAACCATGGTGTCGCCAATGATCAACGAGGCCATCAAGAATCCCGTTTTGACGACCTCCGTGAGCTGTTTGAGGTTCCCGTAGAACGCTATGGGATCTGTTCCGCCCTCGAAGTATACGAACGCTTGGAACGTGCGGATGCACGTGAGTATCCAATGCTGCAGGCGGGCACTGAAATGTCAGTGACGAGGAGGTTCAATAGGGAGCGAACATACCGCAGTGATCGTTACCGACAGCGCGATCGCCCCGAGGAACATGGGTGTCTTGCAGAGGTGCATGAACACCACAGATGCGGTGGCGAGGTGTGGGAGCGTCGGCTGCAGCAGTTGCCTTTGGCGGTGCACCAAGAGATAGATGGACGACACGGAGAGCACGAAGAAGATGCCGTAGAGGAAGCTCTCCATGAAGACGGTCGCGACATTCGCTGCTACCAGAGGAACTTGTTGCATCTTGATGACTGAGGGAGAACACGAAGGTCCGAAGCTCAGTGCACGAACACGCAGATGGCTACGCCGAACCGTGCGTCTTCGCGGCGCGCTTTAATGCAATCAAGCGCGAGAAGAAACTTCTTGCAGAAGCGTATGGGATGCTGGATTGGCATAAGTTAAGAACCCAAAGAAGTAGGAGGCGCGCCGGGAAACATTCATGATGAATGCGAAACGACGGGTCACAGCAGTAAATTGACATGCAACATATGCCTGGTGTTGACTGCTCCCTGATGACGGAAGGGACAATTGCGCCGCACGCCCCTCTGCCTTGTGCGCGCGGATGCTAAGGTTCAACGTTCAGGTCGCACCATAGTATACCGTGGACACGACACGTCGTACCTGCACTGCCATAGTCAATTACAGTGAGTGAGCTTCCTCAGAGGAAACCCTGGAGCCTCGACAGCATACGTTTGTCCTAGGTTTTCAAATTGGCAACTCGAGGATTGCTGTGATCAGCCGCGCTGCGACGTTTTGTGATATATGTACAGGTCGTTACTATCCTTGTCAGGTGCCACGCACCGCCACCAGAATAATGTCAGTAAATATGTGAGTTGAACAGATATCATCACTCACTGTGACAGACTCGCCCGCAGTGGTACAGTACCGTACATTTTCAGTCGAGCTGTGTTCCGCTGTTGCCAATGAGAAGCTTAAGGTTATGGAGTAACGCATGCGGCGCCGGAGTCGGCGTTGATACCAACATTCGTTATCTCCCAGTACTCACGACATGTCACGGAAGTGGTTTGGGAAGTCGACGGGTTACAGCAGCAGCCATCTGCACAGGTACGGTGGCATGAACTTTGCTAAGCTTCGTGGCGTCCGATCACGAGCGGTGGGTCCAATTGGAGCGCCGCTCACACGCCACGGTGGCGAACAAGCACTGCTCTCTACGTTATTCTGACAGACAAACCGCCAGTACTAGTGTATCTCTTCAACGTTGCTGACCTCCTGTCTTGAATCCTGTGGAGGTACTTACCGGTACCGGTGACTCACGTGGGTTCGAGCTGTCCCCGCGTCGGAGACTTCCATGTCAATTACTGCCAACGCGACTGGGAAGTCCAGATGTGAGTACTGCGATAAGTTGTCAATTTGCTGCCACTGCGTTGCTTACCACTGTACGCGACAGTGACGGATCAATCGATCAGCGCTTAGGCTCTGAGTCTCTTCTCAGTCTTCTGCATTCCGTTCCCTGGCCTGACGCTCGAGAATGTGCCTGCCACGGATTCATGTCAACCTTTCCAAGTCCATGGGCCCACAATTTCCTGTTCAGCATGCTAGATGATCAGGAAGACATCCCGTAATTCGCCACTTGCGATGGCTCTTGGCCGCATGGAGCAAGTGACTGAGGCTGAGCGCTGAGCGCTGAACACCTTTGAACCTTGATCAAATGGCAGACTCGGGAAATGGTAAATGGTGTACTTGGATGCGTTATACATGCTCAATCCTCGACTCGTCCCTGCAGCTGGAAGCCCTCGCTCTCAACCATGGTCTCTCGTCGGTTTCTCCCTCCTCCGCCTCAGACGCAGGCTCGGTCGAGTACTACGTTCCGGCCTCCGCCTTTAGATGGGTCGCTCTCCCTCCCCGAAATCTTCGATTGGCACGCAGTGCACACTCAGGACCACCGTCTCTTTGTGTTTGCCAAGGGCGATGGCACCCTGCGGACTATCTACTGGCCCGAGGCAGTCAGAGCCGTGTACACGGGTGCGACCATCCTTCGAACGCGTCTAGCAGACGCTGCCGTAGGGGGAGAGACTCCAATCGTAGCCATATTGGCACCGTCTGGTTCGTCAATCATTCCGTCGCCACGGGAGAACGGGAGAGCTGCGTCTTGCTGACATTCATCCCTAGACGCGATCCCGTACTTCACAATGATGATGAGCATCATGCGGGCGAACTACGTCGCGTTCCCAATATCCCCTCGAAACTCGCCGCTGGCTGTTGCGCACCTCATCAACAAGGTCGGGGTTAGTCATGTCCTCGTCGGTCGGGAGCAGGCCATGCAGGACCTTGTCAATGAAGCACTGGCCATTCTGACCACCCGCTACGATGCCCACACACTACCGACGCTCTCACCTATGCCGCTCTTTGAAGAGTTATTCCTTCCTGAGACAGCTGAGAAGGCTGAGCCGCCATCCTATGTATACAAAGGTCCTGATGCTCTCGCGATGGTCCTGCATTCTTCCGGTATGGCCTTGATTCGCCCTGCGCTGGTATGGTCTCATGCTCTTTGACAGGCTCCACTGCCTTCCCAAAGCCAATCTTATGGACGAACCACCGCTTCTGTCAACTGTGTCTCATCCCTTGGTTCGGAGAACGGGACCTCACCGGCCAAGTATTCTCGCTTCACACGATGCCTATGTTCCACGGGATGGGTGTACTGCAGCTCTGTTGGACGGTACGTTCAGTCCGCTCATCCCTCGTAAAGGTGCATATACTCAGCTTTCTGGCAGGCATCCTCCGGGTTGGTAGTCAGCTCGTTCGAACCAAAGTCCCCAGCCCCGGTCCCGACACCCGACGCCCTCTTCGTGGCTGCCAAGGCGACGGAAAGTGACATTGTGTTTTGCGTGCCTTCATTCATCGAGGTGGGTGTCACAGCGCATGCAGTATGTATATACTGACATCTCGATGTCTCACTGGTGCGCGGACCCCGAAGGCGTGGTCCCGGAACCCGGACTACGTTCGCTGGCTTGCTTCTCGTGGAGGCGTGGTACGTCTGGCTCGTACCGGTGACCCATCGGTCCTTGATATTCTTCGCAGCTTTTCGGCGGCGGTCCTCTGAACAAGGAGGCGGGAGACTTCATGACCTCGCAGGGCGTCTCAATCTTCATCTTATACGGCTCGTCAGTACTTTCTTCACTGGTCGTCCTTGTTCGAGCCATCTCTAACAACATCTATGTACCTAAAGGACGGAGGGTGGAATCATGAGTCCGATCCTCCCGTGTAAGACGCTGCATCACGATAAGCATAGACAGAAGCTGATGCGCCTTGTACAGCGCAGGTCGGCTACGACTGGGATTACTTCAAGTTCCCGGGTCTTGTTACGCCTCACATGGAACCGTACGGAGACAACACCTACGAGTTCGTCATGTTGGTACGTGCACACCGCGATATAATCTACACATCGCTCAGGCCCGTTCGCAGGAGAACGAGTACTGCCGTCCAAGTGTGATCAACACCAAAATTGGCGGAGTGGATGCGTATGCGTCGTCCGACATGATGATCCCCCACCCCACGAAGCAAGGGTACTGGAAGGTGTTTGGAAGAACAGACGATCAGATCATGCACAACACTGGCGAGAAGGTCGGTGCAAGGTCGCCCTCTCATCGAACCACGTTCCTGATAACTTCCCACCCAGACGAACCCGGGACCGCTAGGTGGGTAGTGGGGGTACGACAGATGCAACGATCGGCTTATCGAAATCGTCCAGAGAACATGCTGAATCAGGATCCGCACGTCTTGGCGTCTGTGATGTTTGGGCGCGGTCGATTTCAGGCAGGGATCCTCGTCGACCCCCGGCCTCAACACAGGTTTGACCCTGCAGACGAGACGAAGCTGGCGGAGTTCAGGAACATGATATGGTACGTGATACTGTCTGTGTCGTGTGTCAATCACCAACGTTATCGTGCCAGGCCGACCGTCGAACGGATGAATGCATATGCCCCTCAACACTCCAGACTCTTCAAAGAGGCAAGTGCGCACTGACTATCAACGAAGCTCACGTTCTAACACCGTCCTTCCAGATGATCATAGTATCGAACCCTTCTAAACCATTCACTTATACGGCGAAGAGCACTGCACGCCGGCAGGCCGTCATTGACGACTACGCCGAGGAGATCGACGCTGCTTACGACAGAGTTGAGGAAAGTACTCAGTCCAGCATCCCCCCTCCGTCCCAGTGGGACCACCCCACCACGCTCGAATTCGTCCGCGCGGTCATCAACAAAGTCTTAGTCCACAATGTGGACGATAACGACAATATCTTCCAGCACGGCTGCGACAGGTGCGTGGACGTGCAGCGCCAGTGAATGCACCCGTGAATTCACATGTCGTGCACAGTCTGCAGGCAACTCACATCAGAAATGCGCTGTTGCGCGCTTTGCGGGACTCCGCGCAGCTCGACACGCGCAAGAGCGTTGGGAACTTCGTCTACGACCTCCACACTGTGACCAGCCTCGCTGCTTTCCTCCTCGAGCTAGCTACAGGCGCCTGGTCAGGCTCTATGAAGTCTATCGAGGGCAGAGCAGACAGCATGCTTGCGATGGCCGCGAAGTACCTCAATGATCTCCCGGAACACAAGTCCGCCACCTCGACTGCCAGCCTGCATCCCGTCATCTTGGTGACGGGTACTACGGGCAGCCTGGGGTCCTTCCTACTCTCTCGTCTTGTCGAAGACCCGTCTGTCGCGCGCATTTACGCCGTTAATCGTCCTGCGAGAGACGGGAGAGGATTGCGAGCACGACAGGAAGCTGCTATGGCTTCTCGTGGACTCGACATCGCCTGTCTTGAGAACAGCAAGGTTGTGCTCCTGGAGGCCGACATCTCTGTGGCCGGCTTCAACCTCTCGCATGAGGTGTATGCGGAGGTGCGTGTCACGGCGATGTCGAAGCTCTGCTCCCCAGACTCACCGACGGTGCTATAGATGCAATCTTCCGTGACGCATGTAATCCATAACGGTATGCGCTTCTTTGGTGTCTTTGTATCCTGCATGTTCACGATGTCTCGTCGCAGCATGGAGAGTAGACTTCAACTTGTCTCTCGAGTCGTTCGAGCCCAATGTCAAGGGTGTGCGACACCTCATCGATTTCGCACTGTCCTCCCCGCGTCCAAGCCCACCACGAACACTGTTCACCAGTTCCATCGGGGTCTTCCAGAGTGCGTCCGTCCAATCCAAGTTAGAGACTCGAGCTCACGGGCATACAGACATCGAGGGCGTCCAACTGGCTGAGCAGTTCATCAGTCCTGCCGTCGCCGTCGGGTCGGGCTACTCGGAATCGAAATGGGTAGCGGAACGGATCCTCATGGAAGCAGCAGAGAAGACAAGCCTCGAGACCCTCGTCGTCCGCGTCGGTCAGATCTGCGGCGCGCCCGACGGAGCGTGGAACGCGCACGAATGGTTCCCGTCCATGGTGCAGAGTGCCCCAATCCTCGGTTGTTTCCCGGATGATCCCAAGGTGAGCCGCACGACTCGTGTTGTCGAACCGTACTCATTGTGTGCAGGCGGTGTCATGGGTGCCTCTCGCCACAGCAGCCAGCGCCCTCGCCGGGCTCGTACACGCCGCATACAAGAAGGACGTCATTCATTTGATCCATCCCCGCCCCGTCACCTGGTCCTCGCTCGCCGCCGTCATCGCAGACGAGCTCGACGTCTCCCTTGTCCCCTTCGCCGAATGGCTGTCCAGGCTCGAAGCGCTGCACGACGCACCCCCTCGTCGGCCAGACGCACGCACGGAAGTCGAGCTGCTGCGCACTGTTCGGGCACTGCGCGTGCTTCCATGGTACCAGGGGCTCCAGACATCGCGAAGCGGCACAGAGGCGCTGGGCTTCCCCGCGCTCTCCGTGGCACGGGCGAAGGAGCTGTCTCCTGTATTGGCGGAGGCGGCCTCGCTGAGTAGCGAGGATGTGAGGAAGTGGCTAGCATTCTGGCGGGAGACGCAGTCGCTTTGACTCCTACCGTTGTCTACCATAGATGCATGGTAACGTTTTCGTGTCAAACTGAATAGATTCGTGACTGTCTCTGCGATGTCAAGCGTTCGCTCGCGCGCGTGTATCACGGTAAGGATGACAGCTCGTCCGAGTCGCTGGTACTATACACCCTCGTGTCTAAGCACCATTCCAGACGGTGCCCCGTAGGCCTGTACATTACGTGATCCACAGCAGAAGTGCCCAGTCAACTTGTCGCTCAAGATATGCCCGCACCACGTCGGTGGAGGCATTATCATTGTGTCTACATCGTGCACGGACCCAAATACGCAGACCGACTTCTGTGAGACACCACGGGACATCAAGCACACGGCGCGTCATCGCCTGCAAGGCCCACGCACCAAGGCAGACCCCGCGACGGCGGCGCCCGCCAGCCCCGTCACCTAATTCGTACCGCGTCAACGCACGAATACGGCACATCTGGAAGAGCGGACTGACCGCTGCGAAGACCACGCCCTTCCACCACACATAGTCGTGCCCGATAAGCGCGCCGCCGATGGGCGTGCCGACCAGCGCACCGATGCCGACGGGGAACAGCGCGATGCCCATGCGTTTCCTGCCAGTGCGCCGAGAAAACAGTCATGGCTGGAACACGCGAGAGCAGCGGATGTGACGCACCCTACGTCGGCGCCGTCTGCGCTGATGGAGGCTACGGCGGGGAGGTACAGCGATACGGCTGGCGAGGCGCGAACGGTCAGACGTGCGGGGTCAAGCAGAGTCGCGGATGGCATACCTGTTCCCGAGAAGAAGCCGTAGCTGCGGCGCGTTGGGTTGAGCGTTGGGTGCGCGTGGAACATGGACGGGAGACTCACAAGACCGTGAAGAGGACGAGCCCGTACGCCGTCGTGCACCCGAGCAGCGCGAACTGCAGCACCGCTAGACCGCGCCCAGCATCAGCCCGCACACCGACACACACACACAGGTAGGCACGCACATCCGACGACGAGACACGGGACGTACACCGCGAGCGCGCCCCAGCGGTCGCCGAGCCAGTTCGGGAGGACGCGCCCGAGCGCGTTCGCGGCGTTGAGGATCGCAAGGCTGTAGAAGGACAGCTCCCGGCCAACGCCGTGCTGCTCCGCGAAGAGCTGCACGTACGACGGCGGGAACCAGAGCCCGAGGCCCGTCAGGAAGCCCTGCACGAGGATGCACGCGTATCTGCGGTCCAGGAGCGGCGGGCGCGGTGCGGCGGCCTCTTCTGGGTCCCCGCTGGTTCGGTCGGTCTTCGTGGCTGCGTCTTCGTCGTCAGTTCGTCCCGCGGTGAGCGTGCCGGGCGGCTTCTCTTGGATACCCGGGACGGCTGTGGGCTGCGTGGCAGGTCGCGCGTCGAACAGGAGGAGATTGCCAACGAGGAGCAGACCCAGGCATATGAACGCAATGATGCGGATCGCCCAGCCGAAGCCCAAGGGCCCGTTGAACAGGTAGTTGAGGGCGACTAGAGACGGAGCTCTGTCAGTTAGGCGACGAGGGATGCACGAGCACCTACTCGAGAAGGCGACCGCGCCTAGGGAGCCGCCGGCAGGCACGATGCCCTGTAGTGCTGCATTAGGTCGATCGTGTAATCCAGTGACGAGGAGTGGACGTACCATTGCTAATGCCTTCTTCTTGTGGAAGTGCTGGGAGACGAGGACGGAGGTAGGGAGGAATATGGAGCCCATCCCCAGGCCCATTCCGATACCCTGCGATAAGAGCACTTGGTAGTAATGTTGTGGTTGGGCGAGCGAGAGTAGAAAGTGGCTAGTACAGGGGAGGTGAGAATCGGAACCGAGAGAAGGAAGATGGTGGATAGGTGATAGAGGGACGTACCAGATCACGAATATTACTGAACCACCGATTAGGACATGCCTCAAGTATCCGCGGTCAAGCCTAAGCAGTCATCAGCACATGCGGTGGGAACGACGCGGGGTGCGCACAAGGGGCCTAGGAATGCGCCGAGCGTCAGGTCAAGGAGGGTCTGGATGCTGCCGATCCAGCTGATGGCGGACGCGGACGAGTGCGACAGGAATGTGCGGACATAGTACGCTTGCATCACACCGAAGGCGGACATCTGGAGGAAACGTGAATGAAGGACCACGAACAGCGTTGGGACGGACCCACGAATCCGATGACGCTGAACTGCATGAAGAACGCCCCGACAACTAGGATTGGTGAGGGGACGCATACGGTATCGCGCCGCTGTGAGACCTACCAGTCAGCCAAGCCCGCCACTTTCCGCGGGCGTAGCCGTCCGTCGTAGACGAAGCCATGATGCTGAGACTGGGATCGAGGATCAGACTCCTGGCTCATTCAGATCAAGTGGGACACTCACGAAAGTGTTCGATGCTACTGAGGTTTCTGGCGGGGGTGTCGGTACGCGTGGGGCAGATGCGGGAGAAATGAGGGTGACACTTGTGCGGCTGGCGGGGCAGCGCACCGGGGGACTGACGCCTCCACATGTCCTCCCCCGCGCCGCATCGCGGAGAATGATGATGAGGAACGCAGAAGCGGAAGTCTGCTCGGGACAGCGATGAGGGGAATCCCCGTGTCCACATCGGGACGACAGCAGCATCGCCAAAAGCGAGAAAATGTTACAAGGGCATACAAGGGCTTGTAAGATGGCATCAGCAATCTAAGATACAGCATTCTGACGGTCGAGGTTGCAATAGATTACCGCGCACCTACCGTCTGGCCAATGTCTCCAAGCGATGTAAGAAGTGCCAGGCTGTCTGTCCTTATACAGTTTTATATCGCTTTGCAATGCCAGGGCGGGGACGGTGCAGACGAGCACAATAAAATTCATTTCTCAATTGTTTTGCCCTCATGCTCAATTATTAATCACAGCTGTCTCGAGAGGTTCATTGATAAACAATCAATAATTGCACATTCTACGTATGACGGTACAACTGGTACATGACCCTAGTACTGGATAGCTCCCATTCAGCCGGACATGTCAGTATGGTCTGCAAACCCGAGTTCAGTACGTACTACGCACAGACGAGATCTAAGCAAAACATTAGTTAATACGACACATGAGATCCAGTCAGTTGAGGTACATACCAAGCAGGCAAGACCGTAGAAGAGGAGTACAGAGCATGTACTGAGTTGTGTAGTCTCGCCGCAATACCCTGCACATAGCATGCAGGGATTACGGCAAGGCAACACAACTCATCCAAGTCGTCCTCACCGAAGTCTCTCAAAGGGCATGAGACATTTCCGCCCACGTCTCCCTTTCTTATGCGCGGAGGTAAGGCAGTTCTGGGGTCCTGCTATGCGGCTAGCTGTGCTGCGCGGTTGGGGTGGCGACATCGCGACGGGACGTCCGCGCGACTGATGCTGCGGGCGCATCAGATGTGTCATATCCAATATGTGGGTGCTTACCGGAGAATTCGTAAGACTCGCCGAGCAGGGATCAGCGCTCCCGGTCGAGGCAACGGTGGTATCCTCTCCGAGAGCGGGACGATCGAGTGCCAGTGCAGCTAAGCACGTGGCGGGCGTTGGGACTGTCCGACTTGGTATGTCCGGAGCATGCGTGAAGAAAATGGCAGGATAGATCGACATCGCAATTGTGCGAGGCGTGGGCACCGCCGCATCGAGGACACCGCGTTTAGAACGTGACGTGAGGGTGCGTCGAGCACGGCGGGTTGTGTCGGACACCGTGACAATGACAAGGGTACGAGTAGGGACTTCGTGCATATGGAGAAGTGTCCACCGTATTGGACACTCAGTCGCGCCCGTTCTATGCGACTGTGGCCGGAATCGACCTTACAAACTGACCCTACATTCGTTAATATGATACACAGATGTGAGAACTGTAGACTGACGTAGGTCAACATAAGATTCCCGAGGCTTCTGTGGCGTGTTGTAAGCACAGACGCAAGCGGATGGTCATGGTACAAGGGGATACAACGGAAGTCGCAGCCTGACAAGAGCTTCACAACGATGACGTAAGCCTGGGGCGCCCATATAGGATACCCCATTTCTGCGTGATCGTACAAGAGCTTATAAGACCACTTATAAAGTCATTACAAGCGGTACTAAGTCTGCTATAACCTGATAAGTTATCGACGACCATAGCAGTTTCCCCCGGTTTTGCTGATGACAACGCTGCACTCTTCCACAAGGTGACTGATATGCCTGTCTCCGTCTGCAGCATCTGAATCATCGCCCTTGGTTGCCGGGCCATCCACGCGTCCTGCCAGACTTTGTGGCGGACACCATGATAGCCTCGTGCTGTAGAACTGTGCGATAGCGAGGACGAGGAGATAGTACTGTCGCACATGGTTCCGTCCCTGCGCTGCTTAGTGCTGACCCGGAGCGTTCGGTATGTATGTACTGCCCCACACCGCTGGGGCATGTGCATCAGTGCGGCTTCCTATGATCCTACGAAAGATTTTGCATCAGCATGCGTGAATGACCGGAGCTGGCAGCTGTCCACACATACATCTATATCCGCTCATCCACGGATCGAATTGAAGATCTGTTGGCTGGCGTCTCGCCCCCGCGCTCATTGCTCTTCGGCCCTCACGGCGCTCGTTGTTCTGTCATGGTATAGAGTCCACCAAATGCGGCGTTCGATTCGAGGTGACAGCCTCGAAGGAGATGAGACTTGGGCTATGTATCATTTGGTCAACGGCATAACGTCAGTTGGAGGGTGACTTGTCGTGGTCAAGTCACGGGCGTCACACACGCGTGCCACCGACGCGCTAACCCGGTTTGAGAGCTCGCTCCAGGCTGTTGATCTGCGGCCTGCCCGTGGTCCTGATACTTGAACGACTTCTCCCTTCCACCCACAAGATCAACGTCGTGACACGCCCTGGCCGTGTCGACCTCGAGATAGACGATTTTTCAGACCGTGAAACCAAAAGCAGTGAGTTTAAACGATACGTATCGAGTATGATCAGGTGACGGCATAACACCAACAGCAGTGTAGCCGCTCTCCGTGCAGGTCGGTGACCCAGAATAATGTCCGGAAAGCACGAACATATGACTACGCTTGATCCGTCAAGTTGACTCCACCGAAATCACCACGTTCACCAAACGTAGCATCCATGGTCCTCAACATCACTTCAAGTTCACGCCGACGGGGCGGTACCAAGCTTCCATGGCGTACAATCACGCTGTCAGAATGAGCCGCGACGCGCTCCAAGTCCCATGTACAGTATGTACATCAAGAACCGTGTGAGCAGTCAATGTCATAGTACGTAGAACGTCCGTTCTTCCAGCCAACATCCAATTGTGATGAAGGATTGATACAGCTTTGGTCTGCTCTCGAGGTTTCCCATAGCTATATAGTGTAGACCACATTGGCGCTGTTTCCAAGTTCTGAGCCTTTCAGTATCCTAGTCAAGTGCCTGTCCGACATTCCTCAGCAAGCATACAATGAACATCGGTTTAGCAGAGGTCAAAGAGCCCATTGCGATCGTACGTACCACACAGGTCCTTGTAACTCATTGTCTCACGCACAGCAGGTCGGCATCGCAGCGGAACTGCCCAGCGGGGCATGCGCCGACACGAATCTCGACTACAGACAGTTCAACAAGTTCCTACTAGACGGCGCAGAGTCGTACGTCCGCTTCCCCAGGGATAGGCTCAACATCGACTCGTACGTCTCCTCCATCCGGCACCGCCGCCCGGTGCTCATTCACATTCCATAGGTGGCAGGGCGAAGGCCTTGGTCGCATCGCCACGGCCCACGGGTCTTTCCTGAAGGACGTCGACCTGTTCGACCACGTCGAGTTCGGCATATCGACGAAGGACGCGCGCGCGATGTCGCTGAGCACGCGCAAGCTCATCGAGCTCTCGTTCCTCGCGCTCCTCGACTCGGGGATCGACTACCAGGGGCGCAATGTGGGCTACTACGCCTCCGCGACGAACCACGATATCCTAAGCATAGCCGAGCCGGTGAGTGGCGTGCAGCGGCGCGGGCCGACGCGCGATTGATTTGGGGGCCTGTAGGATGTGTACGAGGCGCAGGGGTCCTTCGGCGGGATACCGTGCATGGTGGCAAACAAGGTGTCGTATCATCTCGACCTGCGCGGGCCGAGCATCCCGGTCGACACCGCGTGCAGCTCCAGCCTGACGGCGACCCACCTCGCGGTGCAAGCGCTGCGCGCGGGCGAGTGCGAGTCTGCCGTCGTCGCAGCGTGCCAGCTGAATCTCCGGTACGCCGTCGTGCTAGGACCCGTCATATGGTTGCTGACACACCCGTGCAGGCTCGCGGACTTTGTTCAGTACAGCCAAGGCTCTGTGCTGGCGCGGGACGGGAAGTGCAAACCGTTCGATGCGAGCGCGGACGGGTAAGCGACGGTGTCCGCAGTCTACCATCCTACTGTGTTCATGAATCAATCGCTCAGATTCTCGCGGGGAGAGGGCGCGGTGGCGATTGTGCTCAAACCGCTCAGCGCAGCATTGAGAGATGGGGATCACATCTACGCGAACGTATGCAACTGTTACATCTCCTGTCCGTCATACACTGATAGGCCTCACCACAGATTCTTGGTACCGGATTGAGCTCCTCGGGCTCCTTGGCTCCAGTGTATGCGCCGGTGGCGAGTGCCCAGCTAGAAGCGATGAGGCGCGCCTACGTTGGTACTGGCCGCGATCCTCGAGAGGCCGACTACGTCGAGCTCCATGCGACTGGTAGGCACCATGATCTGCGTGAAACACGTGAGCTACCACTGACGCTTGAGCAGGAACCGCGGTGGGCGACCCGATAGAGTGCAACTGGGTGGGCGAACACTTTGCGCGAGACGCGGAGCTCCTCGTCGGTAGCGTCAAAGGCAACATCGGGTGAGAACCGCTCGATGGTCGATCATGGATGGCGAGGATGCTGACGCGCCCGGAACACAGTCATCTGGAGATCACCGCCTTTCTCGCGTCGCTGTGCAAGGTGTGCGGTCTCTTCGAAACCGGGGTGTTGCCCCCGAACGTGAACCTCGCGGCGCGGAACCCGGCGATTCGGTGGGACGCATACAAACTGCATGTCCCCCTCGAGCCGATGGTGTTGCGCGCGCGCGATGACCCACGAAAGCTCCTGGTGTCCATGTGCAGCTCCGGGATCGGCGGGGCCAACGGGCATGCTGTCCTCGAGAGCGCGCCTCCCATGCCAGCTGCAAGTGCCTGCTATTCGGCTCTACCGGATGCTCCTAGGCTTCTCATGGCCGGGGGCCTCTCGCCCTCTTCGGCGGCAGGCGTAGCGAGCTCTCTGCTAGACTTGGCGAGAGAAAACCCCGACCGGTTGCCTGCGATCGCCAACATATACGGCCGCCGCGTGCGACAGATGAAGTGGCGCAGCTTCGCAGTGGTCAATCCCGGGCAAGCCCTGTCTGCGGTCGACTTCCCTGCGCCTACGCTAGCTCAAGACGTGCCGACAGTCTTTGTGTTCTCGGGCCAAGGACCCCAGCATTTTGCAAGTAAGTTGTCGGCGCTCATCACTGATGGCCTTCGTTGCTGACCTATCGCAGTGGGGCGACAGCTCTTCGCGTCTTATGGCGTCTTCCGCAGGACGATGGAGGAGCTCGATGGGTACCACCTCGAACTAACGGGCACGTCCCTCATACGGGACGTCGGGCTGTTTGGTGACTTCCCGCCATTAAAGACCTTCCCGGCCGTGTGGCCGATCTCGGTCATCCTGCCTTCGCTTACCATGCTCCAGATTGCCCTTTACGATCTACTCTCGAGCTTTGGACTCCGGCCGGATGTCGTCATGGGCCATTCCGCGGGCGAGACAGCTCTCCTATACGCATCTGGAGCTGCGTCGAAGCGTATGGCTATTGCGGTGGCCGTCGTACGAGGCAGGACGATGACGCTGGTTGAGAACGCAGGGGGAGGGATGGCCGCACTCTCATGCGCGCCATACCAGGCCGATGAAATCATCCAAAGTGCGAAGGAATCATCTGAAGACGGCATCTTGGAGATTGCCTGTTACAATGGCCCACAGGCGGTCGCGATCGCAGGTCATCATACCCTGGTAGCCCGAGCGGTGGAGATCGCGACGAGCCGCGGGATCCTTGCCCGTACAATACAAACAAACGTCGCGGTTCACTCGCCCATGATGGATTTATGCGAGGCGTTGTATCGCCCCGAGATGGTTGAGGCGTTCGCTCGCTATGGACCGTGTCGCGCGCCCTCCATTACGACCTACTCTACCGCGACAGGTGCTCTGCTGGAAGAATTCTCACCGGACTACTTCTGGCACAATAGTCGAGGACCGGTCCGGTTTGCACAGACAGTGCGGTCCGTGCTGCGGGCTCATTCTACCGCTCGTTTCATCGAGATTAGCCCTCATGCGGTGCTATCGCTGTACCTGCAAGAACTGGGTGTTCCTCCTACCTCGATATTGTGTCCGATGCGGCGGGCGAAGGCATACGCAGCGCATCAGGAGCAAGCTGTACTCTTGAATGCGATGGGGCAGTTGGTAACTTCAGGATCCAACGCCATCGATTTCCGGGCGTTCAACGACTCCCCATTCGCCATGCGGGACTGCGACATACCCCTACCTTCGTACCCTCTCGCGCGCAAGCCTATCCCGTTCTTGCCTCGACATTCGAAATTGTTGCAACAACAGCTAGGCCCTCTTGTGCGACCGCTGTCTGGAGACAACCTCAGGGTCAATCATGCTACACATCCTGAGCTTGCCCAGCACGTCATCAATCAGGAACCTATTATGCCCGCTTCGGGATTCCTCGAGATGGTTTGTCCCATTCACTGACTTTTGCGCTGTTTTGTACTCATGCCGTGCCGATGAGTGTAGGTGTTAGAAGCGGGAGCAAACATCGTCTGGAATGTACGCTTCCACTCGATGTTTTCGCTAGCCTCAAACACTCCAACGGCGCTCAGAATGCACATCGACGGGAAGCACTGGCGAGTGGTCTCGAGTGCTGTTGCCGGAGTCCAAGAAGATAGTGTACGTGAAACTCCTATATGTGGCACGCTAATACTCATTGTGTGTCCAAGGCTGATGAACGCAAACCTCAAGTCCATGCGGAGGGCTTCATGACGCTAGACCAATACGACGTTGGCCAATACCACAACCCTGTCCCTTCTGATGTCTTACAGTGTTGCAAGCTCCATGATGCAGATGGTCTGATGTTCAGTTATTGTTCTATACCGGTGCCTGATGATGAATGCTAGACTTGTACCCCGGCTTTCAATACTTCGCACAATACGGCCCCGTATTCAGACGTATCAGGAGATGCTACTTTGGGTCTAACTACGCGTTAGTAGAAATACAAGGACTTGACGAGCCTTCTCAGGCGTGAGTAATGTATCGTATGCTCCTGTCATTTGCCACTCAATCGCCTGCAGTAATTACGTCATCCACCCGGCTCTGCTAGATGCATGTCTACATGTTGTTGTGCATCCTCGTTTCACTTCCGTCTCCGACACCAATGTCTTTTATTTGCCATCTGCTCTTGGCTCCCTTGTTATCGAACGGCAGAACCTCTTGGCGCCGCGGCTGGAAAGTACGTTGTACGCGTATGCTGTCCTCACAGATTGGCGGCCAGGTTCGTCGATTGGTACCCTCTCACTTCTCGTATCTGAGATACTGCAACACAGATGAGATCACAGCAGATGTGCATGTCATCGACGTGGGCGGAAAAGATCTCTGTACGCTCCGCGATCTCAAGGTAGCTCGTCACTACATCAACACTCCGACGCCTCCGCGTAGGCGGTTCGAGCTGATCGATCAACCACTGTCCACGATACCATTTGACTTCGGAACCGAAGTTGACGTGGGCGAGGAAGCCGTTATGAAAACGCTATGTGCTTCCCGCGTCACTGCTGGCCAGAAAGGAGGAAGTCAAATAGTGAGTCACAAATACATGCAGGGCCGCCCAACTCATCCAGGTGATATAGGTGAACAATACGCCGTGTACATCTCATTGTGGCGTCAACATATTGCTTGTTTGCGCCGCGCTCCATGCCTCTCGCTTGGGTGCTATGGGAAAGAGGGTGATCACTGTGTTGGGAGTGGACTTCAGTACGTGACGCTCTATGGGATCAACATGTCGCCGCGCTCATGTATGATTCATGCAGAGTCGGGATCGTTACATGGGGACGCCCAAGCCCTATTGCAAGCTTCGCTTGGACGGGCGATAACAGTCGTGTATCACGCCGCAGTCATGGGCGAGGACATGTCTCAGTCTCATAGTATTCCTGTGTCCTGCAAGACAGTGGACTTCAGCACTCGTGCATCTCGCCCGCACCATCCTATTTTCGACATTGTCCTTTATAACTGCTCTTCGCCATGGAGCACTCCAGACGTAACCACCATGGTTCGCGCTTGTGCTACATCCCTCATGCCCGGAGGATTTTTATTCATTCAAGGCGTTCAATCAGGTTCTGGAAGCGGCTCGGGTCCACACCCAGATCCTTCTGGAGCTGCCGAGGTACAGACCGAGCTGAGCCGTCTGCACTTCCAGACCCGCGCCCGACATCTGGTAGCAGGCCTGCCGACTACTCTGATAGAAGCACACAGCTCGTCTCTGTCATTTGTCCCCGACCAAGCCTGGTCGGACCGTGGGGGTCGGACCCATGTACTCTCATACCGCATTGGGGACGAGAGCAGCATTCAAACAGCCTTGGCGAAACTTGATATCAACGTGTCTATCTGTGTCTGGATACTGGCGTGCGGAGAGCGGGACGGCGACGCTGCACGAGGGTTTACTCGGTCACTCAGGAGGGAGTTATCTGCTTGGGATATCGGACTCCTCATATCTGCCCCTACCTTCGACAAACAGGAGGTGGAGCAGTTCGCTCGATACCTGTCCTCGCACCGCAGCATGGAGCGCGAGTTATATATCGCCGAAGACCGCCAGCTATACGTCCCCCGCATCCGCGAAGTCCCCATTGGCCCTCCCAACCCGGCGATTTTCCACCTCGCCGATGTGCGCTCTGGATACGTGCGACTTGACCCAGTCTTCAGCTACGATGTCGAGTCCGATCCTCGTCACCATTGCCTAGTCGGGACAGTGATAGCCGCCTCTAACGAAGATGCGACGGCGCTGGTGGGTACGAGGGTGGTCACTATTACTGCGAAAACTTCCGAAGTTGGTGCACCCATGACTGTGCGCCGAGACTCCATGATCCCCATACCTGATCACTGGGAGTTGCACAGAGCGCCGTTGCTCGCACTCGGCTGTCTGGTGATCCGTTCTGTACTCGGCACGGAGAAAATTTCACCGAGATGCGCAGTGGACGATGCTCGCCGTATCATTGTCGTGGGTACAGACACGCCGCTGGGACGTGTGCTCACCTGTATCCTGCGGCAGCTATGCATCGGCACAGTCGGATTGAAGCTACAGGCGTCTCCCCTACACTTCGCATCACTCCTTCTAGGACCTAGGGACATTGTCGTTGACCTAAGCGGCCACGCGGCCTCGAGCATCGCCGCCACATTCGTAGGACGCAACGGCGTTCGGCATATTTGCATGCGCGATGTATCTCAACTGCTGTGCGAAGCGACGCGCAGCCCGCGGATCTTGACGACAATGCTCCAGAACGCAATTCAACTGATACCGTCGGGCGTATCTATTGACAGCGGGACGGCTCAGCAGGTGTTGCATCAACCTCAGACACTCTTCCTCAGGTTCAGCTCTAGCGATGTGTATGTACTGATAGGAGGAATTGGGAGCTTGGGTATGCACATCGCGTTGTGGATGTACGAGGTAAGGTCATACATACCTTATGGACGTCTATGCTAATTCAGCACCTCTAGAGGGGAGCCAGACATATATTGCTTACGTCTCGCTCTGGACGTCAATCGTTGGAACGAGCTGGAGATGTCCTTGCCATCCGCATCCTGAATTACCTGGAGAGCCGCGTGGATCTGTCCTTGCGACTGGTTGCATGTGATGCCGCCTCTGTTCATCAAATGCAAATGGCTCTCTCGGGCCTGGCACAGCGCATTGCTGGTTGTATGCTCCTTTCAGGCGTCCTCGTAGATCGCACCTTCTTCTCTCAAGATCCATCTACATTTGAAGCGACTTTCAGGCCAAAGGTTCAAGCAATTAAGGTGCTGGAAAATATACTTCCGATCAAGAGCCTCGACTTCCTCGTCCTGTTATCTTCTATTGCGTCATTCGGAAATACCGGACAAACGAACTATGCCAGGTAAAACGACTATTTATTGTACGCACCTAGCATACTCATGTCACTTGGATAGCGCGAATACAGCTCTCGAGGGATACGTAAGGCAATACAAGAATGCCTTCGCTTTGATTACCCCTGCCATCGTCGATTCGGCGGCCATCAGCAGTGCACTTAGGCATCGAGAGCGTGGATCGCAGATCGAGCATCTGATGCCGTGGGCGTTCTCTGCCCAAGGTACGCAATTGCACTGGAATGGTACGAATGGGTGCTCATGGTTTCGCAATAGAGCTCTGTGACTGCATCGAGGACGGTATACTCCTATTGGCGCGTGGGCCTGTGGGCGTGTACGTGCCGAATCTCAAATGGGATTCAATCCGCCAACATCTGGGTCCGTCTTTTCTCTACGACTATCTAGCAGACGTCAACCCGCGTTCCGCTCCTCCAAAGACGCAGCAAATGTGCCGCGATGATCTCTTATCCATAGTGTTGCAACACGTGGACGTATCTGCCGATGCCTTCTCTCCTGACGCTCCTCTTTCACGATACGGCATGGATTCCCTCTCCGCCGGTCGCCTGTCATATGCCCTGAAGAACGTTGTGACCGTCTCGTCAATGCAATTACTCGGAGGGTTGAGCTTCGCTGGGCTACACCTGCGAACCACCACCTCAGGGATCGCTCAGTCTGGGACTGTGGAGGTTCACGGAGAGATGGCATTCGATTGGCTGGAGCTGAGTCAGTCCGGTCGGCCGCTGGTGAAGCTGGTGAACCGTCAAGGCGATACACCCCTTATATTGGTTCACGGGGCAAGCGGGAGCATTGTCTCGTTTATGCCCCTTCAGCAGACGTTCACGTCTTCTCTATGGGTGTTGCAGTCGACACCAGACACGCCCATGCACTCGCTTGACGCCATGGCTGCCTACTACTACAAGGCCATCAAGGATGCTCAGCCCAGCGGACCGTATCGCATTGGGGCGTACTCCGGGACATCCATCATCGCATTCCTCATCGCGGAGAGGATCGTTAACGACGGCGATGTGGTGGCGCAGTTCTCTCTACTCGATCATTTCCCTCTCCTGTTCGCTTCCCCGTACCTCGAGCCAGACGACACTACGGTCCGACAACGCACGCCCAGCCACGCATTCATGAATCGTTTGCTGCAGTCGATGCTGCACATGTATAGGGCGGAACCATCAACATCCCGCCAACAAATGGCCGTGGAATTTGAAGATGCTGCAAGTGGCAAATTGATGCCACCCGTAGCGGCGTTGCGATGGCGCACGTTTTCTGGTATGGTCACTGGCACATACGAGTTCATGTTCGAGCTACTACGTCAAGACGTGCCGTACACGCAGGATCTGCTCCGTCACGCTCTTGCTACTCGATTGAGCACGGTGCGAGTGCCTTTGACTCTATTTGTTGCTGATCGAGGCATCTCACACAGCCTTCGCTCTGCGGCGGGAAACGTACGACACTCCGACTGGAGTGAACTGGGAGTACGCGAAGTGTATCCAAATGCCAACGTGATCATGGTAGAGGGTACACATATCAATATGTTCGACTCGACCACACTGGCAGATGGGTTGCAGAGATGATGAAAAAAGCAATTCCACGCGCTCTGTACAATATTGGAATAGCCAATGACAGATCATCATTAGCGCACTATGTCCGTCACGATTGAACATTTGTTGAGTGGTGTGTACAGCCTGCTGGTACTCAATGATTGCCTGCGGTCAGCATCATACGAAGCCTACGATCAACGGATGCCTCAGAATTCGGCGGTACGTTGTACATGAGCGCGATTATAGTGAACCGACCCCCTTGCTAGCAACGATGTGTAATGAAACACGCAGCAGCGCGAGCGTGCGGGTGGTCGGCTAGTAGCGACGATCACAGGCCTCAGTGCACGCTCGTAGAGCAAGACTAATGTATTATAGCATACCTAGTAGCGACGATCACAGGCTAATGAATGTATGTGAGCTATGGTATGCGGGCACGGAAAATAAACGTGTACTCACCCTCAGTGCACGCTCGTAGAGCAAGACTGAGGGTGACCGAACGAAGGCAGCGCGGTATATCTGGCAGACGGGACAGGGACAGGAACGAGAGTAATACCGTAAATGGTAAGTCAGATGATAACGCGATGGCGGGTCAACAGAAGAACGGCGGGACGGCGGGATGGCGGTACCGTAAGAGTCCGTGATAAAGAAGTCGAAATGGTATAGTAAAGCTGGAGCTGGGCGGACGTACAGATTGTATGCTCCAACAATGTGATCCTGGGTCTTTTCAATTTTGTGCATCTCGAATATCGAATGCACACAGGCCTCGTCTGTCACCTGTACCTGGCATACTAATACATTATATACTGCTAAGTAGAGTACATGTGTAATACATGTATACCGCTTGCTAGCCATGTGCCCGCATACATCCGTTGTCCACACCCGTGATGTACCACGTAGTGCCAATCACTTGCGGTGGACTGGGAGACGCGAAAGTTCATATCTTCGTACACTTGGGTCACTCTGAGACGGGTAGGCAAGGTAGCGTATGACCAGAGAGTGTTGTGATGGGCCTCTATATATGCCTCGGTCGAAGCAGCTTGTGCAGATGTCGACCTGCGCGCGCCGCGAGCAGCGTCCGCGACCTCCTCCGGATAAACATCGGATGGGCGGGCTGGCGGGCCGACTGCGGTTGCGTCCACCGTCGACGACCTCCTCCTCCTCCTCCTCCTCCCTCCTCCGAGCCATCGCGTTTACCTGACTGTATGCTGTACACTCCTCCATCCACGACTCTCTGCCACTGATGCTTCAGAAACTGGGTGCGACGCCCTCAATTCCTCAACTTGCGCTCGAACCCTCAAGCACGGCGCACTACATGTACGTCGATAGTACGTCAATGTGCCTTCTGCTGCAGAGTGTGCGTACGCGAGGGACTATGTGCGTTTCCCTCATCTGTGCTCTCGCAAATCCCGCGACGTTCACTCACCGGCGGAGGAACAATTACGTTCCTCAACGGTACGCTTATGTTGACTTAGAACGGAAGCGTTCAGGTACGATAGGTCGAGGAGGAGGAGGGGGAGGGATCCAATTTAGCCACCGGCCGTAGGCGCACGCGCGATCCTGGTAACACAGGCCAGGCCCCAAGGCATCATGTAGGTAAGCGTTCTTTTGAACGCGTGGCTGGGTATAGCTGACTGGCGCTGGCTTCCTTGACAGGCGGGCGAATGGAGGCTCTACACATGGGAGATGCGACGTATAGTACCGCCTCTCGCCCCAATCAGTGTGACATCATTTAACATACTTGTTCTCCTCGTCTACTCCGACCGCACAATCTGATCGTTGAACGCTCTGCTGGTGCAAAAAGCATGAAATCTGAAATGCGCATTCAAGCGGTCCTGTTGGATCATCGACGAGCAATGTCGAATAGAGTCAAGGTTCAAAGTTCAAGGTTCAGTACTCATGTCTCCGCGCGCTCTCCAGGACAGCTCGCACTGCATCCAGGACACTGGTCCTCCGTATCCGTTTGCTCACGGTCCTATTGTATATTGCTGGGACTCTCAATCGTGGGTCACCCAGGAACCGGCTCACCGGTGCTTCCATGGGCGGCGACCACTCGGAACATAGCGCTGCGACTGAGTTTGTGTGTCTTATGGCGCTTCTACATGTTCCGGTGAGCGCTATTTGCTCCGATATATACTATCATCACATCGGTCAGCCTCTGCCACTAGCTATTCCCCTTCATTCGCCGGCTGCGACTCCTTGGCATATCAGCAACGAAAAGTCAGTAGTCGTCAAAGATGCCAGTTGAATCGGCTGTGTGGGTAGTGTCCGAGTCGTGCTGATGTGTTTTACCTTGCAGAACGTACTGGCAGCCTTGCTATACATCAGACGTCACGATCTCCTCAAGGTGCTGACGAGCCGCAAGACGTCTCGTGTCACCTCCATCACACCAACGGACGTAGTCTCAGGATTGACTGCTGGTAGGGCTCTTCTGCTGAAGACGAATCCCGTGGGATCCTAATCTGCCATCCTCGCAGAATCTCCGGACGCATTCGCAATTCTACCGTCTGTGTACAATCCATGGAAGAAGGTACATCGACGTGAGTACAGGTCCAAGTGGTGTGCGAGACGCGCTGATACGGGATGTGGACTAGTAGGGCGGCCGCCTCCGGAGCGTCATCTCAGGATGACCCGGCTCCGCGGTTGCCCACCGAGATCTGCGCACGGATCATCGACCATGTCGCGGCGGGACTGGATCTTGGCTACACATTTCTGGCTGGGAATCCCCAATTCTTAGCTCTTCAATCGTGCGCACTGGTATGCAGGGATTGGTACTTTCACACCTGGTACCATCTCCGTGGCCGTGTTTTCCTCCGTGACCGGAACGACGTCCGTTCATTATCCAGGGCACTCCGCGAGAGACCACCCCTCCGCGGTGTCGTCAAACAGGTCGTCATCTCGGGTCGTACATCTGGCCAACGTTCACTGATTCAACATCTCGGAGCGTTTGCCGCCATGCTTTCCGGGAAGCTCCCGGAGCTCTCGACGATCACCATCGAGGACGCGGAATGGACCGTTGGCTTGATGAGGGTGGAAGACTTCGGATATCTCGCTTCATTTGACCTCGTCCACACGTTAACCATTTTCAAAGTCACCATGTCGAGCATCGCCCAGCTGGCCCGCCTCATCTCAGCACTCCCTGGCATGAGAAAACTATATTGCTTCCATGTCGACTGCTCAGAGAAACACCCAGTCTCTCCAGTCTGTCTCCCGCGGAACTCTGCAAGCCTGGAGATCCTCGAGGTGCGATGGGTTGCGCCTGCGGTTGAAGACCTACTCGTTCGGATCAGCCAGGCTTCCCGGCTACGAAAGCTCTATTTCGGAGTTGACGGCGAGGGTACCTCATCCTCCGCAGGCAGCAGCCTGAGAAGTCAAGCTTTCTTGGATGCAAGTGCGGCCTCGGTGGAAGTCCTCATTCTCCGGATTGCTCCCGACTCCTCCGTGGACAGTCACGCTGTTGATTCCACTGTAGGCAAGTTGTATACGTTCGCTCTCCGATTATCTGATTGACCATGAATGTAAGTAGAACGATACCTCAACCTATCACGCCATGAAATGCTGTGGCGATTGCAGATTTACCTGTTCCACCCCTTTGTTGCGTGGTCCTGGATTCCTCATATCGTCTCTCGAATCCCTTCAGACCATCTGATGGTCATTTCTGTTTTGTTTTTCATTCATGCAGATCATGCAGCCAACGACTTGGATAGGGTGGTGACGATGATGGAGGAAGATGGTACCTTGCTGCGATTGGACGATATATTGCAAGCAGAGTGCTTCACCAATATTGCACCGGGTGGTATATGCCTAGGCTTCGATCATGATCGGAATGACTGGCTGCCGCTTGTCAAGTTGTTTGATTCAGAATCATCATTCAGAGAGCAGTGTGGCCGGTGGGACACGCTCGTTAGACGGAAGATGCCGCGCTGCAATGGACGGGGCATATTGACGTACGTAATACATTGGGTCCGATGCAATGGCAGAGACGCGCTGAGTCCCCTTCTTAGTATCGTATATAGCTGGGAAGAGCACAATAACTGGAGCTGCAACATGAATGCAATCCATGAAGCGACAAAACACTAGAAGGCCAAAACTGGAGTAGAGGTGCAGCGAGAGGATGACGCTCAGGCTGAGCATGCGCCGGACACGTCAGGCTGACTGTCCTAATCTTGTACACTCGCCGGTGCCGATGTAACGAGTCCTGTGAGTGCACAAAAGCTGCCATGCATACATCTGTTCACCTAATTTCTGTAGTGTTATTGTACGCGGCGCGTTTTGCGCATTTTGTTGTGGCGCCGAGAGGCGAGCGGCGATTCCCTATGTAGAGACGTAACACTATTCGTGGGATGTCCCCGCAATTCTGATCCAAGGATGTCGTCACGTAGAACATCATCGCGGGCGTAGCAGTGTACTCGGAGCGAACGCTCTCGCACTCCTGGTATGTCAGCGCACGGATCTGCCTCCCCTGCTAGCCTGGTACTCTCGAGTTCACCGGCCGCTGTAGGAGGCTAGCTCCAGGGCGGAGATCACAGTTACGGTTTCGTTGGGTTTCCGCTACGTACTAATGTCCATGACAGAGCATGCCGAAACATACAGCTAGCGCTGTTTCTGATGCCTTTGGACTTGCTGTCGACCGACTGGTGTGTGATAATGGCGAGGTCCCGACGTGGACGTACCGAAAGACTGACTGGGAGGGCCCATCTGCTATGCGGTTCTTACCTGGCCCGGCCGCATGCCACACGCAGGGGCGGAGAACTTGAAGAGTTTGTCCTCGTGGAAAGGCTGACCATAGCTTGGATATGGATATGTGCTGTATCTATCGGACTACATAGTATATCGTGATGTACATGAGACAGCGTTTTGTCCACGACAGCATCCGAGGACAGCAACGACGATCGTATGGCTGCGAGCACGACCAGTGCCAAACGGTGCGCGGGACTGTAGAATCAACCAATAAGTGAAGTATACAAAACTATAGGGCAATTCGCCGCAAACTACATCATTTGAATCTCGGAATGAAGCTTCCGCCACGACTCGCCACGCACTTCGCCTCGAGGTCGTCGTCATGGTCCACCACGATAGTGACCTTCACGGCGAGCGGGCGCATCTGGTACCGGCTCGTCGCCGGGGAGGCACATCGAGCGCTTCCCCGCAGCTCGCACCGTTCTATTGCGGTCGCGCATGCGCACGTCCTCTCTCGAAGTTGACGAAGCGCCTCCCGGGAAGAGACGTCGAGGAAGAGACGTCGAGGATAAGTAGTACCTTGAGGCGAGTCGAGGGACCATCCTGAGCATGGAGGCAGCGCAGACGCTCCTCGCCGAATGTTCGCATTCAAGGACAGACTTCCGACACTCGACCGCGAGCTATGCGCCGGCGAGAGCCGAGCGATAATCGACGCGATGTGTAGCAGGGATGTGAGAGACGAACTCTTCGGCAGAAGCAGCCAATGCGGGGCATTCCTCACGCATACAAGTCCTGGGGTCTGCGGCCGACTGTAGGGCGCCCGCGAGGTAAGACAGCGAGATCGTACGCGCGTAGAGGAGGAACAGCGCCGAGCGCGCGGTACAGCATTGCTGACGTTAGCTTTGCCATAGAGCGGCTCGGTCGAGACAGCTAAGTATATACCAATAACCGGACGAGCTGGTACTGGGGACCGCGCCGTCGCTGGGTGGGTGGCAAGTGGCGCAGCAGGAGGCGTTCAGCACTAACCCTACTCTAGGGTTCCAGCCTGTCGTGCACGGGACCGGTCGTCGCTCTCAGCCTGCACCGCCCTCTCTGCGCCGTCTGCGGCGCGAGCCAACCGTGACGAGCGTCGGGGACAAGAGCGCAGGCTGACGGCGGTGCAGCATCTGCGCGGATCCCCAGGAACCCTACGGCAGGCTCCAGGATACCGTCGGACGCGTACAGACGAGTCTGTGGTCCGGGTTTGCGCCCCGCTTCGTATGCCTTTCGCATATAGCTTAATATGCGACGGCGCGACCATCCGACCGTGTACGCTGTGACGCCGGCATGCCCAGCACCGTCCTTCCCCGCATTCACCCAGTTGCGCGTGCCCATTTCAACGCAGACTCGCCGCTTTCTTCCTCCGTGGCGCTAGCTGGCCTCAGTGGTACGTCTTCACTGGAATGTCGCAATCTGTTGAACGCCAAACTGAAGCGTGAACCACCTATTGTGACTCTACAACGGGCGACGCTTGGTCACGATCCGACGCGCCTGTTTCCTGAGTAAACGCGTAAGCCAGCTGGCAACAATTACTGTGCGAGGATGCTTACAACGGCCTGTCAGCAGGTCCCAACGATGCGATCACGCACCCATTCTCGTTACACGGTAGTCACAGGTGGGGCACAGCTCAGGAGCACTAGCGACGGCCGTCTGTCCTAGGCATCTGGCATAGAGACAGTGCTGGTTGAAGGCTGGGACGGTCCTCCATACATGTAGAGGGCGCAGGCCTATGCCTCCTACCGCAGCAGGAGCCACGAGGCTGACCGAGCGCGACATTCTGCATTGAACCTTTGCGGAACAACTTGGTCATTGGATTCGTGGCGCCCAGACGGTAACCGCGCTGAGCGGTGCGCACGGTCCTCCGGGGTCGACTATACTAGCACAGCCGGTTGAGACAACGGCGCTGACTCGGTCGTTGAAGCGGCGCTCAGCCGGACAGACTGTTCCGTAGGCCATACAACGAAGCCCGAGTACGTAGGATGAGTAGGATGAACGCATACAGGAAGTCACTACTCACCTCGTCGAATGTGCTCTCCGTTTCCTCCAAAGTCCGGTCACTATTCAATCGCGTCAGTCGCGGCCCAAGCGCAGGTACCGGAGCCGGGCAGAGAGAACAACAGCTAGTCCGCGGTTGGTGGGTTGGCCATATGCATGTAGCCTGTATGTTTGGTAGGTGGTGCCACGTACGCGAATGAGGCCGAAAATGGCATGGACGACTCGGAGATCACTAAGGATCGCGGCGCCCGCACCATTGAAGTCGATACCGCGAGCGGCGGGTTCCGCCATCTAGAGCGACCATACCACCTGAATCAGCAAACGATGTCGATGGAGCGAAGAAGGAACTGACCAGGTCCCCGAGCCCCCAAACTTGTTCCGTTCCACCTGTCCTTGATCGGGGGCCCAACGTGGCGAGCCCAGCTGATTGCGAGGAGTGGTCTTTCAAGTTGCCTGCGTGGACCGCGCCGAGCTTGCGTTACATGAGCTTGGCCGCGGGGTGCCGAGGCGCATATGACTGAGGAGGCGGAAGGGCGTACGCAGGCTGGTACGCAGGCGAAGCAACCGGCATGTTCAGAGGGACGCGCGCAGGTGCGTCGCTATCGAGCTGCTCGACGCGGCGGGAGGGGAAGAGGACCTACAGGTATGCGTTCCGCTCGTCGATGACGACGGTATCCTTACTGGACGAGAAGGGCGGGTTGTTTGGTTCCTGCCATGCGTGTGGTAAGTCGCGTAAGACACGAAGATATTATGGTGGAAAGTGCGCGGAATGATGGGCAGTTGCTCACCGAACCGTCCGCGCTGTAATCCCAGAGAGGCGGGCACGCTGGCGAGGGCGGAGCGTGGTGCGGGAAGAGGGAGTGCCGGTGACCAAGTGCGCGGATGGAGAGGTTGTTCATCCTCACGTATATCTCATCGTGGTTGCGTTCGCAGAACGCAGACGGTTGCGGGTGAAGGCAAGCATGAGGTGTTATGTACTTAGTACTTGCTCTGTTGGAAGTGAGCAGAGACAGTGACCGGACTCTGGTGGCGACTAGTCTCCCGTAGGCAGCCCACTAGGACGACCTTTCTGAGGGGAGGAGGGCGGTCGTCGGTGGCGACTGGCGAGCCGCCGCGTGCAGCGTGGACCGACGGCGGATAAACACCGGATGGGCGGGCTGGCGGGCCGACTGCGGCGGGCGTCTTGCGTCCACCGACTCGCCGCCGCCTCCTGTACGGCTGCACCCTCCTCCTCCTCCTCCTCCTCCTCCTCTGGGTCTGCCACTACTAGTGCTTCATAAACTGAGTGCGGCGCCCTCACTTCCTCGACGTGCGCTCGAACCATCAAGCACGCCCCGCTGGTCATTGTAGGATCTATATCCACCCATTTTGTCGCCGCTCCTCCTCTGCGGCGCGGCCGCCGAATCTCGAGAGAATCTCAAGCGATCCGAGTGCGAGGCCTGACGATGTGATCGCTGCTGCCAGCCTTGTCACGGCCCGTCGGGAATAGGGCCCAAGTGTCTCGAGTCAACATGTACAAGATACGCAAACTCTAGGGTCTTCGCATAGGACGTACTGCATGAAGTTACGCGACAGACTATGTGCGTTTCCCTCGTCTGTGCTCTCGCCAATCCCGCGACGTTCACTCACCGGCAGATCACGACGTTCTTCAGCGGGTTGCTCAAATTAAATGAGAACGGAAGCGTCCGGGTACGACAGGTCGAGGGGTAGCAATGGGCTCGTGTACTAGGACAGGCCAGGCCGCAGGGCATCATGCAGGTATGCGTTGGTTTGAAGGCATGGCTGGGCATAAGTAGCTGACTGGCGCTGCCTTCCTTGACAGGCGGGCGGATGGAGGCTGTACATGTGGGAGCCGCGACGTAGACTACCGTTCCTTACCCCAAATAGATGCGACGTTGACATACCGATGGTCTCCATCTACTCCGACCGCACGATCTGGTACTCGAACGGTCTGCTGGTACAGAGAGCATGAGATCTGAATTTCGCGTTCAAGTGGTCCTCTTTGATTATCGACGAGCATAAGTATGTCGAAGAGACTCAACGTTCAACGTTCAGTACTCATGTTGCTGCGCGCTCTCCAGGACAGCTCGCACCGCACCCAAGGACACTGGTCCTCCGTATCCGATTGCTCACGGTCCTAGCTTCTATATGTGCCGGTGAGCGCTATGTACTCCGATATATACTATCATCGCACTGATCAGCCTCTGCCACTAGCTCCGCCTATTCCCCTTCATTCGCAGGCTGCGACTCCTTCACATAGCAGTGGCAACGAAAAGTCAGTAGTCGTCACAGATATGAGTCAATCGGCTGTGTGGGTAGTGTTCGAATCGTGCTGATGTGATTTACCTTGCAGAACGTACTGGCAGCCTCGCTATACGTCACGACCTCCTCGCGGTGCCGACGAGCAGCAAAACGTCTCGTGTTGTCTCCATCACACCAACGGACGTAGTCTCAGGATCAACTACTGGTAGGGCTCCTCTGCTGAAGACGAATCCCGTGCCAGGCTCCTAATTCGCTATCCTCGCAGAATCTCCAGACACATTCGCACTTCTGCCGTCTGTGTACAATCCGTTGTACCGACATGGAAGAATGTGCATCGACGTGAGTACAAGTTCAATTGGTGCGCGAGACGTGCTGATACGGGACACGGACTAGTAGGGCGGCCGCCTCCGGAGCGTCATCTCAGGATGACCCGGCTCCACGGTTGCCCACCGAGATCTGCGGACGGATCATTGACCATGTTGCGGCGGGACTGAATCTTCACTACACATCTCTGGCTGGGAATCCAGCTCTCCTAGCTCTGCAATCATGCGCACTGGTATGCAGGGATTGGTACTTTCACACCTGGTACCATCTCCGTCAGCGCGTTCACCTCCGTGACCGGAACGACGTCCGTTCACTCTCCAGGACACTCCACGAGAGACCACGCCTCCGCGGTGTCGTCCAACAGGTCGTCATCTCGGGTCATACGCCTCGACAGCGTTCACCGATCCAACATCTCGGAACGTTTTCCGCCATGCTTGCCGGGAAGCTCCCGGAGCTGTCGAGGATCAGCATCGAGGACGCGGAATGGCCCGTTGGCTTGATGAGGGTGGAAGACTTCGGATATCTCGCCGCATTTCACCTCGTCCACACGTTAGACATCGCCAACGTCACCGTGTCGAGCATCGCCCAGCTGGCCCGCCTCATCTCAGCACTCCCTGCCTTGAGAGAACTATATTGCGTCAATGTCGACTGCTCACAGAAACACCCAGTCTCTCCTGTCTCTCTCCCGCTGAACTGTGCAAGCCTGGAGTTCCTCGATGTGCGATGGGTCGCGCCTGCGGTTGAAGACCTACTCGTTCGGATCAGCCAGGCTTCCCGGCTACGAAAGCTCTATTTCGGAGTTGACGGCGACTACACCTCATCCTCCGCAGGCAGCAGAACTCAAGCTTTATTGGATGCAAGTGCGGCCTCGGTGGAAGTCCTCACGCTCTGGATTGCTCCCGCCTCCTCCGTGGACAGTCACACTGTTGGTTCCACTGTAGGCAAGTTGTACACGTTCGCTCTTGGGTTATCTGATTGACCGTGAATGTAAGTAGAACGACACTTCAACCTGTCACGCCATGAAATGCTGTGGCGATTGCACATTTGCCTGTATCACCCCTTTGTTGCGTGGTCCTGGATTCCTCATATGGTCTCTCGAATCCATTCAGATCATCTCATGGCCATTTCTGTTTTGTTTTTCATTCATGCGGACCATGCATCCGCCAACTTGGATGGGGCGGTGACGATGATGGAGGAAGATGGGACCTTGGTGCGATTGGATGATATACTGCAAGCAGATTGCTTCGCCGATATCGCATCGGGTGGTATATGCCTAGGCTTCGATCATGATGGGATTGACTGGCTGCCGGTTGTCAAGTTGTTTGATTCAGAATCATCATTCAGAGAGCAGTGTGGCCGGAGGGACGAGCTCGTTAGACGGAAGATGCCGCGCTGCAATGGACGGCGCATATTGACGTACGTGTTACATTGGGTCCGATGTAATGGCAGAGACGCGCTGAGTTCCCTTCTTAGTATCGTACATAGCTTCGAAGAGCACGAGAACTGGTGCTACAACATGAATGAAATCCATGAAGCGACACAACACCAGAAGGCCAAAACCGGAGTAGAGGTGCAGTCAGAGGACGACGCTGCGCATGCGCCGGATACGTCAGGCTGACCGTCCTCATCTTGTACACTCGCCGGTGTCAGTGTAACGAGTCCTGTGAGTGCACAAAAGTTGCCATGCATACCTCTGTTCACCTGATTTCTGTAGTGTTATCGTACGCCGCGCGTTTTGCGCATTGGTTGCCTCGCCGAGAGGCGAGCGGCGATGACCTATGTATAGACGTAACACTATGCGCGGGATGTCCCCGCAATACTCATCCAAGGGTGTCGACACGTAGAACATCATCGCTGGTTCAGAGCTCATAGCCCGATAAGTCATCTGCAGCTGTACGCGGCGGCACCTTCGGATCATACACGATTGTGGGTGCCGATGCTGCCTAACAATATGATGCACCTCAGCTAGACGGCGTCACGCAGACGGAATGGGAGGCTTGTCAAGCAACGTCAGAACAGTACTTACCTGTCTCCTAGACTACCTCGACCCTAATGAGCCGCTGGCGCTCGAGCCTCCGTAGGTCTGCGCACATGGTAGTATCCCGCTATTCTACGTGAGTGACCAGCCTATTGTTTTGAGTCGCCCATGTAACGAGTTTATGTTGCATATTGACCGATGGCAGGCCGCATTGACGTCCAAGAGCCGTCATCCCATGGTCAAGCGCCGTCTTCAGGTGAGTCGTAGCTTCGTATCATACTTGCCTGAATCGGAGCACTGACCTGACTATGTGATGAAATCTCTATGTTCCTGCGCTCCTTAGACGCGGCAGATCGCATTCAGACTGTTCTATCGCTCAACACCCCCGCCAAGGGCCCAGCGTGAGTGTCCTGTATGATCCATCCACCTGTCTGATGCTTCTGACCAGTTGCGCCGCGACTTGTCTTTTCGTGCCTTTGCATACCATAGGGCATGCGCTGCGCTGCGCCGTTCAGACAGTCTACATGCTGTTCCTATTCATCAAGTTGGACATCAAGACGACCGTGATACTTGTCGTGAGTGCTCGCTCACTACTGTATATCACCTCTGATATGCCAACCACATGTAGACGTTTATGCGAAAGCAGCGGCTCCAGCTCTAGAAACACGGTCGATCCCGCACGCGATGCTTTGAATATGGCTACACCTTCTACAGTTTGACGCGTCCAATCAGACGCTACGACCTGAAGACCTTGTCAACAAGAGAGATCGACCGCTCCCGTCTGGAAGTATCACACTTGAAGCTGCCTTGGCCCTTTGCTGGGTGCTTATTCCCCTCTGCTTCGCAATTTTTTGGCTCTATAGCATGGGGGTGCTACCAGCGACCGTAGCCCTCAAGATCATCTACAATGAGTTACTGCGCATATGTTGAGGACGCTCCCGGAGGACCAAGTATCTTTCTACTGCTACAACGTGAGCAGGGTCGTTTGGCTACGAGGATGCTCTGACATACGTCGTCGCAGATGTGGCTCTCATTTGCCCAGGCGCTTCCCGGGCACTACAGATTTCTCCATGGCCCCGTATCTGGGGCATTGCTCTTTGTATAGTGCCTACTAGCAAGGTAAACGAATCTCTCTCAATGGACGGCTGAATAAGTGCGAAAGCGTACACTACGCCGTTGCGGCTCGACACCGTCCCTGTACGCAACCCACGAGGCTCCGCGGAGGCACTTTCCAGCGGAGCGGCGTCGTCGCCGACACCCATCAGCGAAGACAGCGAAGACGGCAAACCACGGATCATGGCGTGCCCAATGTCACGGCGCTCCGCAACGGAACCGCAAAGTGGGGTTACGACAACGACGCAAATGTCCATTCAAAGACGTTGTTCTGCTTATAGTCGCGTTGCACTTGGCTGCCGCTGTCGATATCAACTCAAGGTACGTCAAACATTCTGTATGCGCGAAGGTCATATAGCAGTCCCTGCGATGAATTGATGCAATGCCAATGGAAGATTAGTACTGCGGGACGCGCACTGTTGCTGAGAGCCGTGGAGAGTACTGGTTACGGCATCGGCAAAGCACGGCCTTGAGGCCTGAGGCCTGAGGCTCAACAGGCGAAGCGCTTCGAATCCTTGTGTACTTCGCGCGCAAGGACTTCTATATGAAATACTGGCCGTTGGCATAGGAAATTCTGAGCTCATCGCGTACGAGATCCATAATTCCGCCATCACTTGCTTCCGGGGGAGGTGATACCGACAGCCTAACGTTTCCAAATGATGCGGCATGCCGTATGATGGCTGGAAACTATATCTTGACCTCCGCCGGCGGTCTGGTCAGCTCATGTCCCACTTACGCATGTTAGGCCTGCTCACCCATGTCGGATCCGCAGACAGTGGCGCTTGATCGCCCAACGCCTGTCTCACAGTCGCTCTTTCAGCAGACATATGGTGCGTGATACGTTCCGGTCAAACGTTGTAATGACTGTCTAATACTATATAACAGGTGGGTCGCTGGCGTCCTGCCAGATAATGCTCGTTTTCTATGGTATATCGGTCTTGCAGGTATGTCTCCAGTTTCGGTCGTGTCACAGGTGATCTGTGTTGATCCTTGGCTATGACGTTCTACAGACTTACTTATATTTTCTACGATACGAAAAAGACCATCCGTTACTGAAGCTACTGGTGAGGGTGCAATAACCGCTTCTTCTGTTCTTCAAGGTGTCTCAATTCCTCACATCGCAGGTCCTAGCACTATTGTACGTTTGAACCTGCGACCCAGCCCGAATTCTACTGATGCCCCACGTTCGCGCAGTATCTTGTCCACGATACATGCGGCTTTTGGTAACATCTCGCCTCATTCGCGCTAACCGTTCAATGTTGCTCATCAGTCGCTCAGTGTGTCATACCGTATGGCACTACCTTGTAAGCACCTGGTGTTATGCGCTCCACTTGGTCGCACCTCAACGTCTGGCTTTTAACAGATTTTTAGTTACACCGATGTAGACTTGCTACTAGACGGAGAGTGGTAAGGCCTTCCGTATGCTGCGCGACTCGACACATCGCTGACACTATGTTCCTTTTCTGATAGGTCTGTATACGTATGTACGACAGCGGTTGTCTTTCTATCAGCTGCGCTGACACAGAGAACTCGGCAGGTAGCTACAGCTGTCGGGGTATGCGCTTGTTTCCTAGTTCAATCGTATGTGTCCATCTTCGAAGCAAGGCCATGCAGTCACAGTCACGCTGATGGCGTCTCACATGTAGCTTCTTTGCGAGGACAATCTATACATGCGCGTGCGTTTCATTGTCTCCGGGTGGCGCAACGCTGATGCTATGTATGAGCAGTGCTGAGAGGGAAATGGAGAATGCTTGTTACGACAATCACCGTGCGTTCCGCTCCTCGGCTTGTTGAGCTCATTGCTCAGTGTACGTTATAACCATCAGGTCACCTTGTTCTTGGCTCAGCTTGGTGAGCCAGATTGCTACCCTGCGTTCTAAACTAACCAGAGGGCTGACGATCCACGATACATACAGGCTTTGGAGTCGGTGTGTCGTGTTCTCCTGATGTCCGTACCAAAGTTGTTACCAACCATCTGACGCTTTACAGCGCTCGCCGTCAAGCTGTAGGTCCGACACCGTAGATCAATGCTCTACAAGTCTGACCTTGCCTGAATATCAGTTTTCAGATCTGGGATTTGTACTTGCTCAAGGAAGCGGTGGTATGTCCTAGGCGCTATGCTATTATCGCCCGCATGACGACTCCATCCACAGGATAGTACCATGATTCCTATGTTTTGTTCGCGGATGGCATCAGATGCGGTCTTCACAATCACGCTGTGTGTGGTGCTGTACGACACATCGACAGATTCGAATTACAGCAGCGGGTACATTCTCCACGCTACCAGCCGTGTCAAGTTCACTCACCCTGTTCTCAACCCAACAGTTCTGTGAGACTCGTCAAGCTGCTCATTGTATATGCTATCAATAGATTCGTGTTGACGACGTGGGTGTCAGTCGATGCAACTTTGCTGGATTGCTCTTACTCAACTCCTGCCACAGTATTGTAGTCGCTGTGCAGACAATCGTGGTAAGTGCTGTTGCTGCTTCAGTCTCGGACCGATTTTACCTTTCTATTCTCACTCTAGCTGATTATCCGACCGAACGAGATCTGGGCGATGGTCCTCGAATTTATTACAGTGCATAGTCCGTCCCATTCATATCATCTCGCCTTTCATCACCTAACAAGTCCAACCTAACAGTCTATGTGAATAGCCTATTGGCAACACTGAACACACGCGATCACCTCCGCGATGTCCGGAACGATGGCCAGTCGATGGATGCTTCACGTCTACCGGTAGGCCAGTCGGCGTTGGTGTTCCGCTCAGAGCGATGTAGTGGCTTCGCTGGCACGCTGGACAATTCCTCGGGTGCGACGGCTATCGAGCGGGTGCACGTCCACCTTCAAGTTAGGAGTTTAGATCACTCCGGAGGTCGCAGGCAGAGCTTCGAGCTCAGCGATATGGACAGGAAACCCGTGAATGCAGAGGCTGCGGACGCCTCCGGATCTGTGAGTGCTCCTTCTGTCTTCGTTGGCACTTCGGCCACATGTATATCAGTCTACTGATTCGTGCTCGGGCTTTGCTCACAGAATCGGATGGTATGAAGTCCCGAGTTAGCAACAACTGCGCAGTTCGAAGTCGTCTCCGTAACCAACGTAGTCCGACTGTTCTTATGAACTCTGATGACGTGTACAATCCATCATCGATTGCCATCCCGCACTGCTGAACCTATTCATACGTTCGCACGTCGCAGCGGTCGTTGGATCGAACGGTCATCGCGAGAGCCATGGCATACATAGATACTGTACTATGCGTTGATCGGGACGTTGCAGCGACCGAAGATTCGTTCTGGGATTCTGGGAGGATGGAAGCATTTTCACCGAAGTCGATGACATCACTCTGAGGGATGTCCGCTGAAACAGTACGCGACATTCTTTCCTTGTGTCGGACCGAGATTTCACTTGCGTCAACCCTCCATGCCGTGGTCTTGGGGAGAAGACCGTGACGAGCCTCACAGCTCGACTCTCCGAGTGTGGCGAGTTACGGAGGTCGTATTGATACTTCGCGGCTCAATGCAGAGCGATGATTATTGAGAGCGCCGCTTGAGCGCCGCGTAAGAAAACTCAGCTTCTGGCACTTATCTGTGAGACTCTTGAGGACCGTGAATCTGGGTGGGTGCGAAGATCGCAAGAACGCCAGTATGACGGGTAACTCGGGTATCACGGCTATACGCCGGACGAGAACGACAACACCTTTGTTTCACCCTGTCCGTTTCTTTCCTGAGCTTGGTTGGAACGACCGACAGTCTGAAGCTAGCACTGGGGAGGAGGAACGACCGGGAGGGCAAGGACTATTATGCTTTAGTAATAGTAGGAGAAGCCAAGGCCGAGATCATGGATGTGGCGTGCGTAATATGGCCCTATGATGCGATCACACGGACTCATACTGCTTGCACTCATCTTGCGCTGGCGGGTAACCTATGATAATGTAACGAACGCGGTCACGGTGACCGACAGAGAGCCACATATATATCCGTGACTCTGCGATGAGTCGCTTTCTGGACATCGATTCTGGCTGCCTTGGCGACAATGGTCTCCGTCTCGCAATCAACGGACGGTTCTGGCCTTCTTTCTGCATTCGTTGCAATTGCCGTTGCGTTCATTGCGTACTATGCCTACCAGCTCGTTGCTTCAGGCCGTCCCACTGTGCCACTTCCTCCTGGCCCAAGACCTCTCCCGCTGGTCGGTAACCTCCTCGGCTTTCCCAGCTTCCACCCATGGGAGACATTCTCCAAATGGGGCGAAACTTATGGTGCGTACACCCCAGGCTTATAGTACCTCTATCTTGTCATACAAGCAATCGAGAGACGTGTATCTTTCCTCGCTCAAACGTATACCTACATCGCACCGTTCTTCCCATTGCAAGCCGAGCGCTGAGGCAGGACCTTCTCCCAGTCGCTCCCCGAAGCATTCGTGCCATTCGGGTGGGTATGTGCCTACAGTGAACTGGAGATATGGGTCGGTCGGAAATACCCGTGTCACAACTGGACCCCCTCATCGCCGGAAACTGAAGGTGATCAATGTGCTCCATCCCGAGATGAATTTCATGACCCTCATGCGCATGGCCCCACGCGATGTATTGTTCTTTGACAGCCTGTAGAAGCTTCCGGCGAGAGCTATAATCTATATAGTCACTCTCTACTCATGCGACACGTTACATGTCAGTGCAACTGATCGTTATAACGCTACAGGCGGCATCATACACGTCAGTGTCCTTGGCCAGAGCATCATCGTTCTCAACGACGCTCGATATGCAATCGACATGCTCGACAGGAAGGGCGCCCTCTACAGCGACCGCCCGACACTCGTCATGTGTGGTGAACTCATCGGCTGGGACGAAGGCCCCGCGCTCAGTCAGTTCGGCGACCGCTGGGCGGAGTACCGCCGGTTCTTCAGCCAGTTCATGGGCACAAAGGCCAAGGTCGAGGCGTTCAGCCACACTCTTCACGAGGAGACAAATGCCTTTCTGAAGCACTTGCTTGCCGAGCCCCGCAAATGGGTGGAGCATACCCAGCGGTACGCCATCTGTACATCAGATGTGAGTGCGGGTCGTCTTGCTGATTCCAGACATGATATGCAGGTTTGCAGGTGGTTTCGTTCTTCAGCTGACGTACGGCTATCGAGCATCGGACCCCGGTGGCAAGGAGCTCGTGAAGCTTGTTGACGATGCTATGGAGGGATTCTCTGAGGCGACAGTGCAAAATGCGTTTCTTGTTGATGTGATCCCCGTTCGTAAGTTCCGCTCCTTTCCATCCGTTGTTGCCCAAGAAGTGATGGTTTCTACAAAGTGAGATATGTGCCTGAATGGTTTCCCGGCGCCGCGTGGAAACGCAAAGCGAGGATGTACCATGACTACCTCCAGAAAATGCTACGCGCCCCGTTCGAGCTCGTGAAACAACAGATGGTATGCAAGTTTCCTTCGACTCAGGGACTGGTGTGTCACTGAATAGCATACCCCTTTCAAGGCCGCTGGTGTTGCGCGCCCCTCTTTTACCCAGAGCCATCTTGAAGGCCAGAGCCTGGCCGCAGAACAAGAACGCATCATCCAGTGGACCGCAGCGGGAATATACAGCGGTATGCATTCATCTATACTCCCCCAACACTAAGCACTAACAACACAGCACGACGTACTTAGGCGGCGCGGACACTGTCAGTATTCTTGTCTACCTCTTCATCCATTCATGTATGTACTGAAGCACAACACACATAGACCGTGGCAGGCATTGAATCCTTCTTCCTCGGCATCACGCGCCACACCGACCAGCAGAGGCGTGCCCAGGCCGAGCTCGACGCCGTGCTGGGGTTCGACTGCCTCCCAACGCTCGCGGACCGAGAGCGCCTTCCGTACTGCGAAGCGCTCTACTTAGAAATCATGCGATGCTACACTTTCGGGCCTCTAGGTGAGTGCGTCGTTGTCCGTCCTATCGTGTCTGACGACCGTATAACTGAAATTGTGCTGGCAGGATTACCACATGTGGTACGCGAGGACGATGTGCATGACGGGTACTTCATCCCCAAGGGGTCAATCATCATACCCAACAACTGGTACGTGTCTGTGCGCTTTCCCTAAGCAGCCCAGAGAGTCCATGGCTCTTTCCATAGGAAATTCTTCAACAATCCGAAGACGTACCCTCAGCCTAAGACCTTCGCACCAGAGCGCTTCATGGGCAAGGAGAAGCAGTACGACCCGCGCAAGTATCTCTTTGGCTATGGTCGCCGGTACGTGAGCCTTCCTCGCCGGTACAGCGCTCATCTTCACCGGGTGTTCCTAGGACTTGTCCCGGTACGTACGTGTATTGTGGGACTCGAGCGCATGCTGACCCTTGCGACGAGTAGGCATCCACCTAGCTGATGCATCTATGTGGCTCTTGTGCATGTCGGTCCTCGCACTGTTCGATGTCGAGCCCCCTGTAGAGGACGGGACACCCGTCGTTCCCCCGGCAAGGTTCTTGGATGGTGCGATCAGGTGCGTGCTCTGGCAACTTGTATGGTGCACATTGTACTCCATCATCGCCTTCGTTCCGGTTCTACCGTCAAACAGCACTGACTTTCCCGATTCATTGTCGTGCAGCCACCCTGAAGCGTTCAAATGCGTGATCAAGCCACGGAGCGCAGGGGCCGAAGCGCTTGTCCGTGGATTGTCTGGTAACCTCTGACATCTGCCGTCGTTGCATGCGCCGCAGAGGTCAAATGATATCAGAAGACCTGTTGGGGAATAGTCGTTCACGCACCAGCAACTGGCATGTACAGATGGCGCGTGCACTATTGGCTCATATGTATTACTACTACCTGTTGTTCGTGGCGTTCTTGAAAATGATTGTCTGTGCGTCCTAGTTTCGGGATGCCTCTGATATCATCAACGCTGCGATGTTCTTCCTTACGAATCTTGCAATGTCGATTGTAGGGACGAATAAAACTCTCAGTCATCAAACATACGTAATCAAGCTTTTCCACACAAACCGGCATACGCTCGACCACGGCAGTGAGTATGTGTATCATCTGAGTTGACTTTGCCGAAACAAACCGGCGAAGGTAACAGGTCAACACAGCGCCGGTGAGAAGGCGCAACAGATACTGATCAGCCGTCCTGCGCTTCAGGTTGTCGGTCTAACGCAGATCAGAGTGAGCCTCAGTAAACCAGCGTACGAAAATCAAGGAAGGACTTACTGTTATTGATCTGCGAGCTGGCCGACTCGTCCGTCTGGCCGCGACTCCGAGTCGAAGCCATGATAAGGTGAAAGATGTTCCAGCACGGGATAAGGACGAAGGCTAGGGCGACCGTTCGGAGGGCCAAACAGACGAGGCCTGTGCGCGTTCTGTTGTAAAGATGCTCACAAAACCCAGGATCCCATCGTTGCTGGCAGAGGTCGGTTCACTATAATCGCGCTCGTGTACCACGTACCGCTGAATTCTGAGGCATCCGTTGATCGTAGCCTTCGTATGATGCTGGCCTAAGGCGATCATCGAGTACCAGCAGGCTGTAAAAACAACTCAACAAATACTCAATCGTTAGGGACGTAGTAGTGATGGTCTGTATTTCAGTTGCTATGGCATTCCAGTATTCAATATTGTACAGAGTGCGTGAACTTGCCTCTTTCCCATCATCTCTGCAGCCCGTCTACAAGTGTGGTCGAGTTACACATACTGAAATGCGTACCCTCTACCATGATCACGTTGGCATCTGGATACACTTCGCGTACGCCCAGTTCACTCCAGTCTGAGTGTTGTACATTTCCCGCCGCAGAGCGAAGGCTGAGTAAGAAGCCTCGATCAGCAACGAATAGAGTCAAGGGCACTCGCACCGTGCTCAATCGAGTAGCAAGAGCGTGACGGAGCAGATCCTGCGTGTACGGCACGTCTTGACGTAGTAGCTCGAACATGAACTCGTATGTGCCAGTGACTATACTAGAAAACGTGCGCCATCGCAACGCCGCTGCGGGTGGCATCAATTTGCCACTTGCAGCATCTTCAAATTCAACGGCCAATCACCGGATGAAACTTTCGATCCTTCAAGTGAAAGATCGATAAAATTGACAAAATCTTTTTCACGATATTTCGTATGAAAGATTGTCAATAAAAGTCAGAAACAATCAATTAATCATTCAGACTCGAAGTATCAGGAACAGATCACAGAAGGATTCATTGACAAGTGTCTTTGATCTGTTTGTGATCCTCTAGGCAAATGATTGAGAACATGATATTCAAAAATTCTTGAACACTATGTGGCTCAATTGTTCTGAAAGGATTGAAAACAGATTGTCACATGGGGTGTTACAATCTTTTCTCAATCTTTCAGGCTGTCACAATCTGTTTCAAATCCTTCCAGCTGTTGATATCTTGGTGAGATTGGAAACAATTTGTATCCCAGGGGTTCAAAACAATTTGCCCAAAAGGATTGACAAGAGATTGTGACACTAGCTGTGACACTGTGCCACTTCCCTATGACAGAGCAGTGAAGGCAATTATGCCAAACCTATGATAAGCTGCCTTCTGCTGGTATGCTCAGTCAATTTTGGTCCCTCTTTCATTGCATCTGGACATGCACAGGTCTGGGACATGTTCATTAGTCATACAATGAGATGCACATCTCTAGGAATGTACAATCACAAGTACAACCCTGTACACTGAGTGCATCTAATGAGACTCATGTGATGGCAGGCAATGAATGAGGGACCAAAAATGACTGAGCATACCAGCAGAAGGCAGCTTATCATAGGTTTGGCATAATTGCCTTCACTGCTCTGTCATAGGGAAGTGGCACAGTGTCACAGCTAGTGTCACAATCTCTTGTCAATCCTTTTGGGCAAATTGTTTTGAACCCCTGGGATACAAATTGTTTCCAATCTCACCAAGATATCAACAGCTGGAAGGATTTGAAACAGATTGTGACAGCCTGAAAGATTGAGAAAAGATTGTAACACCCCATGTGACAATCTGTTTTCAATCCTTTCAGAACAATTGAGCCACATAGTGTTCAAGAATTTTTGAATATCATGTTCTCAATCATTTGCCTAGAGGATCACAAACAGATCAAAGACACTTGTCAATGAATCCTTCTGTGATCTGTTCCTGATACTTCGAGTCTGAATGATTAATTGATTGTTTCTGACTTTTATTGACAATCTTTCATACGAAATATCGTGAAAAAGATTGTGTCAATTTTATCGATCTTTCACTTGAAGGATCGAAAGTTTCATCCGGTGAATTGTTGACGGGATATCGATGGTTCGGCCCTATACATGTGCAGCATTGACTGCAGCAAAGAATTCATGAATGCGTGGCTGGGCGTGCGTTGTCGGACCGTAGCGTCGTCTGGCTCGAGGTAGGGGGAAGCGAACAGGAGAGGGAAATGATCGAGCAGAGAGAACTGCGCCACCACGTCGCCGTCTTTAACAATCCTCTCCGCGATGAGGAATGGGATGATAGATGACCCGGAGTACGCCCCAATGCGATACGGTCCGCTGGGCTGAGCATCCTTGATGGCCTTGTAGTAGTAGGCAGCCATGGCGTCAAGCGAGTGCATGGGCGTGTCCGGTGTCGACTGCAACACCCATAGAGAAGACGTGAACGTCTGCTGAAGGGGCATAAACGAGACAATGCTCCCGCTTGCCCCGTGAACCAATATAAGGGGTGTGTCGCCTTGACGGTTCACCAGCTTCACCAGCGGCCGACCGGACTGACTCAGCTCCAGCCAATTGAACGTCACCTCTCCTTGATCATCCGCAGTACCGGACTGAGCGATCCCTGAGGTGGTGGTCCGCAAGTGTAGCTCGGCGAAGCTCAACCCTCCAAGTAATTGCATTGATGAGACGGTCACAACGTTCTTCAGAGCGTATGCCAGGCGACCGGCGGATAGGGAGTCCATGCCGTATCGTGAAAGAGGAGCGTCGGGAGAGAAGAAATCGGCAGGTACGTCCACGTGTTGCAGCACTATGAATAAGAGATCATCGCGGCTCATTTGCTGCGTCCTTGAGGGAGCGGGGCGCGGGTTGCTATCTGCTAGATAGTCGTAGAGAAGAGACGGACCCAGATGTTGGCGGACTAAATCCCATTTCAAATTCGGCACGTACACGCCCACGGGCTCACGCGCCAATAGGAGTATACCGTCCTCGATGCAATTATTGAGCTCTATGGCGAAACAATGAACACCCATACGTGTCATTCCAGTGCAATTGCGTACCTTCGGCAGAGAACGCCCACGGCATCAGATGCTCGATTTGCGATTCACGTTCTTGAGGCCTAAGTGCACTGCTGATGGCCGCCGAATCGACGATGGCAGGAGTAATCAAAGCGAAGGCGTTCCTGTATTGCCTTACGTATCCCTCGAGAGCTGTATTCGCGCTGTCCAAGTGCCATGAGTATGCTAGGTGCGTACAAGAATAATCGTTTTACCTGGCATAGTTCGTTTGTCCGGTATTCCCGAATGACGCAATAGAAGAGAACACGACGAGGAAGTCGAGGCTCTTGATTGGAATTACACTTTCCAGCGTCTTGATTGCTTGAAGCTTTGGTCTGAAAGTCGCCTCAAATGTAGATGCATCTTGAGAGAAAAAGGTGCGATCGACGAGGACGCCTGAAAGGAGCATACAACCAGCGATGCGCTGTGCGACGCCCGAGAGAGTCATGTGCATTTGATGAAAAGAGGCGGCATCACATGCAACCAGTCGCAAGGACAGGTCCGCGCGGCTCTCCAGGTAATTCAGAATGCGGATGGCAAGGACATCTCCAGCTCGTTCCAACGATTGACGTCCAGAGCGAGACGTAAGCAATATGTGTCTGGCTCCTCTCTAAAGAAGATTGTAGATCAGCATAGGCGTCCACAAGGCATGTATGACCTTACCTCGTACATCCACAACGCGATGTGCATACCCAAGCTCCCAATTCCTCCTATCAATACATACACATCGCTAGCGCTGAACTTGAGGAAGAGTGTCTGAGGATGATGCAACACCTGCTGCGCTGTCCCGCTGTCAATGGATACGCCCGACGGTATCAGTTGAATTGCGTTCTGTAGCATTGTTGTCAAGATCTGCGGGCTGCGCGTCGCTTCGCACAGCAGTTGAGATACATCGCGCATGCGAATATGCCGAACGCCGTTGCGTCCTACGAATGTGGCGGCGATGCTCGAGGCCGCGTGGCCGCTTAGGTCAACGACAATGTCCCTAGGTCCTAGAAGGAGTGATGCGAAGTGTAGGGGAGACGCCTGTAGCTTCAATCCGACTGTGCCGATGCATAGCTGCCGCAGGATACAGGTGAGCACACGTCCCAGCGGCGTGTCTGTACCCACGACAATGATACGGCGAGCATCGTCCACTGCGCATCTCGGTGAAATTTTCTCCGTGCCGAGTACAGAACGGATCACCAGACAGCCGAGTGCGAGCAACGGCGCTCTGTGCAACTCCCAGTGATCAGGTATGGGGATCATGGAGTCTCGGCGCACAGTCATGGGTGCACCAACTTCGGAAGTTTTCGCAGTAATAGTGACCACCCTCGTACCCACCAGCGCCGTCGCATCTTCGTTAGAGGCGGCTATAATTGTCCCGGCTAGGCAATGGTGACGAGGTTCGGACTCGACATCGTAATTGAAGACTGGGTCAAGTTGCACGTATCCAGAGCGCACATCGGCGACGTGGAAAATCGTCGGGTTGGGAGGGCCAATGGGGACTTCACGGATGCGGGGGACGTATAGCTGGCGATCTTCGGCAATATACAACTCGCGCTCCATGCTGCGGTGCGAGGACAGGTAACGAGCGAACTGCTCCACCTCCTGTTTGTCAAAGGTAGGGGCAGATATGAGGAGTCCGATATCCCAAGCAGATAACTCCCTCCTGAGTGACCGAGTAAATCCTCGTGCAGCGTCGCCGTCCCGCTCTCCGCGCGCCAGTATCCAGACACAGATAGATGCGTTGACATCAAGTTTTGCCAAGGCTGTTTGAATGCTTCTCTCGTCCCCAATGCGGTATGAGAGTACATGGGCCCGACCCCCTCGGTCCGACCAGGCTTGGTCGGGGCCAAATGACAGAGACGAGCTGTGTGCTTCTATCAGAGTAGTCGGCAGGCCTGCTACCAGATGTCGGGCGCGGGTCTGGAAGTGCAGACGGCTCAGCTCGGTCTGTACCTGGGCAGCTCCAGAAGGATCTGGGTGTGGACCCGAGCCGTTTCCAGAACCTGATTGAACGCCTTGAATGAATAGAAAGCCTCCGGGAATGAGGGAGGTAGCACAAGCGCGAACCATAGTGGTTACGTCTGGAGCGCTCCACGGCGAAGAGCAGTTATAAAGGACAATGTCGAAAATAGGATGGTGCGGGCGAGATGCACGAGTGCTGAAGTCCACTGTCTTGCAGGACACAGGAATACTATGAGACTGAGACATGTCCTCGTCCATGACTGCGGCGTGATACACGACTGTTATCGCCCGTCCAAGCGAAGCTTGCAATAGGGCTTGGGCGTCCCCATGTAACGATCCCGACTCTGCATGAATCATACATGAGCGCGGCGACATGTTGATCCCATAGAGCGTCACGTACTGAAGTCCACTCCCAACACAGTGATCACCCTCTTTCCCATAGCACCCAAGCGAGAGGCATGGAGCGCGGCGCAAACAAGCAATATGTTGACGCCACAATGAGATGTACACGGCGTATTGTTCACCTATATCACCTGGATGAGTTGGGCGGCCCTGCATGTATTTGTGACTCACTATTTGACTTCCTCCTTTCTGGCCAGCAGTGACGCGGGAAGCACATAGCGTTTTCATAACGGCTTCCTCGCCCACGTCAACTTCGGTTCCCAAGTCAAATGGTATCATGGACAGTGGTTGATCGATCAGCTCGAACCGCCTACGCGGAGGCGTCGGAGTGTTGATGTAGTGACGAGCTACCTTGAGATCACGGAGCGTACAGAGATCTTTTCCGCCCACGTCAATGACATGCACATCTGCTGTGATCTCATCTGTGTTGCAGTATGTCAGATACGAGAAGTGAGAGGGTACCAATCGACGAACCTGGCCGCCAATCTGTGAGGACAGCATACGCGTACAACGTACTTTCCAGCCGCGGCGCCAAGAGGTTCTGCCGTTCGATAACAAGGGAGCCAAGAGCAGATGGCAAATAAAAGACATTGGTGTCGGAGACGGAAGTGAAACGAGGATGCACAACAACATGTAGACATGCATCTAGCAGAGCCGGGTGGATGACGTAATTACTGCAGGCGATTGAGTGGCAAATGACAGGAGCATACGATACATTACTCACGACTGAGAAGGCTCGTCAAGTCCTTGTATTTCTACTAACGCGTAGTTAGACCCAAAGTAGCATCTCCTGATACGTCTGAATACGGGGCCGTATTGTGCGAAGTATTGAAAGCCGGAGTACAAGTCTAGCATTCATCATCAGGCACCGGTATAGAACAATAACTGAACATCAGACCATCTGCATCATGGAGCTTGCAACACTGTAAGACATCAGAAGGGACAGAGTTGTGGTATTGGCCAACGTCGTATTGGTCTAGCGTCATGAAGCCCTCCGCATGGACTTGAGGTTTGCGTTCATCAGCCTTGGACACACAATGAGTATTAGCGTGCCACATATAGGAGTTTCACGTACACTATCTTCTTGGACTCCGGCAACAGCACTCGAGACCACTCGCCAGTGCTTCCCGTCGATGTGCATTCTGAGCGCCGTTGGAGTGTTTGAGGCTAGCGAAAACATCGAGTGGAAGCGTACATTCCAGACGATGTTTGCTCCCGCTTCTAACACCTACACTCATCGGCACGGCATGAGTACAAAACAGCGCAAAAGTCAGTGAATGGGACAAACCATCTCGAGGAATCCCGAAGCGGGCATAATAGGTTCCTGATTGATGACGTGCTGGGCAAGCTCAGGATGTGTAGCATGATTGACCCTGAGGTTGTCTCCAGACAGCGGTCGCACAAGGGGGCCTAGTTGTTGTTGCAACAATTTCGAATGTCGAGGCAAGAACGGGATAGGCTTGCGCGCGAGAGGGTACGAAGGTAGGGGTATGTCGCAGTCCCGCATGGCGAATGGGGAGTCGTTGAACGCCCGGAAATCGATGGCGTTGCATCCTGAAGTTACCAACTGCCCCATCGCATTCAAGAGTACAGCTTGCTCCTGATGCGCTGCGTATGCCTTCGCCCGCCGCATCGGACACAATATCGAGGTAGGAGGAACACCCAGTTCTTGCAGGTACAGCGATAGCACCGCATGAGGGCTAATCTCGATGAAACGAGCGGTAGAATGAGCCCGCAGCACGGACCGCACTGTCTGTGCAAACCGGACCGGTCCTCGACTATTGTGCCAGAAGTAGTCCGGTGAGAATTCTTCCAGCAGAGCACCTGTCGCGGTAGAGTAGGTCGTAATGGAGGGCGCGCGACACGGTCCATAGCGAGCGAACGCCTCAACCATCTCGGGGCGATACGACTCCTCGCATAGATCCATCATGGGCGAGTGAACCGCGACGTTTGTTTGTATTGTACGGGCAAGGATCCCGCGGGCCGTCGCGATCTCCACCGCTCGGGCTACCAGGGTATGATGACCTGCGATCGCGACCGCCTGTGGGCCATTGTAACAGGCAATCTCCAAGATGCCGTCTTCAGATGATTCCTTCGCACTTTGGATGATTTCATCGGCCTGGTATGGCGCGCATGAGAGTGCGGCCATCCCTCCCCCTGCGTTCTCAACCAGCGTCATCGTCCTGCCTCGTACGACGGCCACCGCCATAGCCATACGCTTCGACGCAGCTCCAGATGCGTATAGGAGAGCTGTCTCGCCCGCGGAATGGCCCATGACGACATTCGGCCGGAGTCCAAAGCTCGAGAGTAGATCGTAAAGGGCGATCTGGAGCATGGTAAGCGAAGGCAGGATGACCGAGATCGGCCACACGGCCATGAGGGTCTTCAATGGCGGGAAGTCACCAAACAGCCCGACGTCCCGTATGAGGGACGTGCCCGTTAGTTCGAGGTGGTACCCATCGAGTTCTTCGATCGTCCTGCGGAAGACGCCATAAGACGCGAAGAGCTGTCGCCCCACTGCGATAGGTCAGTAACGAAGGCCATCAGTGATGAGAAAATGCTGGGGTCCTTGGCCCGAGAACACAAAGACTGTCGGCACGTCTTGAGCTAGCGTAGGCGCAGGGAAGTCGACCGCAGACAGGGCTTGCCCGGGATTGACCACTGCGAAGCTGCGCCACTTCATCTGTCGCACGCGGCGGCCGTATATGTTCGCGATCGCAGGCAACCGGTCGGGGTTTTCTCTCGCCAAGTCTAGCAGAGAGCTCGTTACGCCTGCCGCCGAAGAGGGCGAGAGGCCCCCAGCCATGAGAAGCCTAGGAGCATCCAGTAGAGCCGAACGGCAGGCACTGGCAGCTGGCATGGGAGGCGCGCTCTCGAGGACAGCATGCCCGTTCGCCCCGCCGATCCCGGAGCTGCACATGGACACCAGGAGCTTTCGTGGGTCATCGCGCGCGCGCAACACCATCGGCTCGAGGGGGACATGCAGTTTGTATGCGTCCCACCGAATCGCCGGGTTCCGCGCCGCGAGGTTCACGTTCGGGGGCAACACCCCGGTTTCGAAGAGACCGCATACCTTGCACAGCGACGCGAGAAAGGCGGTGATCTCCAGATGACTGTGTGCCGGGCGCGTCAGCATCCTCGCCATCCATGATCGACCATCGAGCGGTTCTCACCCGATGTTGCCTTTGACGCTACCGACGAGGAGCTCCGCGTCTCGCGCAAAGTGTTCGCCCACCCAGTTGCACTCTATCGGGTCGCCCACCGCGGTTCCTGCTCAAGCATCAGTGGTAGCTCACGTGTTTCACGCAGATCATGGTGCCTACCAGTCGCATGGAGCTCGACGTAGTCGGCCTCTCGAGGATCGCGGCCAGTACCAATGTAGGCGCGCCTCATCGCTTCTAGCTGGGCACTCGCCACCGGCGCATACACTGGAGCCAAGGAGCCCGAGGAGCTCAATCCGGTACCAAGAATCTGTGGTGAGGCCTATCAGTGAATGACGGACAGGAGGTGGAACAGCTGCATACGTTCGCGTAAATGTGATCCCCATCTCTCAACGCTGCGCTGAGCGGTTTGAGCACAATCGCCACCGCGCCCTCGCCCCGCGAGAATCTGAGCGATTGATTCATGAACACATTAGGATGGTAGACTGCGGACACCGTCGCTTACCCGTCCGCGCTCGCATCGAACGGTTTGCACTTCCCGTCCCGCGCCAGCACAGAGCCTTGGCTGTACTGAACAAAGTCCGCGAGCCTGCACGGGTGTGTCAGCAACCATATGATGGGTCCTAGCACGACGGCGTACCGGAGATTCAGCTGGCACGCTGCGACGACGGCAGACTCGCACTCGCCCGCGCGCAGCGCTTGCACTGCGAGGTGGGTCGCCGTCAGGCTGGAGCTGCACGCGGTGTCGACCGGGATGCTCGGCCCGCGCAGGTCGAGATGGTACGACACCTTGTTTGCCACCATGCACGGTATCCCGCCGAAGGACCCCTGCGCCTCGTACACATCCTACATACCCCCAAATCAATCGCGCGTCGGCCCGCGCCGCTGCCCGCCACTCACCGGCTCGGCTATGCTTAGGATATCGTGGTTCGTCGCGGAGGCGTAGCAGCCCACGTTGCGCCCCTGGTAGTCGATCCCTGAGTCGAGGAGCGCGAGGAACGAGAGCTCGATGAGCTTGCGCGTGCTCAGCGACATCGCGCGCGCGTCCTTCGTCGATATGCCGAACTCAACGTGGTCGAACAGGTCGACGTCCTTCAGGAAAGACCCGTGGGCTGTGGCGATGCGGCCAAGGCCTTCGCCCTGCCACCTATGGAATGTGATTCAGCAACGGGCGGCGGTGCCGGATGGATGAGACGTACGAGTCGATGTTGAGCCTGTCCCTGGGGAAGCGGACGTACGACTCTGCGCCGTCTAGGAGGAACTTGTTGAATTGTCTGTAGTCGAGATTCGTGTCGGCGCATGCCCCGCTGGGCAGTTCCGCTGCGATGCCGACCTACTGTGCGTGAGACAATGAGTTGAAAGGACCTGTGTGGTACGTACGATCGCAATGGGCTCTTTAACCTCTGCTAAGTCGGTGTTCATTGTATCTTCGCTGAGGAATGTCGGACAGGCACCTGCAATAGGGACCAAAAGGCTCAAGACCTAGCGACAGCGCGGCCGATTGGGTCTACACTATATAATCATGGGAAGCCGCGAGAGCAGACCGACCGCTGTATCAATCCTCCATCACAGCTGGAAGTTGGCTGGAAGAACGGACGTTCTACGTACTATGTGATTGGCTGCTCACACGGTTTTGAATGGCTACATACATGCGACTTGGAGCACATCGCGGCGCATTCTGACAGCGTGGTTGTACGCCATTCGGAAAGCTTGCTACCGCCTCGACGGCGTCAAATGATGTTGAGGACCATGGAATGATACGTTGATGATTTCGGCGGAATCAACTTGACGGATCAAGTGTAGTCATCTGTTCGCGCTTTCGGACGTTTATTCTGGGCCACCGACCTACACGGAGTGCGGCTACCTAGAGTGCTGGCGTCATGGCGTCTGATCGTACTCGATACCTATCAAAGGCTATCATTTGAACTCACAGTTTGAAATCACGGTGTGAAAGATCGTCTATCTCGAGGTCAACTCGGCCAAGGCATATGTCGACGTTGATTTTTTGAGTGGAATGGAGAAGGCGTTCAAGAAATACCAGGACCACGGGCACTGGCCATGGCCGCACTGGCAGGCCGCAGAATCTACGCAGAATCCAGATCAACAGCTGGCAAACCGGGTTCTCGGGGTTTGCCGCCAGGCGCGTCGGTGGCACGCGTGTGTGACGCCGTGTGACTCCGTGTGACGCCCGTGATTGACCACGACAAGTCACATTCATTCCCTACGTCCAAGTGCACTGCCAGCATAGCCCAAGTCTCATCTCCTTCGAGGCTGTCACGACTCACCCAGAAGATTGCTGCGTCTAACGCTGTATTTGGTGTACTTACTCTACAGCATGACAGAACCAAGACCGCCTTGAAGCTTGAGGGCCGAAGAGCAATGTCCGCGGGGGCAAGACGCCAGCCGGCCCATCAGATCTTCGATCCGTGAGTGCGCGGATATGGATGTATTGCTGTCTGTGCGGACAGCTGACTGCCAGCTCCGATCATTCAATACATCTCCATGCAGAATCTTTCGTAGGATCATAGGAAGCTGCAGAGTTGCGGACCTGCGGTAGAGGCCGCACTCACGCCCCAGGGGTGTGGCAGTACACGGATACCGAACGCTCGCAACACCATGTCCGACCCTCGCTATCGTTCCGATGCCCCCGAATGCTAACTGCGGCCTGCCAGCCTCGGTGGACGTCTACGGCTGTCAAACACAGTTCTACACTGAGTACAGTACGAGCCTATCATCACGATGGTGTCCGCCACACCCGGCAACCAAGGGCGATGATGCTGCAGACGGAGACAGGCATAGTCACATCACTTATGGAAGAGTGCAGCGTTGTGTCTCCCCACTGCTGTCGTCCCGATGTGGACTCGGGGATTCCCATCATCGCTGCCCGAGCAGACTTCCGCTTCTGCGTTCCTCTTCATCATTCTCCGCGATGCGGCGTGGAGGACATGTGGAGGCGTCAGTCCCCCGGTGCGCTGCCCCGCCAGCCGCACAAGTGTCACCTTCATTTCTCCCGCATCTGCACCACGCGTACCGATACCTCCGCCAGAAACCTCAGGCCTCAGTAGCATCGAACACTTTCGTGAGTGTCTCACTTCATCTGAATGAGCCGGGAGTCTGATCCTCGATCCCAGTCTCAACATCATGGCTTCGTCTACGACGGACGGCTACGCCCGCGGGAAGTGGCAGGCTTGGCTCACTGGTAAGTCTCACAGCGGCGCGATACCGTATGGATCTGCTCACCAATCCTAGTCGTCGGGGCGTTCTTTATGCAGTTCAGCGTCATCGGATTCGTGAGTCCGTCCCAACGCTGTTCGCGGTCCTTTATTCACGTCTATCCAGATGTCCGCCTTCGGTGTGATGCAAGCGTACTACGTCCGCACATTCCTGTCGCATTCGTCCGCGTCCGCCATCAGTTGGATCGGCAGCATCCAGACCCTCCTTGATCTGACGCTCGGCGCATTCCTAGGCCCCTTGTGCGCACCCCGCGTCGTTCCTACCGTATGTGCTGATGGCTGCTTAGGCTTGACCGCGGATACTTGAGGCATGTCCTAATCGGTGGTTCATCCATATTCGTGATCTGGTACGTCCCTCTATACACCGCGGGCAAACTAGGTTGTTCGGACTCCGAAATTGCTACGAACATCGGTCCCAGAAAACGCACCGAATACGCATGTTTTGGTCGAACATGCTACGAACATGCCCCGAACATGCTGAAATCTTCTATAGTAAGGGGGCGAGGTTTCCGGGTGCGCTTGGGAGAGCCTCTGAATCGCCCAGGCAGCGAAGCCCCGCGGGCGAGAGGAGCCCTGTATGAGATTAAATTCCAAAAGTTGTGTCATTGTTGAAGTTTCTGTGTTGTTGCTTTCGCTTTGATCCTTAATTTCTGTGCGAAGGCACGGGTAGTCTGCTAGTTTGGCTTAAACACACCATGTTCTGAGGATGTTCGGAGCCCAAACAGCCTCAGAAAAGGTTCACAGGGGGGATCAATCTTCGTAGGGTTCTTGGAGTTACAGAACGCTCGTGTGCCCCCTGCGACAACCAGTTTATCATCTTCCTTCTCCCGGTTCCGATTCTCACCGCCGCTGTACTAGCCACTTTCTGCTCTCGCTCGCCCAACCACAACACTACTACCAAGTGCTCTTATCGCAGAGTATCGGAATGGGCCTGGGGATGGGCTCCATATTCCTCCCTACCTCCGTCCTCGTCTCCCAGCACTTCCACAAGAAGAAGGCATTAGCAATGGTACGTCCACTCCTCGTCACTGGATTACACGATCGACCTAGTGCAGCACTACAGGGCATTGTGCCAGCCGGCGGCTCCCTAGGCGCGGTCGTCTTCTCCAGTAGGTGTTCGTGCATCTCTCGTCGCCTAACTGACAGAGCTCCGTCTCTAGTCGCCCTCAACTACCTGTTCAACGGGCCCTTGGGCTTCGGCTGGGCGATCCGCATCATTGCGTTCATATGCCTGGGTCTGCTCCTCATTGGCAATCTCCTCCTGTTCGACCCGCGACCTGCCACGCAGCCCACAGCCGTCCCGGGTATCCAAGAGAAGCCGCCCGGCACGCTCACCGCGGGACGAACTGACGACGAAGACGCAGCCACGAAGACCGACCGAACCAGCGAGGACCCAGAAGAGGCCGCCGCACCGCGCCCGCCGCTCCTGGACCGCAGATACGCGTGCATCCTCGTGCAGGGCTTCCTGACGGGCCTCGGGCTCTGGTTCCCGCCGTCGTACGTGCAGCTCTTCGCGGAGCAGCACGGCGTTGGCCGGGAGCTGTCTTTCTACAGCCTTGCGATCCTCAACGCCGCGAACGCGCTCGGGCGCATCCTCCCGAACTGGCTCGGCGACCGCTGGGGCGCGCTCGCGGTGTACGTCCCGTGTCTCGTCGTCGGATGTGCGTGCCTACCTGTGTGTGTGTGTCGGTGTGCGGGCTGATGCTGGGCGCGGTCTAGCGGTGCTGCAGTTCGCGCTGCTCGGGTGCACGACGACGTACGGGCTCGTCCTCTTCACGGTCTTGTGAGTCTCCCGTCCGTGTTCCACGCGCACCCAACGCTCAACCCAACGCGCCGCAGCTACGGCTTCTTCTCGGGAACAGGTATGCCATCCGCGACTCTGCTTGACCCCGCACGTCTGACCGTTCGCGCCTCGCCAGCCGTATCGCTGTACCTCCCCGCCGTAGCCTCCATCAGCGCGGACGGCGCGGACGTAGGGTGCGTCACATCCGCTGCTCTCGCGTGTCCCAGCCATGACTGTTTTCTCGGTGCACTGGCAGGAAACGCATGGGCATCGCGCTGTTCCCCGTCGGCATCGGTGCGCTGGTCGGCACGCCCATCGGCGGCGCGCTCATCGGGCACGACTACGTGTGGTGGAAGGGCGTGGTCTTCGCAGCGGTCAGTCCGCTCTTCCAGATGTGCCGTGCTCGTGCGCTGACGCGGTACGAATTAGGTGACGGGGCTGGCGGGCGCCGCCGTCGCGGGGTCTGCCTTGGTGCGTGGGCCGCGCAGGCGATGACGCGCCGTGTGCTTGATGCCCCGTGGTGTCTCACAGAAGTCGGTCTGCGTATTTGGGTCCGTGCACGATGTAGACACAATGATAATGCCTCCACCGACGTGTTGCGGGCATCTCTTTAGCGACAAGTTGACTGGGCACTTCTTCTGCTGTGGATCACGTAATGTACAGGCCTACGGGGCACCGTCTGGAATGGTGCTTAGAAACGAGGGTGTAACAGTACCAGCGACTCGGATGAGCTGTCATCCTTACCGGGCTACACGCGCGCGAGCGAACACTTGACGTTGCAGAGACAGACGCGATCCTATTCAGTTTGACACGAAACCGTTACCATGCATCTATGGTATGAGTCAAAGCGACTGCGTCTCCCGCCAAAATGCTAGCCACTTCCTCACATCCTCGCTACTCAGCGGGGCCACCTCCGCCAATACAGGAGACAGCTCCTTCGCCCGTGTCACGGAGAGCGCGGGGAAGCCCAGCGCCTCTGTGCCGCTTCGCGATATCTGGAGTCCCTGGTACCATGGAAGCACGCGCAGTGCCCTAACAGTGCGTAGCAGCTCGACTTCCATGCGTCCGTCTGGTCTACGAGGGGGTGCGTCGTGCAGCGCTTCGAGCCTGGACAGCCATTCGGCGTAGGGGACGAGGGAGACGTTGAGCTCGTCTGCGATGACGGCGGCGAGCGAAGACCAGGTGACAAGGCGGGGATGGATCAAATGGATGACGTCCTTCTTATATGCGGCGTGTACGAGCCCGGCGAGGGCGCTGGCTGCTGTGGCGAGAGGCACCCATGACACCGCCTGCACACGATGAGTACGGTTCGACAACACGAGTCGTGCGGCTCACCTTGGGATCATCCGGGAAACAACCAAGGATCGTGGCGCTCTGCACCATGGACGGGAACCATTCGTGCGCGTTCCACGCTCCGTCGGGCCCACCGCAGATCTGACCGACGCGGACGACGAGGGTCTCGAGGCTTGTCTTCTCTGCTGCTTCCATGAGGATCCGTTCCGCTACCCATTTCAATTCCGAGTAGCCCGACCCGACGGCGACGGCAGGACTGATGAACTGCTCAGCCAGTTGGACGCCCTCGATGTCTGTATGCCCGTGAGCTCGAGTCTCTAACTTGGATTTGACGGACGCACTCTGGAAGACCCCGATGGAACTGGTGAACAGTGTTCGTGGTGGGCTTGGACGCGGGGAGGACAGTGCGAAATCGATGAGGTGTCGCACACCCTTGACATTGGGCTCGAACGACTCGAGAGACAAATTGAAGTCTACTCTCCATGCTGCGACGAGACATCGTGAACATGCAGGATACAAAGACACCGAAGAAGCGCATACCGTTATGGATTACATGCGTCACGGAAGATTGCATCTATAGCACCGTCGGTGAGTCTGGGGAGCAGAGCTTCGACATCGCCGTGACACGCACCTCCGCATACACCTCATGCGAGAGGTTGAAGCCGGCCACAGAGATGTCGGCCTCCAGGAGCACAACCTTGCTGTTCTCAAGACAGGCGATGTCGAGTCCGCGAGAAGCCATAACAGCTTCCTGTCGTGCTCGCAATCCTCTCCCGTCTCTCGCAGGACGATTAACGGCGTAAATGCGCGCGACAGACGGGTCCTCGACAAGACGAGAGAGTAGGAAGGACCCGAGGCTGCCCGTAGTACCCGTCACCAAGATGACGGGATGCAGGCCGGCAGTCGAGGTGGCGGACTTGTGTTTCGGGAGATCATTGAGGTACTTCGCGGCCATCGCAAGCATGCTGTCTGCTCTGCTCTCGATAGACTTCAGAGAGCCTGACCAGGCGCCCAGTGTCGCTAGCTCGAGGAGGAAAGCAGCGAGGCTGATCACAGTGGGGAGGTCGTAGACGAAGTTCCTAACGCTCTTGCGCGTGTCGAGCTGCGCGGAGTCCCGCAAAGCGCGCAACAGCGCATTTCTGATATGAGTTGCCTGCAGACTGTGCACGACATGTGAATTCACGGGTGCATTCACTGGCGCTGCACGTCCACGCACCTGTCGCAGCCGTGCTGGAAGATATCGTCGTTATCGTCCACATTGTGGACTAGAACCTTGTTGATGACCGCGCGGACGAAGTCGAGCGTGGTGGGGCGGTCCCACTGGGACGGAGGGGGGATGCTGGACTGAGTGCTTTCCTCAACTCTGTCGTAAGCAGCGTCGATCTCCTCGGCGTAGTCGTCAATGGCAGCCTGCCTGCGCGCAGTGCTCTTCGCCGTATAAGTGAATGGTTTAGAAGGGTTCGATACTATGATCATCTGGAAGGACAGTATCACGTACCATATCATGTTCCGGAACTCCGCCAGCTTCGTCTCGTCTGCTGGGTCAACCCTGTGTTGAGGCCGGGGGTCGACGAGGATCCCTGCTTGAAATCGACCGCGCCCAAACATCACAGACGCCAAGACGTGCGGATCCTGATTCAGCATGTTCTCTGGACCATTTCGATGAGCTGATCGTTGCATCTGTCGTACCCCCACTACCCACCTAGCGGTCCCGGGTTCGTCTGGGTGGGAAGTTATCAGGAACGTGGTCCGATGAGAGGGCGACCTTGCACCGACCTTCTCGCCAGTGTTGTGCATGATCTGATCGTCTGTTCTTCCAAAGACCTTCCAGTACCCTTGCTTCGTGGGGTGGGGGATCATCATGTCGGACGACGCATACGCATCCACTCCGCCGATTTTTATGTTGATCACACTTGGGCGGCAGTACTCGTTCTCCTGCGAACGCGCGTGAGCGATATGTAGATGATATCGCGGTGTGCACGTACCAACATGACGAACTCGTAGGTGTTGTCTCCGTACGGTTCCATGTGAGGCGTAACAAGGCCTGGGAACTTGAAGTAATCCCAGTCGTAGCCGACCTGCGCTGTACAAGGCGCATCAGCTTCTGTCTATGCTTATCGTGATGCGGGGTCTTACACGGGAGGATCGGACTCATGATTCCACCCTCCGTCCTTGAGGTACATGAATGTTGTTAGAGATGCCTCGAACAAGGACGACCAGTGAAGAAAGTACTGACGAGCCGTATAAGATCAAAATTGAGACGCCCTGCGAAGTCATGAAGTCTCCGGCCTCCTTGTTCAGAGGACCGCCGCCGAAAAGCTGCGAAGAATATCAAGGACCGCTGAGTCACCGGTACGAGGCAGACGTACCACGCCTCCACGAGAAGCAAGCCAGCGAACGTAGTCCGGGTTCCGGGACCACGCCTGCGAGGTCCGCGCACCAGTGAGACGTCGGGATGTCAGTATATACATACTGCATGCGCTGTGACACTCACCTCGATGAATGAAGGCACGCAAAACACATGTCGCTTTCCGTAGCCTTGGCAGCCACGAAGAGGGCGTCGGGTGTCGGGACCGGGGCTGGGGACTTCGGTTCGAACGAGCTGACTACCAGCCCGGAGGATGCCTGCCAGAAAGCTGAGTATATGCGGCTTTGCGAGGGATGAGCGGACTGAACATACCGTCCAACAGCTCTGCAGTACACCCATCCCGTGGAACATGGGCATCGTGTGAAGCGGCAACACTTGGCCGGTGAGGTCCCGTTCTCCGAACCAAGGAGGAGGAGGAGGAGGAGATGGGTCCATTTAGCCGCAATGTACGCATATCTACTACACGTGACATCCGACAACGTAGACACAGTTGACAGAAGCGGTGGTTCGTCCATAAGATTGGCTTTGGGAAGGCAGTGGAGCCTGTCAAAGAGCATGAGAGCATACGAGCGCAAGGCGAATCAAGGCCATACCGGAAGAATGCAGAACCATCGCGAGAGCATCAGGACCTTTGTATACATAGGAGGGCGGCTCAACCTTCCCAGCTGTCTCAGGAAGGAATAAGTCTTCAAAGAGCGGCACAGGTGAGAGCGTCGGTAGCGGGTGGTCAGAATGGCCAGTGCTTCATTGACAAGGTCCTGCATGGCCTGCTCCCGACCGACGAGGACATGACTAACCCCGGCCTTGTTGATGAGGCGCGCAACAGCCAGCGGCGAGTTTCGAGGGGATATTGGGAACGCGACGTGGTTCGCCCGCATGATGCTCATCATCATTGTGAAGTACGGGATCGCGTCTAGGGATGAATGTCAGAAAGACGCAGCTCTCCCGTTCTCCCGTGGCGACGGAATGATTGACGAACCAGACGGTGCCAATATGGCTACGATTGGAGTCTCTCCCCCTACGGCAGCGTCTGCTAGACGCGTTCGAAGGATGGTCGCACCCGTGTACACGGCTCTGACCGCCTCGGGCCAGCAGATAGTCCGCAGGGTGCCATCGCCCTTGGCAAACACAAAGAGACGGTGGTCCGGAGTGTGCACTGTGTGCTAATTGAAGATTTCGGGGAGGGAGAGCGACCCATCTAATGGCGGAGGCCGGAACGTAGTACTCGACCGAGCCTGCGTCTGAGGCGGAGGAGGGAGAAACCGACGAGAGACCATTGTTGAGAGCGAGGGCTTCCGGCTGCAGGGACGAGTCGAGGATCGAGCATGTATAACGCATCCAAGTACACCATTTACCATTTCCCGAGTCTGCCATTCGATCAAGGTTCAAAGGTGTTCAGCGCTCAGCATCCGTCACTGTCGCGTACAGTGGTAAGCAACGCAGTGGCAGCAAATTGACAACTTATCGTAGTACTTACTCACATCTGGACTTCCCAGTCGCGTTGGCAGTAATTGACATGGAAGTCTCCGACGCAGGGACAGCTCGAACCCACGTGAGTCACCGGTACCGGTATCCACTAGTAGTAGTACCTTAGACTGTCCCGCCCCGCCGAACTCGGCGAGTGGGCCGAGGCCGCGAGAGGATGACCCTCTTGGGACGAGTGTGTGACAGGGATGGATGGGGCAGCGGGGTCATCTAATGCAGTAATTGTCGGGTAGCTTAGTACGTAGTTCTATGGGTTGTGATGTTGTACCTATGTAGTGAGCGCTGTCGCCGTCAAGAAGCCGATGCGCATTTGCGCTATCGGCCGGCGGCTAAATGGACCCCCCTCCTCCTCCTCCTCCTCCGAAACTCGAACGCCACAGGATTCAAGACAGGAGGTCAGCAACGTTGAAGAGATACACTAGTACTGGCGGTTTGTCTGTCAGAATAACGTAGGGAGCAGTGCTTGTTCGCCACCGTGGCGTGTGAGCGGCGCTCCAATTGGACCCACCGCTCGTGATCCTCCTCCACGAAGCTCAGCAAAGTTCCAGTCATACCACCGTACCTGTGCAGATGGCTGCTACTGTGCCCCGCCGACTTCCCCAACCGCTTCCGTGACATGTCGTGAGTACTGGGAGATAATGAATGTTGGTATCAACGCCGACTCCGGCGCCGCATGCGTTACTCCATAACCTTAAGCTTCTCATTGGCAACAGCGGAACACAGCTCGACTGAAAATGTACGGTACTGTACCACTGCGGGCGAGTCTGTCACAGTGAGTGATGATATCTGTTCAACTCACATATTCACTGACATTAATCTGGTGGCGGTGCGTGGCACCTGACAAGGATAGTAACGACCTGTATATCACAAAACGTCGCAGCGCGGCTGTCCACAGCAATCCTCGAGTTGACAATTTGAAAACCTAGGACAAACGTATGCTGTCGAGGCTCCAGGGTTTCCTCTGAAGACGTAAACTCGCTCACTGTAATTGACTATGGCAGTGCAGGTACGACGTGTCGTGTCCACGGTATGGTGCGACCTGAACATTGAACCTTAGCATCCGCGCGCACAAGGCAGAGGGGCGTGCGGCGCAATTGTCCCTTCCGTCATCAGGGAGCAGTCAACACCAGGCATATGTTGCATGTCAATTTACTGCTGTGACCCGTCGTTTCGCATTCATCATGAATGTTCCCCGGCGCGCCTCCTACTTCTTTGGGTTCTTAACTTATGTCAATCCAGCATCCCACTATCTTCTGCACGAAGCTTCTTCTCGCGCTTGCTTGATCCATGGGGCCATTAAAGCGCGCTGCGAAGACGCACGGGTCGGCGTAGCCATCTGCGTGTTCGTGCACTGAGCTTCCGACCTTCGTGTTCTCCCTCAGTCATCAAGATGCAACAAGTTCCTCTGGTAGCAGCGAATGTCGCGACCGTCTTCATGGAGAGTTTCCTCTACGGCATCTTCTTCGTGCTCTCCGTGTCGTCCATCTATCTCTTGGTGCACCGCCAAAGGCAATTGCTGCAGCCGACGCTCCCACACCTCGCCACCGCGTCTGTGGTGTTCAGGCACCTCTGCAAGACACCCATGTTCCTCGGGGCGATCGCGCTGTCGGTAACGATCACTGCGGTATGTTCGCTCCCTATCGAACGTCCTCGTCGCTGACATCTCGGTGCGCCTCCAGCATTGGATACTCACGTGCATCCGCACGTTCCAAGCATTCGTATACTTCGAGGGCGGAACAGATCCCATAGCGTTCTACGGGAACCTAAAACAGCTCACGGAGGTCGTCAAAACGGGATTCTTGATGGCCTCGTTGATCCTTGGCGACACCATGGTTGTTCGTACCACCTCCGCGCGTACACGCCGACTCGCCAAGCTGACGCAGTATATTTTTGTACTTATAGATCTATAGGCTATGGGTCGTCTGGAACCGACGCACGGCTATCGTAATCTTCCCGCTATGCACACTCGCGGGACTCACAGGTCAGTGACATTATGCTGTGAGAGCTGCAGTCGCCGACACAACGCAGTGTGCGGCATCGGCATAACCTACCAGATCACTCAATCCTATCCCGGGGAGAACGCGTTCGTGTCTCAAGCCGGTCGTTGGATCACCAGCGACTGCGTATTCACACTTTGGTGAGCATACTAGTGGTATCCCCGGTCGTCGCGACCGATGTATTCTCATACCTATTCGATGCATCAGCACCAACGTCTACAGCACTGGTGAGTTCCTTGACCACGCGCACCAATAGTACGTCTAATCTGCATATTCACTAAGCCATGATCGGATATCGCGTTTGGACGTCACGGCACGTCAAACTCTACAGCGGGACGAGCCTTGTCGTATGCCATTCCATATCTGCGCTTTTCAGTGGTACCAGTATCTGACTGCTCTCCAGAACGTATTGACAACCTTCATAGAAAGCGCTGCTCTCTACACGTGAGTCTGCGTCGTCGCGACTACCCCTCGCTGTATAGCTGACTGACTCTGGAATGCAGGGCGTGGACGACGTTGTTCTTCATCTCGTACCAGACCAACTCCAACCTGCAGTTCACGGCGGTCGACACCTGGTCGGAGATGTCCGGCATATCGTTCATGCTCATCAACGTCAGAGTCGGACTGGGCTGGGCGCAAACGGGCTCGCGCATCCAGTACGACTCCCGTGCCGGGTCAAATAGGACGACCAACCGCACGGACAAGTCATCAGGGGGTTCGTACCAGATGCGCCCGCTCGCCGTGAAGATCACTAGCGTAGTGGACCATGACGACGACCTCAAGGCGAAGTGCGCGGAGAGCGATGGTGGAAGCTTCATTCCGAGTTCTCAATGATGCACGTTGCGGCGAATCGCCCTATGATTTTGTGTACTTCACTTATTGGTTGATTATACAGTGCCGCGCACCGTTTGGCACTGTGGTCGTGCTCGCAGCCAGGTGATCGTTGTTGCTGTCCTCAGGTGCTCTGTGGACAAAAAGCTCTCTCACGTACATCACGACTATCTATGTAGTCCGATAGATACAACACATCCATATCCAAGCCATAGTCAACCTTTCCGTGAGGACAAACTCTTAAGTTTTCCGCCCCCGCGTGTGGCATACGGCCGGGCCAGGTAAGAACCGCATAGCAGATGGGCCCTCCCAGTCAGTCTTTCGGTACGTCCACGTTGGGACCTCACCATTATCTCACACCAGTCGGTCGACAGCAAGTCCGAAGCATTAAGAAACACACTAGCTGTATGGACATTACGTAGCGGAAACGCAACGAAACCGTACCTGTGACTCTCTCCGCCCGAGGGGAGCCTCCTGCAGCGGCTACGTTGAGCTCGAGAGCACCAAGCTAGTAGGGGAGGTAGATCCGCCGTGTGCTGACATACCCAGAGTGCGAGGGCGTTCGCTCCGAGTACACTGCTACGCCAGCGAAGATGTTCTACGTGAGGACACACTTGGATGAGTATTGCGGGGACATCCCGCGCATAGTGTTACGTCTCTACATAGGTCATCGCCGCTCGCCTCTCGGCGAGGCAACCAAATGCGCAAAACGCGCCGCGTACGATAACACTACAGAAATCAGGTGAATAGAGGTATGCATGGCAACTTTTGTGCACTCACAGGACTCGTTACACAGACACCGACGAGTGTACAACATGAGGACGGTCAGCCTGACGTATCCGGCGCATGCGCAGCGTCGTCCTCTCGCTGCACCTCTACTCCGCTTTTGGCCTTCTGGTTTTTCGTCGCTTTATGAATTTTATCCATGTTACGACGCCAGTTATCGTGCTCTTCGATGCTATAAACGATGCTAAGAAGGGGACTCAGTGCGTCTCTGCCATTACATCGGACCGAATGTATCACGTACGTCCATATGCCCCGTCTATCGCACCCCGGCATCTTCCGTCTAACGAGCTCGTCCCACCGGCCACAATGCTCTCTGAATGATGATTCTGAATCAAACAACTTGACAAGCGGCAGCCAGTCGTTTTCAAAAACAAGGAGGCCTAGGCATATACCACCCGGTGCGATATTGGCGAAGCGATCTGCTTGCAATATATCATCCAATCGCACCAAGATCCCATCTTCCTCCATCATCGTCACCGCCCCATCGAAGTCGGCGGCTGCATGATCTGCACGAGATAAAAATAAAACAGAAAAGGCCATGAGATGATCTGAAGGGATTCGAGAGACGATATGAGGAATCCAGGACCACGCAACAAAGGGGTGGAACAGGCGAATCTCCAATCGCCACAGCCTTTCATGGCGTGACAGGTTGAGGTGTCGTTCTACTTACATTCATGGTCAATCAGATAATCGGAGAGCGAACGTATACAACTTGCCTACGGTGGAATCAACAGTGTGACTGTCCACGGAGGAGGCGGAAGCAATCCAGAGCACGAGGACTTCCACTGAGGCCGCACTTGCATCCAATAAAGCTTGAGTTCTGCTTCCTGCGGAGGATGAGGTGAAGTCGCCGTTAACTCCGAAATAGAGCGTGTGTAGCCGGGAAGCCTGGCTGATCCGAACGAGTAGGTCTTCAACCGCAGGCGCAACCCATTGCACTTCGAGGACCTCCAGGATTGCACAGTTCAGCGGGAGAGAGACAGTAGAGACTGGGTGTTTCTGTGAGCAGGCGACATTTATGCAATGCAGATATCTCATGGCAGGGAGTGCTGAGATAAGGCGGGCCAGCTGGGCGATGCTCGACACGGTGACGTTGGCGATGGCTAACGTGTGGACAAAGTGAAATGCGGCGAGATATCCGAAGTCTTCCACCCTCATCAAGCCAACGGGCCATTCCGCGTCCTCGATGCTGATCCTCGACAGCTCCGGGAGCTTCCCGGCAAGCATGGCGGCAAACGTTCCGAGATGTTGCATCAGTGAACGCTGTCGAGGCGTATGACCCGAGATGACGACCTGTTGGACGACACCGCGGAGGCGTGGTCTCTCGTGGAGTGTCCTGGAGAGTGAACGGACGTCGTTCCGGTCACGGAGGTGAACGCGCTGACGGAGATGGTACCAGGTGTGAAAGTACCAATCCCTGCATACCAGTGCGCATGATTGAAGAGCTAGGAGAGCTGGATTCCCAGCCAGAGATGTGTAGTGAAGATTCAGTCCCGCCGCAACGTGGTCAATGATCCGTCCGCAGATCTCGGTGGGCAACCGCGGAGCCGGGTCATCCTGAGATGACGCTCCGGAGGCGGCCGCCCTACTAGTCCGTGTACCGTATCAGCACGTCTCGCGCACCAATTGAACTTGTACTCACGTCGATGCACATTCTTCCATGTCGGTACAACGGATTGTACACAGACGGCAGAAGTGCGAATGTGTCTGGAGATTCTGCGAGGATGGCGAATTAGGAGCCTGGCACGGGATTCGTCTTCAGCAGAGGCGCCCTACCAGTAGTTGATCCTGAGACTACGTCCGTTGGTGTGATGGAGACAACACGAGACGTTTTGCTGCTCGTCGGCACCGCGAGGAGGTCGTGACGTATAGCGAGGCTGCCAGTACGTTCTGCAAGGTAAATCACATCAGCACGATTCGAACACTACCCACACAGCCGATTGACTCGTATCTGTGACGACTACTGACTTTTCGTTGCCACTGCTATGTGAAGGAGTCGCAGCCTGCGAATGAAGGGGAATAGGCGGAGCTAGTGGCAGAGGCTGATCAGTGCGATGATAGTATATATCGGAGTAAATAGCGCTCACCGGCACATATAGAAGCTAGGACCGTGAGCAATCGGATACGGAGGACCACTGTCCTTGGGTGCGGTGCGAGCTGTCCTGAAGAGCGCGCAGAAACATGAGTACTGGACGTTGAACGTTGAGTCTATTCGAGATACTTATGCTCGTCGATAATCAAGAAGGACCACTTGGACGCGAAATTCAGATCTCATGTTCTCTGTATCAGCAGACCGTTCGAGTACCAGATCGTGCGGTCGGAGTGGAAGAGACCACCAATATGTCAACATCACATCTATTTGGGGTAATAAACGATAGTCTACGTTGCGGCTCCTATATGTACAGCCTCCATCCGCCCGCCTGTCAAGGAAGGCAGCGCCAGTCAGCTATGTCCAGCCACGCATTCAACACAACGCTTACCTGCATGATGCCCTGCGGCCTGGCCTGTCCTATTACACGAGTCCATTACTGCCCCTTGACCGGGACCTATCGTACCTGGACGCTTCCGTTCTCATTGAATATAAGCGACCCGTTGAAGAACGTCGTGATCTGCCGGTGAGTGAACGTCGCGGGATTGGTGAGAGCACAGACGAGGGAAACGCACATAGTCTCTCGCGTAACTTCATGCAGTACGTCCTATGCAGAGACCACAGAGCTTGCGTACCTTGTACATGTTGATTCCAGACACTTTGGCCCTATTCCCGACGGGCCGTGGCCAGGCTGGCAGCAGCGATCACATCGTCAGGCCTCGCGCTCGGTTTGCTTGAGATTCTCTCGAGATTCGGCGCAGAGGAGGGAGCGGCGACAAAACGGGTGGATAAAGATCATACATGGCCAACGGGGCGTGCATAGGGTTGGAGCGCAAGTTGAGGAACCAAGGGTGTCGCACCCAGTTACTGAAGCAGTGGAAGAGAGTCGTGGATGAAGTCTCGTACGACATACAGCCCGGTAAACACCATGAGGAGGAGGAGAAGATGGGCCATTTAGCCGCAGTGTGCGCGTGTCTACTACGCGAGGTCCTGCCCATGGAGGCGGCGGCGAGTAGTCGCGCAGGTCGTCGCTGGTCCGGTCGTCGACGGTGGACGCAGCCGCCGTCGGCCCGCCAGCCCGCCCGTCCGATGTTTATCCGGCGTCGGTCGCGGACGCTGCTCGCGGCGGCGCCCCGGTCGACACCAGACGGTCTCCGCCACTGCCAGGCTCTCTGCTCACTTCCAACACAGCAACCACCAGCACCTCCTCCGCTCACTAGCACCGCAAAACCACTCGGGACCTCCTCACTTCCTCGCAGCACAGTCGCATCTCCTCCGCACATGCTACATAACTTCATCAGCAACCGTCTGCGATCTGCGAACACAACCACGATGATATATACGTGAGGGTGAACAACCTCTCCATCAGCCTCGCACCTGGTCGCAGCGCAGTCCCGAGCTCTTCCCCACCACGCTCCGCCCCAGCCAGCGTGCCCGCCCTCTCTGGGATTACAACGCGGACGGTTCGGTGAGCAAATGCCCATCATTGCGCACATTCCACCCTACTATCTTCGCACACACCCATGGCAGGAACCACACAACCCGCCCTTATCGTCCAGCAAGGACACCGTCGTCGTCGACGAGCCGAACGCATACCGGCAGGTCCTCTTCCCCTCCCGCCGCGTCGAGCAGCTCGATAGCGTCGCACCTGCGCGCGTCCCTCTGTCCACGCCCTTTGCTTCGCTCGCGTACGCCCTGCTGTTCCCTCAGTCATATGCGCCTCGGCACCCCGCGGAGAAGCTCATGTAACGCAAGCTCGGCGCGGTCCACGCAGGCAAAGGCCACTCCTCGCGATCAGCTGGGCTCGCCACGTTGGGCCCCCGATCAAGGACAGGTGGAACGGAACAAGTTTGGGGGCTCGGGGACCTGGTCAGTTCCTTCTTCGCTTCATCGATATCGTCTGCTGATTCCGGTGGTACGGTCGCTCTAGATGGCGGAACCCGCCGCTTGCGGTATTGACTTCAATGGTGCGGGCGCCGCGATCCTTAGTGATCTCCGAGTCGTCCATGCCATTTTCGGCCTCATTCGCGTGCGTGGCACCACCTACCAAACATACAGGCTACATGCATATGGCCAACCCACCAACCGCGGACTAGTAGCTGTTGCTCTCTCTGCCCGGCTCCGGTACCTGCGCTTGGGCCGCGACTGACGCGGTTGAATAGTGACGGGATTTTGAAGGAAACGGAGAGCACATTCGACGAGGTGAGTAGTGACTTCCTGTATGCGTTCATCCTACTCGTCCTACGTACTCGGGCTTCGTTGTATGGCCTGCGGAACAGTCTGTCCGGCTGAGCGCCGCTTCAACGACCGAGTCAGCGCCGTTGTTTCAACCGGCTCTGCTAGTATAGTCGACCCCGGAGGACCGTGCGCACCGCTCAGCGCGGTTACCGTCTGGGCGCCACGAATCCAATGACCAAGTCGCTCCGCAAAGGTGCAACGCAGAATGTCGCGCTCGGTCAGCCTCGTGGCTCCTGCTGCGGTAGGAGGCATGGGCCCGCGCCCTCGACATGTATGGAGGACCGTCCCAGCCCTAGCTCAACACTGTCTATACGCCAGATGGATAGGACAGACGGCGATACCTTTTGAGCATCTCAAAGGCGTATACTCGCTAGTGCTCCTGAGCTGTGCCCCACCTCTGACTACCATGTGACGAGGATAGGTGCGTGATTGCATCGTTGGGACCTGCTGATAGGCCGTTGTAAGTATCCTCGCACAGTAATTGTTGCCAGCTGGCTTACGCGTTTACTCAGGAAACAGGCGCGTCGGATCGTGACCAAGCGTCGCCCGTTGTAGAGTCACAATAGGTGGTTCACGCTTCAGTTTGGCGTTCAACAGATTGCGACATTCCAGTGAAGACGTACCACTGGGGCCAGCTAGCGCCACGGAGGAAGAAAACGGCGAGTCTGCGTTGAAATGGGGACGCGCAACTGGGTGAATGCGGGGAAGGACGGTGCTGGGCATGCCGGCGTCACAGCGTACACGGTCGAATGGTCGCGCCGTCGCATACTGAGCTATATACGAAAGGCCTACAGCATGGGACGTAAACCCGGACCGCAGATTCGTCTGTACGCGTCCGAAGGCATCCTGGAACCTGCCGTAGGTTTCCTCAGCCTGGGGAGCCGCGCAGGTGCTGCACCGCCATCAGCCTGCGCTCTTGTCCCCGACGCTCGTTAGCTCGCGCCGCAGACGGCGCAGAGAGGGCGGTGCAGGCTGACGCGACGACCGGTCCCGTGCACGACAGGCTGGAACCCTAGAGTAGGGTTCGTGCTGAACGCCTCCTGCTGCGCGCCACTTACCCACCCAGCGGCGGCCCGGTCCCCCATGCCAACTCGTCGCCTCATAACTCGTCCTTATTCTTATAAGCTGCTTCGACCGAGCTGCTCACTTGCACAACTTACGTCAGCAATGTTGTACCGCACCGCGCGCTCAGCGCTCAGCACTCGGTACTCGGTACTCATGATCAGTACTCAGTACTCATCAATGTTCCTCCTCCTCTACGCGCGTACGGTCTCGCTCTCCTACGTTGCCGGGCGCGCTACAGTCGGCATCAGACCCCAGGACTTGTATGCATAAGGAATGTCCCACATTGGCTGCTTCTGCCGAATGCGGCGTCCCCCACATCCCTGCTACACATCGCGTCGACCATCGCTCGGCTCTCGCCGGCTTATAGCTCGCGGTCGAGTGTCGGAAGTCTGTCCTTGAATGCGGACATTCGGCCAGGAGCGTCTGCGCTGCCTCCATGCTCAGGATGGTCCCTCGACTAGTCTCAAGGTACTACCTCTCCGCGATGTCTCTTCCCGGGAGGCGCTTCGTCAACTGCGAGAGAGGACGTGCGCATGCGCGACCGCAATAGAACGGTGCGAGCTGCGGGGAAGCGCTCGATGTGCCTCCCCGGCGACGAGCCGGTACGATGTCCTGGGCCCACAACTGCGCTCTGTAGGGGCGGGTGTCATCGTGGGCGGAGTCACAGGATTGCGCAGTATATTGTTGTATTTTTCGATATATAGGCTATGGGTCGTCTGGAACCGTCGCACGGCTATCGTGCTCTTCCCGCTATGCACGCTCGCGGGACTCACAGGTCAGTGACACATTGTGAGAGATGCAGTCGCTGACACACCACGCAGCATGCGGAATCGGCATAACCTTCCAGTCCACTCAATACTGGCCCGGGGAGAACGTATTTGTGTCCCAAGCCGGTTGTTGGATCATTAGTGACTGCGTATTCACACTTTGGTGAGCATACTGGTAGCATCCCCGGTTGTCACGACAGATGCAGTCTCATACCTATTCCCGTAAACGACGTTTTTCCTCATCTCGTACCAGGCCACCTCCAGCCTGCACTTCATGGCGGTCGACACCTGGTCGGAGCTGTCCGGCATATCGTTTAGTATGCTCATCAACGTCAGGTCGGACTGGGCTAGGCGCAGACGGGCTCGCACATCCAGTACGACTCCCGTGCCGGGTCAAATAGGACGACCAACCGCACGGAGGAGTTATCAGGGGGCTCGTACCAGATGCGCCCGCTCGCCGTGAAGATCACTAGCGTGGTTGACCATGACGACGCCCTCGAGGCGAAGTGCGAGGAGAGCCCTGGCGGAAGCTTCATTCCGAGATCTAAATGATGCACCTTGCGGCGAATCGCCCTATCATTTTGTATATTTCACTTATTGGTCGATTTCGCAGTGCAGCTGCAGCGCACCGTAGTCGTACTCGCAGGCAGGTGATCGTTGTTGCTGTCCTCAGGTGCTCTGTAGACAAAAAGCTCTCTCACGTACATCACGACTATCTATGTAGTCCGATAGATACAACACATATCCATATCCAAGCCACAGTCAACCTTTCCGTGAGGACAAACTCTTAAGTTTTCCGCCCCCGCGTGTGGCATACGGCCGGGCCAGGTAAGAACCGCATAGCAGATGGGCCCTCCCGGTCAGTCTTTCGCATCGGTACGTCCACGTCGGGACCTCGCCATTATCACACACCAGTCGGGCGACAGCAAGTCCGAAGGCATAAGACACCGCGCTAGCTGTATGTTTCAGCATGCTCTGTCATGAACATTACGTAGCGGAAACGCAACGAAACCGTAACTATGATCTCCGCCCTGGAGCTAGCCTCCTGCAATGGCCGGTGAGCTCGAGAGCACCAGGCTAGCAGGGGAGGTAGATCCGTGCGCTGACATACCAAGAGTGCGAGAGCGTTCGCTCCGAGTACGCTGCTACGCCCGCGATGATGTTCTACGTGACGACATCCTTGGATCAGTATTGCGGGGACATCCCGCGAATAGTGTTACGTCTCTACATAGGGCATCGCCGTCCGCCTCTTGGCGAGACAATCAAATGCGCAAAACGCGCCGCGTACAATAACACTACAGAAACCCGGTGAACAGACGTATGTATGGCACTTTGTATGCACTCACAGGACTCGTTACACCAACACCGGTGAGTATACACGATTAGGACAGTCAGTCTGACGTGTCCGACGCATGCTCGGCGTCGTCCTCTCGCTGCACCTCTACTCCAGGTTTGGCCTTCCGGTGTTCTGTCGCTTCATGGATTTGTTCCATGTTTAGACGCCAGTTATGGTGCTCTTCGAGGTTATATACGATACTAAGAAGGGAACTCAGCGTGTCTCTGCCATTAAATCGGACCCAATGTAACACGTACGTCAATATGCGCCGTCCATTGCAGCGCGGCATCCTTCGTCTAACGAGCTCGTCCCACCGGCCACACTGCTCTCTGAATGATGATTTTGAATCGAACAACTTGACAAGCGGCAGCCAGTCAATCCGATCATGGTCGAAGCCTAGGCATATACCACCCGATGCGATATCGGCGAAGCAATCTGCTTGCAGTATATCGTCCAATCGCACCAAGATACCATCTTCCTCCATCATCGTCACCGCCCCATCCAAATCGGTGGCTACATGACCTGCACGAGATAAAAATATAACAGAAATAGCCATGAGATGATCTGACTGGATTCGAGAGACGATATGAGGAATCCAGGACCACGCAACAAAGGGGTGGAACAGGCGAATCTGCAAATGCCACAGCCTTTCATGGCGTGACAGGTTGAGGTGTCGTTCTACTTACATTCATGGTCAATCCGATAATCGGAGAGCGAACGTATACAACTTGCCTACGGTGGAATCAACAGTGTGACTGTCCACGGAGGAGGCGGGAGCAATCCAGAGCACGAGGACTTCCACTGAGGCCGCACTTGCATCCAATAAAGCTTGAGTTCTGCTGCCTGCGGAAGATGAGGTACCCTCGCCATCAACTCCGAAATAGAGCTTTCGTAGCCGGGAAGCCTGGCTGACCCGAACAAGTAGGTCTTCAACCGCAGGCGCGACCCATCGCACTTCGAGGACCTCCAGGCTTGCAGAATTCAGCGGGAGAGAGACAGGAGAGACTGGGTGTTTCTGTGAGCAGGCGACATTGTAGCAATATAGTTCTCTCAAGGCAGGGAGTGCTGAGATGAGGCGGGCCAGCTGGGCGATGCTCGACACGGTGACCTCGAAGATGGTTAACGTGTGGACGAGGTGAAATGCGGCGAGATATCCGAAGTCTTCCACCCTCATCAAGCCAATGGTCCATTCCGCGTCCTGGATGGTGATCATCAAGAGCTCCGGGAGCTTCCCGGCAAGCATGGCGGCAAACGTTCCGAGATGTTGCATCAGTGAACGCTGTCGAGGCGTATGACCTGAGATGACGACCTGTTGGACGACACCGCGGAGGCGTGGTCTCTCGCGGAGTGTCCTGGAAAGTGAGCGGACGTCGTTCCGGTCACGGAGGGTAACACGGCGACGGAGATGGTACCAGGTGTGAAAGTACCAATCCCTGCATACCAGTGCGCACGATTGAAGAGCTAGGAGATCTTGATTCCCAACCAGATTGCGGTAGCCAAGATCCAGTCCCGCCGCAACATGGTCAATGATCCGTCCGCATATCTCGGTGGGCAACCGCGAAGCCGGGTCATCCTGAGATGACGCTCCGGAGGCGGTCGTCACACTAGTCCATGTCCCGTATCAGCACGTCTCGCACACGAATCGAACTTGTACTCACGTCGATGCACATTCTTCCATGTCGGTACAACGGATTGTACACAGACGTTAGAAGTGCGAATGTGTCTGGAGATTCTGCGAGGATAGCGAATTGTGTTTGTTTGTTGTTTGTAAAACCCGTTTATTGTCGCGTTAGGGCGAAGCCCTATGTAGACATAGATAGCGAATTAGGAGTCTGGCACGGGATTCGTCTTCAGCAGAGGAGCCCTACCAGTAGTTGATCCTGAGACTACGTCCGTTGGTGTGATGGAGACAACACGAGACGTTTTGCTGCTCGTCGGCACCGCGACTCGGAGGAGGTCGTGACGTATAGCGAGGCTGCCAGTACGTTCTGCAAGGTAAATCACATCAGCACGACTCGCACACTAACCACACAGCCGATTGAACTCGCATCTGTGACGATTACTCACCTTTCGTGGCTGCTGTTCGAAGGAGTCGCAGCCTGCGAATGAAGGGGAATGGGCGGAGCTAGTGGCAGAGGCTACTATCAGTGCGATGATAGTATATATCGGAGTACATAGCGCTCACCGGCACATATAGAAGCTAGGACCGTGAGGAATCGGATACGGAGGACCAGTGTCCTTGGGTGCGGTGCGAGCTGTCCTGGAGAGCGCGCAGAAACATGAGTGCTGGACGTGAAACGTTGAGTCTATTCGACATACTTATGCTCGTCGATAATCAAACAGGACCACTTGAACGCGAAACTCAGATCTCATGCTCTCTGTATCACCAGATCGTTCGAGTACCAGATCGTGCGGTCGGAGTGGAAGAGACCACCAATATGTCATGCAACATCACATCTATTTGGGGTAAGAAACGATAGTCTACGTTGCGGCTCCTATATGTACAGCCTCCATCCGCCCGCCTGTCAAGAAAGGCAGCGCCAGTCAGCTACGCCCAGCCACGCTTTCAAAACAATGCTTACTACCTGCGTGATACCCTGCGGCCTGTCCTGTCCTAGTACACGAGCCCATTGCTACCCCTCGACCTGTCGTACCTGGACGCTTCTGTTCTCATTTATTATGAGCGACCCGTTGAAGAACAACGTAATCTGATCCTCTGCCGGCGAGTGAGTATCGCAAGACTGGCGAGAGCACAGACGAGGGAAACGCACATAGTCTCTCGCGTAACGTCACATTCTGTGACAGAATGTCAATGCACATTGACGTACCAACGACGTACATGCAGTACGTAGTATGCAAAGACCCTAGAGCTTGCGTATATTGTACATGTTGACTCGAGACACTTGGGAGGCTCTATTAAGTAGTCTCCCGTGGGCAGATTATCCAATTCATTCAACCTCCGCAGGCTCCGGATATTCTTGTCTCAGTTGTCTGACGGCTCTATTCCCGACGGGTCGTGACAAGGCTGGCAGCAGCGATCACATCGTCAGGCCTCGCGCTCGGTTTGCTTGAGATTCTCTCGAGATTCGGCGCAGAGGAGGAGCGGCGACAAAACGGGTGGATAAAGATCATAGTACATACAATGGCCAACGGGGCGTGCATAGGGTTCGAGCGCAAGTTGAGGAACCGAGGGTGTCGCACCCAGTTACTGAAGCAGTGGATGTAGTCTCGTACGGCATACAGCCCGGTAAACACCATGAGGAGGAGGAGGAGGAGGAGGAGGAGGAGGAGGAGATGGGTCCGGTCGGCGACGGTGGACGCAGCCGCCGTCGGCCCGCCAGCCCGCCGATTTAATATTCAATGTTTACGGTCGACTCTGGGTCGATACCAGACGGTCACTGTCTCTGCTCACTTCCATCTCCTCCTCCTCCAACAACAAAGCAAGTGCTGGCACCTCAAATATTCAATGCCTCCCCTCCGCTTGCTGGCACGGCAAACCATTCGGGACCTCCTCACTTCCTCGCAGCGCACAATCACATCTCGTCCGCGCATGCTACATCACTTCCTCTGCAGCCGTCTGCGTTCTGCGAACGCAACCATGATAGTCTATACGTGAGGACGACCAACCTCTCCATCAGCGCACCTGGTCGCCGCGCAGTCCCTCTTCCCCCACCCCGCCCCGCCCCGGCCAGCGTGTCGCCCTCTCTGGGATTACAACGCGGACGGTTCGGTGAGCAACTGCCCATCATTCCGCGCACATTCCACCATAATGTCTTCGTGTCTTCCACGACGTACCACACAACCATGGCAGGAACTAGACAACCCGCCCTTATCGTCCAGCAAGGACACCGTCGTCGTCGACGAGCCGAACGCATACCGGCAGGTCCTCTTCCCCTCCCGCCGCGTCGAGCAGCTCGATAGCGTCGCACCTGCGCGCGTCCCTCTGTCCGTGCCCTTTGCTTCGCCTGCGTACCAGCCCGCGTACTTCGCCCCCTCAGTCATATGCGCCTCGGCACCCCGCGGTCAAGCTCATGTACCGCAAGCTCGGCGTGGTCCACGCAGGCAAAGACCACTCTTCGCCTGCAGCTGTTTTCGCCACTTTGGGCCCCGGTCAGGGCCAGGTGGAACAGAGCATGTTTTGGGGGCTCGAGATCATGGTGAGTTCCCTCGCACTTCGTTCCATCTATATCGTTTGCTGATTTTCGGCGGTATGGTCGCTCTAGATGCTGGCGTCACAGCGTACACGCTTCGATGGTCGCGCCGTCGCATGCTGAGCTATCAGCGAAAGGCATACGATATGGGACGTGAACCCGGACCGCAGATTCGTCTGTACGCGTCCGACGGTATACTGGCCCCTGCCGTAGGATTCCTGGGGAGCCGCGCAGATGCTGCACCGCTGTCAGCCTGCGCTCTTGTCCCTGACGCTCGTTGGCTCGCGCCGCAGACGGCGCAGAGAGGGCGGTGCAGGCTGAGAGCGACGATAGGTCCCGCGCACGACGGGCTGGAACCCTAGAGTAGGGTTCGTGCTGAACGCCTCCTGCTGCGCCACTTATCACCCACCCAGCGGCGGCGCGGTCCCCCATGCCAACTCGTCGCCTCATAACTTGTCCTTATTCTCATAAGCTGCTTCGACCCAACCGCTCACTTGGAAAGCTTACGTCAGCAATGTAGCACTCAACACTCAGTACTCAGCACTGTTCCTCCTCCTCTACGCGCGTACGGTCTCGTTCTCCTACCTCGCCAGGCACCCTACAGTCGGCCGCAGACCCCAGGACTTGTATGCATGAGGAATGTCCCACATTCGTCGCTTCTGCTGAATACTTGGTCTCTCACATTCCTGCTACACATCGCGTCGACCATCGCTCGGCTCTCGCCGGCTTATAGCTCGCGGTCGAGTGTCGGAAGTCTGTCCTTGGATGCAGACATTCGGCGAGGAGCGTCTGCGCTGCCATCGCGCTCAGGAGGGTTCCTCGATTAGCCTCAAGGTACTACTTCTCCGCGATGTCTCTTCCCGGGAGGCGCTTCGTCAACTGCGAGAGAGGACGTGCGCATGCGCGACCGCAATAGAACGGTTGCGAGCTGCGAGAGAAGCGCTCGATGTGCCTTCCCGGCGACGAGCCGGTACGATGTCCTGGGCCCGCATCTGCGTTCTGTAGAAGTGGGTGCCATCGTGGGCGGAGTCGCAGGATTGCGTAACGTACGCCCGAGGGCTGATTTCAGAGACTCACACCCTACCGGAGGGGAACCTATGAAGCAGAGCAGAGGTGAAGTCGCCCGTCTGCCATGTCTTTGATAGCAGTGGCTTCAAGGCTAGTGCGGCGCATCCAGCTTCGCCACTATGAGCTGTCCTGGTATGTAGATGGCAGGGTGAACAAATGGAACCGAGCGCACGTTCGCGCTCTGACGCCATACACAGATTCCAATAACTGAGCGACAGCGCGCGCATGAGTGAAGCACGATGGGCCCATAGGCAGGATGAGCTTGGACCTCGACATATCTGGACGAGGAGGTGCAAAGGAGGTGTGGCCACATAAGGTACGCTGTCCACAATGCTCCGAGACAATTGATGAGTAACACCCGCCCGGACGTCTACTTGGTTAGGATCGGTGAACTATGTCCTGTTTGGAATACCGGGTGCTCGTTCAGCGTTGTGACCCAGAGATGCATTCCTCAGGGCCGAGGCAGCGGCATGGTTGAGTTTGAGGGGCACGGACTCCCACGGATGCCGCGTTCATCGCAGAGCAACAGCCACCCAAGGTCCGTCCACTGCTGCGATCCTGGGAACCTGAAGGCGCGGATCTCATATACATGTTGAACCACCTGGCATGCACAGCCACCACACTACGTCGCCATCATTTGAGTGCAACCACACAGCGAGTAAGCGTGCGTCCTTCTGTCTGCAGCTGCGCCGCAATGTACTCGTCGTTCATACAGCAAGCGTCCGTCGATCGTGCGCAAGGAGCTTCATAGCAGAATTTGCCAGGAAATGCGTAGAACGGTGAGCAACTCTCCTGAATCAGCTTCACTGGGTCTCCTGGACGGTATTCGCAGCCGGGTTTGTGGTGGTGCCGTAGTATGACAGTGGGCACGGACTGAAATGCGTTACAGGTTGCAGCATGAACACACGGCGCATCACCCGGAACACTCGATGCCGTGGTGTTCAAAGTGTCGCTGCCGGTCATCGACGTCACGCCAGCTGTTCAGACTGAGGATTCCGCAATAGGTGAGCTTTCGACACCTTCTACGCTTACTGCATCGTTATATGCGCATCCTCGTCTCGTCACCGACCGCCGGGAGTCATATTCCGGGAGTGTGGCGGCAGGGTGCGACAACCAGCGACCTGGACGAGACCACTGTAGTGTACTGCGCGTCCGACAATACGTCTCTCCACCGCCACTGTTCAAGAGCTGCGCGCCGGGCATGCATCGTTGGACGTCGCGCGGTTCCTGTCTGTTGTAAGCCGCAATCCAGAAGTTCCAGGTTTTTGTCCATAATGATGCTGTTAGAGCATGGCATACCCGAGCACCATCTGTCATGCTCGCGTCATTTCAATTCCAAACCTGCATAAGGGCGTTCTTTGACCGCGGAACGTCTTCAGGTACTGACACTACATTTAGATGTGGCCGACAAATAAAAGCGGCTTTATGCGATCCATGAAGAGACATCCGCGAGCCTTTACTGTGTCTCTCCCTCCGCTATGCTGTTCAAGCCGAAGTTCGCGACTATTCTGACACTTATCGTTGTATCCAGCTGCGGGGACAGTTTCCTGCAAGTCGGAGCTGTGTCCCAACAACAATGGGATCAGCTCAACTCGACCGTCAACGGTCGACTTCAGGCGGCTGTCCCCTTCTCTCGCCCGTGCTTTCCCGACGTCGCACAGGATGTTCTCGGCGAGTTCGATGAAGACGAGTGTGCTACCGTCCAAGCAGGCTATACCAATTCGAGTGAGCCATTCTGTGAGGGATGGAGATTCGTTCTATGCAAGCTGACACAACCTTTCGCTAGCCGTGCGCGTTGGTGTCGTTGGATCGTACATGATGGTGGGCATCCGAACAGTCTCAAAAGGGGAACATGGGCTAAAACCCTTGCGCAGACGCAATGGGAGACTTGTCAGGCAACCTCGGAGCAGTGTCTTCTCGACGATCTCGATCCTAGCGATGCACAGGCGTTTTCCCCTCCGCAGGTCTGCGCACAGGGCGGTATTCCGCCTCTTTATGTATGGAACGTCGTTGATTGCCTGCCATTCATTGTGCTTACGCTGGTACCGTCTTCCTCTGATAGATCGATGTCCAGGAACCCGCGGATGTCCAAGCTGCGTTTTCGTTCTCTCAGAACACCAGTGTCCCTATCGTCGTCAAGACCACAGGAGTATGTGCGGCACCGACCCGGATTTTTTCTTTACCTCATCACCTGGATATAGCACGACTATTCCGGACGTAGCAGTGGAGCGAACGCTCTCGCGCTCTGGGTAAATCTAACGAATTCTGAAAATATTCTCCATCACCGCTGACCGTATTTCCGGCAGATGTACAATCTGCAACAGGTCCGTAAACAACTGCTTCACTGATTGCCCAGCATCTCATCGTCCCAAGTTATCGTACAACTCAACGTTCGTGGCATCTGGCTGTCAAGAGTCTAGCGCAGCTCCCGGTGTCACTGTCGGGGTAGGTGTCTCTTGCCATCGCTGACGCACAATCGTTGAATATGTGGTCTTGCAGGCTGGCGTGACTTTCGGGCAACTGTACGATTTTGCCGAAGCGAATAACATAACATGTCCTGGAGCGGCCGAGCTCAGTGTCGCTGTTGTGGGAGGCCATCTACAAGGCGGCGGGCACAGGTACGGCGTCAAAATACCCCCCAAATGTGTTGTCTGCTATGCCAATCACTGAAATCTATATCCAGCGCACTATCCAATGCCTTCGGTCTTGCGGTCGACCGATTGGTATGTAACGATGAGCCCTCAATGTCAACATGTTGATGCAACTGAACGATTGCGTTGACAGCTGGAAGTAAAGATAGTCACACCCACCGGCGAATACCTCACAGCCAACTCATGTCAGAACGAAGATCTTTTCTTCGCCATTCGAGGCGGGGGAGGCGGGACCTTCGGTGTCGTCATGGAGGCGACCATTCGCGCACTTCCTCAACTCTCCTTCCCCGCGTACGTTGTAGATGCACGATGCACTCCTCGACACTAACATGGACTCTACAGAGTACATTTCGATTTCAATGTCACTTCGGAAACAGAAAGAGAGCTGTTGCAATTCATCGCCTCCAATTCGCTGCAATGGGCAGAAGCAGGTACGTGATACGTGACTTGTATCGCAGTCTCATGTTGACCTAGAGGACTGGATGCTGCTAGGTTGGGGTGGGTATATACTGGTATGGCACGCAACGTTCTTACCTCTCACCTTGCTCATAAGACGCATGTAGCCGAAGGGGTCCATGCTCTTTGTAAACCCGTTCTTGAGCATGGCTCAGGCGGAGGAACAGATGACTTCCTTACAGCAGTTTGTCACCACCAATCTGGGCGCGACATTCACCCTCACGCTCCAGCCGTCCTTTCTTACGATGTTCAATAATTTCTTGCTTCCCCCAGCATTGGTACGTTTCCCGGTATCATTGTATATCTAGCTCCATCGCACTGACGGAGACCCGCAGCCGGTGGGGCTGCCATTCATCACGACTTCACGACTCATTCCGGCAGCAAACTTCGCCTCAAATGAAAGTCAGGCAGAACTCGTCGATAGAGTGATCGAGGCCCTCGATGATTCCCCCTACCAGATCATCTTCGCCGTCACCCCATATTACTTCAAGAGCCCCGGCGGAACGAGCATCAATCCTATTTGGCGCGAGTCTCTGTGGCACGTACGTACCCATGGCACCTCTGACGTTCAGGCCTCGCTGACAGGATGCTAGGTATTGGGGTCAGCGAGCTGGAACTACAACACGACAACCGACGAGAAGCGTGCGATATACAGCAACCGCACCTCCCAGATGGACCTTCTGCGCGAGATCACACCCGGGTCTGGTGCATATTTCGTGCGTATTCTGGCTTATTGTACGCGCGTTGCCGACTGACGCAGGCTCCCTCCCACAACTCACAGAACGAAGCCGACGTGCACGAGCCAGACGCATCCGGTGAGTCTCCGCATAGCCTTCGTATGTAGTGGATTCGCTCACCCAAGTATCAATAGCGTCGTTCTGGGGAGACAACTACGACACGCTCGTCGCTATCAAGCGGAGGTAGTACGTCGTATCTCCTTTCCCTCCGGCATTGTATCCTCCTCACAGGCGTCGATCTACAGCGACCCCAATCACCTGTTGGACTGTTGGCAATGCGGTGCGTGGTGTTGACATCGCGAAGCCCTTTTCTGACAGCTTTTACTAGTCGATTGGGAGGGCCCATCTGCTGCGCGGTTCTCGTGTTACCTTTAGAGTATGGTCTCGTCATGGTGCCAATGCCAAGTCGCGCCTGGCCCGGTTCAATGCCTGATTTATGCGCAGTGAAGGGTTTGTCTTCGTAATGAGTTGACCGTGGCCCGGATATGCGCTACATTTGATTTATCGAACTATACAGTGTATGGTGATATATATGGGATTGTTAATGTCTACAAGAGCGTCTGAGGGCAGCTTTAACGATAGCATGACTGTGCATACAACCACGGTGCCACACGGTGCACTGCGGGGTCGAACGATAGGTGAAGAATACAATAACATAGGGCCGTTCTCTGCGACGTGCATCATATACCAGTAGATCCCGGGATGAAGCTTCCACTAGGGCTATCCAGGCGCTTTGCCTCGAGGTCGTCGTCTTGCTCTGCCATACTTGTCAAATTGACGGTGACTGGGCGCATTTGGTACGAGATGCCTGTGAACTCCTCTGTGCGGTTATTCGCCATATGCGACCCCGTCTGGGCCCAGCCCAGTCCGACTCTGACGTTGATGAGCATGCACGATATCCCGGACAGCTCCGGCCAGGTGTCGACGGCTGTAAACTGCAGGTTCGAGTTGGTCTGGTATGAGACAAAGAAGAATGCTGTCCACGCCCTGCATCTTGGAATTAGCTATGTCTGATTCGCGGCGATGCAGACTCACGTGTAGAGAGCGGCGCTTTCTATGAAGGTTGTCAACACGGTCTGGAAATCGGTCAGATGAGTACTGCAAGGCGCGAGTCTGGCATAGCATACAATAAGGTTGGAACAATTGTGGATCTTGACGTGCCGGTATGATGTCCAGACGCGGTATCCAATCAAAGCTTAGCGGATATGCAGATTAGACGTACTGTCGGTTCGCATGGTGCCAAATGGAACTCACCAGTGCTGTATACGTTGGTGCTGATGCATCGAAGAGGTATGAGACTGCATCTGTCGCGACGACCGGTGATGCTATGCTCACCAAAGTGTGAATACGCAGTCGCTAGTGATCCAACGACCGGCTTGGGACACAAATACGTTCTCCCCGGGCCAGTATTGAGTGAACTGGTAGGTTATGCCGACTCCGCATGCTGCGTGGTGTGTCGGCGACTGCAGCTCTCACAGCACATGTGTCACTGACCTGTGAGTCCTGCGAGCGTGCATAGCGGAAAGATCACGATAACCGTGCGGCGGTTCCAGATGATCCATAGCCTATAGATCTATGAATACACTGCGTCAGCCCGATGCAGCCGGCGTATGGGCGTGGAGGTGGTACGAACAACCATGGCGTCGCCAATCACCATCGAGGCCATCAGGAATCCCGTTTTGACGACCTCCGTGAGTTGTTTGAGGTTCCCGTAGAACGCTATGGGATTTGTTCCGCCCTCGAAGTATACAAACGCTTGGAACGTGCGGATGCACGTGAGTATCCAATGCTGCAGACGGGCACTGGAATGTCAGCGACGAGGTTCAATATGGAGAGAACATACCGCAGTGATGGTTACCGAAAGCGCGATCGCCCCGAGGAACATAGGTGTTTTGCAAAGTTGCAAAAATAGACCGGCAGCGGCGACTCGTTGAACATTTGGGTGAATCGGTAGCAGCAGTTGCTTTTGGCGGTACACCAAGAGACAGATGGACGACACGGATAGAACAAAGAAGATGCCGTAGAAGAAACTCTCCATGAAGACGGTCGCAACATTCGCTGCTACCAGAGGAACCTGTAGCATTTCAATGAATGAGGGAGAGCACGAGCGTCCGGGAAGCAATGCACGAACACGCAGATAGTAGCTGCGCCGGCCCGCGTGCCTTCGCGGCTTGCTTTAAACGCATTAGGATGCCTAGGGATCACATCAAGGGCGAGAGAAGAGGCTTCGTGCAGACACTGATGTGATGCTAGGTTGACATAGGAATTACGAGGGAGCAGGAGCGCGCACTGGCGAAGATTCGATACATACGAAACGTCACAGCGATGACATTGACGTCGGACATATGACTGGTAATGACTAGTCAGGCCTGCCTCAGGTAGCACTACATCGCAGACACGAGACGTTGTACCTGCATTGCCATAGTTCAGTGTCATGAAATAGCAGAGCAGAGTGAGCTTCGGTCTTCGTAGGAGACTAAGTGATGCCTAAGCTGCAGTCTCGAGAGTCGACGGAGCACCTCCGTTCTCACCGGATGGCACAGCATACGTTTGTCCTATATTTGTAGGTGGCTAACTCGACAACCACCGCTGCGCTGCGACGTTTTGATACGGGTCGTTGACATCCAATCTATGTCAAGTGTCACGCAAGCACCGCCACCAGAACATAAGACCCTGTTAGCAAAGATCCAAATGGAGCAAATTTGATCACTCACTGGTGACAGGCTCGCAATCTTATCGTTCCCGGTCGAATGTTTTCCGCCGGTTGTCAGTCATAAGGTTACGACGTCGCCGACACCGACCTCCTTTCCCAGCCCGACGTGTCACGGACGTAGGCTTCGTGGTGTCCGAGTTAGTCCAATGGGAGCGCCCCTCAGACGCCATGAAGAGGCTCGGAAACAACTTGGAGTTCCTGGAGTATTGCCTTCTGCGGACCAGAGTTGATGTACACACCAGCCGATGAATCTCCTCAGCGTTGCTAACTGCCTGTCTTTGTACTCAGTAATGAGCAATCCCATTTTCACGACGTTGGAACGTACCAGTGCCCGTGTTTTACACGGCTCCGACTCGCTGGGACCGAGAAGTTTACACGTTGCCACTGCCAGTGCCAGCACGACTGGGAATACTGTGATCTCCCATGAGCAATTGAAATCAACAACTAGTAGTGTCTCGATACCCAACTCAAGGACATCGCTGCTCACCCTAACAGTAACCGTATCCTACCTACGTGTGTTGCGGAGTCCTCCGTATTGGGCGGGACCCATTCTGCAGATGACGTGGAACGGCTTCGCCTTGCAGCGGAGTATGCGTGGCAGTGTCGCGTGCAAATGTTGTACATTCGTCCCGATCGTATGGAGGGAACTCTTGATCCAAAGCTGAGAATCGTCTGTGGGGGTACAGTATCAGTGGGTCATGACACGTCATGAGCTTGCGACGAGCAGCGACGGCCGCCTATAAAGCCTGAGCTCGGCGGCCACCGGCATTAGTCGCGCTGAAACAGGGTACGCTGCCAGTACTGGTGTAGGGTGGAAGGGCGCGCCGCACATGAGGCGCCGAGTAAGGCTGGCAGAGTACTGGAACCTTGTCACACGACTGACTGCGAGCACGCACCCGTTATACGTATCCGCATCGCTATGAGGTCCTGCGAAGGGTACGGAAAAATCCCTCGTCGCCCTTTTGATGTCCTCCCAAGTCAAACCCCGCGGTCTGCGAGTATATAGGGCCATGCTGTATCGATGCCCGACCAGATGCGTCGCGCGAAAACTTCATCTGTGAACAGAAGACAGATGCTAAATGAGTGTCGCATCCAGTGAGAATTGCCTGCAGAGCTGGGGCTCGTAGCACTTACATGTTATGCACGTAGATGAAAGACGACTCCTGGACCTGAATGTCGGCGTAAAGACGTCAATACACCGCGCTCGTGGCCATAGGTATGCTGAGGTCTGAGGACGTTGATGATCAAGAGGTACTGTATACCGTGGATCCGCCTACGTTGCAGTGATAAGCTTCTCATTCTGATGCATGTACGTAGACAACACGGCGATGAAAGGGGAACTTGAAGGTTGCAGGTCACGCTACCAACACGCTAGTGCGTTACCGTCACGGTCACAAATCAACATGACCGCAGCGCCTGAGGCGCGCTCACTGTCAGCGACGGTCATCGCTGCGCTACGCATTCAGCGAGACATGTCCCATGCACATCCCGATTCACGCATTCCCAGCCCGCGCACCTACCATGCTAGACAGAGCAAAATTATCGCGGCACATTCAGAGCCAATCCAGAGCACTCAATATTACTCTCTCCATCGTTCACATAAGGCTCACCCGCAACACAGGATCTCAGACTCGCTCCAGTAGTTGGCGAGAGACTGTACGACCCGAAATATGGTCGGAAGCGCTACGTGCCCGACCAGACAATCTGTGCTTCTTCGTGGCTTCTTTCTGAACCAGATATTCATGTGCTCGTCGGGTGGAGGTGGAAATTGAAGGAGCTGCAGAACCTCAGGATCTTCAACATGTACGTTTTAATGTTATTGTCATGATTTACCTGAGCGTTGTTGACACGTAGCCGTGGCCGTAGCCTTCGACTTATGACAGGGACCTAATGATCTGCGACGTGATTAGCTTCCACATACAATAACCCTAGCAGCTAGCGCATCAACAGTGCGTCCTAGGTGAAGATGACTGTATTGACTCTTATTGTAAAGGTGCGTGGGACTCTAGATTGCGTGTTCATCTCTCTCGACGTCCCGCCCTGCATTCGCGCTTGCACAGATGAGACCTACGCCTCAAATCTGAATTGCTATGCAGCGCCATTCCGAAGTAAGTTACGTTCGTGTGCTGCCGCGCTAATGTCACGCCTCAGATACATACTGACGACCTCGTCCGATAGGTTATTCGTATAGATTGATGTGCTTGCCCGCATCTCTCGTTCAAGCTGCGAGATCGCTATGATAGCTAACAACCTTTGGCACTTGGTGTTTTGAATCACGCTCAAGAATCAAACCGAGTACAACATCGCGTTCCCGCTTCGTCCAAGAGCTCGCGATGTGCTGCGTCGTGGGAGGCTCCCTTCACAGTCCTGAGGCATTCGTTAGCCAGACATAGATCAGGGTGCGCCGTGTTCGCTCGAACCATCCTATGTCTCGTACATATTCCTTTCGACGCTAGATGCATGTACGTGATATCACGCATGTGATATACAGTACGCCGTCGAAGGCTGAAATAATCCAATGGCCACTCAATCCTTCAGGGCCGAACCAAAGGGAAGGTAATGAACTGCATCGCGCAATCAGATGAGGACGGTGTGCATTAAGACACTATATTTCTACGTGACGGGGCTGACCAATGCTGGCAGAAACATCGTCCACGTCGTACCACCCTATACGCCTTCTCGACCATGCTATCGCGTTTGGCTTAGCTCTACCTCGTGTCCTTTTCCGAACTATAGTGCGGAACTTTCTTCGCTGCTCTCACTCATGCTTGATGTCTATTCAGTCCCAGACTCTCGACTCTCGCTGGCAGGAAACAACTACACCGGTGGGCTAGCGCCTCGAGCTTCCGCTTCGCGATCCCAAGGGTCCCGCACTACCTGACATAGGTGGAGATGGTCAGCCGTACTAGTGCTTGTCGTACAGGTTGTTGCTAACTAGGACATATCAGACATCAGTGAAGGTGGTATCGTACAGGGTACTAACGCACGTTGGACTTGGTTATACCATTCCGATGTTACCTTGCAGAAATGCGGAAAACATCCTGGTCTAAACAGGCGCTTTCACAGCAGCATATAGCGTTCATGGTAAGTGACCCTAGCGAACGTTCATTGTCATCAACGTTCATCCCAATGAAGGATTTGAGTCCTTGGTCACAGCTTTTAGTCAGCGCTTTCGGATTTCTCGCTTACGTCACCAAGCCTCTGCAAGATGAGTTTCACGCGGGCGGAACATGAATCGTGCCCTACGAATCCACTGACAACATGCGGTAACAGAACAGTGCACCGTGGCTAAAACTCATCTGTGCTGTCAGCACATACTGCGGTTGGTTTCATCATCGCTATTCCCGCACAGTGATGAACACTATTGCTGTCATGAGGTGGACCGGACACCCCCGCAATGGTACGAGTACTTCTATCGCCCAATCCCTCATGTCGAGTCGATTATCTACAGTATCTGACGCAGCATGATTAGCACAGGTCATCACGTACACTTCGAACGAAGGGCAGCCAACTGCTAACGGTAAGTTGCCACCAGATCAGAGCATGCAGCTGGATTCCTGTGCGTCGGTCGCCGCTGGTACTGCGCTACGGCGGCATCTCCGCCGGCGCTGAATGGATCTAGAGTGGGCCTTCCTCAATATGCCGTAGCGAATGGTAGTATGCGAGGGTCACAGCAGTATCACCTATGCTCAGTCATCGGAGTCGCTCTCCCTCTCTGACTTGTATAGTCGGGGTTTCGCATCAGCCAAACTGTCCCACGGTGAAACCAGGAACTGCACAACGAACAGTGTTACGCGGATATCACTAAGGTCACATCTCGTGGTTTCAATCCAGGTTCACTGACCTCGTCGACCGTTCGTGGCAGGCATATGCGAGGAGATGGTCCGCAGGGGCTTTCTAATCCATACTCGGCGGCTCATTGCAAGTACACTGGAGAGTTGTATCCGCCCATTTTCTGCGACAGCGCTTGACCAGCGCGAAGCTAAGTTTGGGCTTGGATTGCGAGACGCGCATTTCAGGTACAGTGTTGTTTCAGTGCTTCGGCCGACCGACCTACCCGCATGCTGAGTTGAATCTAGGCTTCTACTGTGAGGGATGTCACCGCCCCGGAGAAGCCTGCTCACCATTGCTACAACTCTCCGGACGACCGGCACGCTCTCCATCTGAGGTAAGTACTTATCGTAGATGTTTGCGTTTATCGTGCTTGTGACTGTGTTTCGGAAAACTAGACGCCCACAACCACCTATTGACATACCGCTTCCAGACCTATCTGCGTTAGCTGTCCGCCCTCTGCGCATGACGCATGGTTATGATGAGCACCGCCCTGCACTCCTCATATACAAGACTCGTTGCAACCCCATCTAGCCTCCGCACCCGCAATGTCTGAAGGTTCGGTCGATACATTGTTGGCGACCAAGTATCTTTCCGGTAAGCAGTTGTTTATATATTATATGAATGGAGTCTTTTACACGCCCTCTAGGTGTCGCCTTGACCCTTCTGCTTTATGATCATGTCATTCATTTCGACAGAGAGATCGAGTTCATATGGCTGGAGCCGGCTTCGTTGCTCTCCGTGTTCGTTATGTGCGAGCTCTGGGTCAGAGAGATTGGGCTGATATACATCATGACCGGTGAGCACTAAGCCGATCAACGTATGACCTTTCTGATCGACAATGCGCGCAGTATTGAGTCAGTCTACAGTACAGACCCGCTACGTGAGTGAGACGTCCGACCTGCTGCACATCCACTGATGTCAGACTCTGGCGATTTTTTCAGAGGTGAGCAGTGGTTTGAAAACCTCATAACGACTTCTACGTTGAATGATATACCCTCATGACAACAGTTGCGTTGTGTCAACATACTTCGTCATCATCTATAGTTTGCTGAGCACGGGATCCGTACATTGTGAGTACCACTATCGCCTTTTATTCAAATCAGCGAATCGACTTGCAATGACGCGTAGCCCTCCTTCTCTATCGAATATACAGGCTTTGGGACCGCAGGAAGCTCATCAGTCACTTGTTGATTGCAGGGTTTGTCCTCTCGTTTGGGGGCACCATTGCTTGTGCAATCAGAGCCGCTGCAGCATTAGCGAGTACGTTTGCCTTCAACACGCAGCTTTTTCATATGACTTATCCTGCGGTACAGGTTCGGTTGAAGCAGTGCCTGTCTTGGATATATGCGAATTCCCCGTCAAGTCTTGGTTCGAAACTGCGTCTTGGTCTGTAGTGGTGAGCCAATTCATTAGAGTTCCAGAAAGTCTTCCACGCATCGTAGTAGGATGCTCATATTCATACTGGACAGATTGTTTACGACCTGTTCGTTCTAATAATGGTCGTTGTGAATGCCCTCGGGAAGCCTCGTCGGAGTGACGTAGACATCATCAAGAGTCTGTATACCGACGGGTTCCTTATTTTCCTAGTACGATCCCGCTTTATATTCTCTTCTCTCGCCACTAACATAGTCTCGTGTTGTGACCTAGGCGTTCCTTGGTAGGTGTTACTTACATGGCGTACGTTGCAGTCCTAACCGACCGACGCAGTTCTTCGAATCTCACGGTTACTGCCTAGCATTTTCGGAAATGTACGTGCTCAGGTCCTTCCCTCTGATGCACGAAAGTGACTGACAGCTTACAGGGAGGCGACATGCTGCTCACCCCGCTGTGAGTAATGATTGGTCGGAATCAAAAGAGGGCATAGTTGTAAACGTCGTATGCAGCGTCTCGTGGGCTCTAGAGGGTGTGTTGAACACGCGGCTCTACTACAAAATCAAGCAAGTCGAACTCAACCACATGCACTGGACGCCATACCTCGTGGACAATCAGTCCAGAACACGAGCAGTACTCATATACGAAGAAACGGAGATGGAGTGTATATAACAGCATAACATTCATGTTATTTCGATTTCTAGTGACGACGACTACGCACCTCAACTGTATTGTACTTATGTGTAGCATAAATTCAGCCGACGACTATATACTTACTAATTACAACATCTCGTCATTTGTCATACGCCGAGCTGCTGGCACACATTGCGCCGGCAAGTTTCACTGTGCGTGCTCGCCGTACCGCGAATTATACAGATCGTCTATGGCCTATATGGAATGTGCAATAAGACGCACTGTTGCTAACAGACGGGAGATCCGTCCGTCGGGTGCCCGACGTGATACGTCGGAGGGACTGAAATACTGACCAGCGACCGGCCGTTGTATTACTATTGGTGGCTATCAAGTAGCGTTCGCCTGGAGTGATGATTATCTGTCTGACACAGTGGCATCTGACAACAGACGTCCCTGGAAGCCGTATTGTGGGCCTCGGCATTCGAGAGCGAGATCCGCGCCGCGCGGTGTCTGTATACGAGGAACGCAATTGGGCTCGATTTAAAGGCTCGATCTTGTGAACATGCCGCAGACGGTCCGGATGTAGCGCGTGGGGAACTTGCAGTACTCAGGAGTCAATAGATCGTTGCGCGACGTAGTCGACTCGACATACGGATACTACTTAAGTACCACAATGCGCAGAAGTCTAAGTGGCTGTTACGAAACAGAGCGAGGTGGCGATCCATTGACAGAAGAAAGATTTATCTCATACCGGGTGGCTGGCAGAGCGGACCGGGGACACCGGGGACGTCGAAATGTCTTTGTGTAAGCTCAGGCGCCGCGGAACCACTGACACCGCGGGCAAACCAGGTTTTTCGGGCTCCGAAAATGCTATGATAATAACATCGGTCCTCCATGGGAACCTATTCGGAGAGCTTGACTGACTCCGAAAATGCTCCTACATTTCTCATGTTCGTAGCATGTTCGCCGAAAACACGCATGTTCGGCCTCCGAACATGCTGAAATCGGCTGAAACGCATCATGTTCGCAGCATGTTCTGACAATATTCGGAGTCCGTAAAGGTTCCCAGGCGGGACCGATGTTCGTTGGGGTTTTCGGAGTTCGAACAACCTGGTTTGCCCGCGGTGTGATCAAACTTTGCGCACCGCGGCAACTTTGACATCACGTCGACAGCCGGAATCATGAGTACCAAACAGTGCTACTAGTACTCTGAATGAGACGCCTAGCAGGGCTGCCTTGATGTGAGTTCCCTGATGTGTATGGAAGCAATGGAGTCTGACTCAAGGTTGACGTCATTGTGGTTCAATGCTCCGAGCTTGCGATGCCAGAAGCCGAGCAGAATACAAGTTGTGGTGATACATTAAACTACCTACATATCCACTCTGTCGTCACAGCTTATGAACCGGCTTCTGCGACTTGCGGCTCCCTTTCCCTTTCAGACCAAGAGGGTGCGCGACACTGATCTGGTTCGCAGCTACCAAACAGACTTGCTCTTCCCTCCAATTCCTGTCCATGTTGTCTTCCTCGGCAATGGCGGCCGGCGCAGTCCAGACTTCGACGCGGTCGTCGAACAAACCGCCGTGCATGAACCGGCTCGTCGAGTAGAGACCCACGGACCGCGGCGCATACACCTTCGGGGGGTTCTCGTACGGGAACTTGCACTTGAACTCCACGTTGAGCACGAGTGTTGTGTAGGAGTACATTGACCATGTCCTATACGATACTCAATAAGCACCGGCCAGTGGACACTCCATCCTACATACCCATCCTGCTTCGCCGCGGGAAGGAGGTCCGGGACCCGCACGAAGAGGTCGGACAGGAAGCAGATGGCGGGCAGGTCGAGCTTCTGGTCTTCGTCCACGAAGTCGAACCAGCATCCCCAGCGGACCTCGCCCCCGCCAGGTGACTCCTTGTCCGGCTCCGCAGATTCGCCCTCCAGGTAGCGCTCGCGGTTGTATTCCAAAGGGGCGGGATCGAATGCCCAGCGCATACGGTTTTTGAACTGCGCCTGGGAGATCTCGCGATCCTCCGAGAGCTCGCCCGGGTGGACGGACAGCGGGATGCGTCGGGCGAGCGGATCCGGGATCGCCAGGGTTTGTGGGTCCGCCTTGCCTCCGAAGAGAGGATGAAGGGGTAAGACGCCAAAGATGAGGTGCGTTACGACCTTGGGCGCACCCTGAGGGAGACAGGTTCAACACAGCATGGATAGTCCAAAAGATAACGTACGTCTTGACAGAACTTTGCAGATACATTGTGAAAGCTCTTCCCTTCGCGGATAGTTTCGACATAGATCTTGTAAGGACCCCCCTTTGTGGCCGAGATGAAGTGAGTCGACGCGTGTATGATATCCAGCCGGTCTGTATGCTGCCGCGCCTTGGTGGCTGCTGTGCATATGAGTGCGATTATGTAACCTCCGTGAGGGAAGCTGAAAAGAGCTGGTGAGTCGAAACTGTCTTCATATGTAGACGGAAGCACAGGTACTTCTCGTATCCCCACTCCGTGTCTACGATACCCGTGTAGCAGTGGTGCCCGCCCGGGATGCCCTCCTCAAGCACTGGCTGGACTGCGACGGACAATGGAGCCATTGTATGCGGCGAACAATGCGTACGTGCCTTATACGTTGCTGATGAGAGTCGGGAGCAGCCGCGACTAGGCTGCAGTGCGGCTCGTGATTGTGATAGGCCGTAGGGTGCTACGGGGCTAGAGGGATGGTGAGCGCACGCTTAAGCAGTGAACAAACCCGACAAGGGAAGTCTGACGGCGAATTCGTACACAGGACCTGCGAGCGCGCCCTGCGACAGCATGACTGGGCGCTATCAAGTGCGTTTCTAGTCGAGAGCGTCTTCGCTGTCTCGCGGAACCTATCGGCTCGAGCCGTCTCGTCAGTCTGTAGGTCCGACTCATCCGGAGAATTCGACGTTGATGATCATGGACATCACGGCTTAACCTGAGCTTCAAGTTCGACGCACCATCCTTGCCTATCGCGTCCAGGCTGTGGTGACACCCGCCTGCAGCGGAGGCGGCGTCTGCGGAGGGCATGTGTAATATGTAGCCCATCATGCCTGATAGCGGCGTTCAGTGCTATTTTTCGACTCGTCTCAAAAGGGGTAAGTACCCAACGGAGTCTGCCAGTGGCATATCATGATGCTAAGATGGCACTCAACTGTCGGTTCCAGTAAAGCGGAGGGTCACCATCCCCTGACACAGATGGATTGAGCTTGAGTACATGTGTGTGGTCCATGCATGCAACGGAGCTCGCTCGCCGTTCCGACACGTCTGACGAAACGATGGGCATGATACAGATGGCTTGCTGTGTCTATGTACGCCTGGAGTCTCAAGAACTCAGGCTGCAGAGGCGGCGGATAATTATGGTTCCAAGGCGATGCGGTGACGGAGAGAGACGCTTATGCGGTACGTGCGGTACCAGAACCGTAGAGTTCGCTGGAGACTGACAGCGTGCATTGAGCGGCGATGGTTGAAAGCGAGTACCGCTGCCATCCAGACCAAGTCCAGAGGAGGCGCGCAAGGTGTGACAAATGCTTACGTAATAGTGTAGGCGTCTGTGTGTCTGCAGGTCACATCATCCTCCGGGTCAACCAGCATCCTTGCAGTCCATTGTAAGCTCTCATCTCCTCCTCCTCCTCCTCACGCCGATGTTCCACCAGTCAGTACGGCCTCTGCTCTTCATATCGCGTCCCATCGCTTCTCAGCCCCGGGCGTCCTGGCCCGCTGACTCTGCGGCAGTGCCAGGCTCACACGCGTTCTATTATCAAGCTCGCGCCCAAACCGCACGAAGGTGTCCACAATTCCTACCGCACGCGCGCACTTCGCGGGATTTTGCGAACGACGGTGTCCGACAGTGGCATCGCAGGCTTCATCCGATGCGCGCTGCAGATCACGTAAATAAACTCCGAGTTATCACCCTGCTCTGCTCAGACCGCGCATGCGCCGCACAGCTTCGCCGCAGAGCTTGCGGCCTAAGAAGCTTGTCTCTACAGGCGACATTAATGCCGTCGCGGGATTTCAAGCTCAAGGGGGGTAATTCTCGACATTAATCCTCGACACTCATGCCAAGATGATTCGAACATCCGTGCTAATACTATGTACTATCAGACAACCGATCAATGCCAATGCGACTATGTGCCAGTGCTATCTGTCCGTGTAACATACTGCCCATTCCAAGACATCCGAGCGCATGCGGCATAACAATATCCGCTCGCCGCCCCGCCTTTACCTACACTTACCTACACGACTCCGCGCAAAATAGGTTAAGCTCCACAACTTAGCGACGAAGACGAAGACCGTCCCCGTGCTCCGAGTCTCACGCGCGATTCTCATGCTCCGCGTCCCACCGCTCGTCCGTCTGGTCGTGCAGCGGCAGGCCGCGCATCGCGAGGCTGCACGCAAGCCCGATCGCGCCCATGATGAGGTGCGCGCGCCAGACGACGACCAGCGCGTCCGCGAACGCGTTCTGCACCTGGCCGCGCAGCGGCTCGCCCAGCCCCGCGATGCGCGGGATCGCCGCGTACGCGACCGCGACGCCCGCGGGGAACTCATCGTAGAACTCCGCCGGCAGGTGCTGCGTGAGCCGGTTCTGCAGGATCGTCCCGCCGATGGCGAACCCCCAAATCTACGTACGGGGCGGGAAGGGTCAGGGGCGCGGCGCGCGGAAGAGGAGCGGGACACGCACCTGGCCGAATGTGCGCAGGAAGAGGTAGAACGAGAGGGCGGCGGCGTTGGCGGACACGGGGAGGGGCGACAGGATGGGGAAGTACGCGGAGGTGAAGACGAGCCCGATTCCGGACCCGATGAGGACCTGGTACCCGATGGAGGTCGCGCGGCTCGTGTCGGCCTTCACCGTGCTCAGGAGGCCCTGGCCGAGCATCAGCAAGGACCAGCCAAGCCAGATCGGGGGGCGGTAGCGCTTCGTGATGGTGATGATGACTCCGGTGATGATGCTGAAGGGCGCGACGGTGAATGCGAGCCCGAAGGTGTCCACGCCGGACGCGATGGGCGAGGCGAGCTTGCAGGCCTGGTAGTACACGGGGAGATAGCCGAGCATGCCTGCCAGGGGCATCGTCAACACGAGAGCTTGCAGGTATCTGGCCCTTCTGGTGAGCTTTCCGCAAGCGGGAAGGGGACGGACGCGGATCGCAGAGTATGGGATCATCTACTACTCACCCGCTGAGACTCGTCCGGTTCGAAACCAAGATCAACGGAACCTACGGAATATCCGGATTGTGAGGTATTGCTACTGATAACATTGCGAGATCCACGTACCAACGGGTACTTGGCCCCGAACGCCTCGTAGACCATGAATCCAGCCAGACCAGCCAGCCCAAGGATGAGCGGCACGAGTACCTGGTACGAACTCCAAGCATACTGCACGCCTCCCCACGTCAGCGCGATCACGATCGCAGTAGAGCTTCCCAGGATGATCGCATTCCCACTGTTCAGTAGTCGATCCAATGAGTGGTTGGAGTCGCTATATGCGCGTAATACTGCTTACATCCAGTCGATGCGCTCGATCTTGGAGCGTAGGCTCCCCTTGGGCGTGGGCAGCTTGACGAGCAGGACGACCAACGCGGCCGCGACGCCCGCGAATGGAACGTTCATGTCTAGGCATTAGTGTAAGTAAATGACCTCGCCTCGCAGCTTGTGTCTTGTCGCGCACAGAACATCCATCGCCAGTGACCCCTCTCCGCGAAGGCACCACCAACAACTGGTCCCACACCAAGCGCTGCGCACCATGCCCTAGGAGCGTATCAGGATCGTGTAGACCAACGGGAATGTGAACAGGGACAACACACAGGCCGAGCAGCCCGTTGTACAGTCCACGCTCCTTAAGCGAGACCATGTCGGACACAATTACAGACGACATTGTGAGTACGCCACCGGCTCCAAGACCCATGATAACTGTGATGCGTTTATTAGAGCGCGAGTTGAGGATAAGCGGGACGCGGACTTACTGCGACCCGTGAAGAACATCCCTTCTCCGTTGGCAGCACCAGAGACGGCGCCGCCCACTGCGAAAATCGCGAGCGAGACGAGCATCACTGGGCGCCGACCAAATATCTACATGTGGTTGGATAACTGGAGTACTCGACCTAGAGATGGAACATACCTCCGCGAGACCGCCACAAAGCGGCATTAGGACCGTCGAGGCCAGGAAGTAGGTGTTGCCGATCCACAGGAACTGGGATATCTTGAGGTCATCCGCGATGGTGGGCGCCGCTGTACCTATGATGTTCTGCGAGGAGTGAGCGCGTGGGACTCAGCGCCCATTCCCTGGACATACCGTCTCGAGGATGACCATGAACGAGCTAAGAACGAGGGTGACGAGGGTGAGCCAGAACGTCTTGCTACGCTTGCGCAGGCCGGGCTGCGGCGGGGCGGGCTTCTCGGGGGCACCGCGGTCCAGCTCGATGACATCGCTGTCGAGGGAGTTGCCCGCGAGAGCGAGCTTGTCGCGCAGCTCGAGGGCCGGGGACGACTCGGTGTCCATGGCTGAGGGTATCCACCAGGTGCGGGCGCTCGGAGGCCGGGCAGGAGAAAGGAAGGGATATTGTCCGAGAGAGGCCGGGCGAATGTGGCGGACAGGTATGTGCGGATTAGACGCGACGCGAGGGCTTCCCCGCGACTCCGTGCTTCACTAGTGTTTTATGGACACATTGCTGCCCATGCAGGCGCCTGCAGCCAAGGTTCGTGTCCGGAATGGGCAGGTGCGTCCATTGGAAACGCATGCCCCATGCGTCTGTGGATGTGGACAGCGTCTCGTCGACTTCCACTCGCGGAGCTTCCAGTTGTTCGCAGCTTCGGCTCACGGGGCACGACGCGCTCGGCCTCGGCCTTGCCCACAGCGCCCGACTGCCAGTCACGAACCTTATCATCGGAGGGCACTGCTCACCAGCTTTCCTCCTCCCTGCCCGCTTACCGAGAGAATTCGTCAACAATCTGCGGCCCTCTGGCCTGTGCTGCTGATGCGCGACGAGGCGCCGCGACGCTGAAGCTGAAGCTAAAGCCTGAGGGGGTGGCTCATCGACCGACCTCCCTTCACACGCAGATGGAGCGCGTCGATCGTTCGTAAATTCACGTCAGGTAGGCACAGCTCGCTGTACGTCCGGCGTGGTCGCCGCCGGAGGCCTCGAGATGACCCCCGATCACGACTATGCGCGCGGCGTGCTTCGATGAATCGATACACAAAAGCCATCCTTCCATTGGCCAGAACCGAACCACAATGCCGCGAACCACTCGGCTCATCGTCCATATGGGACCGTCTGGGATTGTAGCGAACAGTCGTTACAACGCAACGCGATTGTCATCCGGTCGATCCATCCCAACAGACAGGCTGCGGGCGAGCGGCCATGCTCACATGAGAAGATGCTATGATGCGGCGTCCATGCAGCAAAGATGAGGGAACACAATAAGATAGATGAGCACGTACTAGATGTCCTGACATCGCCCGTTATCAACATCTCAAAGAAGGCTCTGGGAGTCGCATACGCGTTGCAAGGCGGAACAATAACCAACCACAATGAGAGAGGAATTAGATCTCGAGCCGCATACCGAAGCTTGAAGTTTTGAAGCCTTGAAGCTTGTGGACCAAGCAAAAATGACGGGGACGGATGACACCTGGCAAAACGAGCAGACCCCAGTAGAGAAGAGTTACTGCCTACCATAGACAAAGTTGCGACGCCATTCTAGAGACACAGTCATCGCACATCGTGAGGTAGACGTCTACCGCGGTCAGTGGAGCCGGAGACTCGAGAGAGAGATGCGACCGAGCTGACCGTGACTGTCAGCGTGAAAGCAGCATGTGGCGGATATCACTTACGTAATTTACTAAATATGGTAACTATGATACTAAGTAGGTCCTCCGGGTACGTACTTACTACTTACTACTCGCTGTTACCTCAGGCCAGCTACTGACCGGTGCAGTGCGACTCTGCTACTGCGTGCTACGTACCACCCTCGCTCTCTATCTGGACGACAGTTGACGGTCGACTCGATCTCGAAGCCATGCCTTTCTCCAACTCGCATCAACGCTATGCTTTTTCCTCCGTTGTTTCATCTCGTAAGCAACGTCTTGTGTCGGGGCCCTCAGTGGTTGCTAGTATGCTAAATGAAGTCTGGCTTTTCTCAACAGCCTAGTAGTGCTTCTGCATGTGTCCACTGAGCTGACCGCAAACGACGGATAACTTCGCGCTCGTCTGAATCTATGCGTAACACTCCGATCTGACGTCGTATGAAGAACGCTGTGCTGCTTGTCGATACGTAAGTAGTCACTAGTCACTAGTATCCCTCTTCCGCGCGTGAGTCCGCCTCGGAGTTAACGGATCACAGCCGCCAGGTCAGTCCCTCAGACCTCTTTGTTGCACTCCCCTGCTTACTCACTTTCACCACTCCGCCAGTGTCTCGTGGAAGCGCAGTGTGTACGTATGGTCCGAGTCTCGGCTGGGACTCCGGGCACCTCTCTCGCTGTGAGTGATGCATATATCTCTGTAATGATCGTTCAAAAGTCATGTCGGCCACCTCCGTTGTTGTCACAGCACAGACTTCGTCGCCCAGAAGCGCACCAGCGCTCAGGGCGGGCCTGGACGTCACCAACAAAAGGGCCATGTGTACAAGCGCAGATGGATAACACGTCGTCCCTGCCAGGGCGCGAGCGTCCGCGGACCAATTTGATCGTCGTTCACGTTTCGTCTGCGACTGCGTTCGCGCTTGCCAACAGGACGCTTCCCAGGATGGCTCGTCGTTTGTGGCCCATGAACCTCGGAGGCGGTGGGCGCGCATGCCTGTTGCATGTTGGAGTCGCGTGCGCCCGCGACGTCCAACGTCAGTCTACGCGCACCCGTAGCACATGCAGTGAACGTGCGTGCCACCTCGGCCACCCCGCGGACGTTGACTCAGGACGGCCGGCCGCGTCTCCGGCTCCTTCTCGGTGTGCCATTCGTACTGCCCTATCACACAAGTGACAGTGCAGATTGTGTGTCCTTACACTACATTTTGATGGTGGCTTCATCGTCCTTACTAGTATACCGCCTGCTCGGGCGTGCGCCCCGGCCCACCCGAGATCCCCAGAGGCTCTCCACCACAGTATCGCAAGCGTCCTGGGGTATATATTCTTCCGGCGTGTCTTCCGTGCCCCGCAGCCAGCGATGTCCGAGAGCGAACTGGACACACTGCAGGCGACGAAGTACCTCTCAGGTAAGCGCGCATACCAGCGATTCTCCCCGTTTTGTGTTGGCTGAATTGTCGGGTGCTTTGTAGGGGTCGCCCTGACGCTCCTCATGTATGATCATGTAATCCACATCGAGGATGAAGTCGCGCTTGTGTGGTGCCAACCGCCCACTCTTCTCTCGGTCTTTGTTATGGCGGAGATGTATGTCCGCGAGATCGGGCTTGCGTACATGGTTGCCGGTGAGAGTCTTCGCATGAGCGCGTCAAGCATCGACTCACAAGGCCTCAGTCGTTAGCGGTACAACGGACCAGACGCATTATGTGAGTAGTTTGTCACATTTCATGATCCGTGAAGTCTTACGTTGCGGCTGGTACAGTCGTGAGCTCATATTGCTGTGCTCTGGCATCCCCGATCGCTGGAATTTATGGCCTGGTAGATGTGTCGTATCAACATGGTTTGTTATCGTCTACAGTTTATTGAGCACTGGCTCTGTACATTGTGAGCTCCGACGCGCTCCCAGGCTCCGACGTGCTGAACATAGCTCACAGCGCTGCTTCTCTATCGAGTATTCAGACTATGGGACAACCGGACGATCGTACAGTATGTCATCATCGCCGGCTTCGTCCTGTCCTTTGCAGGCACGATCGCCTGCGCGATCAGTGCGGCTGATGCCCTCGCCCGTACGTTTCGACTAGACCTTGTCGTGCCACCGTCACTAAAACCGCGGGATGCATTTCAGGGGAGGTGCAGGTATCGCCGATAATACGTACATGTATATTCCCCTACAAGTCGTGGTTTGCCACGGCGTCTTGGGCGGTGGTGGTACGTGTTATGTGCGGCGACTGTCACTCTACCTTGCCTCATAAGCAAACGATGCTGACGACGTGGCATGACTAGATACTGTATGACTTGTTCGTCCTGGTTGTCGTGGTCGTGAACGCGTTCGGTAAACCACGGCGGAGTGATATGGACATTGTCAGAGACCTGTATACCGACGGATTCCTGATATTCCTGGTGCGCCTTTCTGATCACAGCATTCTCGCCCGAGTCCTAATCGCCGTTCTACAGGCCTTCCTGGGTGAGACTTCTTTCCTGCCGCAAGAGAGACTCGCTCATGAAATTCTTAGCACTCCGCGTATCGAGGTTGTTGCCGAGCGTTGTCGGCGGGGTACGTGGCTTCCCCTCTCAGAACAATGTAACATATCCGCTCAAACGACCAACAGGGAGACGACGTACTATTGACGCCGCTGTGCGTTCTCTCTTTCCATGTGCGCCAGCACGCTCGACTGAACTTCAGTGTAGTATCTCCTGGTCGTTGGAAGGTGCGCTGAATACACGGCTCTACTACAAAGTCAAGGAACTCGAGGTCCATCGCAAGCACTGGACGCCGTTTGTGCTGCCAGTGGGCGACACTCATGCACGGCAACGATCTGGGGTTCTCATCTACGAAGAAACCGAGATGGATGTACTCTGATGAAAAGTTGTGAGAGATTATCACTTGTCCCGTATCCTTATTGCAAACTTGTGTATTATTTATGACATGTAGCCACAAGCCCTTGACGTTCACGCGATACGGCATACGATATGTTCGTTCTGTGCTTTACTGTGATTTCGATGGAGTCCAGCGCCTGAAATACGGACGGCCTACCACACAGGTGTCGACGAAGACCAGCCAAGGACCAGCCAAGGACGTATCATTGGTCGGAATCATGCCTCACGGAAACTCACGCATCATGCATATCCTTTAGTGAACATGAGGGCGCAAATAATATTTTACCAGACAAATCTAGTTAGGGATAAAGGCTTGTCGGATACACGATACGCTCAGAGTTAAGATCCAGTGACAACGAAGAGGAACGGGTCAAGAGCAGGTCTTGTGGCGGCGGGCGCAGCGCGTAGCGTCACGTCCGTAACACTGTGTGACTTGTGCAGTGACTGTACGACCGATGTAGTAGAAGTTGCACGGGGGAGCTAAAACTAGGATATAAGTTCCATATCCCTCTTATAGTCTTGTAGCACGGCTCTCCCTGCTTGGATAATTCCGTCCCTCTCATGACAGTCGGATTTTGTCATATGTAGTTAAGTCACGGCGAGCACCTTGCATCACGTGAGCGGCATGTCGCGTTGAGCGCTTCGAAGCCGCGGCGCGCGTCGTCCTGCAGCTGCCGCGCCCAAGGCAACACCGTGTCTTACCTCGTCAGACTCACCTTCTGCCTACGATTTCTGGATTCTCCGAGTACAGACGGTTTATGCGACTCCATACTACGAGCAAATACCAATCGGACAACTGCAAATCTAATTACGCTCTGGTTCTCTATACTGGACAAGCTGACTGGGACCGTCACAAGCAACAACGACATCACCATGAATACGGGACTGTTCGGCAGGACCACCCGGAGAACCGGCGAATATGCTAGCAAAGGAGCAAGGATGGCTAGCTCGTCCCCCGCGACGCCGGAATGATACTAAGTCACGATTCGCAGGCCGTGTCGTTCGGTCAGGAATGTGTGCCTAGGCATATACTGACTCGCCGGGCCCTCGAGGCTTCACAACATCCATCGTGTCGCTAGCGGAACCTGCTCTACCGCCTCAAGTACCTAGACGCAAGAGAATCGCATCAGCATTGCAATTATACACAGTGAATGTCTACTTTGGCTAGGACGTCTCATAGCAATGGCTTCTGGGCACATATCACGTTGTTTTGTATCTCCGCATCCGGTGAACTCTGCCATTCGTTCTCCATCCTATCCACCATCACGTCGAAGTCGGCTTCCGAGCTGACATGTCCAAAACCTCCGCCCTTGAGGATGGAGCTCTTCACTCCTCGGAAGACGGCCATCCAGTTCTTCCGAGTCGGCAGGAAGCTTTCCACCGTGATACCCCAGCAGAATTACCGTCGGCTCGACGCTGATGCTCATGAACCCGGCCTGGCGGAGCAATTCTGGAATATGCGCGACACAGTCGAGGACGAGGCCTTTCGCTTTCGATGCAGTGTTCGTCATTGCGCTGAATTTCTCCGTCTCCGGACCTGCCCTCCAATATCCAATCTCCCTCAACTGCACCCAGCCGCCGGACTCGAGAACACGGTAGACTCCTGGAACGACTGCTCCCATTCCTCTTTGCGCAACGCCGCGATCATGGGGCGTTGGTTCACGAGCTTAAACTTGCCGCCCCAGTCAGACGGCATCGCAGTGCAGCTACCGACATGGAAGTGCACGTTTCCGCGTGAGACGACGGAAGGATCTTCTCTTGGGAAGAGTCCTGACTCGATGTCGACACCGTGGAGGACGGTACTCTCTGGTATGACCTTGCCATATACCTATCGCGCATCAGCCGCAGAAAACGGATAGATGGCGTGGACAAACACCGTGACACCAGAGCCCGTACCACTGTCTAGAATCTGGTCCTCTGGACCTATGGTTATGTCGGCCATGACGAGGCGATTCCCCAGAACTTGGATGAGCAAGTTATGCTGCAAAGCAAGTCTGTTGAACATTAGTAACCGGGCGTGGTGCTGGCAGTCTTGACGAGAATCCTCACCTTTCTCTCTCTTCCGTATCTGACGGTAGGACATAGCTACTGCCGGGATACGACTGATGATATCCTCTCCTTGTGTGGTATAGGATCCATAACGGCTTTGTTATCGAGCTGAGGAGCTGAGGCGTCTCGTGGTGCCATGCGGGAAGTCAATAATCCCACGAAAGGAGGTTTGCTGCTATGAAGGCATATATAGCCCTGGTAGAGGCTCGGTCGACAGCGCGATAAAAAGAACTTAGCTCACGTTTCAGGTTAAAATGAAGCACTTCTCAATGATCGATGTCTTCGTCGAGGCTGCTGAGCGGCGAATGAAAGACTAACTATGTTTGTCACATCATGATGGAACTTGAAGCTTGAAGGGCCAGCGACGCCCCACTGTGGGCCAATGCGATTTATCATGATAACACGACGTACATGTATTGAGGATGTGTTCTTCTCTTCATTCGCTCCGGGGGAGATAGTCGTCAAGTAGCTCTTGAGCACGCGGTGATCTCGGCTTGACATCGCAAACAATATGCTTCGGAGTCCTAACGGCGAGCTCCGTCAACGGCGTCAATGGTTGCAGAGTATCCGTCACTCACACTATGATCCCGCTCGTGTATTCTATGTCGGGTATGATCGGCTGTCCTTGTTCGTCGACCTTCGGTATGATGCTGCATGTCGCCAGGATTGTCGCAACAATCGCGAAAATCGAGCCCTCTGCGAATTGCGACCCAGGGCATGCCCGGCGGCCGAAGCCGAACAGGACATCGGTCACCTTGCGCATCTCACTATCACGATTTTCAAACCGCTCGGGTCTGAACTCATCCGGCTGGGGGAACAGCTCGGGGTCACGCAGCATGCGCCTGTTCACTATGTCAGCACCAGGACCGAGGGCATATGTCAAAATACAGTCTGGGACTGACCAGATATTGGGGATTACGATCGACGACTTGGGCAGTAGATAGTCCTTATATATGTTGTCCTGACGGAGCGCGTGAGGTAGACCTAGGCCGAATATGAGTGATGTCGCTACACACTCCGAGTACGCGTACCTTGAGGTGCAGCTGGATGCCAACGATATACTTCTGCTATGATGCTTCTCACATATGGCAGCGACGGTCTGTCAGCTATCGAGGGGAGTCGATCAGAGCCTACTACGGAATCGATCTCGGCCTGCGCTTTAGCTTGAATACGAGGGTGGCGCAACATGGCCAGTAGGAACGTGAAGATAGTGGACATGTTCTACAGCAAGCTGAAATGAGCTGCTGATAACGAGTCGCGCATTTATTTTCCATACATACCGTGTCTAGCCCTCCCCCGAGCCCGGACGTTGCAGCCCAGACGAGAGCGGTCTCCTCTTCATAATCCATTTTGCCTTCGAATTGACTGAGCGCGGACGCAACTAGAGACTTCTCTGCTGATCCTTCTTGCTATCACTTTAACGTCAGTGTGCATGCGCTAGGTAACATCACGGATAGAGACACACGACTCTCTGTTTGCACCACAAGTACGGAGCCCAACATGCCTCATGTTCTATCTGCCTGAAACGCTCTGCTGTGCGCAAGAAAGACGACCCAGGCATCCATTGTGGCAAGTAGCGCACTGCGTATGTCGATCTCAGACGGCAAGCTCACCCAAACAGCGACCAGAACACTTACGTTGGGGTATGAAGTCCACCATCCAAACGCCAGGTTCGCTTGCAAGGCTAAAGTTGTCCATCGTGGCGAACTGCATGGTGATCATCGGATCGTCTTCACCTGTGACTGTGTAGCCGTATGTCACGCGCATTATAATCGCTGAAATCCGTCTAGCGTCAGAGTCAGTACGCACTCTACACGCTCGCATCGCCCGCGTGGAGGTGCATGCACTTACGTCTTTGTCTGACTGATTATTGTCTCGGGGCTTCGCATTATCCCTTGGACGAGCCTACGTGCCTCGTGCTCTTGTACTGGGTGGTAGCCCGTTAGCATGCCTGGACTGAAGGCATGGGCCACGATCTTCCGTTGCTTGCGCCACTCCGCGTTATATGACAGCATTCCCAGCTCGACACCGAATCCGCAACTATCATATGAAGTTCGCAGTATCAGCATCGCACTACGAGGGTATGCAAAGAAAAGTTGCATACAGGTCGGCCATGGTCTGGCAGCTATGAGCTCGTATGAATCGCGTCATAAATTAATGACATTATACTTACCGAAGCTGGGCGATCAGAGTATATGGCAGAGCGTCCATCGAGAAGATCCTTGGCAGCCTGAACAGAATTGAGTATGACGATGTGGTCGCTGAGGGCCTCAAGGTGAACCACGTCCCCTTGAGACGTACGATCATCGACGAGCCAAGTTAGCATCGAGGTTAAAAGCCTAATACTATGGGCGTACCGTAGGTGTCCGCCCATGCCGAATACACGAGCCACGGGTGATCCTGAGGTAGCTGCAGTAGGTTACGTATGACGGGCCATCCGCGCGGACCGGGAGGGTACGGTTGTCTACGGCGCTTCGCAGAGAAAGCCTTGCCAGCGAGATATACGGTGACCGACAACATGCCTGTTATGAGAAGACCGTTGTGCAGGACGTGGATAGACACGATGCCCATGGCACAAGCGAGTCCGGCTGCCAGTAAGCTGAGCATCGTTGTATTCTGAGCTCAGTGAAATAATGACAGCTATGGGGTTGGGATAGCTGAGGCCGGTGAGTGCTACGGCTTTCTCGGGAGCGACAGAAACTTCGACAGTCCGAGAGTAAGTGCTTGCCTCTCCTCCGATCTTGTTAGTGATCGTCAGCTCTGTTCCGACCATGGCACCGGCGGTGGGCAGGCACACGACGTGTTCGTGCGGTCCGTGTGAATGCGGCGAAGCACTGTGGGCGAGCATCTAGCTCGAGTGATTTGGGGTTACGTCCGCGAGACGCCACTGGCAGAAGATAACCAGTAGCGAAGCTGGCACTTCATATTCGTCACTATTTGCAACACAAGTGTCAAGAATAAGGTACCTCTGGTACATGAGGTAGCATCCTGGAATTCGCGGCGTCACTGTGTGGTTGATCTCCCGTAGGCAGCGCATTGAGACGACCTAAGTTTGTGCTGGAGGAGGGAGACCGGGGTGCGTGTCAGTGCCGATAGGAGTCATGGACACGGGGTCGAACCACATGGTGGTCGGGGTCCTCATACTTTGTAGGTGCACGTTTGCACGCCTTCCCCAATTGCTCCTCCCACGAAACATAACTCATGATCAAAGGGTCGTACAGTCGTTGACAGTCGGCTTTTTCTCTGTAGTCACGTCCTTCAGTATGGGTGGCCCCCTAACTGAACGTCCGCGAATTTACCGCAGTGCGAGTGGAACACGACGAACACGCACTGCATGATCATTGCGCCGCCGGGTGATACGCTGGCACATCGCTATGATAGAAGCCATCGGCGACGTACTCAGTGACACACAGGCCGCTGCATCGGACTCAAAAATGATTCGCTGGCGAATGTTTCCGATGTCCCACGCGGAGCTCAGTACCGGTACGTTTCCATTAAGAACCTACATAAATGGAGCCACAACGAGGCCTGATATACGCCTTGTCTCTTGTCGCACAGCGTTATCGGTACTGGCAAAGCCGAGTGCTAAAGCCTTACGCAGTAGGTATACTCTACTGCGCTTGTCGTTGTACATCTCATTAATCTATGGTTTGCGTACTCAGGCAATGTACAATAGCTCGTGGGCACCGAATGAAACGGCTCATGAGCTTTTCGAGGAGGAAGCGTGGCTCCAAGGCGCACTGCTCAGTAATATTGCGTTTGGAGTCGAGCTCACTCTATTCGTTATGTGCTTTCACCTCCTTCTCAAGCAGATGACACCCCATAATGCGAGACGACACATAAGCCTGCTGGTCTATATTTCCGTAATCTTCTCTCTCGGCACACTCTTCGTTGGCGGAAACACCAAATTTACTCAACAAGCGTTCGTCGAGTATCGGAACATCCCCGGAGGACCCTCCGCGTTCGAAGAGGTTTTGTACAGTGATCCAGTAGATCAGGTTGCAAATATCACATGGTGTGTGAGCAACTGGCTCTTGGACACGTTCCTGGTACATGCTTGTCTACTCTTCGCTGTAGGCATCATATATCAATCACCTCACGACTCACAGGTATGGAGGTTCGTCATTATCTACAAGGATGTGAGCAGACACTGGATATTGCTCCTCGTGGCACTGCCTTGCCTGATGTTGCTCGCCTCGATAGGTTCGTGTATTGATCTACAGGGCTTGTTCCTTCAAAGTTCAACTTTCAATCATTTCTGATGTGACACTGCAGGCACAGGACTCGTTGTCATAACCAAGATATCGTCCTCCTCACTGTTCGCGGTCGTCAATATCAGTATTGCATACTACGTTATGTCGATCTCGCTCAACATCCTCGTCACAATCCTCATCGCAAGTCGACTCCTTGTTTGGCGCTACCGGATGAAGAGACACATGGGTTCACATCATACAGCAATGTACACCAACGTCATCGCCATTGTCATTGAATCCGCCGCACTCTACTCCATCTTCGCTATCCTGTTCATAATCTCCTTCGGCGTCGGTAGCCCGGTTGGAGATTTGTTTCTACAGGTAGTCAATCAGATTCAGGTACGAACGATGCAACTCAATGTCCGTGGATTCAGTGAGCACTATGCTTACAGTTATTGCAGACCGTTTCTTCGTTTCTGATCATATATCGGGTCGCGACTGGGAGAGCGTGGTCGGATGACACAAGCACAAGTATCCCGACATGCTCTACGTCTCCTAATGACGTTCCCCTCTCGCCGGTCAGATTCCGCGTAAATCCGTCTTCAACAGTAGTGGAATCAATTACGACAAAGGATGCTCATGGCGGCCAAGGAGGTGTAACGGAACATACGACCTGCGATGATCATGTATAGCCTTCACGACGCTACAGGACGAGACTTCATGATTATGGTTAGACCTCGAATTTGACATGGTCAGACAGAACTTCGATCGTGGCCCCCGACACCAAACAGACGTATCCTTCGCGTATTCTGTGTGCCACCGCCTGTTGCTTCGGTCGGCCGTGTGTCGGAATTCTTCATCGGGTATGATCATTGATGCCCACTCACGATATGATTGATTCGATAGTAGATAAGATTTTGGTATATAAAGCGTACCGTAGCTCTCATGTATGGTACGAGCTTGGACCGCAATACCCCACCGGTATTTCCCTTTCTACGCGGTTAACATCCCCCCAGCCGCGTCGCTCAACAGATCGCACGTTCATTTCGACACCGTGGCCAATGGTAGCTGAGGTAGCCCAGTCGCCGTTCGCCAAAAGCCTACGTCGAGTGTCAGATCATAGAACGAGAAAAAGAGGTCGTTCGCGGTATTCGATGGGCAGCAATCGAATTCTACACAGGTTCACGAGTGATTTCACGACATAACATCTGCAGTTGTAAACGCACGAGTCGTTCTCCGTACCCGTGATGATGGAGCCTGGTCTCGAGAGCAGATGACGCCCAAGACCCCTGAGATGTTGCAGTCCGCAGAGCCTCGGGTATCACGCTGTGCGAGTATATATATACCTGAGGACAGTGATCAGCATCGAGCGAAGTGCACGATCAACTTCAAAGTGTGCACTTCAACCAAACACTCGCTAGTTCGAGCTGCAAGGAGAAGTCTGCGTATGATCAGCACTGAGCATTCCCTGTGGCGCGGAATGCGTAAGCTCTTAAGTACTCACAGAATCTGGTGTTTGGTCCCATGAACGACACGACATCTTCCAGGGACAGGGAAATCCAATCTCTCCTGTCTTCTATACTCGCCGTTGGACTGCGCGGCCGCAAGGTACCGTAAGACCGTTGTACATATACGTTCACAGTCTGAGATAAGGCTCCGGAGAGATCTCGGCGCATCGGACACCAATGAAGGTATGGTACAGGTCAACACGCGCTGGACTTCCATGAAGGGTCGGTGCTCTTTGGTCGCAGCCTCCACACAGCACTTCCGCCATCCAGTGTCAGCGGATTATGACACGTCACGAAGGTTGCAACAAGCAGTAACGGCCGCGTAGAAAGCCTGGGATCGGCGGCCACTGGCACCAGTCGCTCTGAAACACGGTGCACAACGTAGATTGCAAGGGCGCACCGCACCTGCCGAGTAGGGCTAGCGCAGTACTGGAACCTGATTGCACGACTGACTGCAAGCACTCACCCGTTATCCGTATCCACGAACCTAGCCTTGAGGTCCTGGGAAGGCTCTAGAGCCAAGTACCTCTCCACCCTTCAACCGATGTCGTCCCAAGATAGGCTGCGCGCAAGCTATGAGTATATAGCGGTGCATGCTGCATCAATTCCTGACCGAATCCATCAAGCGAATCCGTCACCTATGAACAGAAGATATTTGCTAGATGAGCGTCATGTCCAGTGAGAAGTCCCTGCAGAGCTGAGGCCTGAGGGTCGTGGCACTTACTTATGCGTTATGCACGTCGATAGAGAGAGGGACGAGGCCTGATTGTCGGCGTCATCAGACGTCCGAGTCAGTGGACGGCAGGACATCAATTCACCGCGCTCGTTTGAGGACGTCCGAGATGGCGAAGAGGATGCTGTATACCATGAATCCGCCTCCAATGACTCACTTCTCAGCCTAATGCGTGTATGTAGATGGCGCGGCAATGGCGACGAAAGGGGAACTTGAAGGTTGCATTGCGACTCGGAGGAGTGGATACGCTACTGCGTTACCGTCACGGTCTGGTCACGGTCACAAATCAACATGGCCGCAGCGACGGCGCGTCCAGACTCCTTCCCATCCTCACCGCACGTGAACCGCTCGGCCCGGGACTTCCGAACAAGGGCTCACTGCTTGCGGTGAGGACTGGCACAATTGTCCCTTATGTCAGCAAGAAGCACTCGGCTGCTCGCGTGGGCCGAGCGGCCGACATCTCATCGTCAGATCGTTGTGGCGTGCCGGTGGCGGCGCATCTCTGACTGAACTTGTTGTGCCAGTGCGCGCATCCTCGAGTCCAACTTGAACTTCGCCGTTTACGTTACGCAAACAAGGCCGCTGGGTATGTCCGAGTTGCGGGGTTGTTATCATGCCTACACCGCACTGACTGTGAGCAAATTGTCTATCTACGAACCAAACGTCAAGTACTATCATGTCGACGTCAAGCGTCCTCGGTCGCGATGTCGATCTCCCAGCTCGACATCGTCTACAACACACTGTCCATCTCGCCGAGCAAGTCGCGCGATGTGCTCTCGATCCTCACCATGGTCCGGGACGTCTCTGACTGGTGGCTCTAGGCCCACGTCGTCATCATGTACGTTGTCACAGGTAGTACTGTGATTGTATTCGTCTGACACCACTTGCGTGAAGTCGTGTTTCAGTGGCGGGACTGGTTTCGCTCGCCGGGCGGCCGGAGTACGTGTGTTCGTTCTACGGCGGCACCGCATGCTCGTGGTCCCAAAGGTCCCGAGGAAGCTGCAGTCAGACGAGGGCATCCACGCGATCTTCCTGACCGCCCAAGTGCTGTACCCGACCACGCCCGGCAACCACACCAAGCGCAGGGTGGGCCAGCTGCCTCAGCTGATCGACTCGGAGTAGCTTAACAACTTGAACACCGTGAGCGAGCTTGAGGTGGTGCTCGTCAAGTTGTTCTGTTGGTGGCTCGTTCATCGAAGTTGGCGCGTTTCTTGATGCTGCGGCGTGTCAACACAGACGTGACTGTGTTCGCCGATGTCTCATTGACCTCCTTGTACTTGCCGCAGCCTGGGCAGTGTGTCGCTGTGCTGTCCCGGCCCGGGGCGGCATTTGATTTCATCATCTTCCCATCAGGCAAACTTGAAGGTGAGCATCCCGAGTAAGCAATCAAAAACTTACACGTCCGCCCAGACAGATCCGCCAGAGGACGTGATCGCCTACGCGAGTCGCGACAATGTCGTCGATCAGCTCGTAGTATATTTTGAATTATCAGTAGATACTCACATCTTCGCACTGCCCCCTGTGTGCTGTGAGCAATGGTCAAATGAGGTGTCATACGAAACATCGCACCGGTATCATAGCTAGCTCAGTGCAGCATCAGGTTGAGTAACAAAAACTTACGGGCTTAGGAGTCTCTTGTCAACGTTGCAGAACCCCGCCGGTCAGCGGTCTCAGTCTGTGCAAGTCGGTTCAACCGTTCAAGCCCCTCGAGTAAGAGTGGCAGTGAGCGCACCAGATCAAAATCCCTCTGAGTTCGAAACTGCACGTTGCGTCGCTCCTGCATCGCGTCGTCGCGTCGGTGAAGGGGGACCCGAGGATGCGCGCACTGGCACAACAAGTTCAGTCAGAGATGCGCCGCCACCGGCACGCCACAACGATCTGACGATGAGATGTCGGCCGCTCGGCCCACGCGAGCAGCCGAGTGCTTCTTGCTGACATAAGGGACAATTGTGCCAGTCCTCACCGCAAGCAGTGAGCCCTTGTTCGGAAGTCCCGGGCCGAGCGGTTCACGTGCGGTGAGGATGGGAAGGAGTCTGCGGCGCGTCCCATGGCGTCCCTCCTTCGACTCGGAGTCGTCTCTTTTCCTTGTCTCCGAGACTTATTGACTCCTCCTCCTTCGACAGGACCCTGTCATGCATCTGCGATATGTTCTCAGCAACCGAAGCTTGTTCATCTAAGTCGCTCTCACCATGCCCATGAATGTACTAGATACTGGTGTCGTGGAGACTCAAATTTGTGGACTCGGGTGCTACTGAGCCTCAGGCTTTTCGGCCGCACATCTTGTGTTGGGAGACCGTGTGTTGAGAGTCCTGAATCAAATGTATGTCAGACGTCCATGGCCCGTGCGCAGGCGTGTGCGGCGGTAAGATCCAGATGTCGTTCAATCGGTGACTCATGCTCACGAGTGCTACTTACTTCAGATTGCGATGGACTTCTCAGCGCCCGCGCTTCTCGTTTGTATTTGCCTATGGGTATGTCTGGAACTTCCTATCTCACGGTACGAATCACTTAGCATTCCCATTATCACAAACATCGACGTTCCGACGCCTCGGGCCGCTCCGATGCGGCACCGCTCAAAAGGATGGCTATCGAGCAACGTTTCCATCTGCAAAGCTTGATACGAGCGGCCCATGGCACAGCCAAGCACCCCTCCGCAAACCCTTGCAACGTGGTCCACGTTTGCAAAGCTATCGTACGCAAGCAGGAAGCCTCCTGTCACTGGAACATTCTCTGTGGACAGGCTCGAAGAGGCTGCACGGAGTAAGCTTCAGGATTCAACAGGTTTGCTGCTGCGCTACTATCCCTTACACAATCACTGAATAACGCAATCACACAAATAGATGCGTTCATGTACATATTCGGCAGTGCAGGGACGGGGTCCACCGCAGAGGCCAATAGGGCGGCATTCAGGAAGTGGACCATCATACCCCGCGTGCTGCGGGATATCTCACAACGCAACATCGAGGTGAGACCCATTCCCGATCCGCATACTAACCCGGATGCTGAGAGATGTTTGACAGACAACGTTGTTTGGTCATACGTACCCATCGCCGCTTCTGCTAGCCCCTATAGGAGCTCAGGGCATCGTCCATCCAGAGGGTGAGCTAGCAACAGCTGCGGCTGCGGGCGCCCTTGGTGTTCCATACATCATGAGCTCTGCATCGACGCGCTCAATAGAAGCCATAGCTAAGGCTAACGGTGGGGGCCCGCGATGGCTGCAACTTTACTGGTACGTACGGTGCGTTCTTTGCGAACCATGCTGACAGTGCGGTAGGGCCAAGAATGATGAGCTCGTTCTGTCTCTGCTCTCCCGTGCGAAGGCGTCCGGCTTCACCGCTCTCGTGGTAACCGTGGACACCCCTTTTATCGGTTGGCGTCCATTCGACCTCGATACGGCTTATCTCCCCTTTGCGCATGGCGTCGGTGCGCAAGTTGGACTGACGGATCCCGTTTTCATGGCATCCGCTGGATTGGAGCCGTTTCCGGAGGACGAACATCCAGACTACCCCTATGTTGCGGCACATCAGGATGAATTGATCAAGAACAACGATACAAAAGCTACGGTGCAGACACGGGCAGGCCAGAGGTTCGTTGGAGAGATGCTCGATCCCACGAAAGTCTGGGATGATCTTGCGCGGCTAAAGGAACATTGGGACGGCCCATTGATATTGAAGGGCATTCTTTCCACGATGGTATTGTGATTCATACGCACGGCGTAGTTACGTATTTGGCTCACGAGTGCTGTAGGACGCGGAGTTGGCGCTGAAGCACGGTGTCGATGGAATCATAATCTCCAATCACGGTGCGTGCCAAACACCTAACATCGCAAAGCGACGCCGCTTGACGACCCCATAGGTGGCCGACAGATTGATGGCTCCATCTCGTCCCTCGACGCATTGCACAGCATCATGAAGAGCAGGAACATAAAGGAGGCACAGGCCCGCGGAGACTTCACAGTCCTCATGGACTCCGGTATTCGTACCGGTAGCGACATGCTTAAGGCGCTCGCACTCGGTGCCCAAGGTGTCTGTTGTAAGTGTCTCATCCCCTTGTACAGCAGCTATCATTGTTCATTCCGTGTACTACAGACGGGCGCCCTTACATGTATGCTCTGGCATTGGCTGGCAGAGCGGGAGTCGATAGCCAGATCAGGGCGATGCTGGCTGACTTTGAGATTACGCTCGGCCTGGCGGGGATCAGTACCATCGACCAGTTGCGCTTGTACGCTGACGATCTTGTTCACAGGGATTGAACGTTAACGACTTGAGCATGTGCATCGGAACATGCTATTGGAGTGGCCTATTGCTGAAACCGTATCATGGCCGTGACTATGCGGTATGACATGTACGATTAACACATGGCGAGACAACGCTGGACATATGGAAGCTCTTGGGAAGCTCTGCAACGGTTCCTCATTCAGTCATGATTCCTATACCTCTTTATTTCCGCATGCTCTTCAATGGGAAAAATGTGGTTCTTTGGCGCGACAAGGCTTCTTCTACTAGCAGTTCATTGATGATCACGCATACAGCGGCGTCGGCGCTGATCTGGGTGTTACTACGCCGTCACATCATCATGTTATGTGAGTGCTTCGTTCCGAGTGAAGACAACACTCATCGAAGAAGAGGATCCCTCGTCACAGCACAGGAAATTCATACCACGCTGCTGATCTTACGAAGAATTTCAGAAGTCCCCAGCGTGAAACGATCAGAGAGCCATGTCTTCTATCATGGTTAGTCTATAAGGTGGTGCACACGCGCAAGATCGCTGACTTACAGTATCAAAGACCTACACCCTGTTCATTCGACTAGCGCAGACCTCGCCATGCCGCCTAGTAACACGACTTTGCCAAACCCTATGACGAACCTGGCATACTTGGCACCATCCGTGGCCGTCGAGATAGAGGTTATTCGATGTGTTTTACTCATCTCAACTGGGGTGCGTTGCTTCTTCGTAGTCCTATAAGTTACCTCACTGCAATACCCTTACAGGCGACAATATGGGACGTGCTATCGAGCTTTACCGAAGAAGTACAGCTTCTCTTTGGAGGGAAGTTGCGACTACCTATGGTCGTTTACTGGATCTCAAGGTGACTACGATGTCGCCGTGTGACGTTACGGTATACAGATTCAACTTGATCACAGGCTTTCCTCTGTGGCATTCGTTTTCGTCAGCACGGTGTACAAAGGTCCGTTCTTCACATACGTCTAGGATGAACAAAGGCCAATACATGATTGCATTCTGAACAGTTACGCCCGTAGGCCACTGCAACGAATTCGAGAAGACAGTTGCTGGCCTGATGACCATCGCCGTTTCAACCACATCGCTCTTATTCTTCTTTCGAATACGGGCTGTATTCCATGACAGCAAGATCGTTGTGGGCTTCTATTTCATCCTCTGGCTTAGTGTGGTCGGAGGAACATTTCCTCTCCCCTTTGGCGCGACTGGCGGATCGATTGGCCCAACGTCGTATTGCTTGGACACGGGTCTGAAACCATACGCTTCTGCCTCGGTTATAATCCCCCTCATCCACGACACGCTGGTGTTTCTGGCAATGTCCTACAGACTGCTCTGCAACACTCGCAGAGAGGTAACACTCCGCGGCCGTCTGGGATCCTTATGGTCCCGGGACCATCTTCCCAGATTCTCGGCGACGCTTTTGAAGGGTTCCCAGCATTACTACCTGTAGGTCGCCGTGTATCACGCAGTATCGATACGTTCTGACAATCACTGTAGAGTCGCCGTCTGCAGCAATCTCACCCTGCTCATCATGTTGTACAGCAAACCTCTTCCCGTTGTCATGCGTACCGTGTGGTCGATCCCGAATGTCTTCCTGACCAACAGCATGGCCTGTCGTATTTTCCGTAACGCTAGGGCAGCCGTCAATAAGGGTCCCCGCGGCATTTTCCTTAACACCGCAGGCGCAGATGATGTCAATACGATTCCTTTGTCATTTGTGCGCCGACGCTCCGATTCGAACATTGATACAACCAGCTCCATCATGGACAATTCAGCCGCGAAGGTAGCTTCAAGCATTGTAGGTCACGACGACTCAGCTGTCGAGAAGGGTGATCGACCTGCATCACGCTAGGAGTGTTAGGTACGGCGCACAGTGCCAAATGCCGACTCGCCATGTTCTCTAACCCTACATCGGTCGTAACCTACTCACATGTCAAGAACGCGTGCTTGCTGGAACGTAATCGAAACAAGGGAAAACATCGAACGGAAGAGGCGTACTATGGGCGCGGATATGTGTCACACAATTGCCACCCCGACCCATCGTTCCAGACTCTGATGTCCAACCCTCAGTATGCGCACGATGTGTACAATGAACGACCGCCAGAAAACGGGTCATTTCAGAGTTGAAACTCCTCAATGATCCACTGGCACTCGTGCAGTCATGCTTCAATTCATGTCGATACGCACGGCCCTCATATGTGCACTTATGCTCGATGGTGCATCCGATACAAATGGTAAGACATCTGGCTCAACTCACGACGGTACGCGAACACGTCGACGTCGCCGTCGAGCCTTCGCCGTGGCCGTGCCGAGTGGATTCTACAGAGACCGAGGGAGCACGGCGCCAACTCCGTCAGTCTTGCTCAAAGAACAAGGTGGGTACATATTCCGATGTATAAACACAGGCCTTCTAATCCAGATCCGCCACGTCAAAGTCTGGATGCAGGGAATGCCCCTCTGCTTCAATTTTGGGGCCAAGCGAAGGTGAGTGTTCAGAGTTCCGTGCAGCCGTGCCTGTACTTACATTCGTCTCTTCCTGTATCCGATCATAGGTCTGGAGGCCCTCAACCCAGCTCTCCCAGGTCTCGCTGCTCACGATCGGCGCCGTGATCGATGCCTCCACCCCGAAGCTGTCCACGTACTCGCGGATATGAGGCAAGGCAGAATGCACCGCATGGTCTTCCTTCAACATGAACACGCTTTCCGGGAGACCACCATGCTCGGAGTACCAGCTGGGGTCCTGCTTGATGGCGGCACACTCGAAGAGCTCGAGCATTGGCTCTGGTACGCCAGCGTCACGCGCACATCCATACGCATACGCGCAGCCCAGGGCAAGGACACCGCGTTGGCATTGAGGGAGCACGAGATTGTTGAACTGCTCGTCACGGTGGCCCTCGGTGAAACTTCCAAGCAGATCTGCGCAGCGGCTGTAAACAGCGTCGCTGTGACGAGCTAGAAGGCTATCTCCGTGCTTCGGCGGCGGCAGTGCGTACTTGTTCCGCAGAAGCTGTGAATACAGGCTAATGCTGAGAACCGTCAGGTCCCCTTCGGCGACGATGAAGCCGCGCATGTCCATCTCGTGTGCCTCTCAGCTCGGCGCGCTACTAGGTAAATCATACATGATGGCCTCACCTCTATCTTGCTGATAATGTTGTGCCCGAAGGTGCCCTGGGCTCCGAGACGCTCGCCGACTTCGCGGTAGTACTGCGTCGCGAGCCGGCACATCGTCGTCTTGTACACGATCGCTAGGCCTCTCCGGATCGGCGTGGCGAAGTCTGCGGACGTGAACTGCTGCAGGACGGCAGGTGTCCACGCGTCGAGCACATGCGCAATAGCGGTCGTGTACAGCAAGGGTAGCTGCTGGGTGCGGAAGGACATGATGGGAACGTCGCTCGGCCCAGTCCCACGCACGCACCGCCGCAAGGAGTACAGCACGCCGAGATAAGCCGTCATCTTCATGCCCGTCAACGCGACCAGGGACATAGACACCTGGCCAACGATGGTGCGCCATATGTAGCCCTGGAGCAGGCTGTGGTGGTCGCGCGGCACGTCAAGACTGGCACCGAGGAAGGCGGACGGGGGCAGGTGGACGTGGTGGAAGGAGGTTATGGCGTAGTCGAGGGGCGACGTGCCGCTGCGGGGCGGAAGCAGCTGCGAGACTATGCCGGGGCACATGCCGTGTGCATCGGAAGTGTGGACGAGGAACGGGTGGATGCCGTGGTCAGCGTTGTCGACTATCAGGCGGGCGAAGACGACAGCGATCTTGGGGCACAGCGGCGTCGTCGGTGGCATAAACCTAGCTCGCGGAGCATCTGGTCAGTTGCGCATACACACCCCGGGCGGACGGCACTGACTTGGCTGCGGCAGGGTGGGGCGTGTTGAGCACGAAGCCATCTGCGACCTTGGTCGCTGTCGTCTCGATGTTGAGGATATCGAGGCCGTGACCGACCTCTGTGAGGAGGAAGTTCCCGATGATGTCGCCGGCCAGAGCCCGTTCCACGAGTGGCGTCAAGTCTTTTCTGCGACGGACTAGCGGCGCAATGGTGCCGAGGAAGAGGTTGTAGTGGCATGCGAGGACATTGGCGCAGCCGACCCATCGAGGACGAGGTCGGGGTCCTTGTGCATGTCCCAGAACCTTTGGGAGTACGTTTCGACGTCTTCGAGGCTCAACCCTGTACACAGCGCTCAGCCAGGTCGATCGCGGATAGGATACATCGCAGAACGTACTCCATGTCTTGATGGCCTCTAGCGTTCTCTTGTACACCATACCCACCGACTGAAGCCAGTTCACAGTTACCTTCAAGTTCTTTTTCACGCTCTGACACGAGTGAGTTTTCGGCAGTACTGAGACTGTACCTCATGCAGATACTGCATCTAGGAGGTTCTCTTGAACTGACGGTCACCATGGGTTCTCCGCTTCTGATGATATGGAAACCGAAAGTGAGCAGCCTCGTTGTCTGTCACAGACGTGACAGATCGTGATCCCAGATCTGTGATCGAAGCCTTCCATATCGGGTAACCGATTTTGCGCGTACGAGATGCGATGCAGGCTAGCCCTCTTTCCGCCCGTCTACCTTGCAGATCTTGATATTGAAGCTTGTTCGTGTGCTCGGTCGTACTGTAGACCTTCAGAAGTGCTGCTGGCTGCCAAAAAATGCGATTACAGCATATTTTAGAATAGGCGCCCGCGCAGCCCGCCGCGCAGGCGCTTAAGTACTGCTCTCCAACGCTCGCGTCCTACGCAGGTGCATGTCCGCCCGAAGTCAAGTCCCTGTAACTTAAGTAGCGACTAGTGACTCGCAAGACGATACTAATCCCGGATGCGCCAGGTAAGGATTATATATTGTCAGTATTCATTGACGGCTCGTCGTCACTGGCACCTGCGTGTCACGCAGAGCCTGAGATGATGCGGCGCCGCGCGGCAAAGCCGGCGGGTCAGTAGTAGTACTACTGCACCCACGAAGAGCAAGTACAGCAGACCATCTCGAGCTCGAACAGCATGCAGCTTCTGTCGGACCCTTATGCGCCGCTCGCGTCTCGCCCAGTAGATATCTTCGTCTCGCACGGTGCACCTTCTCCGACTTGCTCGCTGTGATTTCTCGCGCGCCGCTACGTCTGACCTCACCACTTGCAGGTCCGAACTGGCCACTTGTGCTGCACGTGGTCTCCTGTTTGGCAGGTACCAGTATCACTGGCATGGGCTTGTAAATGGCTAGCATATCTATACAAAGGTGAGTTGATTTGTACTAGACTCCGGGTGAGTGCGCGACGTGGCTGCAGGTTTGACCGGGAGTCTGCCCCTTCAACTCAGCCTCAAAATGCATATTCTTGTGAGCGTGCTTTATCGCCCCCACTGCCGCCACGGCGCCACATCAGGAAATAACCCACCTGAGAATTACCGTAAACACTGCAGAATCATCAAGCTTTCGCGGTAATATTGAGATTTACCTCGTATCTCATAATACGCAGAAATAGCCATGTCCGGCCTCGTCGAGTCAGAATTACGAGGTAGTCTCTGCGTTTCTCAGGCAGTAGCTGGACATTACTTGGTGTTTCCGAGCATGATATCAGTACTATTCAGCCCTCCATTTTCTGTATTCACAGAATAGATCCATATGCACAGAGATCACGGGTAAGATAATGACATTGACGATTATGTACAGTATCTACAGTAATAGGTATATACATGCTGCATATCTTCCAACCATGACCCTCACAAATACCACGTCCACACGCCGCAAAGCCCTCACTATATGAGCTCTTCGTTGGCGTCGTGACCATGCAGCCCTCGTTCTGGTTCGTGGCCGTCGAGCAGTCAGTCGAGTCAATGAGCGTGCTCATCTGGAGCACGTTCGCCAAGTGCATACGCCCGTCGCCCGTGCGCAGTGCCATCCGGTCCATCGTCACCTGGTTCACACCCTCGAACGTGTCGATCTGCCCGCCCCGCATCAGTACTCATGCACACGTGTCGCAGATACGAGATGGTCAGCGCACCTCTCCGCCGCTCGGCCAGTTCACCGGCGTGGATGACCAGCAATTGCCGCCAAAGCCAAGGGCCTTGACGGGACATACCTGTGTTCGACCACAATGAGCTCGCCGCCATCCGTTGTTACCTGAACACTCCGCGCTGGCGACCAGTCCCTGTAGTCCCTAGATAGAACCACCTGTCAGCCACCTGCGAACACTGCTGTGGTCCCGCGCGAAGCACTCACCTGGGCCCTTCGGCAAGTGTCCAGGATAGTCAATAAGTATGTCTGATCTTACGTCTGATCTTACGACACCTTCGTATGGGTTGCAAAACCACGTCGGCACCGACGAAGTTGAGCTCGTGTTGTCGTCCCTCGGTGCCGACCCCGCGGTCATCCCTGGTGTGGCCAGGCCAGTCTGATACGACCGTCGCCTGACGCTCCCCGACGCACCCGGCCTGCTGAACGCCGCGGCCATCGCGCTCCCCGGCAGGGCGTACATGGACACACTGGCGGCGGAGGGCACGACCTCGAACGGGACGACGATGATAGAGGGCGTGCTGATCTGGCGGGTGAGCCTTGACGTGAACGCGATGGACTCAGAGTCGGAGTCCGTGCGGAACTGCCGGTTGCGCGCGCAGTAGAGGAGGAAGATCGCGAGCACGAGCAGGAGGAGGACCGCCGCAGCGGAGGAGACAGCGGTGATGACGATGGTGCAGGTGGAGAGACCCGAGCGGGAGAGCGAGCCTGCGGAGGCGGTGCCGGTGGACAAGGATGAAGACGAGGCAGAGGAGCTTGTGCTGGTAGTGGAGGTCGAGACAATGGAAGATGTCGATTGCGAGAGGATGGTGCTCTGAGCGAGGAGGAGGTTGCGCAGTAAGTGCGAAATGTGAGTGGGAAGGTTCAAAGCATGACGTGGCGCCCAGTCGCCGGATCCCTGGCAAAGAGTCATGTGACACAGCAACCCGCTGGCACGCAACTCAAGTCCCCGGCTCAGTAGCCTCTTTGCACCTCGACGTCGCCCCTCCGCCCACAACTTTCATCCGACGAATAACACACCCAGCCAAAATGGACACGGATGAATATAGGGGACGCCTCCGCGTGGCTGTACAACGACACCGTCGACAGGGAAGGTGCGTCTGCTCCGCCCGTGATAAGGATGGCGTGGCTGATCACTGGCACGATACACGCTTGCGCCCTAGCCCTACAGGTGAACACGCTGCAAGCGAACCACCTCCTCTCGCCCTCGCTCCCCCTTGCAGAGCGCATCGGGTGCGGGCTCATCCCGCTGGAAACGAAAACTGGTATGTACGCCCCCTCCCGCGCTCCCCTCAGTCACGCACCGGACGGACAGTGGTCGAGTTGGGCGCAGGGTGTGCATTGCTATTGCTCCTCACGTCCACCCTCGCCCGCCCGCCTTCCCTCGTCGTGCTCACGGGCTATCCCGACGCGCCGATCCTCGCCAACCTGCAGAACCTCGCGCGGAACGCGTCCCGCTTCTCACGGGGGTGCACCGTGCACAGCCGCGGGCATGAATGGGGCAAGGATCCCCGTCCACTCCTGTACGTCGACCCCACATTGGTGCCCCGGCGCGACTGACAGTGACAGGAAACTTTGAGATTTGGATCGTGGACGCGCCCACGGACTGGCAGATCCAACGCTCACACTCGCCTCCCTTGTATGTTACCTACGCGCCACCGACTCAACACAATTCAACCATATGCAAGCCCCCTCATTTCGAACCTTGGGCTACATGCGGGCGCGGTCAGCCGGGCTTATTCGCCTTGTGAGCGGACGCATAATTCGCAAGGCAACTCGGACACGCACCTCACAGCAAACGTGGATGCGTACGTGCTCTCTCTGTGCTAGTGACGGGCTCGGTGGTGGAGGTGGGTGAGTTGACTCGGATCATGTAGGCTACTTTTAGATAGACAGCCAAGAGATGTGCGCAATGTACAGTAGCTTATCGACGCAATCAATATATCTACTATTCAAACTTCACATGGTGGTGCCCAATACATGCATGCTACCCATGTATTAGTACTGACTCACGGCAGTGAATGGCGCCATTCCACGCTTTCGGCGAAATATCACTTGTCCACACTTGCACTGGTATTGGAACAGATTTACTTAAAAATTACTGACTCGTTCTCACGAGGTGTACACTGTGCCGAGAATTCTTGATACTAGTCTCGGAATGACGGGTGATTACTGACCTTCTGAGTATTCCCGAGAATATCGACCATTGCCCGGGAGTTCTCAGGGGGGTATTTTCCTGATGCATCCCCATCTCCTAGTCTCACATATAGTAGTACATGCCAGTAGGCTCAATTCAGATTAGTTATCTTGCACGGACATCATATGGTACTATACTGAACTGCAATCTATGATTAAATTCATGCCTGAAAGTAAGTACTGCTGACCATGACGGACCCTAGTACGGCATTTGTATCGACTCGGCCCGGAGAAGGTTGAAGTTGCTGCTGTTCTTGGGACTGTAGTAATTCATACTAGTAGTAACCGATCGGGAGGTACTACTAGACGTTATGTTATCCATTGGCCTTCGGACCCGTGTCCATCAAAAGACGGTCAGACAACAAATCCGTCCAACACTATACTATGAGTTGCCACGGTGCAACACGAGCAGTGGACTCGGCTCGCTCGAACAAGCGCCTGCGCGGCGGGCTGCGCGGGCGCCTATTCTAAAATATGCTGTAATCGCATTTTTTGGCAGCCAGCAACACTTCTGAAGATTTACAGTACGACCGAGCACACGAACAAGCTTCAATGTCAAGATCTGCAAGGTAGACGGGCGGAAAGAGGGCTGGCCTGCATCGCATCTCGTACGCGCAAAATCGGTTACCCGATATGGAAGGCTTCGATCACAGATCTGGGATCACGATCTGTCACGTCTGTGACAGACAACGAGGCTGCTCACTTTCGGTTTCCATAGATGATGTGTGCTGGGAGCCTGTTCTTGCGCTTGGGAGTCAGGTTGGCGGTGTAGGCCGTCCTACGCAAGGCCGCCTGGGCGCTTACTAGGCGAACTTCCCTGCGCTCAACGCGGCGCTACTTCCCTAGACTGCCCTAGGCTGCGAGATGCCCGCTGCCTCGACTGTCACTTCTAGATGACATGTAAGTAAATGTTCTTCATGAATCTGATGGCGACCAACGTGCATTCGTAGTGTTTGCAGCATGTGTACACCGGAGCGTGAGGTGACAGGCTGTCCGTGCACGTGAGTACTGATGACTGACTCTTCCTCACAATCGTGTCTTCATCATGGGACCGACAATCGATCAGGTATGCTTCGGACGTGATGATTGTGGCATGGCTCGTATATCCACGATTGCGCATTACGCCAAACGGACACACAACCACGTCAAGGTCAAGGTTGGATACCAAACCCCAACTCCGAACACCTGTGTCCATCCTGTGTCACTCTCTTTAAACCCGCTGTACTTCCCGCCATGCGCTTCTTAATTTGGTGAGCCGAGTCGTGACTGGATGTTGCTATCTGTCTGACGCGCGGAGTCAGAAGCATGCCAGATAGGTGCTGTTGGGATGTTGCGCAACTTTCCGACGTTACGTTAACAGCGCGGTGGAGATGCGCTCGAGCTGTGCATGCCAGCGCTGTTCTGTGGAGGTTCCGTAGAGATCACTGTGGTATTTGTAAGTCCCCGATCACGCCGACATGTGGAAAGGACCTTCTGTTTGAGCGGCTCCTAATGAATAGCCCACGATGCTTCTCCATGCTAACCTCTCACGTCTCCCTGGAATATCTTCACCGCGCTCTGTTTGAACCTGTACTGCATACAAGATGGATGTTGAGAAAGAGCCACCGCTCGGCAAAGTCTCGACGAACTTGAATACCCCTCTGACACCCGCTGCTCAGTCAGACCAAGTCATTCCTGACGGTGGACTGTGGGCATGGCTCGCTGTCATCGGAGGGTACATTGATCCCTGTCATCTGCAGTAGTTCTCGCTAATTAATCGCTCAGGGCTCTGGTGCAGTTCTGCACGTTCGGGTATTCTAGCTCGTTCGGGGTATATCAAGCATACTACGTCCTAGAAGGTGGCTTCTCATCGTCAGACGCAAGCTGGGTGGGATCTCTGCAAGTAAGTACCTCTCGAAGTCAATACTGGCTGAGCTAACGTGCTGCTATGCACTTCTGAGTTTTTCCTGCTGTTCTTTATGGGATTACCTGCCGGAAAGCTCTTCGATGCCGGCTACTTTCGGCATATGCAAGTGGCAGGCACCCTGTTGTATGTCTTCTCGTAAGTCTACCGTTCATATGGACGGAGATAGTCAATGACTCATGTCTTCGACATATCAGTCTCTTCATGTTGTCTCTCGCCAATCCCCGCGACTACTACCAGATTATTTTGTCACAGGGAATCGGCATGGGGATTGGCAGCGGATTCTTGCTTGTTCCAGCAATATCGCTGCAGGCACAGCACTGGAAAAAGCATCGGTCTCTTGCAATGGGCATCGTGCTTGCTGGTACGCTGTGCGTTTAGGCTACGCATCATGGATGCTAACAAGATAACCACAGGATCGTCATGTGGAGGGATCGTCTACCCCATTGTGCTTAATCGACTCATATATCACTCGAGCGCTGGCTTCCCTTGGGCCGTCAGAGCGACAGGGTTTCTCACCTTGGGATTGTTGATCATTGCAGGGTCTATCATGACGACGCGTATGCCTCCCAAACCTTCCGCGTCGGACTCGAGCGAATGGCAGAAGTTCAGAGCAGTTCTTTCTGACTGGGCGTACATCACAACATTGACTGGGTGAGAAGCTTCCACTAGTTTATTGTGAACCTGCTCACCTCGATATTCTCGCACTTAGTGCATTCTTAGTCCTATGGGGGCTCTTTTTCCCATGTATGTCATACTGCAGTTCTGGGTCATTCATGGCTCAATCTAGTCGTGAACAGATTTCTACCTCCAACTGTGGTCGAACCTGCATGGCCTCTCGTCCACGATCTCATTCTATACGGTGCGTAATGCGTTTCATGATGTACTACTCCGTAGCTAGAGTAACTTGCTTATTCTAGATCGCTATTCTGAATGCTGGCTCCATTGCCGGTCGACTCATCCCGAACGGATTAGCAGACGTCGCTGGTCGTTTCAACGTGATGTGTCCAATCGCATTCATTTCAACCATACTACTTTTCTCGTTGTTCGGTGTCAAAAGCGTCGCAGCTGTAGTAATCTTTGCTATCCTCTACGGGTTCTTCTCGGGGGCAAGTACGTCATCTTCTCTCTGAACTCGAGAGACAACGCTGCATGTTGAATGCTTTTTACAGTTGCCTCCCTATTCCCGCCTGTGCTTGCTGGAATGGCTCGCCATCCATCGGAAATAGGGTATGTACCTCAAACATCGGCACTCGGGCAGATAGACACTTAGCTAATGTCTCCTCGTCTTTGCAAGCCTGAGGATAGGCTTTGGTTACTTCCTTGTATCCTTTGCGATACTTACAGGGAGCCCGATCGACGGCGCGCTTTTGGGGTCGCAAAGAAATTGGACGAAATCGATAGTATTCAGTGGTGTCAGTCCGTTACGCGGACCCCATTATCAGCGATGAACACTGACCGCCGATCTCTAGGTCGTTATGCTGGCGGGCTCGATCATCCTACTCATTGCCAGATACTTGTTCGTGAAGTCACGCGGTCTGCGAGTGTGGGATAAGATCTAGTTCCCGGTTCTTGTATGTATGGACCGATATACTAGTATACATTCTTAGCTACCAGTAATCGGTACTCTGACTCAGTACTCAGTACTTATAGTACACACGTACTTAGCGGCGGCGGCGACTATCGACGCGATGCGTCCGCCCCTGTCGGCTCAGCGGCCCGGAGCAGCCACCATACGCCTCCCATCGTCCTCAGCGTTACTTTTCTCTCCTGCCCATTGACAACAGCTAAAGTCGCTCACACTTTCTGTTCTGCACGACCATCGCTCGCTATTGCTACTACGCTGGACCTCCGTTTAATCATTCATACAAATGAAATGTATATCGGACGACCCTGTTGATGAGTCATGGACACGAACTGGTCGCCGACATTGGAACGATACGAGCAGCAAGTCGACCTTACACGCTATCTTGGACGCGAATGTTGCGCACGAGCGTGACTGACTCTAGATGGTGAGTGTTGCGTAATAGGCTGTGTTCCATGGTATCCAACACATGTTCGTCGAGTCCTTTTCTTTGCGCGCCGTACGGCGACATAGTATACCGGAAAGGCACCACGAAGGACATTACTGCGGAGTGTTCTCCGGAGTGTGCATAGAAGTAGCTACCTGATGGGTGTGAAGAATCCATGTGCGTGACGCTCGTGTTGTCCGACGCTGCATATTGCCCAGGTTGACTTCGTACGATCGCATTTTTGCCTGACGAGTCCTTCATCTGTCCCCGGATTTATGTTGACGGGGCTGTGCGTTACGCTGTATTGCTCGCTCCGGTCTCGACAAAATCCTGCTAAAGACCTGACATTGCCATTTGACGCTGTGAGGCCTAACTCGCCTTCGTCTATGCATCATCTCCAGTGGCCTGCTCTCATGTTCTAGTCTACGTACCCATTTGCATCGTGTCGCGCACGAGATAAGGGCTCATTTGACCGTCTGCAATGAATGCTCTAGTGGGTCTTTGGTCGAACGGTTGACGTATCACGTTCTTTGACGTCAACTCTGCCTTTTGCAACCCTACGAATAGGGGTACCTGTGCCGCGGACTCAGCCCCAAGCGATGGTCAGAACGGGGTGAGGATGCCTAGGTAAGTACTCATGATACTGCGCCTCAGATGATAAAGATGATGCAGATTGGGCGGCGTTGTCCGAGAAGCTGCAATGATATCGGAGGAAGCTCCGCAGTATCCATCCAGCGAATGTTCTTGACGTTACAGATTGCTATGGAGGTGTCGGTGAGCGTTTACGTTACGCTCTGATACTCGATGCGATTGAAGGGACGTTACCGTATCGAGTCACTCCATGTGCCTCACATCGCTCACCATTCTGGTACCACAGGGCGCTGACGGAGTCATATCATCAACCACTCATTTCACGGGATTACGACCACGGTGCAGTGAATCAATGCTCAATATCTGATGACCATTCCGCCAATACCGTCGTCGTCTCATGCATGTCCCGCAGAGAATGATGATTTGGATAAGTGTGTTCTCTTAGTTAAGAGTGGTATTTGACACGCCGAACAGAACGCCCTTCCGTGTTTGAGAGTTGTGATTCGGCTCTGCATAATGGTCGCGAGAAGCTGCGATGGGATTCCTTATGTCACCGGCGGTTCGTTCTGCTCATGGGCGTAGCCAATCGTCGGCATCACCAACCCGCAGGACCTCCACCGGATGTCGGTGACCACTGTCATTTTGATACAGGGCACAGTGACGCGGTGCTTGTGGACGCGACATCAGATGTCATGATGTTGCACATTTTTCTAGTAACTGATTCATCAGTATGGTCTAGTACTCTCGCCGGGACACGGTGGCCACATCACTTGCTCCAAGAGCGCTGATGTTCCATTGACAATGCTGCCGCGTGACAAGACCTTCCAAGGGGATCTTCATAAGAGCTAGCGACAAGCGGCGTTTGTGTACACAAGATGCCACTGTCTCTCAGCAATCGACGCTCGCTCCTCGCGTCGCGGTATGTTTCCGGTACACGGCGTCTACTACCCTCTTGACAGCCAATGCTGACAAGAGGACATACAGGAGCGTCGGTGACTCTCATGCTCTATGAGCATGTGTTGAGTCTAGGGGAAGAGGTCGACCTCATTTGGCTAGGGAAATGGTCTATACTATCGGCCTTCGTGTTGGGTGACTTGTACGTACGAGAAATTGGCATGCTCTATATTGCGATAGGTACCGTATGCTTGAGACTTTGCAGATATTCCATGGCTCACCTTCGGGAACAGTGGACGCAGGCTCGGTCCAAATGTCTACTGAGGTCAGTAAGCCAAATCTGCTTTGTATGCATCACTGAGGAGAGTCTCTAGATGTAAATATTGATTTACCCTGGGTCGTCAGTCCTAGGCCAATCTTACTGTCTCCAGGTGCACGTCTTTGTTCAAGTTCATGCTTTTTTACGGCATCTGGTGCACGGCATCGATCCATAGTGAGCTCATTCGCTACACAGAAACCGTATGTGCCTTGACAATTCATGCTCAGCGATCATCTTCTTCCGAGTCTATACGCTATGGGATGACCGGAAGATTATCTCATATATACTCATCATTGGATTCCTCATTTGTTACGGCGGAACCGTTGTCTTCACGGTTCTTGCCGGTCTACAACTGTCAGGTGGGCGCATGTTTTGTGATTCATTTCTCGGGTTAATAGGATTTGAAGTGGGTATGGAATACATAACGAGTGAGAACACATGTTCCTTCAAAGACAGGTCATGGTACGCAACGGGCGCATGGTCACCAATGGTATGCAAATATGATCACCATAAAGGTCGGCATAACTGTGACGTGAATCCTGTGCAGGTTCTCTACGACTTATGCGTCCTCGTTTTACTGTTTGTAAATGTTCTCAGCAGACCACGCCGACAAAGCTCTCGTCTCTCGATGATGCTCTACAGAGATGGGTTCGTGATGTTCTTGGTGCGTCACACACTCAAAGGCACGAGTATGCGGGCTGATTCAGTCATAGGGTTTCTTCGGTGCGCCCGTTTCCTATCACACATGCCTGTGGCGATATCTGAAAACGCATACCGGTCAGCATTGCGTATAGCCAGGTTGATACCTAGTATATTCACAGGAGTACGTTCACCATCACCCTCGATCCCTCTGATCTGACGTACGCTACGACAGCCGGAAGATGTATTTCTCGTTCCACTGTATGTCTCGCACATTGCGCACAATCCGAGTCTCCGGCAAACGCTGAGCAATGTGTCTAGGATGTCTTGGGCACTCGAGGCTGTCCTCGCTCGGCGACTTCTCCTGCGCGTGAAGAACATTGAATCCGACAACAGCAATGTCCATACATGGAACTCCGAGAAAGCTGAACCCAGATCGCCGTCCGGGAGACTCATATTGGCATCCAATGTCCGAGTTTGGGAAGAGGTGGAGATGCATTTACTTTAGACCGTGTAATGAAGTTCGACCATTTGTATGACTGCTTACTTTATCGAGAAGTGTCTCGGCGTGCTGGATACGCACACTGAGAACACAAAGGCTGAGCGCTGAGCGCTGAGCCTGGAGCTTCAAAAATTGTTCGTTTTAAGGGCCTAGGTGGTGTCACGATCTGCAGGCACACACTAGCCGTGATGGGACGATTCAGAGGCAGGGTTGACCAGATGTACGGGAGTGCGAGATGCAGAGCGAGCATCGCTGAGCATGAGGTCGACACTGTAGTAGATATATGAATGTTTCCACGAAGAAGCCGGGGTTTGAAAGTTTGAGCTTTACTGCTACGGCGGAATGGCACTCTCGAGGCACGCATTGTCTGCAACACGGCGAGATCGACGTATCACATAGACCATAAGTAGGTAATACACGACGAAAGATATGGTAATCAGTACGGTTACAAGTGAAGTCGTGGCTTTTGCATTGCTTTCGCATCATCGCGTAGGACACGACGCAGGATCTTACCACTAGGGCTCTTGGGTATGGACTCCACGAAGATAACCCCACCCGTTAGCCATTTGTGTCTGGACTTCGCCGAAGCAACGTACTGTCTCTGAGCGTCAGCGATAGGTTGTATCTGCTCAGTTCATAATTGTGACCTACGTTGTATATCTGGGACTTCATCTGTTCTCTGCGGGCTGCATCATGAAGCACAGCCTTCGCGATCTGCGGCTGGAGAACGACGAACGCGAGCGGTGCTTCCCCCGCGTACTCATCTGGAACTCCAATGACACATGCGTCAGCGACGTCTGGATGGTTTAGGAGATGGCCCTCCAGTTCTCCGGGAGTTACTTGCAGCCCCTTGACTTTGATGAGTTCCTGCGCATCGTAAGTGAAATCGCAGTGACGCTGGCGCGGTATAGCATTACCTTGATACGATCCGTCACAAAGACATCCCCTTGTTCATTGAAGTATACCTCATCGCCCGAGCAGTACCAGCTGTGTCGTCTCGTAATCAGGTTCATTCAACATACTGAACGCAGAGAGTGTATACCCATCCACAAACGACTCCTTCGTGCTGTGAGGAGAAACATTGAGTCTTCAGCCGATCCAAAGCCTAGACTCCACGCGACGTACGCAGCCTCGTTTCCGTAATATCCAAGTGTAATCTGCCCTCCTTGAATCAGAAGCTCTCCGGATTCGCCGACGCCGGCCAGCGATCCGTCAGGCTTCACGACCTTCGCGATGGTACCGGGTACGAGTTGTCCTGCGCTCCCTGGCGTCCCAACTTTCTGCGATACAGGAAACTATGATGATCATAGCTGTCGGCGTTCGGATGCGGACATAGTGTTCGCGGCCCTTACCATCGTGACAGCTGCGCAAGCCTCTGTCATACCTTTGCATCATTGTGTGTAAGCTGCATGTGCAATGCGAGTCTGGGATGTTATCGACTTACCGTAGCCTTGTCCGAGGTCTATCCCAGGTAGTGTTTCCAAGAGTTGTCCAATGAGTTCGGCCGTGACGGGCGCCGCTGCGACCATGCAGAACCGAACACTTGAGAGGTCGTAGTTCTTTGTCGCAGGATGCTGAGAGTGACAGCTCAGGCAGGACGGTCTACAGTACAACACTCCCATACCTTGCAGAGCAAGACGGCTTGAGGCGGTACGATCCTAATCAAAAGCGGTGTCAACAGCGGCCCTTGCAAGGCGGATATACCGACATAAAGCTTACACAAGATGCGTAATGCGGAACTTAGCAATACTTTGCAACATTGTCTCGAACTTGAACTTCTGAGTAACGATAACAGTCATCTATTGAACAGAAATACTTAGTTCTCGGGAATGAAGTGCCTTGTTATTGTGACGTACAGCAGAGTAGACCTGCCAGTGCAACTATGACAGAGTCAGAGGCGTGATGTACTTCGGGACCCGTCGTACTCACATTGGTCACAATTCCATAGATGTCTACCAGTGACGTGAGCGTGAAGTAAATATTTGATAAAGTAACATACGGTAGAACGGGCACACTGAACCAGAACATTCAGTATCATTTATATGAAACGGTTTGACGAACGCACCTCCGCTACAAACATCGCCGGCACGGAAACGCCTCTTCTCTGGTTGAACATGTGCGTCGTTGACTCCGTGATGGGTAGCACTTTGGACAACGCCGCATATAACGTTGAAATGGGAAATAGACACCGCCTACATGTATGGGATCTGTCAGAGAGCGAGCATGGTATTGAATGACCTACGCACCTTGGGATTTCCCGTTGTGCCCGACGAAAAGCATAGAAAGGCAATCAAGTTCTTCGCCTCGCCTGACTCACACTTGTAGTCTTGGATTGGAGGTCGTTCTGTACCTTGCGAGATGAGGAGGTCTATCGACTTCAACGGGCTGGTCGTGTCGTCAATGAGAACGATAGCCGAAGCCGAGAGTCCGACGTCTTGCATGCTGTCGAGGGCCACTTGAATATTGTCTTCATGCGCTACGAGCAATGATGGCCTCGCGTGTTGAAGAAGGTATACTACGTTGAGTCAACATACGCCGTAACTGTCATTTGGTGACTGATCCTACCCAGCTCATTCTTAGTCAACGAGGGGCTCATGGTTCTAAGCACCGATACCAGTGAGCAGTTGAAAAAGTATAGCTTGACTAGACTCACGCGACTATGCCACCGAGTCGGTGTACGGCCCACGTTATAGTCAGGTAGTCTGCGAGATACATGAGAATTCGGCTACTTGGACGGCTCTCGAACTGACCAAGATGATTGGGTGTAAACAGTGCCACTTCATAGCTGTTAGGGCGACCTCAATGGCAATAGACAACGCAGGTCCTCGCACCGATATCACCACAGCCTTGATAGACACCGCGTCAGTGAGATACGACGTCCACAAAGACTTTACCAACCAATGCCATAATCGCTCCTCAGTGTCCGTGCCAGGCTATTGCTCCGGTTGCGAAGCTGTGCATGTACTGTGGTAAGAGGAGAACACAGTATAATCACTGAGACCACGTACGTCGGACAAGAAGAACGTCTTTCCACTCTGCTCGTCGATCAAGCAGGGTACGTTTGCGGGTCGTTCCGGCTTGCTGGGTGGCGTGGCTACATCGTCCAGCATAAACTGGGGAACTGTAAGATAATCAGGTGGCGGTACCAAAGGGAGCTTGGAACGGAAGATAGTCATGTCAGTACATGCAGTGAATCTGCGGGAGGATTACCTGGGCACGGGACACATGTTTTATATGATTTGTATTTATTGCGGCAGCAGTCGGCCCATATCATACTTAGGCTTTGATGAGACGAGACTCGATGTTGCTAAGTTCGAACTCTTCATTACTCGATACCGGCCGACGTACGCAGAGACATATCATGATGTTGACAACTGCGGATGCTTGTCCAAGCGCCGCCATATTACGTAAGTGCTCTCGTGTCACTGCGGATCGTCACGCATCACAGTGTTGTGTAAGCAGTATGCGACTGCACCTCATATCATGTAGAACGAATTTGCAAGCAGGCTCACTCTGCGTGCCTTCAGGTTTACTCTCATGTCGTTCATTTCCTGACGTGATGCCCATAATGGTGAGGTGAGTCCTCAGGGCTCAGGCTGCATGTCGACTCTGCTATCTTCTGATGCTCTTCTAGTAGACATGGCGCCCGTAGTGCGTCAGAAGAAGGGCCGTTGTGGCGGCGAGAACGTTCGAACGGTACCGCGGCTGCATCTCATCACAGTGCATTCAGTGCACCATAGATGAAAACTCCTATCACATCCGACCAGTGAGACGCCTCGCTTCGGTGCGCCCGGAAGAGAACCAACCAGCATCGTCCGAACCACCAATTCCATCTCAGAAGGATGTTGTCAGACAGAGAAGACAGCAATCGATAACGTTGTATCCCTGTCACACTGATATCCGCACAACGAGCGCTGCTGCGGCTGTCAAGCAAAGATGGGGCACAATCGACTCGCATTACTGGTGTGGTTTCGTAAGTTCGGCGTGCATACGAACATCGCGGGAGCTCGAAGCTACGAGGTGGACATCTGAGCACTTGGATCAGGCTTAACGCAGCCGGAGATCGACGAGAGTTCATTTGTATGGTTTCCTGAGGACCATCAGGCGCATCAGACGTATCCAGCGTCTCGGGTCAACCCAAAATGTATGTCGATGCTCGGCGGAGGTTACAATTCCGTAGCAATTCCTACGCTCAGCCGGAGTTGTGTGGGAGAGCGCGAACATGGCATGTGTGAGCCGTCCGCAGAGGCCAAAGCGGACCTTTTCAGTCACCCAGTTCCGAGTCAACCTTATCGACGCGACATCCATGCGATGCACACAAGACGTACCTGAAATCGACCAACGCCGTCAAAACGTATCCACATAACGGGAAATGCACAATACTTATGTACCTTCCGTGTGAGCGAACAAGCCATGGCGGTGATACTGAGATGCTGCTGCCGTAACAGAATGATGGTAAGCGGTAGGGCGTCGCGCGTGTCCCAGGCTGCGGTTCAATACACTGTCTTAGCGAAAGGAAGCTTGCCTGCGAGTTGGTGACCATGTGCTTGATAAGATAGACCACATCGACTCGAGCGTTGAACGTTAAATGTTGGGGGCGGAATGTGTGACCGTCACTGAGCCAGAGCAATACAGCACTGCGACAATGGAAGCTGTTGCTATCATTTAGTGCCGAGCATGAAGAGAAAGTGATTGGAAAATTGTTTCAGTAGCAAAGGACAACATGCTGCACGACCATCCCTCCTTCAGAGAGCGCGCCGAGCTACAACGTTATGACGAGCAGGTGGGACTGGTGTACCAGAGAACGCTTGCGGCCATCCTGACATGGAGTACGTCCTGTGATGGATCATATTCATGATCGGCCTGGCTGAGCATTGCGTGCAGAACTGAGCCTCGAAGACGTCGAAACGTGCTCCCAAAGGTTCTGGGACATGCACAAGGACCCCGCCCTCGTCCTCGATGTCGGCTGCGCCAATGTCCTCGCGTGCCACTACAACCTCTTCCTCGGCACTGTTGCGCCGCTAGTCCGGCGCAGAAAAGACTTGACGCCACTCGTGGAACGGGCTCTGGCCGGCGACATCATCGGGAACTTCCTCCTCACAGAGGTCGGTCACGGCCTCGATATCCTCAACATCGAGACGACAGCGACCAAGGTCGCAGATGGCTTCGTGCTCAACACGCCCCACCCTGCCGCAGCCAAGTCAGTGCCGTCCGCCCGGGGTGTGTATGCGCAACTGACCAGATGCTCCGCGAGCTAGGTTTATGCCACCGACGACGCCGCTGTGCCCCAAGATCGCTGTCGTCTTCGCCCGCCTGATAGTCGACAACGCTGACCACGGCATCCACCCGTTCCTCGTCCACACTTCCGATGCACACGGCATGTGCCCCGGCATAGTCTCGCAGCTGCTTCCGCCCCGCAGCGGCACGTCGCCCCTCGACTACGCCATAACCTCCTTCCACCACGTCCACCTGCCCCCGTCCGCCTTCCTCGGTGCCAGTCTTGACGTGCCGCGCGACCACCACAGCCTGCTCCAGGGCTACATATGGCGCACCATCGTTGGCCAGGTGTCTATGTCCCTGGTCGCGTTGACGGGCATGAAGATGACGGCTTATCTCGGCGTGCTGTACTCCTTGCGGCGGTGCGTGCGTGGGACTGGGCCGAGCGACGTTCCCATCATGTCCTTCCGCACCCAGCAGCTGCCCTTGCTGTACACGACCGCTATTGCGCATGTGCTCGACGCGTGGCATCAGGAAAAACACTTCTAACTTCAGCAGTCTTGAATGAAGAACACCTGATCTTATTCAATCTCTCACAACTTGTGCTCCTCAATTAAGTGCACCATGTGCATGAAGACTGCTGAAGTTAACTATAGTACCTTTGAGAAATTTGTCTTGTCCCCAAGTTGGAAGATATGCAACTTTAGTTCTACAGATTAAGACACATAAGTACACATTAGTTGGCAAATGACCTCTTAACTAATAAATATGCATGATGAGATGTCAGATTGCTCAATATGAAGACTTCACCAAGATTTCACCTGACAAGTTAACACATACTATATCTGGCAACAGTAATGGGGTACAAATAAAGATTATTTGTTTTTCCCTGTGATTATGAGTATATTACCCTACTTACAACAGATGTTGTGGTCAAAGTCATATTGTCAAGGATTTGGACATATTTGACCTGTTAAGGTTGAGAGACAGCAAAAGAACACTTAAGCATGCAGTGAGACAAGAAGCCTGCCCTTGAGCAAATCATGAGTCTACACAAGGTCTGCAAGGCAACAGATAGTGCCAAGAAGAAATGAGGCCAGTCTGAGAGCCCAGGGATGCACAGGGGCTGGGCTAACAGGGGGCAGCAATTGCAGATTTCTCTAAGTCCAGAAAGATAGTCAATATAGGTTATTGTAGAAGGGAACAAGCACAGGGACCTATGGTGTAGTGGTCACAAGTTTGTGCTGGGAGTGTGGGAAATTAGTTTAGCAGGTCAGGGGTTCAATTCTGGGAAATGGCAGATTATTTTGGGCGACATTTTTGCATCTGGGATGCCTGTTATGACAGCATATGCACAAACACAGCAGAATCATGAGAGAAGTCACCCCAGTAATGATGAAAAAACATCATTCTTGCTTGGAATGAGTGTTTACTTTGGTTACTTAATGGAACTTAAGTAAGACAAAATAAGAAATCGACTTACCTTAAGGCTCTTGTGGCACATAGTGACACATAATGTCACTTTTGGCTCTCCACAAGACCACTTAAGACACGAACGTTTTTCCTGATGGGACACCTGCCGTCCTGCAGCAGTTCACGTCCGCGGACCTCGCTACGCCAATCCGGAGAAGCCTAGCGATCGTGTACAAGACGACGATGTGCCGCCTCGCGACGCAGTACTACCGCGAGGTCGGCGAGCGTCTCGGAGCCCAGGGCACCTTCGGGCACAACATCATCAACAAGATAGAGGTGAGACCATTCCGTGTGATTTACCTAGCATCGCACCGAGCTGAGAGGCACACCAGATGGACATGCGCGGATTCATCGTCGCCGAAGGAGACCTGACCGTACTTAGCATCAGCCTGTATTCGCAGCTTCTGCGGAACAAGTACGCACTGCCGTCGCCGAAACACGCAGTCAGCCTTCTGGCTCGTCACAGCGACGCTGTTTACAGCCGCTGCGCAGATCTGCTTGGAAGTTTCACCGAGGGCCACCGTGACGAGCAATTCAACAATCTCGTGCTCCCTCAATGCCAACGCGGTGTCCTTGCCCTGGGCTGCGCGTATGCGTATGGATGTGCGCGTGACGCTGGCGTACCAGAGCCAATGCTCGAGCTCTTCGAGTGCGCCGCCATCAAGCAGGACCCCAGCTGGTACTCCGAGCATGGTGGTCTCCCGGAGAGCGTGTTCATGTTGAAGGAAGACCATGCGGTGCATTCTGCCTTGCCTCATATCCGCGAGTACGTGGACAGCTTCGGGGTGGAGGCATCGATCACGGCGCCGATCGTGAGCAGCGAGACCTGGGAGAGCTGGGTTGAGGGCCTCCAGACCTATGATCGGATACAGGAAGAGACGAATGTAAGTACAGGCACGGCTGCACGGAACTCTGAACACTCACCTTCGCTTGACCCCAGCAGGGACACATTGCTACGGCGATCAATTCCAAACTTTGACATCATCGCAACACTGCGCTGTTAGCCACTCGACACGGATGTCAGTAGTCCCTTGATCTCCTTGCGGTTTGTCAGTCAAAAGCGTGCCATCCTTTGTTCACATCCCGCGGCTGTCGCTAGTACATTGTACGTACAACCGGCCCTGTGGTCGCACTGGCATGAGTCGAGGGATGCGGGCCATAGTTTCCTTTGCGTCGCCCAGTACATGCAATGAGGATCAGCCAAGAGAGATCATCTGAGCGGGACTATGTGTCTGACGTTATAACGACGAGCACTTGGAATCGACTTGGAACTGACGGTCCCGACTCTGTGGCATTATCAGCGACGGCGTTGTTGCAACTGGCAAGTGGTGGGGATAGGCAACGCCCCCGCCAAATGGCCTTAGCGCGCGGCCAAGCGCCCGAGGACGGAAGCGGACACGATTGATGGTAGCTGGCCATCGTGCCGAGATGCCATATAATCTCTTGCAGATAGTCCAGCGATCGTCTTCATATCAGGCGCCACAGTGAGCAGCAAACGGTACCGAAAACTGTGGTCTGCAACAGCGGCTTTATTCGTAGATCTTGTACACAGTGCGTTTACGATAAGGATTCTAAGCAAAACGTTGGTTGCTGATTTTTTGTTGTGTGTCGAGAAGTAACTGATCTCGCTATATGCATGCTGAGATTGTGCATTAAATGAGAAGCAGTGAAAATTTGGCAACGAAGGTTCGACTCGTCGTATCAAAAAACGGTCATCCCGAAAGTTGGATGGGTGAAATGTTGTCGTTGCGAGACCACACAAAAGGTGCCGTTTTCGAGGTTCGCAGATCAAGCGCCCGTGTGGGATGAGGCTGCGATGTGCGTGTCCCCTGTCACTATGCTCAACGTTGGCTATCCAATGTAGTTGGGGTACTTTTAGATTGAGTCCATGAATGTTGGTTCAACTTCTCTCATAACCGTCAGGTGCGAACTGGTGAGTTTCTTGAGTCTGAACTTCGTGGTACAGCTTACATAAGCGGCCTGTCCCCATACATCGCCCAAGCGCCGTAGTACGTGTGCCGCTGGGATGCTGGATGTCTGCGTTGCAAGTAACTTATAACGCGGGCAATTGCCTTCCGACGAGGAACCCATGTTATCGCTGGCAACACGGTGAGTCATATTCACGTTACTACTGTATGCAACTGTGTTGCCAGCACCGCATCGACGTGGACCTCGGTGTGTCACGACGGCGGTACGGTACTCACTGCCGGCCAGTGCCATCCTTCGCAATAGCGCTATTTCTAGGACCAGCTTGCCAGACGCACTCCACTCCAACTCTGGCGACGAAGTGATACAAGCCCAGCGCCGTCGCGGCCGCAAGCCTGGCACGAGTCCATCCTGCCCTTCGCATTCGTCTTGCCTCGTTTTTTGCCGGCTTCCTAGGGGTTCTCCTGCTCAGCCTCACTGATAAGTGCACACAGTGTCACAGGCGTCTGCCAGGCTGATCTTGGTCTAGCGGGCCCTCCGATGCGGGAGTGGTTGAATTTGCGGAGGGACTCGCGAGCGGAGTGTGACATGCCAGGATAAGAAATTCAAGAGGCTGTGCTGGACGTGCTCGTCAAAACTGTTTCCTACTTTCAGGATCTCAAGCTCATCGACAAGGTGCGTACATTGAGGCCGCTGCGGACGCCTGCCCGGCGCATTGCTCTCGTGATCGCGTCGCGGGATCTGTGTCTGGCCTGAAGCAGAAGCAGCGCGCGTCGCGGGACATCAATATGGACATCAGTGTTGACTAGGAGAACGAGGGGGACGTCTAGTACACCGGGGACAAGAAGGTTGATTCGGGCGGCGAGCTCAAACGAAACTCACCAGCACTGCTAATACTACTGGATCCTTACCATCACGGCAGTCTCTAGCTCTACTCGCACGACACACTCACCACGTCTCGCACCCATCGCAGTGTGGCTCCCGCACCCATACATCGAACCAACCTCTGTGTTGCTGGCACCGTCTCGGACTCTCAGGCAGCCACAACTTCGCAGCTGCCCTGGCCCCCGCTCTCCGGAGCTCCCCTCCGCGCGGCCAGCACCGTTGCCGTGCTCACGCTCCCGACGCCCGCACACCCTACCAAGACTGGCCAGTCAAGAGAGGATCACAGGTGCCTGGCAAGCACCGCGCGGGCATGGCACAAGGCTCGCGCTCACTGGTGGACTTGGACCGCGGAGGACGAGACAGCCGCGTCGCTCTTGCCAGTGCAGATGAGCAGCTCACTGACGTCGATGTGATCGACCTCCGCCCCGACCCCGACGAGCTCGGCTTCGAGCGTGGGCGGACCGATGTTCGTACTCCCAAAACGATGAGTTTCACAATCCCCCATTCTACCTACCGCCGGCGGATCTCTACGATCCACTTGTGACTTTGCATATATACAACAGGTTTATCTATACCTATAATTCAGAAAATCCATGTAACGTACATCCAGCACTCATTTTATACAGTTACCACTCTTTCCCACTGCACACCGATACCTCCTAGCACTATGTACCATGCCTATCTACGATATCGCGTTCTGTGTGATCGGCACGACAACGATAAGATGAGATATTGCACTATCGCTCGTTTAGATGCCACCAGATTACACGGCCGTGATCCCGGCACAAATAGACGCTGGCCGTCCAGCGAAGGGGGGTTGCCTATCCCCACAAGTGGGCCGTGGGCAGGCTGCCGGCCTCAGCCGGCGTTGTTCGTGTCACGGCGTCTACATTTCTTATGTAAGCAGGTCTACTCGCAGCGATACATACATTTACGAGCCTAGGCCTACTACTAGCTACCGACGACTGTCAATCAATCATGATCATGCTCAGTCCTTTTGGCAGCGGTAATATGCATGCTCATGATCATCCTGCTTTCCTGTCAAAAATCTCGTAAACTGAACCCGAGTACGATGAGGCTCATGATTGCTTGCTCGATCGACTCATCATATCATTACGAGCGCGAGGGAAGCAGACCGCGACGCGCCCAAATTAACCATACCTCCCTGACCAGTTGCATTCATGTATTGAAGATAAGTGTAGCCGAAAGATGCAACTGCCCGCATTACTCGAGTTACCCGGTCCTATCACCACCGATCGTGTGCACCCCCTTGATGGCTCCTATTTGACTTCCTTTCGCAATTCATACCCATCATCCTCGATGTCCGTGGTCTGCGTGATCTCCATATGGAATCGGACAGGGCGTGGGTGGCTCTCCAAAGGCGCAGCTCTGAAGGTTGACGCCACGAAGGTACCAACGTCTTCAGTGGTTATACCCAGTCCCACACGGACGATGATTAATGTAGGGACAATTCCCTGGTGTAAAAGCCGTATCATCAGTGCATATTTATTGGTCTCTGCGCGACCCGCTCACCATGATTTGCGAGAGCGAATCGTATACAATGTACTGTATCGAATGATCACTCAGTGCAACGTCACGTATATTTTCAGGAGACCACCTACCTGTGCATTCGTATCACGACAATACAAGATGAGCAAAGTCATGATGCATGCCGAGTAGATTGAGCCTGACTCAATTCTGCCGGTAACGACCTCGTAATAAGTGACTAGCGTGGACGCGGGTACTGAAGAACCTCACATGATTGCAATAGCCCGTCGATATTTGATGAGATGTCTATCACTGAGAGCCGTACTGGTCTGTCGGGCTAGCCACCAGATGCGCACCGCTGCAAGGACCACTTATATGTCACTGTAAAGTTTGCTGAGGTACTAGGCGAAAACATACCAATCAATGTCGTCACAGTGACGTTGGTCGCGAGAGACAGACTGAAAAGAGCGGTCCCCCATGGGACAATGTTCTGCGCAAAGACAGTGCCTCCGGGTGTCACCTGGCTAAAGTTGTAGACCGCGGTGTAGGCGCAAACTAGGTCCTTCTCAGCGTTGACGCTAGAGCTTTGTTTTAGTGTAACGCACCTGAGGTGGCGATGAGCATAATGACTGGGATGATGATTATCTTGATACTGAAGCCCCATACCACGTAGCAGCGGTATATCTACGAAGTGCTTTGAACAATCATATTGAGGATTCGGCAGTTTTACTCACCACGACGCTATCAGCTATGATACTTGAAAATTGTCAGACATCATGGGGAAAAAGGAGAGTCACTGATCGCCTACTTGTTGGTCCCGTACAAGGCTTGCTTGAAGATGCTGAGCCACGTCCAGATTTCACCATAGTAGTCGAGAGCACCTTCCGGCGCGTCAATGAAGGCCTGTATCACTCGAACCAGGTCGACAATCATATGCGCGGTGCTCAGCAAGTACATTGCTATCGCCGTGCCAAGCATGGGTTTGTTGAGTGCCGCACGCCGCTTTCTCCTCCGTACCAGAATATCGACACATATGAAGAAGAGGACTGAAAAGCAGCCTACAACACATGTTAGTACGAAGTGCTGTCAGGTGGTGAAACACACGCGCCATAAAAGAGAGACTCTAGCTGTGCATTATGGGTGAGTCTGTATGAGGTACGATGATCACGGCCAGTACGCACCCAAAATGCAACTAGTTCAGCCTGCGGGACGGATATATGTTGGTAGCTCATCATGTCCAGAGAAAGCTTCACTGACCCTATCTAGTCTGATGTTAGCCATTCTGTGCGGAGCGCTGCGCGTTCACGGTAAGCGACGATGGCGGACGACAGGACTTGACGTGGATGAGGTTGGATTTAAGCAGCGAATGCAATCTCAAGGCGCTCGAACGGGAACAAGTGGACTGTCCAGCCATTGATTACAACGTTTCTGATAGCGGAGATAGTTATCAAACGTCGTACCTCCTGTGACAGACATGCCGGCTCCGCGAGTTTCAAGGCGCCCATAATTTCGGTATCAAATTTGCCAAATTATTGACTGCAAACAGAAGTAGATTTTGAGAAGACTGAGCTCGGATTCGGACGATAGGACTTTTGCAAATTCTTCACGGTCGAGGTCCCCAGTGATGACGCTCCCCCGACACTGTGCGGAACTGTCGATGCTGACACCGTAGTGATGCATGCAATGTGGTAGTGCGTCGTAAGTGATGGTCGTCTCCTTGTGATGCATCGCCTTGGTAGAGCTTCTACCGAGGAAGAGAATTCATGCAGTACTTCCATCCTGGGAAACGCTGGTACTACGGTCTGATTGATGAGTTGTAGTACTCGGGGACATCAGGAAAAACACTTCTAACTTCAGCAGTCTTGAATGAAGAACACCTGATCTTATTCAATCTTTCACAACTTGTGTTCCTCAATTAAGTGCACCATGTGCATGAAGACTGCTGAAGTTAATTATAGTACCTTTGAGAAATTTGTCTTGTGCCCAAGTTGGAAGATATGCAACTTTAGTTCTGCAGATTAAGACACATAAGTACACATTAGTTGGAAAATGACCTCCTAACTAGAAAATATGCATGATGAGATGTCAGATTGCTCAATATGAAGACTTCACCAAGATTTCACCTGACAAGTTAACACATACTATATCTGGCAACAGTAATGGGGTACAAATAAAGATTATTTGTTTTTCCCTGTGATTATGAGTATATTACCCTACTTACAACAGATGCTGTGGTCAAAGTCATATTGTCAGGGATTTGGACATATTTGACCTGTTAAGGTTGAGAGACAGCAAAAGAACACTTAAGCATGCAAAGTGAGACAAGAAGCCTGCCCTTGAGCAAATCATGAGTCTACACAAGGTCTGCAAGGCAACAGATAGTGCCAAGAAGAAATGAGGCCAGTCTGAGAGCCCAGGGATGCACAGGGGCTGGGCTAACAGGGGGCAGCAATTGCAGATTTCTCTAAGTCCAGAAAGATAGTCAATATAGGTTATTGTAGAAGGGAACAAGCACAGGGACCTATGGTGTAGTGGTCACAAGTTTGTGCTGGGAGTGTGGGAAATTAGTTTAGCAGGTCAGGGGTTCAATTCTGGGAAATGGCAGATTATTTTGGGCGACATTTTTGCATCTGGGATGCCTGTTATGACAGCATATGCACAAACACAGCAGAATCATGAGAGAAGTCACCCCAGTAATGATGAAAAAACATCATTCTTGCTTGGAATGAGTGTTTACTTTGGTTACTTAATGGAACTTAAGTAAGACAATTTAAGAAATCGACTTACCTTAAGGCTCTTGTGGCACATAGTGACACATAATGTCACTTTTGGCTCTCCACAAGACCACTTAAGACACGAACGTTTTTCCTGATGGAGGATCGCAACCAGGTCATAGACAATCGACGTACTATCGGTACTCTCTGTATTCCTTCTGAAGTTCCTACATATCGCGTGCCAGTAATTTGTACTAGATTTAGGAATCAGTTCGATTAGAGAGCGTTCATTGCTAGTACGGACTCGGAGTAGGAAAAGCTCAACTTCATGAAGTTCATGACCGCCATGCATCGATGTTCGAGCGTCTTGACACTGATCATGAGGACATTTGAGCCTATGCCTCGACACCTCGTGAGCTTGCAATCTACCGGAGATTCAGCGGTTTGCTCACTGCTCAGCGGCCTCAGCCTGATCGTGGTTTGTACTTGAGGCCCTGATGTCACGGACACTTTACGGTACTTGTTACTACTCTGCATGTGCCTCCGTTGCACGGAGTATAAACCCGGTGAATAAAAATAAAAATAATAAAAAGAGGCCCTGATGTCACAGAGTGTGACAAGCTTGATTCAGACGCGCGTGGTGACCTACGCCCATCACACCGTGCATATATCATGTTCGACGGGATTACACACTAGTACCGATCAGTGCTCTCAGAAGAAAACCCGGCCTACTCCGTGACCAGTGGAGGTAAGCAATTCATACACTATGTGTTGTTGCAAGCGGCAATCGCTACATGTCCTCCGTCGCCACTAGGTCCACGACTATCGACTCCGTTCTGCTATCTCGCTCCCTCTTGCACGATTTTGGTGCTTACGCTGAGCACGTAGCGGGGCCCATACATCAGGCCTTGAGGGGTTACAGTGGTCGTGCCAGTGTACACGTGTTGTCATCCGTTCAAAGGAACATCGCTGTCCACTTGAACGAGTCTTCCCGACTGACCCCTACGAGCTATGCCAAATAGTGACCGCTCAATAACCGTCTCTCGAACGTTGCAAAAATATACCACGGGTTTCCCTCCATCTCCTCGCCGTATTGTTGTCTCCGACACGGCGCCTGTGAGAGACGTCATACTTGTCACCGGAACAACGGGTAGTCTGGGCTGCTACCTGCTTGATGGCCTTGTCGCGAGGCCAGACGTTCGTCGAGTTTATGCTCTGAACCGACCCTCCACCCGAGAACTCAGGGAGCGGCAATGCACGGCGCTGAAGGATCGCGGACTCGAAGGACCAAGGATCCTTGCCTCCGCGAAGCTTGTTCTGCTGGCTGGAGATCTATCACAACCACACTGGGGCCTGTCTGTTGAACAGTTTACGGAGGTACGTCTCATTTCAACTTGAGTAGTCCACACAATGAACTTCCCCGCAGCTACGGCAGTCAGTGACGCACATCGTTCATAACGGTACATAATATTCATCTTCTCACTTCCAACGAGAAGGCTCATCGCTCAATCCTTGCGTCAGCTTGGCCTGTTGACTTCGTGTCGCCGCTGTCTGCGTACGAACCTGTCATTCAGGGACTACGAAATTTGATTGACTTCGCGATCACTTCACCCTTCAACACTCCGCCCCGGTTGGTGTTCACGAGTTCTTTGGCGGTCGTACAGAGTATGTAAATATGCAGGATATATTCCTCGCGCAACATCTAGGCTGACGGTTGAACGATGTCAGATGCCCCGTATGTCGGGATCATCCCTGAGACTCCGATTGGCTTGAAATACGTGATGCCTATTGGCTATGCGGAGGCCAAATGGGTCTCAGAGCAACTGCTATATACCGCCGCTCTACGGACAAGACTGGATCCACTGGTCATTCGCGTTGGTCAATTATGCGGAGGTCGGAGCGGTGCATGGTCGACGCACGAGTGGTTCCCGATCATGGTCCGATGTGCAAACGATCTAGGGTATTTCCCTTCCGATGAGAGGGCGAGTCTACACACCATCCTCTTCAAATCAGAATCCTGAGGCTAATGCATTGTGGCTCAGGGTGTCGACTGGATGACATTCGAGACCGCTGCGACGGCCCTCATCGAAATGTGTGGGGCATCTAGCCCGACGTCGACCATACATCTGGCTAACCCACATCACACCCCATGGAACGTCATCTCAAGCGTGGTATGCTCCAAGCTACGCACCACTCTAGTGCCCTTCGACATCTGGTTGGAAAAGCTTGACGCTGCTGCGACGGTCGCAGCTCAAAGCGGTACAACTAAAGCCCATAGGTTACGTCCGCTGAAGCTCATACCGTTCTTCCGAGCCCTAGCGGACATGGGCCGATCTGGACGGATGGCTCTGGGGCAACCGGAAGTCGGTGTTGAGATAGCTGTACAGGTGTCTGCGATCCTCGCAGGCGATCATTTAGGATGTTTATCTGAGGGCGATGTAGGTCGATGGCTCTCGTACTGGAAGCGTGTTGGTTTCATTGTCGATGGTGCCCGTTCCATGCTGTAGTCAGTATTGACCACCGTCTGTATGGCATTCGTCGATGAGCGTTCAGACAGATACGAACTTCGACTGATGTCGAGTACACGGAGATCAACATTAGCACGGTTGACCTGTACCGATCTCATCATCATCACAATGTATATGTATGCTGTTACAAAACCAGTGCTACAGTACTCGGTCAATCGGCCATGGAGTCAACAGTTAGAAATGACTATCAAAGTCACAACCGAAGTCGGCGTAACCTTCACGCGTGAATGTAATCACGTGGTCTCCGAGACTGCGAGTCGCGAATCCCGCTTCGCAGTAGTCGCTAGGCCGAGAGACAGTCAGCAAAACAACGACTCTCCAGCACGTAGTTATTTGCTCACAAGTAATCTGATCGATGGTGAAGTCGTAGGTCAGTGAGTGAACGAGTTCGAGTCAGGGGGTCGGGGAAACTCACAGATCCATTTTCTCTTGAAGATCTCCAGTTCGGCGTCATCCAGCTCGTACTGAACCGCGAGCTCCTTAGCGATAAGACCAGGCCAGTTCGAAAGGAACTTCCGCTTCCATTCTCGGAGCGTTCTGGCATAGTGCGGCCCAATGTTATGTACAGAGTCGACTGTGAGACGGCCCTGCGTGCCGCTGTTCATAGTCTCGAGCAAGAAACATAGACTTGGAATGTAGCATCCCGGAAAAACTGCAACGTGTCAGTACCCAAGCACGCGCCGAGGCACAATCAACGCACTCTATGGTCAAGTGAGTATAGAGCCAAAGCGAGGTCATGGACTGAGTCGCACTCACCCATTTCTGAATGAAATCGGCCCTAGCCTTGTCATACGCCGGGATCCCTAGTTCCAGTTAGGCGAAAGTGACAGTGCGGATTGGCGACAGGTAGTACGCACTCGCCTCAGGCATAGAGATTACCTGAACCACTCCGATGGCAGTCCTGGGCTTGAGTGCCCAGTCGACCACGCTCCAAAACTCGGCAATGAAGTCCTTGCTAAGGTTGTCTATCATTTCGATACTGAAGAACTTGTCGAACGCTCCGGCCCAATCAGGCTTGTTCCTGCACTCCCGGAAGTCCATGTAATGCACCTTGACGCGGTCGGCAAGTCCGGCATCAGCGACGCGTCGGGTGGCCAACTCAGCTTGCTCCGTCGACAAGGTGATTGTATCGATAGTACAGTCGACAGTCTGCGCCATGAGTATGGCCAGTGCGCCCCAGCCCGTTCCTATGTAGTCATGGTCATGAGCACATTGGACAGCTAAGTCAAATGGAGATACATACCTATCTCTAGCACACGGTCGCCGGGCTGTATCCTCAACTGGCGTATAATATTCCTAAGGCAGGTATCAGTAAGGCATTTCATCCTGTTTCTGACGAGCATACCGCATCTTTCTCATCTGCGCTGTGGGCATGGCCCATGGTCTACGCACGGAATCGACAATATACGAACGCGTCAGGGCGGGAAATGGGACGGCAATACGGCGCAAGGCATCTCCGAGAAGTACGGACTTGGGGAGCGCGACATGAATGGGCCAAATACATTCCAACTAAGCCAAGTATACGGTTACCGAAGGTGCTACGGACGACTACATGGGGTCAGTTGAGCGAAGGACTTGCGTTGCGAACGTTCCCTCCGTCCCCGTTCCTTCCGGACCCTCCGGCCTCTCGGTCAGCAGCAGCATCGGCAACGCTACGCGTGAAGCCCATGGGGCGGGGATTGAGAGCCATCGAACCCCTAGACGTCGCGAAGACTAAACGACGAGGAATTCCGGAATAATCGTCCGGAAGGTACAGCCCGTGTGACAGCTGGTCTTGAATACCTTGGACCGCGGCGGAGAGCGCGGCTAGCCCACCATCGAGCTGGTCAAGGGCGTCGGTGGTCGAACACTGAGCATCACTCAGAGCGTCCAGTTGGTCGGTGATGACGTCCCATCCGACGGAAGAAGCGCGCTGGTTCGATAGAGCGAGCGGACTGTTGCGATAGGAAATGGCAGGGAGCGGAGCGCCTTCTTCAGCAATGCTCTGCTCGGCGAGGACACGGTTAGGCGACCAGGCGATGACGGGGTATGGCTCGGGGAGAGGCGAAGCATGCTCGGAAGGAAGGGTTGCGAAGACGGTGTCGAGGTACACTATCAGGGCGTGCACGGACGGGGTCTGGTGGACGGAAGGGAGAGAGATATCCCCGGAGGCTACGGCGATGCTACGGGACTCGAACAGCATGCGCTGGAGTACAGTCAGCGCGGGACACGACGAATCCTAGGAGAAGGACACACCAACAGCCAGCGACTTCCATGGGCCCAGGCCAGCCAGGCAGTCGGATCGTGGGGGAGGAGACGGGGTTCCAAGTCGCGTTCGTGTCGGAGGAGCTCGAGGAGACGGTAGAAGCGTGCGACGTATGGGGATTGACCAGGGAGGGACATGTTGGGCGGAGGCGGTGAGGGAAGGAGGCCTGGGGTCTCACTGGCCAACCGGGAGGAAGGGGGAGTAGGGGAGAGAACGGGGAGAGTCGGGAAGGTCGGAGGGCGTGGGAAGTTGGGGAGGGGAAGGACATGGTGTGCTGGCGCAGGGAGGGGGACTTACTTACCACCACCACTTCGAGAGCGGACGGTTAGAGGCAACTCCTGCGAACCAGGACAGTTCTGTTTTTCTTAGCGGCGTATAAATCTCTCTGTCTCTCTTGCGGATCTGCGGCGACAGCGGCGAGCGGGCGTACAGCGAACTCTGCGTATTTGCGTGTCTTTGCGGGAACAGCGGTTCCATCGTTCAGCGGAACGAACACCGGGCAGCGTAGCCTAACCATTTCCCTTCCCCCTTCCTTCCGTGACTGCTAATAGTTACGTCGACATCGTCCGACAACGAAACCCGTCGTTTCTACCGACTATCGACCCCTGCTCCCTGCCACCTCATACGGCCCTGGGAGACTCGCAACCTACACAACTGGAGCCCACCGCGAGGGGTTTTATTTGTTGGATCTCATCGACGCTTACGCGTAACAACCATACATCCTGCCTCCTCTAACTCGTCTACGTGCGAAGACTCTTCCCTCCGGACTTCGTAACCAGTCGCCACCGCGTCTGCGAACACCGTCTCGTAACCTTCTCCAGGAGTTAGCGGTAGCGCAGCACTCCCCTGACACCCCGGGCAACATTTCGTTAGCGGCTCCAGCCCTCGACGACATTCCGGGCGTTCACCACGACGACAGCGATAGCGATAACCCGTTCTACATCTTCCCGGAAGGAAGAACTCCGGTCGGCAGCAACTCTCCTCTCACTTCCGTGTCATCTATACCGCCGGATCCCTCGTCCGCCGACGTCCTCGGCGTAACTCGGACCCCAGCCCTATACCTATACCGATTCATCCCGCCTTCATTCCTCTCCCACAGTCTCCGGTTGGCTCCTCGCCGTCGTTATTCCCATTGTCTGTTCCTACCTCCGATTCCCCAACGCCTTCTACAGTCTCATCTCTAACTCTTTCGTCCGTATCACCCTCGCCCGCACCGAGTATGGCAACGCAAGGAAGTCGGATGCCCCTGCGCACGGAGCGTCACGCACCAAAGTTCGATGGGACTCCGCGTGCTCTAGGGCGCTACTTCGAGGAGCTCGCGGACCTGTTCACGCTGGTAGGCGTCGTCAACGACGCCGAGAAAATAAAGTACGCGAAGCGTTATATCAAACCCGAGGATGACGAGATCTGGGGTACGGTCGCGGTGGAGGCCGACACGACTTTCGATGAATACTGCACGGCGGTCATGGGGCTGTACCCCGGCGCTGACGGCCAGTCCAAGTATATGGTCGACGACCTCAAAGCTATTGCAAGGGAATCACTCTATGCGGCCACGTCAACCAGGGGAGCAGAAGCCGAGTACTATCGGAAGTTCCTTCCGGTGGCGAAGTTCCTGTTAGCACAGAGCCTAGTCTCGAAGATACAGGTCAGCGACTGCTTCCTGGAAGGGTTCCCGCCCATGGACGCGGAGCGCGTTAAGCGCCGCGTCGAGATCATGTACAAGGAAGTCGACCCTTCGAGAGGTTTCGACCTCGCGCAGCTGCACGCGGCCGCCCAGACTGCTCTATCACCCGTGGGGTATGGGGGCGGCGGAGGAGTCACTACCACAGGTGGGGGGAGTTCGGCGACGAAGGGTACCGCGACCACCGTCAAGGCGGAGAGCTCAGCTGACGAGATTGCTCGCGCGTTGCTGGCGTACCTTGGCGGCGGGAATCAGGGAGGAGGGGGAGCATTACCGGCCAGGGTTCCATTTCGTCCGACGTTTAACGCGTACCCAGCTACCTATGGAGGCGCGCCCAATGGTTACGGCAACTTCGGAGCTGGAGCGGGCGGAGGAATGGGGCGAGGTGGAGGGTACGGGAACCCAGGGGCGACGGCGGGACCAGGCTATGGCGGTGCCGGAGCGTACGGGGGAGGAGGAGGAGGAGGAGGAGGGTACGCCCCGAGTACGTGCAACTTCTGCGGTCAGCAGGGACACTTCTTCCGCGAGTGCCCCGAGGTGCGAAACTACGAACGGATGGGAAAGATTGCCCTGGATTCAGACCGTCGTGTGAGACTTCCGAGCGGTGATTACGTGTCGAGGAACCTGCCGGGAAACCTCATGCGCGAACGGGTGGATAACTGGCACGCGATGTTTGGGGCTGGAGCGGGAGGAGGAGGAGGCACCGCGCCTCAGAATGCGCAGCCGGACGGGGCACAACGGGACGCTCCTCCGCACCTGGCAGCGAATATTGTTGAGATCGTCGAGGAGGTCGAGAGCGCGAACTTGATCGAGTTGGTGGAAGGATACGCGTATGAAGCGTGCGAAGAAGAAGGCACGGACCCCGAGGATCGAGCTAGAGAGCTGGAAGCGAAGGCTGAGGCCTTGATTGCTGAAGCAGCGCGAACGCGGAGCGGGGGAAAGAAAGTGACGTTCGAGGAGCCGACGAAGGGCAAGAGTCCCGGAAAGCCGCTCCCGCCTGCGCTGAAAGGGCCTAGTGGGAAACCTCCTGGTGTGCCAGCGAAGTCCGGTAGTAGTCCAGCGGCCGGAGGGAAGGAAGTAGGCTCCGGAACGAAGGGGACGAAGGGGGAACCACAGTACAAGTACACCACGAAGCTTAGTGGCGACAAGGACTCCGGGAAGAAGGCAGAAGAGCTGGTCGACCGTATGCTTGACGGAGGAGCGTTGCCGGCCTGGAGGGAGATCGGAGAGGTTAGCACCGACTTCCGTCGCGCCATGACCGAGAAGAGCCGCACGTACCGTGTCCCCTTGTCGGCGAACCTGGCCGAGGTCTGGAGCGAGGCAGAGCCCGTGGAGACAGCCCTGTTGGTAGATGGCACGGAACTCGACTTCGAATGCTGGGATTCCCTCCGCCTGCGCACTGTGAAGCCCAAGATCAACGGGGTGGAGAACATCGAGTGCGTCCTCGATACCGGCGCGCAAATGGTGATCGTCCGGAAGGATGTTTGGACGCGACTCGGAGGTTCCCTGCGCCCGGATGATCGTGTCATTATGGAGACCGCCAACGAGGCGAAGGTCAGGACGGTCGGGAAAGCAATCGGGTTGCGTTTTACCTTCGGAGCGGATCTAGAGGTGATCCTCAACGCACAGATCGTTGACGCGGCGCCGTTCGAGGTACTCCTCGGTCGTCCGTTCTTCGCGGCGACGAGCTGTGAGACTCGCGACTTCCCCAATGGTAATCAGGAGGTGATCCTGACGGACCCGAAGACCAGCCGGCGTATCATGGTGCCAACATTTGAGCGAGGTTCTCGGAAGGTGCTTAAGAAGGCAGAACCCGTGCGAGTTCCCGTGAAGAAGGAAGAGTCAGACGGTGGCGAAGAGGGTTTTTAGTCGTCGAGGATGTAAGCGCAGCGAGCGGAGACGATCTGGTATGCCTTTGGTCACTATATGCATGGGACGACGGAGATGGTGGAAGCGAGGAGAGCTTTTACGTCGCCAAGCAGGAAAGGAAGCCAGGATCGTCGGACGAACCGTCATATACCCAGTCATGTACAGCACTCGAGACGCGTAGCAGCTTGAAACACGAAGATGTTGCTCGGTATGAGGCCCATGGGTGTGACGAAGAGTTCGACGATCCGGGATGCGAAGGGGAGATGGAAGAGACGTTCCGGGTGGAGGTCGACGACGTGATTCACGCGCTGGCATACAAGAAGGTAGCGCGGAAGGTGCGGCCGGTGGCTACGACCCTACCGGAGGAGTTTAGAGTGGTACGGAGGGAAGCTACCGATGCCCTAGACGGTGTGTGCTGTTGAGTTCGGCTCCCTCCGTACAGGGTAAGGAGGAAGGGTAGACTTTTAGTCAAGGAAGGGTAGTGATATTAGGTGTATGCGACGAGTGTATCGTCGAGAAGACAAGTCTATACGAGAGCGAAATATAGAGAGTTCCTTCCGAGCCGTCTGCCCGAGTCGAGAGCCTCCGAGTCCGAGTCCTAGTCCGCGTCCGAGAGTGGGTCCTACGTGTCCTCCCCCGCTCCCTCCGCCTCGCTACTTATCCTCCTTCAGCCGAGCTCACGTGCCCCGCCCTCCTTCCCTCCGGGTCTGCCCCCTCCCTCCCTTCTCTCCCCACTCACGCCTTCGTTCCTATACCGATGGCGCAGCCCCCGAACCCCACCACCTCGTCGCACTCCGCTCGCTACCTCCGTCTTGTCGATGTTCTCCGGTACGAAGGGACGTTCGAGCCCCGGTTCGACGTGGAGCACGCCACTGCCTGGCTTGCGTGGGCTCATGGTGCCCGCTGGCTCGTGGTTCGTCCGCCCCGTCGCTCTCCTCATCCCTCCTGACCCGTCTGCATTGCCCCAGCGAATGCTCTTCGAGTCGTATGCCCTAGCGACCGCTCACGGCGACGCCCGCGTCCCCCTTCCGTCCGGTATCCCCGAGGTCTGCGAGCTTATCGAGCACCTGGACCGCGTGTTCCTCAACCTCCGCTCTGAGCAGAACGAGGCGCCGCTCCTATACGCGACCATCCCCTGGTCCCCGGACCAGCTTCAGAGGGAGCAAGCCACCGCGGAAGAAGCCCGACCTCCTCCTCCTCCGTCGTATAACGATCCTCCCCTCCGCCTCTCCTCCCTCCGCGGTTCGACCGACAACTGGGACCGCGTCCTCGCCGCAACGGACCGTTCCTTAGAGGTCCTCCGCCTCGAACTCGGCCACCTCCACCGCGGCCTGGCTGAGGCCCGGATCGACCAGCTGTCTGTGATGCGCGAAGTAGTCTCCATCTCGGGCCGTCTAGAGGACATATGTGACGCGCGAGACATCCCTCCCCCGTTGGAATTAATCCGTGACTGAACCCTTACGAGTAGCATCTTCCTCCGTCCGGTTTGTTCGCCCCGGTACCCGTACGTCCTGGCATGTAACGGCTTGCGGAGTTAAATAGATCTGACTTGTGACGCGCTCGAATGACTTCGTAAGATGTCCCGTCGTGGCCTATTGCCGCGGCCCGATGCTTGTCTCCCCAGCTAACGTTCCCGGCCTCTCTGACTCTCCATCTTCCGGCGGTTCCGGCCTCAGCCCGTGGGCACCGCCCACACCTGCCCAGACCTCGGATACTGACCGTCCCCGGTCAGTCCCCTTCCCGCTCTTCTCCTGGCATGAACGTCCCTTGATTCTCGCATCCGTCCCGCCCCTTCCGTTGCTATTCCTGGCCGGCGCTAACGCGATGTTCCTTCCCGCTGCCTGTAGCCACCGCTCCTCGGCCGCCCCTGGTCAGCGTCTGTTCGATCCTCGTGCCTTGGCCTCCCTCCGTCCTCCCTTATCTTCTCATTGCTGTGCCTCTCTCCCCTCCGTCCCGTCACCCACCCATGTCCGCCCCTCCGTACCTCGACGCCGCTGCTGCCGCGGACCTCTCCGCCGTCCTCGTCCGCCTCGTCTCCGCGTTCGAGGTGTATACGGCCGAGGAGATACAAATCCGCCCGCCCCAGTTTCCCGATACCAACACGGTGTATCGCTGGGCGTCGTGGGCCCGCGCCCTCGTGATAGACTTCGTACGTCCCTTCCCGTGGCTAGCCTCCCCCCCATTGACCTCCTTCCCTCCGTTCAGTATGGCTATATCGCGAACCACCATCTAGCGGTGCAGTTCCACCATCCCCCGGCCGAGTTCGACATCCAGCCCGTTCTTGTCCGGCTTTCGATGTCGATGTACCACCTCTCCGGAAATGATCGTGTCCCCGCCGCCCTCCGACCCCTCCTTGCCAACCTGGAGGCCGACCTTCGCCGCCCGGCACAGATTCATCCTAATGGCCGGTACGTTGTCTGGGGGTCGAACCAGTTGTCGTTCCCTCTCGCCGTCCCTCTCCTCCCTCCCTTCCCTCCTTTCCCCTTTTATCCCGTCGTGTTTGACCGAAATGCACCACCTCGTCGTTTCGTGCCCCGACCATTGGAGGAGTACCGGCGGGCTACTCTGCGCGGAGAGGCGGCGACCCCGAACCTGGCCACCATGTCCCTTCCCTCCGCCGCCCTGAGCCCCGCAGCTCAGCCCCCGGAAGGAGTCTTCGTCCCCCCTTTCTTTCCTCCTGGGCCGTTCCGGCTGGACGGCAGCTTCTCCCCTCGGCACGCCTCACAGCTTCCTCCTCCGCCCGCACAATCCTCTCCCGGTCCTTCGGTGCGTACACCGTCCAGCCCCGACCATTTCGTTCGTGACACCGGCCTCCTCGACCCCGTCCCGCCCGTTCCCTCCGCTGGTTCGGTGGTCGCCCCCCAGCCGTCGCCTACTGGCCCTCCGTCGGCTGCTCCGCGCCTCGCCCCTTCGCGATCCTTGCCCGCGCCATCCGCCCCAGGTCCTATCGTCCCCACTACGGGCCTCGTCGACTCTGTCCCTCGGGCCCCAGCGGCGGCTTCTCGTGCACCCCCCGCCAGCTCTCGCCCCGCGCCCATCATCCAAGCTCCTGGGCTGCGGTTGTACGGGGTCTCTCAGCCACCCCCTGCCGTTGCCCCTAGCGCTTCGACCCCGGGTCCCTCCGCCGCGGTTGCTGCCTCCTCGTCACGTCCCTCCGGTCCTGCTGCCTCCTCCGGTCCGGCTGCAGGTTCCTCCGATCCAGTGCCCCCGGCCCCCTCCGGTCAGACGGCCGCGTCTCGAACTCGCTACGGCTTGTTCGTATACGCCCCTAGCCAGGCTTGCAGCAGGTGCGCTGCGCAGAGGCCTCCGGGAGTGTGTCGCGTGGATGGCCACTCGCAGCACTCATGCGCTGGGTGCGTGAAAGCCAAGGTGGGCTGTTCGCTCCGAGGTGTCCGTAAGTCTTTCCCTTCCGGTACTCGTCCCGTCTTTTCCTTCTGACGACTTCCTTCTCCTTTTAGCTACAGCGCGGCTCGGGCTTCGATATATCGGCCCCCACCCCTTGCAGACCAGGCACTCGGTAGCCGGTTCCCTCCAGTTCCTTCCCGACCCGCCGGTCGCAAACGCACCCGCCGACTTACTCGGGGCTTTCCCGTCGTCTTCTAGGGCGGCGAACCCGTCGTCTTCAAGCGGGGCCGGTCCTTCGTCGTCGGTGTTGCCGCGGAAATCGACACCGCTGTTCTTCGACAGCCCGCGTAGTACTCCCGCACCCTCCGTCCCTCCGAACGTGGCCATGCGCTCCGCCGCGCTTGCCTCCGGTGCGACTCACGCCGCGCAGTTGGCTGATCGTTCCCGGTCGGCGCGCCGTTCTCGCCCGCCCATGTCACCCTCCGCGACCCCGTCTGTGAGCGACGAGCACGAAGTCGAGAGCGAGGACGAGCGCGACGAGCTGGACGACGATGAAGAGGAGGTCGCTGGTTTGGTAGGTCAGGTACGCTCCTGGGAGGCGAGCTCGCCGTAAGTGTCCGGTACCGGTGTGTTGCTTGTACAATCCGACGCGTATGCCCCTCGTTCTGTATTAGAATATTCGAGTTAACGCATTGCCATTCTCTCTTTCCGCGTGTGTCGTGCCCGTGTTGCTTGCCATGCGACGGCCTCGTCGTGACGCCCTTGCCTGATTGCTCCGATCTGGGCCTAGGCCCCTACCCCGACCTAAAAATACTGACCGTCCCCGGTCAGTCGTTCCTTCCGGGGCTATTGCGCGGCATCCCGATGGCTGATCGGTCCGGATGGCCACCTTCCCAGTCGAGCTTCCTTCCGTCGCCTCCCGCTGCTACTCACAGCCGGCGCCTGAGCGATCTTCGTGCCCTCGCCCCCTCCGGTCTCTTTCCACTCGCTGCACTCGATCCCCCTTTGCGCCTGCTCCTTCCTCCTCCGACCCCTCGCCATGTCCCAGGCCACGTTCAACTTCGAGCGCGAGCTAGACGTTCAGACCGCTCTGGACGTCTCGCAGGTGTTATCACGGCTCCACGGGTCCTTCAGCGAGGACGTCGCCAACGAAGTTTTCATCGTGATTCCCCCTGGCGGCGTCCCTTCTCTTTGGCTCCCTGAGCTCGCGGTGCTCGCGCGTTGGATGGCTTGGGCTCGGACCGCCGTGTTCCACCTGGTACGTCCCGGCCTTTCCCCCCCCTCCGCGGTTCGTTCCGCGCCTTAACTCTGCCCCCTTCGCCTAGAACGCCTTCGTCGCGAACCTCGTCATCGCGATGCAGTTCGGGTACCCTCCGACGCCGCTCCCTCCCCAGTACGAGGAAGTGATCGCCCGCACCCGTCGCAACGCCTTCAACGTCGGGAGGTGCCAACACCTCGCCCCCGAGCTGGTACAACTCGAGATACGACGTCTCATCGCGGACTTCCGGGTGTACCCCGAGGTACATGACACTGGGCGTTTCATCATCTGGGGTTCCTCGCGAATCCCTCTCGCTGTCCCCCTCCGACCTCCTTTCCCTTATCTCCCCTTTACGCCCCTTCTCTCTGGTCGCCAGCCGCCAGACGATAGGCCCCCTTCTCCTTTGGCTTGTCCCCCTGCTCGCGCCTTCTTCCGAGCTGTGCCTCCGAACGCGCACATTCCATTCCCTCTGGTCGCCCCCCCATCTTCGTACGCTCCGTTTCGTCCTGATGGCACGATCGATCCCTTGGCCTTCGTCCCTCACACTCCCTCCGACCAGTCCTCCGGGATCGCCAGCCCAGCAAGGGGACTCTCCGACGACGAGCTAACTCAGTTCTACGCCGCTTCTTCCCCCTCCTTGGCTCACTCCCCATCCGTCGGAGGCCGCTCCCCCTCCGTCGAGTACTCTTCCGGACCTGATGATCCGCCCCCGTCTCCTCCTCGTCGACCCCGCACGACCCGCCCGTCCTCTGGTCCCCCCGCCACGACTGACGCGCACGGCAACCGCATCTTCGTACCGCCTCGCCCCCGCCCTGGCACGTCTCGCCCAGTTGCATCGTCCATCCCCTCGCTCGCGAGTGCCCCGGCGGCCCCCTCCGTAGTTCCGAGGCCCTCAGGCCCCCCCGTGCCTCCGCGCCCGACCGTGCCCGCCGCCACCGTTCCCACAGCGTCGACGGTTTACACCGATCCTGCGCCACCACTCCCCTCCGGTGCCTCCGAAGCCTCGCGCTCCCGGTACGGATTGTTCGTGTATGCACCACAGACGCCGTGCGAGAGATGCGCCGCACTGTCTCCTCGTGGGCTCTGCCGAGTCGACGGCAACCCCGACCACGCGTGTGTATACTGTGCGAAGAAGAAGACGAGGTGCAGTATCCGCCACACCCGTGAGTCACCCTGTTTCACCACCACGCCCCTCCGTGATCTGGCCACTGACTTCACGCCTAGCCGTCCGGTCCTTAAGGCTTCGGTACGTCGGTCCTCACCCTTCCCAGACCCGGGACGACGCCTTGCTGTACTCGGCTTCGTTCCGTCCCGACCCTCCTGTCGCGGGTACTCCTTCGGACCTGCTACAGGCATTCCCTCGCTCCGGAGAAGGCGTGACTCCGTCCTCCGCCGCCCCGAGCGCACTCGCCATACCCGTTCCCACCGCCCCTCCGAGTGTCCGCCTCCGCTCAGCTGCCCTGGCTTCTAGCGCGACGCATGCCCAGCACCTCGCTGTCCATGCGAGTTCGCTACGCGATCGGCCGCCATCGAGGACTCCTTCCGACCCAGCCGACTTCCGGTTCGAACCGCCAGACGACGAGGACGAAGAAGACGGGGGTAGCGGCGGGCCCGGAGAGGACGAAGAGGAAGGAGAGGTTTTCAATCTCGTTACCTCGATACGGGGAATGCACGCCTCATCCCCTGCGCCCCAGTAAGTACTCGGTGTGTGTTTCCAGACAGTCTCCTCCGCGCGTGTACGATAGATCCTAGATAGGCCGTGAATATGCCATCCCTGCTTTTGTTGCCCCCTCCGCGCGTGCTTCGGTTAGCTGGTTTCTTGATCCTGCAGGCCCGCGCGTTTATGCACCCTCCGGGGTCGTGCCTCGTGCTTGCCATCGATATGCCGCCCATCCGCATATAAATTAAGGGTCCCTGCACTTGCTGATTCCCCGCCGACGTCCACAAGGACCTGATGGTGAGTTCCCCTCCGGTGCATCCTTGGTGAAGCTAACAGCCGCCTTCCTCCAGTCTGCTCCGTCCACCGCTGAGGAAACCCCGCTGTCGTCGTGCACCCACTGCTCCTCCGCCGATGCTCATCCCCCCGGGATCTGTGCCCCCTCCGCACCCGTCGGTGTCCTTCCCCCGGTCGTGATACCCATGCAGGATAGGGTCGATGTCCTCGAAGCCCGAGCAACGTCGCAGGCTAGCGAGTTGACCTCCCTCCGACACAGTGTCAATGCCCTTACCGCGATCATGCCTGGCCCATGCCCGTCCCCCTCCGAGATGCATCGTACCACAGCAGCCCTTTCCGAACGGATCGAACATTTGTCGGAGTTCGCGCACTTCGTGGATCGTGCTTCGCGCGCTCGAGTCGTGAGGCCAACGACAACTTCGCTTTCATGCTGATTCGTGTTGACACCCTCACCGAAGACCTGGCCCGGGTTTCCTCCATCATGCAGGACCTGTCTCGCACCGCCTCCGACCCCGCCGTCGTAGACTCCCTTGCCACCGTTGAACGCTCCATGCACTCCATCCTCCAGATCCTAGGACGTTCGTCGGGGTCGTCCGCTCCGAACCCTCGTTCCGAACCCGCTCCTTCCCGTGGTCGATCTCGGCGTAACCACCATTCCCGCGGTCGCGGGCGCGGAGGGCCTCCTGGCGTGCATTTCGACTTTGGGCTCGGTCCCAACTAACCCTTCCCTTCCTTCCTCCCCTCGTTCCCTCCTCGGATTCTACTTCTCCTCCCTCCTCCTTCCCCTTTCTTCCGTCCGAGGCTTCATTCTTCATCCCCGTCCACTTCCCCGTCCTCCCCGTCGAACCGGTCTCCGTAATGTTCGTTCTCATCTGGTAAGTACTCCTCCCACTCCTCTACCTCCTCGAGTCGTACTGACGACCTGCTCCTTCCGCGGTACGGAATGACTCTGAATGCAGCATAGCGGTGCCGGGACACACTCCCATCTAGTTCGGCCAGGATGTACGCTCCCCCTTCTGTTCTTCGTACGACTACCATCGGCCCCGAGTATCGTCGCTTCGCTTTGCGGTTATGTTCGGTTTCGATCTGAGAATTCCGTACTAGCACGAGGTCTCCACGCTTGTGATCGTAGTCCTTTATGACATGTTCGTTCCGCTTGATGAACTCCCGGACCGACTTATACCTTCCGGCCAGCACTTTAGCGTGTATGGCGTCCAGATCTTCCCTCCGCTTGAGTAGTTGCTGCGCCTTCATGGCCAAGAGGTCGCGAGTCGACATTTCTTCCTCCGGAAGCGGCACTAGGTACGTAGCTTCAGCTAGGTCGAATGGAAGGAGCGGTTCCACGCCGTGCACGATCCGATACGGCGACATCCCGGTACTCTTCTGTATCGACACTCGCTCCGCCCAGAACACTGCATCGATGACCGACGGCCATTTCGCCTCGTTCCCTCCGCAGATTTTCATGGCCGCTTCGCGGACATCGGTATGTCTCCTCTCTACTATCCCGTTCGCCCTCGAGTTATACGGTGAGATCTTGATGTGCCTGATCCCGTACCGCTTCTCTAACTCCTTCATTGCCGCAAGGAACGCCGTGCCGTTGTCCGTGACGATTTCCGACACCGCCCCCCACCGGCAGAGTATATCCTCGTAGATGAACTTCGCTAGTGTTATCGCCGTCTCGGTTCGTAGCTTCCTCCATTCCGGATACGACGACATGGAACACCGCGCCTGTACGAGGTACGAGAAGCCTCCGGCCTTCGGCATGTGCATAGTGTCGATATGCACCTTCTGGAACAGTCCCAAAGGCGTCGCCACGGTCGGCGGAATCTTCACTTTCTGCATACTTCGCAGCTGACACTCGTGGCACGTTCCGACATACCACTTGACGTCTCGTTCCAAGTTAGGCCACCAAAACCTCTCGAGGATCCTCCTCCGCACGGTGAAGATTCCTTTATGCCCTAGGTCGTCGTGCGCTTCCCGTAGCAGTCCTAGCCTCCGAGGATACGAGATCACCCGTTTGTGCTTTCCCTCCGGGTCTCGTCGCCACAATCGCTCGTTCCGGAGGAAGAACTGGGACGCCCGTTTCACCAGCTTCTTAAACCTCAAGTCATCCATCCCCTCCGGTCTCTCCACGTCTTGCAGGAACCTTTGTACGACTTCCAACTCCTCGTCTTGCCGCTCCGTTGCGTCATTCCTTGGCAGCACCACTTCTTCGCCCCCTCCGCGCTCGACCGTCCAGCACATCACCCTTCGCTCTTCCCGAGCCGCCCACCCGACTCGCCGTACGCTAGGTTCGGAAGTGTTGCCGTAGAAGACCGCGAACCCGCACGCATCGTCGATCCATTGTTCGTGGTCGTCTTCCTCCTCCGGGTCCTCGTCCGCACGTCTCCTCCGAGATAGGCCATCCGCCCCGGAGTGCTTGTCCCCCGGGACGTGTACGAGCTTGAAGTCAAACAGCAGAATCCCGGCAATCCATCTGTTAATCGTCGCATTTGGCTGGATGTCCGGGTTATTGAGCATCCCCTTGATGTACTTCGCGTCTACCTCCACTACCAGTGCCTTTACTCCGATAATGTGTATCCGGCTGGCCCGGAGTGCCCGGAAGAGGCCGTAGAGCTCGACTTTCGGCTGCGAGTAGTTGGATTCCCGCTCGTTCCACGTTATAGACCCAAACCTACTAGGCCGGCGCCTTGCTGCCTCGTCCAGTTGTAGCAACACGTAGCCCACCCCGATAATAGAGGAGTCCACCGCTAGGATCACCGCCCGCTCCGACGTGTAGTCTATCGGAAGGAGTGCAGGCGAGTCGATCAACGCGTCCTTCAGGAGCTTCATCGCGCGCTCTTCCTCCGAGCCCCATTCGAAGTCTACTTCTCTCTTCGTTAGCCTCGTCAGCGGTTTTGCCAGCTTCGCAAAGTCCTTCACGAAAATACGGACAAGCCCCATCGTTCCTAGAAATCCTCGGACTTCGGTCACACTCTGGCAGGGTGGCCAGTCCCGGATCCGCTGTATCCGCCCTTCCTCCGGCACCCTCCCCTCGTACGTGCACTTGTGTCCCACTACAACGATGTCGGGCACGCAGATGTAGGCCTTCTTCCCTGAGAACGTGCCGCCAACCCGCTTCATCCGGTGTAGGATTCGGTTCATTACTTGCAGATGCTCCCAGACGAACCGCCGTATCCCTCCGTTTCCTTCGATCGTTTCGTACCCTCCGTCCGCTATCTCGTATCGCGTCTTCGGCCCTTTCACCGGCGCGTCGTCCACGAACGGAATGGTGAACCCCGGGATCTCGTCTCGGAGGATGAACGTAACATCCCCGTGGACAATCTGCATCGCGTTGGTCCATCCCATGGGTACCGAAGTAAGGCGGAGTGCACCTAGCGGCGACTGGAATGTTGTCAGGTCTCTCGACCGGGCATCCAGTGTTCGCTGGTCGAAGGCTACGAACAGGTCCAACGATCCATAGCAAGCCCTTCCTCCGAACGACTCCGCCAGCTGTTCCACAAATGGCGGCACCGACGAATCCTTGATGGTAACCGCGTTCAACGGCTGCAAATCGTGCACCAGCCGGAGGGACTTCCCATCCTTCTTAACCACACAGAACCACCGTGACCGGTACGACGAGCTTGAAGGTTCGTACACCCCGGATGCTATCTTGTCCTTGATGATTTGTACCACTTCGTCGTAGATCCCCGGCGGTATGGGTATGTTCTTGTGCGCCCATGGAATGTGTTCAACGGCCGGAATGACCACTGGGTCGAAGTACTCGTCTGTCAGCCGCCCCTTCTCTGTCTCGTCCCAGGCGAACGCCTTCTCGTGCTCGGCCACCAACCAGTCCACCAGTTTAGCCTCCTCTTCCCACAAGAACCCGTCCTTCCGTACGTCCAGCTTCTCCCTCCGCGCTTCCGTATACCGCCCCCGAGGTTCGAACTCGCCCGCCCTGGTCGGAAGCTCAGGCAGACCCTCCAGAGCGTTTCGCACTTCCCTCCGGACCACTTGAAACTCTTCGGGGAGCGTAGTGGCCACCGGTCGCACCTTCCGGGCCACCTTTTTGTACGCTAGTACGTGCGTTAATGCCCCGAGGTGGACCTCAAACGTCTCCTCCGGGTAGTCTTTCCCTCCCTCCTTTTCCCGCTCATCGCCGACCGTTTCGCCGTTTCCCTCCGCGTGATACAATGGAACAATATCGATTGAACCCGTCGTCGACGGGATGTTGCCAGTACATGCAGGGGTATACGACGAGTCGGCTAGCGATCTTTCTTCCTCTACCTTTGCTGACGCCGTTTCCTCCGTCCCGGGCTCATCGTCGTCGCAAAGGTACATAGACCAGAGGCATACTAGACCGTCTCCGCTCGCATTGCTCGCATCATCGACAATCAAAAACCCTCCTTCTCCCCTCCGTCCGTCTTCTTCCCTTCCGATCCGGCACTCCCCTCCCCGCCTTCGTCTGGCTGACGCGGCTTCCGTTCGTACGTCTGGATCATTACCCTCCGCTTCGTCTTCGGGTCGGTGAGGATAACCTCCATCCTCCCGTTCGGATGATCCTTCGTTTCACAGCTTGTTGCCGCGAAGAAGGGTCTGCCGAGAAGGACCTCGAACGGAGCAATGTCGACGATCTGCGCGTTTAGGAAGACTTCCACATCCTCGTCGAAGACGAACCGTACCCCCACCGCCTTTCCGACCGTCCTGATCTGCGACTTGTTCGCCGTCTCCATAAGCACCCTGTCGTCCACGCGGAGGCTCCCTCCGAGCCTTTCCCAGACGTCCCTTCGTATGAGAACGACCTGTGATCCGGTATCTAGCACGCACTCGAGCCCGGCTACCCCGTTCACCGTTGGCCCTACTGTGCGGAGATTGAGGGAGTCCCAACACTCGAAGTTCGCAATATTCCTTCCGGCCCCGACGAGGAGAGACGTCTCGCTGGCTTCCTCCTTCTCCTCCGCTACCATGCCCGACTGCAACGGAACACGGTACGTGCGAGTACGCTCGTTCATGGCCTTTCGGAAATCTATGCTGACCTCGCCCAGCTCGTCCCACATCGGCCGGTCCCCGCCCTTCAGCATTCGGTCGACCAGCTCATCCGCCTTCCTCATCGGGTCCCGTTCCGCATTCAGCTTCGTGGTGTACTTGTACTGCGGGTCACCCTTCGCTTCCCTCCGGACTTCGCTGGCTCCGGCGGCACCGACTTCGCAGGGATCCCTGGTGGCTTTCCCGCGCTCCCCTTCATCGTACTTGCCTTGATGCTTCCCCACCAGCTACTTCGTCCTCGAACCTGACCTTCCTAGCTCCACGCAGCTTCGCCGCTTCCGCCGCCAGCACCTCCGCCTTCTCTTCCAGTTCCTTCGCTTCCCGTTCCGTATCGTCCCCGACAGACACCGCGCTCGCGACGCTGAATCCTTCTACAAGTTCGACGAGGTGGGCCGAGAGATGCGGTGGGGCGTCCGCGGACGTATTCCCTCCGTCCTGCACGTTTCCTCCGCCCTTGTTCAGCCCTTCCGCCGCATGCCAGTTATCTACGTTTTCCTTCATCGTGCTCCCCCCGAGGTATCGCCCGGGTAGTGCCCGTTCGGGAGGATGATCTTCCGCATCGCGTCGAACTGTATGCGGCCGTCCTTTGCGTACCGTCCCACCTCAGGACACTCCCTGAGGAAATGTCCCATGACTCCGCAGAAGTTACAGATACTCTGCCCGAACCCGGTCCCTCCGGTCGGTGGTCCACTGTTCCCGTACGTTCCGGTCCCTCCAGCTCTCGGCGCCCACCCTCCGGTTCCTCCGAAATTGGCTGAAGGTCCCGCAAAGGGTGCTGGGTACGCCCGGAACGAGGTACGAGAGGCCACATTCGCAGGTAGGCTCCCTCCTCCGTTACCTTGGTGGTACTGCTGCAACTGCCGACACGAAAGCCCTCGTCATTACTTCGTACGTAGGCTCCGTTTTGATAGGGGTCGTCGCGCCGACACTCGTCGTTCCTGCCGTCCCGGTCGCGCTCGAAGGACTCGCCCCGTACCCAACAGCTGTCAGGCACCGTTGCGCCGCGTCGTGTAGGTCCGTAAGCTCGAAACCCTCCCACGGGTCCTTCTCCGGGAACATCACTTCAGCGCGGCGCTGGATCGAGCCTTTCGTCTCGTCGTCGAACCCCGCGAGATACTTCATGCAGACCTCCTTCCGCGATACCGTGCCCTTCTTGTCGAGGAACATCGCAGCCGGAAGGAACTTGCGATAGTACGCCGCCTCCTCCCCTCGGGTCCTAGTCCCTGCTGCCCTCGATTCCTTGGATATAGCGTCGAGGTCCTCGGCCATATACTTCGACGCTCCGTCCGATCCTGGGTACAGCTTCATTACCGCCTCCTTGAACTTATCGTACCCGTCGGCCCCTTTCTCCGGCACCGTATCCCATATCTCTGCGTCGTCCGCCGACAGGTAGCGTTTCGCTGACTCGACCTTCTTTACGTCATCGACGACCCCCGCGTAGGCAAAGAGCTCCTGCAGCTCCGAGAAATAACGGGCGAGTGCCCTAGGCGTACCGTCAAACTTCGGGGCCGACCTTTCCCCTCGGAGGGGCATCCTCCGGTTCGTGGATTCGGCCATACTGCTCGACGTAGTGGACACAGTAGACAGGGTTTCTGACGATTCGGAAGAGGACGGAACGTCTGAGGATGATTCGATGATTGGGAGGGGGTCTCGGTACTCCCTCCGTGAGTCGATGCTAGAGGTCGTGCTGGGGGAAGGTTCCCTCCGGGTGGCGACGAGGGCTAGGGGAACCGAGTCTTCGGATGACGACGGGGCGGGTGTGAGCGACGACTCGCTGCTGGAGACCCGGTAACGGTCGGTTCGACTACGGTAAGGTGCCTCACTGTCGCTGTCGCTGCCACGTGGCCACGCAACTGCTTCGCTCGCTGTCGACGGTAGGACGACGTTCGACGGGGTGTCGGGTGCGTTTTGGACAGTGATGAACTCCCTGAGGAGGTTACGTGTGGGCGAAAGCGGGTGGTTCGAGACGGGTACGCGGTGAGGAAGTGTGTATGCTCTGGTCCTCGGTCGCCTTGGCGCGGAGGAAGAGTTGTCGGGGAGAAGGACGGGACGTTGGTCTAGAGACTGATTCCTACCCCTCGCGGTGGGCTCCAGTTGTGTGCTGTTGAGTTCGGCTCCCTCCGTACAGGGTAAGGAGGAAGGGTAGATTTTTAGTCAAGGATGGGTAGTGTATTAGGTGTAAGTGACAAGTGTGTCGTCCAGAAGACAAGTCTATACGAGAGCGAGATATAAAGAGTTCCTTCCGAGCCGTCTGCCCGAGTTCAGAGCCTCCGAGTCCGAGTCCTAGTCCGCGTCCGAGAGTGGGTCCTACGTGTCCTCCCCCCGCTCCCTCCGCCCCGCTACTTATCCTCCTTCAGCCGAGCTCACGTGCCCCGCTCTCCTTCCCTCCGGGTCTGCCCCCTCCCTCCCTTCTCTCCCCACTCACGCCTTCGCTCCTATACCGATGGCGCAGCCCCCGAACCCCACCACTTCGTCGCACTCCGCTCGCTACCTCCGTCTTGTCGAGGTTCTCCGGTACGAAGGGACGTTCGAGCCCCGGTTCGACGTGGAGCACGCCACTGCCTGGCTTGCGTGGGCTCATGGTGCCCGCTGGCTCGTGGTTCGTCCGCCCCGTCGCTCTCCTCATCCCTCCTGACCCGTCTGCATTGCCCCAGCGAATGCTCTTCGAGTCGTATGCCCTAGCGACCGCTCACGGCGACGCCCGCATCCCCCTTCCGTCCGGTATCCCCGAGGTCTGCGAGCTTATCGAGCACCTGGACCGCGTGTTCCTCAACCTCCGCTCTGAGCAGAACGAGGCGCCGCTCCTATACGCGACCATCCCCTGGTCCCCAGACCAGCTTCAGAGGGAGCAAGCCGCCGCGGAAGAAGCCCGACCTCCTCCTCCTCCGTCGTATAACGATCCTCCCCTCCGCCTCTCCTCCCTCCGCGGTTCGACCGACAACTGGGACCGCGTCCTCGCCGCAACGGACCGTTCCTTAGAGGTCCTCCGCCTCGAACTCGGCCACCTCCACCGCGGCCTGGCTGAGGCCCGGATCGACCAGCTGTCTGTGATGCGCGAAGTAGTCTCCATCTCGGGCCGTCTAGAGGACATATGTGACGCGCGAGACATCCCTCCCCCGTTGGAATTAATCCGTGACTGAACCCTTACGAGCAGCATCTTCCTCCGTCCGGTTTGTTCGCCCCGGTACCCGTACGTCCTGGCATGTAACGGCTTGTGGAGTTAAATAGATCTGGCTTGTGACGCGCTCGAATGACTTCGTAAGATGTCCCGTCGTGGCCTATTGCCGCGGCCCGATGCTTGTCTCCCCAGCTAACGTTCCCGGCCTCTCTGACTCTCCATCTTCCGGCGGTTCCGGCCTCAGCCCGTGGGCACCGCCCACAACGGGCTTCCTGAACTGCTGTTACACCCACTGGAGTTTGTGCCTATGGGACGATACACGCAGGAGAGGAGGGATGCCTTGGACGTCGGAGGGAACGGATTCCTTACCGAAGAAGAGACCAAGCTGGTGGACTGGATTGTCGGGGTTCATAACCAGGCCTTTGCCTGGGAAGAGAGCGAGAAGGGTCGACTGAAAGACGAATACTTCGACCCGGTGGTGATTCCGACTATCGAGCACGTTCCTTGGGTTTTCAGGAACATCCCCATTCCGCCAGGGATTTACGATGACGTTGTACGAATCATCAAGGACAAGATCGCCTCCGGAGTGTACGAACCTTCGAGCTCGTCTTACCGCTCTAGGTGGTTCTGCGTGGTAAAGAAGGATGGGAAGTCATTAAGATTGGTGCACGACCTTCAACCGCTGAACGCGGTAACTATCAAGGATGCGGCGGTACCTCCGTTCGTCGAGCATCTCGCGGAGTCGTTTGGAGGGCGTGCCTGTTACGGATCCTTCGACCTCTTCGTTGCGTTCGATCAACGGACCCTCGATGCTCGCTCCCGGGACTTGACAACGTTTCAGTCGCCCCTAGGAGCAATGAGGCTCACCTCGGTTCCCATGGGGTGGACGAACGCAATGCAGATCGTTCATGGTGACGTGACTTTCATGTTGAAGGACGAGATTCCGGATGTGACTATCCCGTTCGTTGACGACGTGCCCATCAAGGGACCTAAGACGCGCTATGAGCTCCCGGAAGGAGGGTACGAGACGATTCCGGGCAATGCGGGTATTCGACGGTTCGTATGGGAGCAGCTACAGGCCACGAACCGGATCCTGCAGCGCGCAAAGGTGGCGGGAGCAACCTTCTCGGGAAAGAAAGCCTACGTCTGCGTGCCCGAAATCGTTACGGTTGGCCATAAGTGTACGTATGAGGGACGGGAACCGGAGGAAAGTCGGGTGCAGAAGATCAAGGACTGGCCTCCATGCCAGACGGTGACGGATGTACGCGCTTTCCTTGGGACGATGGGGTTGGTCCGGATATTCGTCAAGGACTTCGCGAAACTGGCCAAGCCGTTAACGCGGCTCACGAAACGAGAAATCGAATTTGAATGGGGAGAAACGGAGGAACGTGCTATGGCCCGGCTCAAGGACGCGCTAGTGAACTCCCCTGCGCTTATGCCTATCGATTACGCCTCAGGAAGGACGGTTATCCTAGCGGTTGACTCGTCCATTATTGGGGTCGGGTTCGTCTTACTTCAGCTCGATACTAGCGAGAGACGGCGACCAAGCCGTTTCGGCTCGATTACGTGGAACGAACGGGAGTCGCGGTACTCCCAGGCGAAAGTCGAGTTGTATGGTCTCTTCCGAGCGCTGAGAGCATCGCGGATATACATCATCGGAGTGAAAGACCTGGTGGTCGAAGTCGACGCTAAGTACATCAAGGGTATGCTGAACAACCCGGATATCCAACCCAACGCGACAATGAACCGATGGATCGCGGCCATCCTCCTGTTTGATTTCAAGCTCGTACATGTCCCCGGAGAGAAACATTCTGGAGCGGACGGACTCTCGCGCCGACGACGAGCTGAGGAGGACGTCGATGAGAAGGACGATTTCGAAGAATGGATCGACGAAGCCTGCGGATTCACCATCCTGTGCTGGAACAGCTGCGAGCCAAGTACCCGATGGAGAGGACCGCGGGCCCGGAAGGAAGAACAGATATTGTGCCTCATGGCAGGGGAACAGAGCGACGAGGAACCCGAGATTCCGTGACATGTGAAGGCCGAGAAGCAGGACGGGGAGTTGGAACAGATACGGGAGTTCTTGGAGACCACGGAACGACCGGGAGACATGACCGAGCAAGAGTTTAAGCGGTTCGTGCGAAGGGCCAGCGAGTTCTTCGTGAGGGATGGAAAACTCTGGCGGCGTGACCCGGAAGGAAAACACAAGCGCGTCATACCTATAGAACGGCGTTTCGAGCTACTGAAGCAGGCGCATGACGACCTCGGACATCGCGGGGTGTACACGGTCAGGACCCGACTCCTGGAGCGTTTCTGGTGGCCGTTCCTCGACCAAGACGTGAAGTGGTATGTTAGTACCTGCCATGAATGCCAGCTGCGGAGCGTGCAGAAGGTGCGCCTCACGCCGACGGTGGCCGTGCCGATGGGCCTGTTTCGGAAGGTGTACATGGATACATCAGAACTTCGGCGATTTCACTGACGGGCCGTGACGGGCGCTGACGCTTGCTGAAATCCCGGTTTCACATAACGTCAGCGTATCAGACATCAGCAACACTGGGCGGATTTCAGCAAGCTGATCGAAATGCAGCGATCGTGCCGTTAGAATCTCGTTAGATAGCTCACAGCCGTAACGGCACCGTTAGCACGTTAGCACGTCAGCACATCAGCATGACATTTCTACAGTCCGTCTCGACAAATATATTGACTACTTATGATACAATCTATGTTCGTGCAATACTATGCATGTACATAGACTCGTCTAATGCTGGCGGCGCTCATCGGCGCCCACACTCGCCACCACTCGTATGCACCTACTCCCGCTCATGCGTGCTCATCGTCTGCTTGCCTCCACTCGTCCCCGCGGGCACCTGTTCGTCCGTGTCCGCGCCCGTTGCTCACTCCCTCCCACTCCCATTTGCCCTTGTCCGTCCGCGCTCGGTATACTCGTGGGGCATGTTTGCGTGTCGGGCTGTTGTCCGTCCTGCTCATGGTCGGCGTGCCTGCTCGTCCGTGCATCAATCCGCGCCTTGGTGTCTGCGACCTCCGCAGGGCTTGGTCTTGTTCAGGCCCACTGTGCGCTCGTGGTCATCGTGCGTGCCCACTCGCCGTTCATCATACCCGCGGCCGGCATGGTTTGTAACGTGCCCATCTACCCCATATTTGCCCCTAGCGTCCCATTCCCACCTTCAGCTGAACTCCGTTTCTCCGAGGCGTGCGCGCCCAACCGTCAACTGTATCAGCACACTCAGTACGCTCTGTGGCTTGGGCCGTTCTCGCAAGTTGCAGTGGTGGAGCACCGTCGGATGGGGTTGACCAACAAGCTCTTGAACTCTTCGAGAGATCCGCTCTCCCTCCATCGAAAAGGAGTTTGTCAGTAGCGTGATTTTATACAGAGCGGAGCCGACTGACTATTGCTCGAGCTCAACGACGGCGGGCCCTTCACAGTATGCCCCACTCCTGGTGGCATCTCACCCGCTTGCTGCAGCCGCGCTCCTCGTGTGGTGCGGCCGGTCCTCGCCCATCGGCAGCACAGACACGGGTGTCGGCGGGTAGCTTCGTGCTTCAGGCCGACGCGTCTTGGATAAGTGCGACGTTGGTTGATGCCGGAAGGGGATAGGCAAGAGGCGGGAAGGGACAGGATAAGGTCGACGAGCCGGACTGAGGGGAGACGCGCCTGCTGTTAACGTTGATGCTGCCGACGTGGCTGCGTTTCATCTCGACATCGCAGTCGTCGGGGCCGGGGGTAAGCGGCTGGCCCTCGCCAGGCAGTCATTTTTGTCGAGCGTAGGTGCGTTGGGTGCGGCGATCCTCGTCAGGGGAAGCCGGGCAGCTGTGAGACGGCGGGACTTGACGCGTCGAGTGGCCTTTGGGCTGTGGTACAGCAGTTGGATTTGGAGCTTGAAGCGCGAGCGCGAGGGGACGGGAAGAACGTGTGCGTGTGGGGCTTGTACTTGAATGAAATCGGACAGGTGGGGATACACGCGAACGAGTAGTAGGACGTGGATACTGAGTAACTTAGGACGCGCACGAGGCTTACCTTGCCGACACCGAAGTCGCCAATGAGGAGAAGCTTGAAGAGGTAGTCGTACTCGCTAATATGCATGGCGGTGAGGTCGATTGGGCGCAGGCGAGGGAGGGCAGGATGCTGTCGAGAGGGCGGCGGATGTGCGGTAGAGGTTCAAGTGCGCTAAGTGCTAAGTGCTAAGCGCCTGAGCCACGACACGCCGTGCGCGCTTGCCACCCTTCCACGCTCTCGTCGACCTCGTCCGCCTCCTTCGTCACCGATGAACCACTCGACCAGCGGCGCTGTAGAGCGGCATCATCGGGCTCGCTCTTCCCGCCAGCTCGTCCATCTACCTGAAGCGCGACTCTCAGCCCTTGTTTCTCGCGCTGACGACCCTCCTCAAAAAATTCCTCACCTGGACTGCCTCCTGACGTGTTAAGCCCCCGCCACCCTAAGGCTGCACGCGAGGTTGTACGACCCCTCCGCACATCTCACAGCTGTCCGGCCCCTGCTGACACGTCAAACGAAGGTCGCGGCGCCCACGCCAGCATACAACGTGGACAGACGAACCGTCGGCCATGTGACACACGAACAACGGGTACACGCCGACGTACAATGCGAGGTCGCGCGAGCATTGGCAAGCCCGGATGCGTACACATCACAGGCACTCCGAAGAGACGGGGCCCGTCGCGAATGCGAACAATCGCGGGGACTCGGGCGCACAAAGCACCGGCTCATGTTCGACGAGCAGGGCAGGAAGCCAGAGGGAGGGTGAGGCTGAACAACAACGGTAAGCACCCTTAGGGCCCTCTTCATCACCCTCTCTCCCCTGCACGTATTGTGTGCACGTTTACCCTACTGACGTGCTCTCGCCTACGCGCAGCTCGCATGCTGACACGCCGACACTTCGCAGCCCTGCACCTGCGCCGCACCCCCGCCACTCGCCCGATCCGCCGCTCCAAGATCCTACAACACCCCTGTACGTCTCGCGATCATCCCGTCATCCCGAGTGCCCCGCGCAAAGACCGTCTTAGCGGGCTACACCGACTCGAGTAGGACGTGTCCTCTCGTGCAGAGCATGTCTGCCAACTCCCTCCCTCCACGCTAAAGCCGTGAGGCTCACTACACAAGCCCACGCTCCGTACTACGACCGACCAACACGCGCTGTCACCCTGCGCGAAGACGACAAAGCCCGCCGGATGTACTATTGCTAGGTGCTCGAGTTGCGCGCAAGTCGTGCAGGTTAGGTAAGCACGCCTGTCTGTCTACCCTCGGCGCCCCTTCCTCCACCTCTGCACGCGCATTACGCCCGTCTGACCCTATTTGCCTTGCCTGCAGTGCATATCTCACAACTACTCAGCTCACTGATGCAACTTGGCCAAGCAAAGACCGTGTCAGCTGCGCCCGCATCGAACGCGAAGACGGACTAACAGTCAGCATTGCAACACAAGACAAACAGGCCCACGCATACGTAGTACAGCACGACGACCCACCCGCTGACACCGTCTCGCCAGGCTCGTACACCTGCTCATCTGCCCATCCACCCGCGGACGGGCCCATGGACCTGTAGCACCTGCTCGTGACCCATACCCACTGCGGAGGGTCTGTACCCGGATGGACCATATGAACACTAAGGATACAGTAGCTACGAAACTACAATAATGTCGACGTACACTGCATATTATTAAATCAGCCGTCGTATGAATTTATCCATTAGTGGTCAGAATGTCAGTCATCAGTGCGTCAGCACGTCAGCAATGAGCACAAATTCTATCTGATGTGTGAACTGTCTGACGGCCACGTTAAATGCTAACGGTATCTGACGATTTGGCGTTACATACCGTCAGCATATCAGCAACCGTTAGAACCCGTCAGTGAAATCGCCCTTTTCCTGATGTACGTTCCGGATGCCCAAGGCCGGAGGATACACATGTGTTGTGCATGCGCGATGCTCGCTCAGTTCGTACCCGGAGGGAAGGAAGCTTCGGAGGGAAACCGGGAGGATTATTGGCGCGTTCATCTTCGAGCAGATCCTCTGTCGATGGGGGGCCATCGCCGTGATCGTGACGGATAACGGGACGCCCTTTGTAGCGGTGTTGGATTACCTTGCCGAAAAGTATGGGATCAGGCACATTAAGATCTCGCCGTACAATTCGAGGGCCAACGGGATTATCGAGCGACGACACTACGATGTGCGCGAAGCTACCATGAAGCTATGCCAAGGAAACGAGTCTCGATGGCCTAGCGTGATGGACGCGGTATTCTGGGCGGAACGTGTGTCTATCCAGAAGAGCACGGGGATGTCGCCATATCGGATTGCGCATGGGGTGGAGCCGACGCTGCCGTTTGACCTCGCGGAAGCTACGTACCTAGGGGAGAGCCCAGAAGCAATGTTATCTACGGAGGAACTGATATCGATGCGAGCGCGGCACCTGCTGAAACGGAAGGAAGATCTCTCTAGGATTCACGAACGGGTGGTAGCGGCGCGGTATCGGTCGGTCAGGCAGTTCATCAAGAAGAATCAACATGTCATTAAGGACTATGACCACCAGGCGGGCGACGTCGTACTAGTACGAAACTCGCAGATTGAGATGGAACACGATAGGAAGGCGAAACGGCGGTACCTAGGACCTATGGTGGTGGTGCGGAGAACGGAAGGAGGGTCATACATTCTAGCCGAGCTCGACGGAAGTGTGTCTCGCCATCGATACGCGGCGTTCAGGGTGATCCCGTATCGCGGACGAGGGCCTAAGCGTGTTGAGTTGGAGGGCCTCAAAGAGTGGGAGGAGTACTTACCAGATGACAACGAGGAATTGGAAGAAGAATACGGAGACCAGCTCGACGACGATGAGGAGGGCTCCGAAGAGGAGGATTAAGGGGAAGGGGAGACGGGCGCAGGGGAGGATAGGTTTAGGAGGGAAGGAGGGAAGGAAGGAGCGAATAAGGGAGAGCGAAGGAGAGCGAGGATCGAAGCCATGACCTCTTCCACGGACGACAGGGCGCGAAGGACCTCGGCGTTATTTTCGTCGATGGAGTGGGCATTGGAGGAGAGAAAGCGGGCGAATTGGTCCTCGACACGATTTACGCGAGAAGTAACCGACCGGATTTGGGCGCCCCAGTCAGCGGTGAAGGATGCGATGGCCTCCTGGGCAGCGAGGGCGGCTTCGGAAGTAAGGCGGATGGTATGCTGGAGCTCCGGAAGGAAGGGAGGAGCGTCAGGACCGCGATGGGGGAAGGGATACCCAAGACGGGCATTCAAAGCGTCGTCCATCAAGTCGTTTGCGCGGCCATACATCTCTTGGTCGACTAGGGCCATCCGGGAGCTAAGGATGTCGTGTACGCGGTCTGCAATCTCCAGGCCGTTAAGCTGGCGAGCTGCCTCAAGTTGGGAAGAAAACAGCTGGTATTGGATGTGGAACCGTCCGCTCAGTGCCTCGACGCAATCTTCGAGTTCGGCCACGCGGAAGGAGATGGTTCCTACTGGAGCCAGGGGTGCAGTTCCGGAAGAGTCGGGGGAAGACGAGGGGGAAAGGGAATCATCTTCGCCGCACGGAGCGAAGGGATGATGGGCGCACTGCTGACACTCAACCGGAGAGGGTGTGAGGGGTGGGACATCTTCAGAGAGTACCCCACCACAGGCGAATGGGAGAGCCTCGAAGGCAAGAAGGGTCTCGTACTCTGTGCGGCGCATGCGTGGCAAGTACGAAGGTCGGAGGACACATTCAGAGGAGAGAACCTCATGGCTTAAGAACGCGGAAGGAAGTACCCTGCGATCGATGAACGGGAGGGGACTGACGTCGCTGAAGATCTCGACGATCCTCGTGGATCAGGATGCACGCGGAAAGGGGGCGTGGTAACCTGAGGGGAGCATACCTTAGGAGGCACGCGGGGATGAGACTCAAGATACCGAGGGGTACGGGGCTCGACGGGGGAGCAGTCCGCTCATATCATTGCAGCAACGAGAGCTAGTACACAAGAAACGGCGGGGAAAACTATGTTACATTTGGCTCGACCGGCCGCTGGTTCCTACACTTCATCTTCGAGTTCGTCGTCCTCCTCGGCCGTGGTGCCCTCGTAAACAGAGCCGTCGTCCGAGTCCTCCGATTCGACGTCGATGCGAGGTGGAGAAGCCTGACGGCGTCGAGTCGTGGAACGACGCGTGGCTGGGGAGGGTGCTGCTGCCACTGAGGTTCGAGGAGGGTTGCGACGGGGGTGAGCCTGGTCGACACGGGCCCTGGCCTCTTCTGCCTGCGCCTGGAGAGCCCGAGCCCGGGTCGCGATACTTGGACGACCGGCGGGGGGTGGGGACGGCGATGGTGACGGGTCGAACAGAGGCGCGGACTGTGTTGCGCGCGGAGGCTGTGGCGGAGCAGGAGCGGGAGGCGGGGGTGCCGACGATGGGGCGGGAGGCGGGGGCGGAGCAGCGCTCGTGGACGCCTGTGTCGGCGGAGCGGACGAGGTGGCAGCGCGACCGCTCATCGCGGAGGCCGAGACGTCGGGGAATTGGGCGAGGAGGTCGGTGGGGCGCGGTCCTTCAATGCGCTCGGAGGGGAAGAACTGGTGGTTGCACCTTTTCGCGTCTGCCTTTGTCTGGGTGCGGTGAGGGCCGATGTACTTCAGGGGCATCTGCCCAGGACCTGAGGTGGCACTCAAGATCAATGGAAACCGACGGAAGGTGACAGAAGGACTTACTGCACTTGTTCAAGTCGCACTTGTAGTGCTCGTGCGTACAGCGTGCGCACGAGTGTCCAATGTGACCGTCGTGACGGCACACTGTTCCAGCCACCTTGGCGCACGGACCACAGGGACGGATGGGGGACCAGACGAACAGGGCGTACCGGGACCGCTTCTTACCCGTGTCACTGGAGGGGACGGGTGGCGCCGGATCGATAGGCTCGGGTTTGGGCGTAGAGGACGGCGCCAGGCGGGCGGTGGAGATTCGTTCCCCACTAGCGGATAGCCGAGCTGGCGGACCGCGACGGCGCACAGTCGAGGCTGAGGACGGAGGAGCAGATGGAGGGGGAGGAGGAGCCGGAGGTTCAGTAGTGGGCGGGCGGGGACCAATGAGCCGGAGGTTTCGCCCCAGAGGGATGTAGGACGGGGACTGGGAGTCGCGGCGAGGGGGAGGAGGAGGCGCAGAGGGGTGCTCACCGCCACGCTGCTCGATGAGCTGGGCGAACGAACCAAACGCGGCGCGATCTTGCTCGATAGTGCGAGTAACGCGGCGCGCGGCGGGGTGCTGGCGGAGCAACGTGGGCTCGCCCCATCGCTCGACAGCGAAGGAACGGGACGGTGTCGGAGGGGACGGACTGCGCATCCGGACGACAGGCGGGGACGGGGAACGGGGACGAGAGCTGGAGGACGGGAGCGGGCGTGCGAGGACAGCGGGCGCGGCCGCAGCGGGGGGAGGATCGAGGACTGGTGGACTGATGGCGCGAGGTTCAGCGCCCTCCGCTTCCTCAGGAGAGTCCAGCCGGAGGGGGACGTCTCCAACACCGGGTGAGACGGCGCGCATCTCGACGTCTCCGTCGAAGTACGATACCGCGGATGCTGGGCGCGGAGGATCATCCTCGACTATGCGGGCAGGGGAGGAGCCAGCGGCGCGAGGAGGATCTTGCGCCTCCTCGGGTTCAGCCGCGTCGGGATCCTCAGCATCGTCCCAGACTCCGAACGCGTACTCAGCCCGAATACCGTAGGGGAGTTCGACGGGAGGAGCATCCGGGTCGGCGGGGAGGCGGATCGAACGGAGAAGGGGGATGAGGGTGTGGCCTACGGCCCAGGCGGAGGGGTGGTCGGTGGCATAGGCTCCATACCGGGACGGGTCAAGCAGGTCGCGCGCTGCCCAGCCGAAGTTCTCCGTCTCGGAGAGGCGCCGCAGGACGTACACGGTGTCGAATACCGACTGGCGCAGATCACGCCCAAGGGCAGTCGACGGGTAGCCGTTACACGTACCGAGGGTCATGTTAACCTCAAAAGTCCACTGCGTCAAGAGTCAGCTAGGCAAGCGGAAGGCACGGAGACAGCAACTCACGAAGGCGCTGAGCAGGTTGCGTGCCCAGCGCAGCCACAGAGCCGCGACGTTTGGGGTCAGCGGAACCACTAGGACCGGCTGGAATGTGACGGCCTCCGCAACCCCAGCCTGGAGTTGGTCGAGGTCGCGGGCCACTGCTTGCAGGCGAAGGAACACGGGGTCGACGAGGCGCTCGGGCGCAGAGAAAGGGACTTGGGAGGGGGCAGACATGGCGGCGGACAAGGGGAAGGATGGTGGTAGACGGGAGGGAAGAGGCGAGCGGTGGGAATGAAGTCCAGGAGCGCAGGTATATCTGGCAGCGGGGCTCGCGCAACGTGTTGCTTCCGCGAACGCCGTCCTCGAACTTGCTGACTGCAGGTGATCGCGTCAAGCGCCCCGATCACTATGGGCGCTCAACGGTCCGCGGAACCGGGCGCCGGAAGCGATCGACGTCTATGTCATGGAGAGTGGGAGGAGACCGACCGGGGACGGTCGGAATTTCAGGTGGGGGGAGATGTGGGCATGGCCCACGGTCTACGCACGGAATCGACAATATACGAACGCGTCAGGGCGGGAAATGGGACGGCAATACGGCGCAAGGCATCTCCGAGAAGTACGGACTTGGGGAGCGCGACACGAATGGGCCAAATACATTCCAACTAAGCCAAGTATACGGTTACCGAAGGTGCTACGGACGACTACATGGGGTCAGTTGAGCGAAGGACTTGCGTTGCGAACGTTCCCTCCGTCCCCGTTCCTTCCGGACCCTCCGGCCTCTCGGTCAGCAGCAGCATCGGCAACGCTACGCGTGAAGCCCATGGGGCGGGGATTGAGAGCCATCGAACCCCTAGACGTCGCGAAGACTAAACGACGAGGAATTCCGGAATAATCGTCCGGAAGGTACAGCCCGTGTGACAGCTGGTCTTGAATACCTTGGACCGCGGCGGAGAGCGCGGCTAGCCCACCATCGAGCTGGTCAAGGGCGTCGGTGGTCGAACACTGAGCATCACTCAGAGCGTCCAGTTGGTCGGTGACGACGTCCCATCCGACGGAAGAAGCGCGCTGGTTCGATAGAGCGAGCGGACTGTTGCGATAGGAAATGGCAGGGAGCGGAGCGCCTTCTTCAGCAATGCTCTGCTCGGCGAGGACACGGTTAGGCGACCAGGCGATGACGGGGTATGGCTCGGGGAGAGGCGAAGCATGCTCGGAAGGAAGGGTTGCGAAGACGGTGTCGAGGTACACTATCAGGGCGTGCACGGACGGGGTCTGGTGGACGGAAGGGAGAGAGATATCCCCGGAGGCTACGGCGATGCTACGGGACTCGAACAGCATGCGCTGGAGTACAGTCAGCGCGGGACACGACGAATCCTAGGAGAAGGACACACCAACAGCCAGCGACTTCCATGGGCCCAGGCCAGCCAGGCAGTCGGATCGTGGGGGAGGAGACGGGGTTCCAAGTCGCGTTCGTGTCGGAGGAGCTCGAGGAGACGGTAGAAGCGTGCGACGTATGGGGATTGACCAGGGAGGGACATGTTGGGCGGAGGCGGTGAGGGAAGGAGGCCTGGGGTCTCACTGGCCAACCGGGAGGAAGGGGGAGTAGGGGAGAGAACGGGGAGAGTCGGGAAGGTCGGAGGGCGTGGGAAGTTGGGGAGGGGAAGGACATGGTGTGCTGGCGCAGGGAGGGGGACTTACTTACCACCACCACTTCGAGAGCGGACGGTTAGAGGCAACTCCTGCGAACCAGGACAGTTCTGTTTTTCTTAGCGGCGTATAAATCTCTCTGTCTCTCTTGCGGATCTGCGGCGACAGCGGCGAGCGGGCGTACAGCGAACTCTGCGTATTTGCGTGTCTTTGCGGGAACAGCGGTTCCATCGTTCAGCGGAACGAACACCGGGCAGCGTAGCCTAACCATTTCCCTTCCCCCTTCCTTCCGTGACTGCTAATAGTTACGTCGACATCGTCCGACAACGAAACCCGTCGTTTCTACCGACTATCGACCCCTGCTCCCTGCCACCTCATACGGCCCTGGGAGACTCGCAACCTACACAGCGCTGACTCCAGTGTTTCCAATAATCGTTTAGCTGCGTCCGCATTTACATCCTCCTCATAGTCTTCGAAAATTGCAGACGAGTAGTTCATGTCGTCGCTAAGGAATGCTTTGAACCTGTTCCTCGTCAGTCAGGTTCCTTCCGGCTGACTGTGATACTCACAGCGTATTTCCCAGATCATAATGTGCAGATATGTTAGTGGGGGACGTAGCGAGGTCCCCGAGAAACTTGTAGGCAGTGAGGCGACGACCGATCGATAAGAGCGAGCTTGTCAAAGTGTTCAATCCATCGAAGTTTCGACGATTCGCTATGATCACCTGAAAACGTGTAAGGCATCAACGAATCAGGGCTTTGGGAATATTTGAAGCAGGTGTGCTTACTTCGATTAGGCTGGTTATGTCCTCGCAGTCTACTGCAGAGAGACACATCAATCCTGGCTGTGGTATCAGCAACTCGGGCCTACCTTCTCCGATCATATACCCTTCAGCGAGACCGAGGTCAGTGAACAACGCGAGTCGTGCCCAGAAAGCGTCATCCTTGACAACCAGCCTCGCTCGCGGTGCGGCTCCTGAAGATGATGTTTCCCCGAAAGTGAAACGTTCATCGGATACAATTACTTCGAGCCTCCCGTGAGATATCTGACTCAACGCTCTGCGTCGACACTATCAGAACCAGACCATGAGGGCTGTAGTGGTAGTACGCACCTAAAGACGTTGTCCTTCGCGATGCGCGATACCGCACCTCTCGTGACATACGGAAGGTATTGGCTGAACTGGGACCAAGCACCGTCCAGGAGGCGTGTCGCTCCGTGCTCGTAGGTTCTGGATGTGCGCAACACTTGTGTCTTATGCAAGCTCATGATGTGTCGATTCTGTTGACGAAACTGCAGGAAATGTTTGAACAAGGAATATGAGACTGACGAACCTCGGGCATAAGAAGCTGAAACCCTCCTGTACTGGATGACCGAAGTACATAATACTCGCTCGACCGATGTCTACCGTGCTTCGCAGCCTAACGTACGCTATGTGTACCAGACGCTTCCGATATCAGACTGAGAACACTCACTCCGATGTCAATATCCCGATGTTAATCCTTTGGACCTTCCATTGAAGTATGAGACGCCGTCACAACTCAATGAAGGCACCGCCAGCGCTCGGTCTCACAGAGTGGTCTGATGTTGATGAGAAGAGAAGCGTAAGCACACGCAGGGATTGGAAGCCTGAACATGCGGCTTACTGTATCACGAACGAGAACGTTCTGGGGGCGTACTGGCAGCGTTGGGCACTTGCTGACAAGGTATATCCTTCTGGAATGGACATCAGACCGCGGACAGGTCATGTTGCGACTTCGCTTAATATCTGAATGTATGGGTTCGTAAGTATGCGACATACTCTTAGACTCGGACGCAAAACTTTTTCTCTCTGTTTCTGTCGAGGCCACCACCCATGAAGCCATGAGCAAGCGCCCATCTCGACCTGATCCGGCAGTGAGTCTTGAATGAAATCGGCCCTGACGCGGTCTTGACGCCTGGTAACTTGCGGTGCGGACACGACGACTCGTTTCGTCACCACCAAGTCGATAAGCTGTGTATGCCCAAGCCAAGATTCGATATGTCTGCGGGATTCGAGAGGCCATCGTGCTGGGGTTATATAAGGGGTCCCTCCTTTCGCTCTTTGCTCTGCACTTTTCCCCCTCGACGCCTCGCTCGCCCTCTCTTTCGACCAACACTATCCTCTCGAGACCCTCTTGCTTCTTGTTACCTCCCATGCCACCTCGTAGAACGCTCGACGCATTCCTCGACCAGGGCGAACAGAGAGGCGGTCAGGACGAGCAAGGCATCATCAACGACGACGAAGTCCGGAAGGCGCTCCAGCCTGGGACCGAAAGGAACTACGACCGTTCAGTCGCTCTCTGGGACACGTAAGTTGATCCATCGAGTCTTGTAGACTTGGCCACCTTCATGCTAACCATAACGATAGCTATGCGAGGCGCATGCCTGGCGCCAACCTGGACAACTTCGAGACGCCCAAAGACTTTATGCGCAAGATTGCCCATGCCATCGACGGCAGATACGGCGACCCCAAGGCTTGTCTGACAACGGTGGTTCAGTACTGGAAGAACCTCACCGCAGGCTGGCGACGAACCGACCGTCCTAAGATCAGGGACGATGTGGTTCTATCCACTTCGAACGTACATCGGTTCTTGGTGCTACCTTCCAGCTCGGCGCTGAAAACCGACCCTGTTGCAGTTTATCAAGGGCCCGCTCCAGAAGGAAATGAACCTCGCTCGACAGAAGCGGGCGAGACGCTACGGTACCATGCTTCACTTCGTATATCTCGGCACGCAGCTGTGGAAGTACGACTGGCATCTGTACGACAACCCGCGAGACCGTTTGGAGCTGTGGGACGGCATTATGCTCAACGTCTTCACCTCGGCTCGAGTGGGCGAGTACATCGAGTCGACTGCTCGTGAAGGCAGTGGCCGAGGCTTGCATTACAAGGCGAGTCTACTTCGATGTCGACGTCAGCCCGAGACTCACGCCCCAGACTGTGATCAGGACGTAGAGTTTGTCGTCTTTCGAAACGAACACGGCAATCCCGAGTTTGCGATGGAGGTCAAGAAGGACGGCAAAGGGATGACGGCTACTCCCTGGAGAAAGTAAGCATCATCCCTCCCCTTGTCCTAGCTTTGTCGACGAACGCTTATCTTTTGCCTGTTACAGTCCCGAACACGCGTTGCACGAGGGATCGGGACTACACCCTCTCCTCTGTAACCCTATGCTCACCAGAATAGCCATTCTCCTGGCGAAGGGCGCATTCAGAGACTTCAAGACGGTGGACGAGCTTCTCAACGTTGAGCCGCCCAAGGAGGGCATTGTCCGCATCGAATGGCACCCGGATTTTCGCGACCAGCCAGTCTACGAGCGAGACGACGGTCATATCTGGTCAGCCAGGACATACTGCTCGCGTCTCAGTGCGGCAGGCATCCGAGCTGGGTTCCCGTCCCTCCAGAACCACGACTTCCGAGCCGAGGTCATCCGTGCCATTGGTGAGTTATCTCCGTCATGTGGCGGCTTCCGTCTTGGTTGATCCCGCACCCACAGACAAGAAGTATAGCTCCTCTCAGCGTCGTAGGCATGCTGGCCACGGGAGTGACGACGTCTATGACAAGTACTATGCTCCAACGAATCCGGGAACCGACGGCCAAGGCGCATATGCTGGCGACCCTCTTCGTACTCTTCTCCCCAAGCTTCTCCGTTTCCTGAAGATGAACCACAACCCTACGCTCGCGCAGACCCTCCCGGCGAGGGAGCTGCACGAGCTGATCACCAGCGACGAATATTCCGCCATCGCAAACGAGCTGGAGGGTCTTGCCGACTGCGACGACGAGTCCTCCAAGAAGAGACGAGCCGATCTCTTGGCCAGTCTGAGGAAGCTCAAGCTCAGCGCTCTCCAAAGGTACCGCGACCAGCAGGCTAGTAACCCTTTCCGGACCACAAACACCGACGACGTACGCCACTACCGCACCCCGTTCTCTCGCATCCGCCATTTGATGCCCATTCGCGATCGCCTTTCCGAGTCGATGTTTACCGTTGCTCCAATCCGTAGCGAAGTTGGGAGGGCCGTCCTGGAGGACCTCATCGCACTGTATCAGTCCAAGGTCGAGGTCCAGCACCGACCTGGCTTGGAGCCTGAGAAGTGCCATTGCCCGACCCACCCTGACGAGAACAAGTACGTGTTGACCCATTCTCCTATTTTCCAAAGACGATTCGCTGACTTGTGGAAATGCGAGTAGGGATCCAGCCCACGTACGCTGGAGGCACATCTACAGCTGTCACAAGCGACACCTCGCGGCCAAGGTCCGCAGAGACACCCGTCCATTCGCCGAGTTCTGCTTCTTGTGCACCGACGGGAAGTGGTTCACCAGCCAATCTAGCTGGGCGAGCCACTGCGAGAGTCACCTGACCAGCCTCGACGCTCTCCCCTTCCAATGCGACCCCCTCATCTACGCCAAGACTCTCGCCGCACCCGGGCTCTGTTTCTGGTGTCTCGGGGACACGAGCCTCGCCCCCGCCTCTCGACTGCAGCAGTTCCTCACCCGAGCCCAGTGGCAGACTCACGTCGAGAAACACGCCATCGCCGAGTCGTCGAACGGTGGCAAGATCCCCGCCTGCCCGCACCCGCGATGCACGGACACGTTCGAGTCGCTGGGCGAGCTGAACTTCCACCTCCAGGACATCCACTGCTGGATCCCCCGGGACCCGACGAAGCCTGGTCGGACGGCAGTCAAGCGCTCCAGCTCGGAAGAGGACGAAGACATGCCCCGCAAACGCACGAAAAGGGATGGTGGTGGTGGTGGTAGTCGTCGTCGGGGCAAAGTCGTACCCAGCAGCTTCGTCTTCGTGGATTAGACTGTCAACTTTGGCGAGTCAAGTTTTGGTTTCAGCTGCTGCCTCGATGCTGACCTCAAACTCCTCTCTTGCAGTGCCCCAGTCCGTATGCGTCATCGACAAGTGCGACATGGTCAATGGGTAGTGTTGTATGGCAGATCTTTTCGGATACCCCCTTGTCGACGACTAGCCCTCACTTGGCCGTATCACTTGGCCGTATCACTCATCCTCGGACGGTTAGACTGGGTGACGGAGCAGGACAACCAGACGAATCCTGCTGTTGCCTCGGTGCCATTGTGACCTTGCCGGGCTAAGCAGTGTCTGGACTATGTTTCGAACACAAGTAGCGTGGAGAGAACATGTTGTGCAGTGCGTTTCCGTCTTCTCTGTAGCCCCTAGTTAGCGCTATCGTAGAAAAGGAACCCTTCCTTTGGGACTTGGCGTACCTACTATAGTATCATAGATTGAACCCGATTGTATATATATCGCTGCTTTTGCTGTATATATCTTGAGCGGCAAGATGTTCGAGATGGTCCACGATCACCAAGTCTAGCATTGATCCGCCGTGCCAGATCAAGCTCCTCATCCAGAAGTGACGTCTGCCCTTGGAGTCGCCTCTGCACTGGGAGTTATCATCCGAATGACGCGACACTGAATGTCGTACACTTGGTTGGTTCGGTCATACGACCGGAAGCTGTCAAGTCTGTCATGGAACGAATTAGAAAACCTTAATGACTGACGCACGCATGTGTTCTTATATCTCTGGCCGGACTTAATCTTGAATAAGAGGAAGAGGAGAGCAATGACAAGCACATGTACTGTATCGAATAAGCCCGTGTCGGGTATGGGTGAATTGAGTCCATGTTCGGAGATAGAAACGAGAAAAGGAGACGATTTAATTGTCTAACAGTACAAAGGACGGGGAACGCAGCATGGATAGCCCAGGACGCGCCTTGCGTCTTCGCCTACACGAAGTCAATAGATTCCTTGAATCCCTCGAACTTCTCTTCATCTTGTGTCTCGACAGCTGCCCTGGGTGGGAAGTGAGAAAGGGTAAGGGCGGGTGCGGGGTAGGTACTTACTGGACCATGGTAGTGTCCGATTTCCCCCACTTGGGAAAAGTCTCCACCGGGGTCATCTCGATCACGTCCGAGAACTTTGAAGTCTTGTCCGAGCCCACCGTCCTGCGCATCGATTAGACCTAGAATGACGGACACTTCAACGCGGGATGGGACGTACCCAACACTTTCCAGGTCGTGCAGAACAGGCACCGACGTCGGAGGATCCTCTGCGTTTTCGCATTTCCTAAGGACGCGGCAGTGAGAAGGCGTGAAATGGTGGACGTGGTTCAGAGACATACGCATCTATCTCGGGGTTCGTGGGCCCGAATATGGAACTCTCCCGCTTGGCAATCGTTCTGCGTGGAATGTTAGGACGGTGGATTATTGTTCGACGGGGCATGAGCATGAGGCGTACCTGGGGCTCCATGATGTCGCCTTGGCCGTCGTCCCCTGCAGGTTGATCGTCGAGAACGAGGCCCAGGCCGTCATACACTCGATGAGTGCAAACTCGACGAAGAACATCAGCTTCCAGTCGAGCCATACACCGATGCATGCTAGGACTGTCGACGCCGTTGCTCCGACGCCCGTGACGCACGCCAGCACGCACGTCTGCGTCTTGAGCGTCGACCAATGACCGCCTACAGGATTGCCCGAGAACCGTTGTCTGCGGGAGACTTGTCGGGAGCTGGCGACCAGTATACCGAAGGCTATCCACAGCACAACAGCAGGCAGGCCCCAGACTACTTGAAGATGGCGGTCGAACAGCAGCCAGACGCCCACTGCAAACGAGGCGAGCTGAGTCGTAATGGCGACGTAGAGGAGTGTGAGTACGAGCGTCCTGTGTCTCCACCTGGTCAAGTGAACGAATGACCAGATCTTCGTGATGTTCTGTAAAGAACTCCGGTGGGTGCCAGGAAATATCGCGCTGAAATTGAAGAACGTACCTCGGCCAAGACAGCATGGAAGACGCAGAGAAGCCTCGACACGTCACTGAGGATGTTGTTGCGCGAGAGGTGGAGCAGGATGAGGAAGACGACGTGGGCGGAAAACGCAAGGGTGAGAGCGCCAACGAGCACCTTCGTCAGGTGCGGAAACTCGTGGGTTGATGGCGGCCTCGTCCAGGCTTGTAGAGAGTGTAGAATGATGGATGAAAGAGCAATGAGCGTGGTCGCTGCGAGAGGGCTGGGGTCGGGCTGGGCTGCCTTGGCAGATAGGAAGATGGCGACAGCGTTGGCCACGAGAACTATGGACATGGATGCAAGGAGGATGCCCCATCTGACGGGTTTGGGTACGGTTTCGATGCCCCAAGCCATCGTTTCGTTGTCTTGCGTTGCGAAGGGAGATGTGCAGCGGGGAGAGAAAGGGGGAGAGACCGAGTGGAAACCAGTGGACCACGGCTTAATATTATACTCCCCGGGACCCCAACCAACGGGACCCGAAACAACGGTACCTTGGCTGACGTGGCATTGCTTCCCATCAGAGTCCGTACTCGGCCGGTTGCCGTAACCGTGTGGGTGACGAGAGCGTCCCTGGCTGATTTCTCGATAGGCAACGACGGATTGTGCTCGAGATAACGCGACTGTACACACGATCCTCCATCCCCTGCAGGCCGACCCCAAGCTGTCCTGAGATAACTTCAATAACGCTTGCTCACGCGATCCCTCTCGTTACTTTCGTCATGTTATCTACGTCCATGCACCCTCCGCGTGATAACGTTCTGCTTCTTTGCTTCTTCCCCAAGAAGTCACCTGCTATACTTTTCATATGCCAAAAGACGAATTCTTCCGATCACTCTATACAATCGGCCTCGCGTCCCTCTACTGAACTGATATCCCGAAGTGAACGATAGAAGGAGATGCATATGTACACTACGCTATGGAGGCTACGGAGAATCGTGGCGAGACTAGAACGCTACACGATAAACCACGAAAGCAGGTGGAACCTCCCGGTCTTGTTACGCCCAACGCCGTAAAGACAACAACAAGGCCTTGGACACCAACGCCAGCGTACCGCCTGGCGCAACTCCCTCGACGTTAGCATTGAGCCTCCTTCCTGGCTGGATGCGTCCAGGGATCACGCCGTCCACCGCCAGCTCATCACGGAGCCTTTTCTTGACGCACATCCGGCGGTTAAGTAGCTGTCAGAGCACTGAGGCGAGTCCTTTCAACCAAAACGGAATGGACGCTCACATTAAGAGGAAGCGGCTCGACCTTCTCTTCCACTCCGTTGTTCGTCTCACTGGCCTGCCCGGTCTCGGTTGCCTACACGGTACTGCCACGTCAGATATCGAACCAGCTGCCATGGAGACACTGACCGATTCCTCCCACAGGCAGTACAAGATGAGAAGCTCCTCGTAGGCCTTCTGTGCATCTCTGACCTAGAGCGGAAGCAAACGGAATGAGCCTAGGCGTCGTATGTCTATCACAAGCAGTTCGCACCTCGCTGCAAAGGACTTTGTTGGTGCTGTCGAGGTGAAGTTGGGCGTTGAGGGTGTCGAGAGCCAGCAAGCTACGCTTCAGCGCCTTCCACTTGGGGCAACTGTGGCTGGGGCCGGGGGTGTCGCTGTTGGCCATATAGTCGAGAGCGACCGCATCGTCGGTGGTGGTGATGGCAACACGGGCTGCGTTGGCTCTCAGGTAAGAGAAGCTTGCTGCCAGGAGCGAGGAATCGAATGAAAACATGGACGCGAGTGGGAGCGGTGCCAGCAGAGATGCTCTTCGTGGTGTGGTGGTGGTGGGGAGAAGCAGAGGTTCAAGTTTAGTCCGCGCGACGGACTGCCCTTATATTGATCTCCGGTCCCGGCATGGGAACCGTGAGAGCACGTGGGTGTTCGGGTAAACATATGCCCCGCGCTTAACCCACGTCAGCGCAAGGGAGTGATGTCAGGCTTATCGCCAAAGGCACCGAGGTCTCTGACGCTCCTCATGCTCACCGTAGCTGATATCGTCCTGTCCCATTGCATACTCTAACGCTACGTGTGTGCACTCTCGCCGAGACTCCCGCTCAGATATTAAACATGGAAGTCACTCGGAATTGCGACGGCGAAGTTGATGGTGTCGTTCGCTGCTCACTCACGGTCATCCGTTCGCAATTGTAAAGTAAACCAATCAAGTTCTAAACGATACTTGCCAGAGTATAAGTTGCTAAACTACCTCGTACTACGGCATGAGGAACACTAGACCCATCGTCCGTAACGGACACACCAGACCAGGTCCCTATCTTTTTGTAAAATAGCGTAGAACGCTCGCCAAGGATGAAGTTATCACACCCACTCGACCGTCTTCTCGCACGCTCCCTTCTCCAAGACCGATATCGCTCGGTCGAGTGCGAGACCATAGCGCGAGGTCGAAGGGATGCCCCCGTATGCCGACAACTTGTCGAGAGCTACGCTCGCCGGAAGACGCTATAACAGACAAGGCCAGAGGAGAGAGTATGTGATTAGCATTGCACAACTCAACAAGGGAGGATGAATACGACGCACAGACAAGGGCCGACTTTTGGGGTCCCAGAAGGGATCCAGAGGAGACCAGGCGAAGCCAGATGCTTCTTCTCGGACCCGGTCAATCCAGTTACGGCTACGACAAGGATGGATGTCTCAACGACAGAGCTAAAAGGGGCTCGGAGTGAAGAGAACGTACATCCAGCGACGGTCACGGCGCCATTGGACCGCCTTGTCGAAGTCACAGAGCCTGATCATCAGGCAGCAGTTGACCCACGACTGCTTTCCGAGCCTGGCGACATATGTGGAGGTGGGCCGTTCATAGAACGACTCGACAACCCCATCGTCGCCGAGTGTGAGGAGTATGGCGCGATTGATGACCACATACGGCCCAGACCGACCGATATGAGTGACGATCAGATCGCCGTGGTCCTCCACCCACTTGACGAAGCTGGGGTCGTGCTCATCCGCTAGGCTGTCGAAGTTGCAGAGTTGCCAACGAAGCGCAGCTGGCGAGAAACCGGCTAAGTGGCGGAAACACGACACGGGCGAGGTAACTCACCTGCAAGAGAGCGACGCAGGGACCGGGTGAGGAAGGCAACACCACTGGGTCGCGGACGGTGGGTCTCGGGACGACGACCACCACCCATCCACCTCGTCAGCTCGTCGTCCGCGGGCAACTCATCGTCGACAAGAGAGAGCTGACGGTGAAGGAGAGCTTGAATTATGACAAGGGATATATATGAGTACGCCTGCTTAGGAGAGCAAGGAGACCAATGGCGCACCTGCAACACGACCACGATGCGACGGGCGAAAGAGGACGGCGAGGTGGAGAAAAAGACACACGGCCAATGCGAAGGAGGCAGAGATGAGTACCAAGAAGAGAAGCGAAAAGACGGTGGTCTCGACGAGCAAGACAAGCACTTGCAAGGCAGCCTGTCGGTCTGCGACGTGCTTGTTGAGAAGCTGCAGAGTCGAGCTGGCGAGGGCACCAGCGACGTCGATGAGGAGAGAAAGAGCAGGGAGGGGGCTGAGCATAGCAGAGTCGGGGGGTTAGACAAGAGAGAAGAGAAAGAGGGTGAGGTCGAGCTGGCAGGAGTCTAGAGGAAGTTTTGAGCGCACCCCCTTATCAATCGGCGACGCGAAGCCCGTGCTTACCGAGCGTTGCCATAGCTTCGGGACAGAATTTCCCAAGCCATCAGCCCGATCACGCCGAGCGTATCGCTTAATAGAATCACGACGCTATGCTGCATCATCGCTTGCGAGAAATTTTGCAGAGAAATTCTTATGCGGTGATCTGGACCCGGCTCCTCTATCACGACCATCCCATGGTCTCCAGTGACGAGAGCCCCTGAAGGGACTGGGGTGCTGTGCGTGGAAAACAAACGCAAGGGACGGACCGGGCTCGTTCGCCTGATTCGGGGCTTTAGCGTGTGTTTGGCTGAACAATTCAGGTACGCCCCACTATTGTCCGTTCTCGCGAGCGAAGTTTGGGCTGTGACTTCCTCACACGGACATACGCGTTGAGCATTGGCTGGCGACTTTAGCAGCTCACAAAATCGGACTGGTCCAACACAATACGGTGTGGCCACTGGAGAGAATGAGATGTGCGTTCTCCCACCTGTTTTATTTAGGTAGTGATAAGATGCGACTGTGGCCGTGCTCTGGGCCACACTGCATAGGTCAGCCCAGCTATTATTGGTGACACGGCCATCAGCGTTTCAGTATGCGACAACAGACCAGTCCAGCATCCACGTTCGCAGGTCGGTCCTCACGCGACCACTGTGCAATCGATCCCGCAAAGCGCGTACGGACTGGTTGCCACCACAGACTGGTCAAGCACGAGGACTAGTCCAACAAAAGGGCTGATTCGACCGACAACGCGGCCCAACATCAGACTGGTCCGAATCGCATAGTGGTTTAGCGTACCTACCTATACACAGACTGGTCCTACCCACGGACTGGTTTAGCATACGCCCTCGTCTATGGACTGGTCCGACACATAGACTGGTCTGGCAGGTTGACCAGTAGCGACACCCAATTTTGGATGCCCGCCACTGTCGTCATCCACTGGCAGACTGGTCTGACCAGCTAACCAGTCCATACAGACTGTGCCGTCTTCCACTTCTGGACAACGGCCACCTGACAATCGACAGGTTGACTGGTCTGAAGTCGAACGGCGGTTCGAGACAGAATCATAAGTCCAATTGTCTGAAGATGACTAGCAGTTCGAGACATAATCGTAAGTCTGACGGCAGTTCAAGGCACATTCGTGAGTCCGACAGCCAGACTAGTCCGACACAGTCCCCCACTTCGGGATGACGCCACCATACCACGCAGTAGTCCTTTACTATGACCTTGTTGACCAGTCCGGCATGAATGCTGATGCGGGCCGGTGCGACCCGTGTCCCCTAGACTCACGATCCATTGATCAGGGCGCAACAACACCCATTTCATTCTGAACGTCTGCGCTCTCCAGAGAAAGATTCTGCAAGCGTCCTCCCAGCAAGATGCCTGTGACAGCCCTAGCTCGATTGATGCGGAGCAGAAGCATGCGAAGATTGTTGGCCTCCTGCAGAGATTTGAGACTCGAGACTTAGGAGGCCGAACGGGTGACCTTTACAGAGAGGCTTGCCTCAAGTGGGTGGCTGAGCAACGCAAATGAACGCAGGACAAGAAAACGTGTGCATCGAAAACGGAAGCACAGTTTCCCGACTTGTACCTGATGTGAAACCTAGGTAGGTCTTCGAGACGCGCTTTTTGTACTTATTGCGCTCGACTTACCAGACACTCAACTCTGAAGAAGCAAGACTGCTAAGCGGATTGTACCAAACCTAGTACGACCAAAAAGGCGTGAAATGATCTCACCGTTCTATTTCCAGCCCCACTCACCGCCGTATTCCTCACCTCCGTTTTCCCAGACATCCGTATTCTACCTGTTTCACTTCTGTACTTACCTATTCCCTTGTCAGCACCCGACGATCCGTGATGACAGTCCGGCTAAATGCCCGAATTCAGGTGCTACGTTCTCCTGTGTACAAGACGACGAAAGCTTCAAACTCTGTTGTACCCAAGTAGGTCTCCTCGAAACCCGTAAGACGGTGATCGCCTCCCTCAAAGCCAATTTCGACGAGAACGACGTAATCATTGTTCTATTGGTGCTTATCTCGCGATTATATTCCAGCAAAGATATTGGCCTGCTTGCGACAGTCGCCTACAAACACCCTGCCACAAGCGGTATCGTATTCTATCCGTCCTCATCAGTGAAACTTGTCTTTCACTTGGACAGAGCATGAGCCTTCGCGCAGGCGATTCTCAACAGCGTACGAGGATGGTATCCGTACATGTACGTCCTCGCTCTGTCAGCCCCGAGCGCTTCGCTCTTTCTGTCAGTGTCGATGGCTTGTATCAGCAGGACAAGAGGTGTCACCGCTGGAGTCGTCTCTTACAGGATTCGACTCACAACGACCAGGCTCAACGTAGTGCTAGTCACGCCGTTATTGAAGAGATCATCAGTATTGTCGACGCCATCGAGTCGACGTGGTCATATATAAAGAGAGTGAGATAGAAAGCCATGTTCAGCGGAGAAGGTGCCGAACCAGTGTCGGTTATCGTTAAACGACGTATATGTTCAAAAGATAAGAGAGCCAAGTCGTGTTCGGCACGAGAAAGGCGTCGAAGTCGCCCTTACCTTGATATCGACCTCAATGTCATCACGCACTGTTTAAACGACAACGTAACAATATTCATTGAGCACATAGGGGGTGGAGGGGGGATTGGTGGTGGATATGAGACGACTAACAACAGAAGAGTGGTGATTCACGACGAGCCAGGGGGATAAACGACTGAGTGGGGATGGAAGGGGGAAGATAGAAGAACGATGGGCATAGATGAGAGCCGGGGTGTTAACGTGAATACACTCAGTCGTAGCCCTTGTGGTACTCGACTGTATTGCTGTAGCGTACCTGTTAACGTGAATACACTACAGGGTCGTGTTTAGTACTTGTACAAGTCCATAACTATGGCTACAGGAACTCACCTCAGTCGTAGCCCTTGTGGTACTCGACTGAGGTGCAACTATGCTACACACGCCCTTCACGCGCCAGGCGCTACATCACGTGTCCGTGTCACCGTCCCACGTCAACACTCCCCCTGGGACGGGACGCTCATGTACAGTAGGTGTTTCTGTAAAGTAACGTAAGGTAAAGCTTTCGTAAAAATGTCTGCAAGGTTGGATGTTCCAGCAGGTGTCGTACACGCGAGAAGTTCGCAGACCGCTTGGCGAGCCCTTCTCCTCCTTTGCTATCCATCCGGATGACGACGGGGTGGGCAATCGGCAAGTAGATCTCGTCCATAAACTCCGATAACCAGCACGCGGTTTGCCCGGCATGAACCGCCGCGATGTATTCGGCCTCAGTCGTCGACAGCGCGACTACGTCTTGGCGACGCGAACTCCAGGATACGGGTCCTCCGGCCATCATGATGATATACCCGTGAGTCGAACGTCCGGTGTCGGGGCAGTCTGCGTATGACGAGTCTGTGTACACGGTTGGTTGTAGGGCATGTCCGTTTGGATTTGCATCACTGTTGCCTCGGTAAGTGATCCCATAGTCTAGCGTTCCTTTGATGTATCTGAGGACACGTTTTAGTGCGCGCCAGTGAGAATACTTCGGGTCGGCCATGAAACGGCTCAAGATCTGCACGGGGTATGCGAGATCAGGGCGGGTAGCGACCGCGAGGTACATGATGGATCCTAGCGCTTCACGGTATGGGATCGACTCCATTTGTTTGCGCTGCTCCTCGGTCATCGGCTCAGGGGACTTTGACAGCTTGGATCCTGGTTCGAAAGGCGTGAGTACTGCGTCCGCATCCTTCATTCCGAACCGCTCAAGCACCCGTTCTGCGTAGGCACGTTGCGAAAGACGCATCGTGCGCTGTTCACGGTTCCTTTCGATCAGGACGCCAAGCATGTACCGGAATTCTCCCCCTCCGCTGAGTCGGTACCTCGCGGATAGATCCTTCCGAACGGTCGCCAGGCCCTCAGTGCTGTCGGCTGCCTCCGTGATGTCGTCCGTATACGTGGCGGTGATTGCAAGGCCGTCGTCATCAAAGCGCGCTCGGACGCATTCGTCCTTCCGGGACCGCGAAAAACCGAGGTCTTCCCACGTGCGGTCGAGGTCCTTCCACCATTCGTTCCCCGACTGCATAAACCCATACAGCGCCCGTTTCATCAAGCATACGTGGTTGGGAAACTCCTTCGAGACAAATCCAGGAGGCTGCTCCATGTATATAGTCTCCTCCGGCGTCGCATTGAGGTAAGCCTTCTCGACATCATCCTGCCCCATCTCCATGTCCCGGACTGTAGCAATAGCGCACACGAGCCGCAGCGACTCGAAGCGAACGACCGACGCATGCGTTTCGAAGTAGTCGAGGCCAGGTATCTGCTGGAAGCCTTTCGCGACGAGTCTCGCCTTCGGTCTCCACGTCCCCTCATTGTCGCCTAGAAACTTTCGAGCATAGACCCATTTGTTACCCACGATGTTCATCCCTGGCTCTCGTGGTACTAGCACCCATGCTCCGATCCGCTCGAGTCCGCCAACTTCCTTCTCCATCTCTGGGATCCAAATCTCCGGCTCGTCCATCGCTTGGGGCATCGTTTCGGGTGTTGTACCGCCTCGGTAATGCAATCCACCTTCATCGACGCTCACAGCACGCTCCCCCTCGGCCACCATGGCTAGATAAGCACCTTCAGGACGAGGGATGTCAAGCTCTGCAGGTACGTCATCCGCCGCCCAAGCCTCGCCCCGTCTTCGCGCCTCCGATTCACGCAGATCTAATGCCTGTGACTCTAGGGCTTTCTGCGAGGGCATCTTCAGCCTTGTCGACCGACGGAGCAATGGTGGTGGTTGGACTTGCACGTGGGGGACTAGGTCAGGTTCCACCGGTGAGTCCGCGCGATCATCATCATTGTCGATCTCAATGACGAGTTCAGTCGCTACCTGTAGCGTGCGGTGGCCTGGTCCCTCTTCGAAGATCACGTCACGGCTTCGGATGATGCGCCCCTGAGGTCCGCTCGACGGGTCCCAGAGACGATAGTTCGCGTCTTCGGTGTATCCTACCATGACACACTTGATGGATTTGGGATCGAGTTTGGTGCGCGTCTCATCTGGTACCTTGGCCCACGCCACGCTCCCGAACGCGCGTAGGTGCGAGACATTTGGGACACGTCCATACCATGCCTCGTATGGGGTCTTCCCGCCTTGACGTGCCGATGGCGTCAAATTCTTGAGGTACATAGAAGTCACGTAAGCTTCTCCCCAGAGGTGGTTCGGGACCTTTGCGTCAAAGAGCATGGCGCGCGCATGATCGCCAATCGTCCGGTGTCCACGCTCGGCCATACCGTCCTGCTGTGGTGTGTACGGAGTGGTCCATTCGTGTGTTATACCATGCTCCTTCATGTACGCCTCCCACAGTACGTTCTGGAACTCCGGGCCGTTGTCGGTTCGGATTGCAATCAACTTCTTTCCCGTTGAACGTTCCGCCATAGTGTGAAACGCCTTGAAGCTCTCCAGCGTCTCCACGGCTTCTTTCGTCCGCAGGAGGTTCATGACGCCGAATGAGGAGTGATTGTCGTCAAACGTCATGCCGTGGTACGCGCCTCCAAGAGATGGCACCCGCGCTCTACCGGTGAGGTCGATCTCGACAAGTTCCAACACCTCCTTCTTGCGTTCAGACGGTTTGAAGGGCGCTCGAGGATGTTTGCCCTGGATGCAGTCCTCGCACTTTCCTGCGGGCATGCCTCCATCGACTTTCATGCCTTTGACTACCTCGTTAGACGCCATGGTCATCACGGTGCGCTCGCTGATGTGTCCAAATCGCCGGTGCCAGGTGTGTACGTTGGCCGACTTGTCGTTGGTGAGCGTTGCTAATGCGCGTGGGTCGTGTGTGATTTCAGATTTGGGTAGTGTCGCGAGCACCGATGCGTCGACGCGGTTGAACGCGACTGCGTACAAGTTGTTGCCACCCATCTGCGTGACCATCATTGTCTCGCCGCTCGTCCCTACAACGCGCATCTGCCCATTTTGAACCTGGATACTACATCCCGTGTTGTCGATACGTGACAAGGACACCAGGTTTGCAGCTAAGTCCGGCGTGTGTAGAGCGTTTCGGAACGCAATCACGGTCTGGCGCCCGTCGATCGTCACCATCGCGTGGACCGTTCCTACCCCGATGATTGTAAACGTCGCGCCTCGCTTCGCGCTGTTTCCAGTCTGCGGCGTGAGGGGTAGATAGTCGGTGAAGACATCGCGCTCAGTGAAGTAATGGTGGCTAGCCCCAGAGTCCAGGAAAGCGGAGAACGACGTTCCTCCGGCCACGGCGGATTGCCCTCCAGTATTCGCCGAGACGGTACTCGCTAGGAAGATGTGATAGTTGAACAATGGGTATGTGTCGGGCGCAGAGGTTGCCGCTGAGGTTGCGATGCTCGCGTTTGGCATCTGCGCAGGAGACTGGTTGGTCGGGGAAGGAGCAGATGCCTGGAGAGCCTGCATGGCAAGGTCCGCTGGCGATCCCTTCTTTGGTCTCGGTTGGGACTTCCAGTGTGTCGGCTGCTGGCCGGCTTTCCCTCCTCCAGTACAGTAGCATTGGTCCTTTGTGTGATTCTTCCACCAGCACCACGCACAGATGGCTGCTGCCTTTGCAGCTGTCATGAACGCTGACGTTCTCTCGGCCGGTACACCCGCTGCGTTACGAGTGTCACCAAAAGGGTTCTGAGGGCGTCCAGACTGCAGAAGTTCATCTTCGTATACCGCAAGGATCGTAGACATGACGTCTTCGGGATCGGTTCTTGTGAGGAGTGGAGTAGTGACAAGGCGCATTCCTTCGCCCATGGAGTGGCAAATGAGGATTGCGAACCTCGGGTCGGTCATGGTAGACCCAATGTCGCGGCAAGCCTTGCGTCGACGTCGCAGTTCGTCGAAATGAGAGTGAATATCCGTGCCAGGAACGTACTTGCACGTCTTCAGGTACTCCTCCGCATGCAACACTGCCAACTCGCTCCTCCTCTCCCTCAACCCCAACAGCGTGTTCCAAAACTCATGCGCCGTCATGGTGTCGGGATCCGCTCCGCAACCGGTGAGGTCTGTCATGTTCAGGGTCACGATCCCCTTCACGAGATCATCATTCCTCCTCCATTTCTCGATCGCCGCTGCTCCGTCGATTGTTGTGGTCGTCCCAGCTGTCGACGGCAACGTGGTCGTTCCGTCGAGGTGGCCGAGTAGCCCTTTGAGGCGAATGACCGTTCGAACACGATTCTTCCATTCCATCCAGTTTGTCCTGTTGAGTTGCTGAGACTCGGGGAACATGGGGATGTGGATTTTGTCCTTCTCTTCGCTCATGGCTGGGTGTATGCGGGTAAAACAGGGGTATATGCGCGTAAAACTGGGTGGTTGTTCCCTGAAAACGTCGTCGAAGTGCTTAGGACTATCGGGTGTAAGTTTGTTGGGTCGGGCTTAAGCAGCGATGCGTGGGCTCATAACCTGTTAACGTGAATACACTCAGTCGTAGCCCTTGTGGTACTCGACTGTATTGCTGTAGCGTACCTGTTAACGTGAATACACTACAGGGTCGTGTTTAGTACTTGTACAAGTCCATAACTATGGCTACAGGAACTCACCTCAGTCGTAGCCCTTGTGGTACTCGACTGAGGTGCAACTATGCTACACACGCCCTTCACGCGCCAGGCGCTACATCACGTGTCCGTGTCACCGTCCCACGTCAACACGGGGAAGGGGACTAATAGTACATGTCGAGCTGCAGACTGTCCGATAACACGAGCTACGATGAACTACACGAACCCACCGCGTGCCGGTGGCGAGTGCGTCTGACAGTCCAGCGGACCATGACGAGTCGTACGGAGCCTATACACCAAGGACATCAGTTGCGCGAGAGAGGAGACAGAGGAGAGGAGACGAACCAGAACGACAAGTGCACGAGCCCGTAGTCTAGACGTCGAGGTCGTGAGTTATGCGTGGAAAACATGAGATGGAAAAAGAGAGACGAACCGAAGTAGCGGTGCCAACAACCAACGAATAGATAAAGGAGCGCAGCGAAAGGAGAAGAAGTCGCAGAAACGGAAAGGAGCGTGGGGATAGGGGAGGGAAGAAGTCGCAGACGCAAATGAAACGAGACGATCTCGCGGGTGCCGACGATGTCGTTCTTGTCGACGACGAGGGGCCTAGGCGGCGGTGATGGTGGGTTCGAGATGGGCGTTGGGAAAGTGCTCCTTGATACGGGGCCAGAGCCAGAACATGGGGGTGACGTAGGTGACGTCGGACGTCTCCGTCTTGCCAGCTCCTCCGTTGAGAAGGCCTCCGATGCGACCGCGGCCGTCGACGACGATGGAGCCCGAGTCACCGCGGGCTGAGAACACGCCGGACTTCCTGTCGTAGTTGTACACGGCCCACTCCTTGGACTCGAGACCGGTGCCTTCGTCGCGAACGAACGAGGGGATGCCCGTGGCGCGTCCGATGGTGACGCCGGTAGCGTTGCCGCTCTTGATGACGAAAAGGCAAGGCTCGCGGTTGTGGTCGAGCATGTCGGGGCGGCGCATGAGCTCCTCACTGATAAAGCCGCTGAGCGGAAGGAGACGATCGGAGGGGTACTCGAAGGTGGGCTCCCCGTAGTCGCGAGGGTACATCTTTCGAGTGAATACGTCGGAGGGGATCTCCGTGCCTGGGAGTAATCGTCAGATTAGGCAGCCTGAAGCGAGATAAATCGAGAACAAATCGGAACTCACCGAGGTCCATGACGTTACCCTCGTAGGCCTTTTTGAACTTGGTCACGTCGATTTCAAACGCACCCCAATCCTCGGTGTAGCCGCCATCACCGACGCTGACGGCGGGGGAGCAGCGGATGTGGCCGATGACGCGCTGGCTGGGCGCACTCCAGTTCTGATCGACCTGCGCGTAGAACTCCTCGAGCTTCTCGATCGCAGCATTCACCTCCTCGACCTTCCCTTCGGCCTCTCCCAACTCTTTCTTAGCGTCCGCAGCCTCCTCGTCGTCCTCGTCGACATCACCCAATCTCTCTAATTTCCCCCCTAACCTCTTGACCGCCTTCTCGTAATACTTGAGCATGATGGCATGGTTTCCGATGCGGAGCTTGATGGAGTCGAGCAATTTGTCAAAAGCCCGAGTGCCGAGCAGTTGAACATCCTTGCGATCGGTGTTGCTCGCGAGGGTGTAGGAGTCGTTGGTATTGGCGTCGGTCTTGAAGAGGACGTGGTGGCATGTCAGACCTAGGACCTTGTCGCTCGTACCGCCCTCGGCGAAGTACAGACCCATGGTGCCCTGAGCGTCCGGCCTATCAGCCGCGGCGATGGAGAGAGAGAGTGTGGGGGTAAGGGGACTGCGGACGTCGACGGTGTGGTTGACGATGGAGACGTGGCGAAGAAGCTCCGGACCAACTGATCGCGTGTAGATCGACTCACGATACTCGACCTCGACATCGTCCATGCAGAAGTCCTGGAGAAGCGCCAGGATCTCTTGACTCGAGGTGACAGCTTGTGCGCCTTCGAGCGAATCGGGGAGAACGCCGATCCATATGACCACAGGCCCGACGATCTGCGTGTCAGAGTCGTCGTCGGTGACAAAGCGAGCCACGTCGATGGACGACCAGCGAATGCCCTGGACGTTCAGAAGAACCCGAACCTTGGGACCTAGTTCCTCCCAGACGTCATTGATCTGATGACCGAAGACGCCACGAACCTCCTTGAGCCTTCGGTACGCCTCAGGTCCTGTAGGCTTGACCCAGGGGTGCGTCTGGAGTCCGGTACGGTAGACGAGTTTCGGGGGAGACGGAGAGATGCCCGAGTAGTAGAACATGGCCTCATCCTTGGAGACGAGGAGAGGAGAGGAATGGTCCAGCGACGAAACACTGGAAGGGTAGTCGTCCCCGAGGCTGAGATTGGAGAAGTCGCTCTCCGTGGGCGAGTCTTGGGTGGAATCTCGTGCGAAGACGAGACAGGCTTGGACAAAGTCGGAAGAGATCACTAAACGAGTAGACGAGCAGTTCAGTGTAAGTTAGTAACAGGAGAAGGTGAAAGACTCGCTTATGATGGTTCGAGACGCTTGGTAGAGACGCTTGGTGGAAAGACTTGGTCGAGAGACTTGGACGAGTCGTTCCGAGGGGACGAGGGAGGGGGAATAAGAGCACCCTTATAACTCAACGAGACTTCACAGCATCCAGCCCAGACTCCTTCCCGCCCTCACTGCACGTGAACGCTCGGCCCGGGACTTCCGAACAAGGGCTCACGACTTGCAGTGAGGACTGGCACAACTGTGCCTTATGTCAGCAGAGAAGCATCAAGCCGCCCGCGCGCCGGGTCGAGAGCTGGTCGATGCCAAGTGTGGGGCTCTGCCTAATCAGGCAGGCTTCGCGTGCCCCTCCACGCGAGCCCGACGCGACGCGACGCGCTCCACGGTCCACCGCGTCTCGCTAAACCGCGTCCGCGGTCGCCAACGTAGCACCCGCAAATATGAATGAATATATCTCCTTGTTGCGCACTCGCGTTGACTAGCTGCGTCAGATGAACGCCGTTCTGAATGAACTAAGTGACTTTCTGTACCGCAATGACACATCCCTGCCACACATCCTCGTAGCCTTGGCTGCGCCGGAGAACTCGAGACACCCTCTTGCCTGGACCATACACCAATACCTCCCTGTGGTTCTGGATGCATTCGTCCAGTGCCCGGGGCCTACACCATTGCTGGATTGGGCAGTCCGCATCGCATCGAACATCTACCAATCCGAAATCTGCAAGCTTTCGCAGAATCAGCAGCTACATTTCGCTGCAAACTCTGCTTCGCCGGAGAAGCTCGAGACGTTCACTATACGTCAACTCGCGATGACAATGGAAAAGGACGCGCCGCATGTCTGGCGCCTGTTTGATGTTATGCTTGACGCGGACAGCGAGCTCGTGAAACTGCGCGAGCAGCGGCGTGCCAGACGCAAGGCTGCTTGCACAGAGAACCCGGCAAAGCGCCGCGCGCTTGTGGAGACGGAAGACGCAGACCTTGATGACGAGGAGGAGGTCTACTGGGCGGAACTTGATGTCTTCGAGGAGTTACTGTTCAGTGACGAGACGGCACGATCATCCTATGGTTCGGAATCCACTGCTAGGCCGACGGAGTCACCTGTACGTCCCGCCCGTTCAAAACCCGAGAGCCTGCGGACGGTAGTATGTTATCTCAGTTTGCCCGAAACAGAAATTATAGACTGACACGTACCGTTTGCATAATGGTAGCGGAAAGTATCGATTTTCAGCATGTTTACAAAGAGCTCAAATCAACGAAACAATGGCCTCCCAAGCATAATCGCTGTCTTCCTTCATGCCTGCAACACTCCCGATCGAGTCATTGAGATGCTGTCCCAACTCGGGCTCTCTATCAGCCCGTCATCTATCAATAGTGCCGTCAGTTCGCTCGTCCGCAAAGCCGAAACAAAACGCCGACAAGCTGGGCAGCAGCTGCTTACGGCGTATGCGTACGACAATTTCGATGTTGCGTTCAATGTCGGGACTCCCACGGTTGACAAGGGAGATCGGTCTCTTGCGCATTTGACGTCTGCAACCATGATCCCTCTTGCGCACGACGTCACGAAGGAAGACCTAACAGTCTCCGACGCGATTTGGGAGAAGAGCAGGTTCAACCTGAAGAACAGAAACTCGGTCAGCAACGGCAAACATACCTCGCACGATCTGCTGCATCTCCATCCCGAGGATGGCTCCCACTCCGATGCTGAGTGCCGCAATGCACGTACAGCAAGGAATACGTTTGGTCGATCGTTCGGCCGAAGAAGCTCGAGTGTGTTGTTCTTGCTGAGGCTGAGAGTGTCATAGATACCGTGGAGGATTGGCGGTGAAAGGGTAGCAGACAACAGACAGTAACGGACGTGAGGGCAGTGCGCGAGTAGATAGCGCAGACGCTTCAGATGTTTGTAGTCAGGGCGGAACGTTCCCCAGGTGCTGATACAGTGAGCTTCGTCAAAGACGATGGAGAGGAGTCACTGTGTGAAAGGTTTGTGGTCCCACAGACATTCGAAATGGCCAAACGGCTTCATGAGAACCTCTGGATTCACAACAATAAGACGATACTGTCCCGACTTCACTGCCTACGACACAATCAGAGATGAGACTGTACATCAATGTACTCTTCTATTCACATACCTTAGCAGTCTCCTCCGTATCATTTCGCCCTGAAATTGCAATGGAACTAATGCCAGCTTTCTCAAGCCAAGCAACAGTTTGAGATCCCAGGATATTCAGAGCAGTAACAACTATTATAGTCGAGCTCGAGCTAAACAGCAGGGGCATCATGAACGTTAGAGATTTCCCAAAGCCTGTACGTGCGCAGGCTGCAACGTTCAACTCGCCGCGGAGGATAGCAGCGCATATCTGAATTTGAAGGATGCAGGGCCGTTGACCGAAGGCCTCTATGGTCCTGCGACGGATTTCGCTGTATGACGGCTTGATTCAATGGAGGCACATGTCGCGGAGGGTAGATGCAGAACAGAGAAAATAAGGAAATATATTCGTCAGTGCTACGGGTGCTACGTTGGCGACCGCGGACGCGGTTTAGCGAGACGCGGTGGACCGTGGAGCGCGTCGCGTCGCGTCGGGCTCGCGTGGAGGGGCGCGCGAAGCCTGCCTGATTAGGCAGAGCCCCACACTTGGCATCGACCAGCTCTCGACCCGGCGCGCGGTGTCCTGAGCCAAAAGTGTTTGGCTCAAGGAACATGCACAGAGAATAGCCTAGACTCAAGCCCCAAGGATCCTGAATCAGCAAGAGCCCCAGTTTCTAGGAGACGCAGCCACATGGACCCCGATTACCAAGCATTCTAGGTTCACACCCCAAACTCAAGGACTGACTCATGCTGTACAAATGGCTGACTCATGCTGTACAAATGACTGACTCACACGGTGCAACGGCTGACTCATGCTGTCCAATGGCTGACTCATGCTGGTTGACGGATGACTCACACTGTGTCATGGCTGACTCATGCTGTGAAACAGATGACTCATGCTGTGAAATGGATGACTCATGCTGTGAAATGGATGACTCAAGCTGTGCAGATGGATGACTCAGGCTATGTATCCTTGGATGACTCAGGCTGTGTATTGGACGACTAAGGGTTTGTCAGCTCATGTAATTAGTATTAGATCAGCCTGTTCCCCATGTATATAAGGACTCACGGCGCAGGGAGCAGGCAAGCAAGTACGTAGGAGAGCAATCCCCCCGGCAACTCGTGCCCCCTTATTGCCCACCTCACTGAGTAGTTCGCAAGCTGCTCCCTAGCCAAGCAATTTAGTATCGGTAGCCCAAAGTCAACGTGTGACTGTAAGCTTCTGCTAAGTGCTACACTAGTGCTCTTGTTTGGGTAAGCTGTGATCCATAACCAGCAACTTCATTCTCGTCTAGCCACGCTCGTCTCTCAAGTCCAAGATCAGCCTCACGTCAAGAATACTCGCCACGCTCGCCTATTGTCCCAAGATCATTTGAGCAGTCAACCTGCTTGTAGTAAGTACTAACTGTGCCTACTGATCTATCTTTGCAGAACACTATAGTATCTCTTGTGTGTTTCCCCTCCACAACGAACAACTGTGATAGCCCGGTATTACTGCCATACCCGGTGAACCGCAGCAGAAACCATTTCTGACCTGACATCAGTGGAGCCCACCGCGAGGGGGACCATTATCACTTGAACCATACTATAACTGTAAGGATTTACTGGTAACAGTACATCACTACAGTCTGGCTAGCTCAGTCAGTTCGCCCCTTGGGATCACGTCCAATCCAACGCACGTCCACGCCTCTACGTCACGTACTCGCCCACTCGATATCTCTAAGGATCAAGTCTCAGCAATCATGGCTACTACAACTGGTGTAGCTGGCTTGCCTATGCCTGGTAGCAAATGTGCTCCCAGGAAGTTTAAAGGAAGGTACTCTGAAGTCAAGTCCTTCCTTCAACACTACGAACGTATCTGTACCAAACTCGGAATCATCAACGCCAAGGACCTTATCGACAATGTCACTCAGTACTGCAGCCGCCAAGTCCGTCAGTTCATCGAGAGCCTACCCTCATATGAGGCCAAGGATCCAAACTGGGAAACTCTCAAGAAAGATGTTCTCACGTACTTCGATGCTGATCGGGATGACAAAAAGTACAAGGTCCGACACCTGGAATCCTACGTCCTGGAAGCCCGCAAGAAGTCAACCATCAAGACCCTAGGAGCATGGAGGGAATATACAAGGAAGTTCCTGACTATCTCCGGATGGCTGAAGAAGAATGGTCGAATCTCCGTAGATGAAGAAGCTCTCTACTTCTGGAAAGGAATCCCGCGTAAATTCCGCCAGACTCTGGAACCTCGACTCTTAGCATCTAAGCCCACCTATGATCTATCAAAGCCATTTAGTATGACTGAGGTAAATCAGAAGGCTGAGGCTTTGCTCCAACGCAACCGATTTGACGCCGACCGACTGCCATCCGATGATGAGGATGACTCAGACGAAGAGTCAGAATCAGATGATAGTAGCTCGGATTCATCTGATGATTCAAGCAGTGAATCAGAAGAGGATATCAAGTCAAAGAAGAGTTCACTCAAGAACAAGAAGCGCAAGCTTACAAGAAAGAAGCACTCGAGCAAGAAGAATGATACGGATGAGGATGAAGACACGGCTGATCTGAAGAAAGCACAAGCTGCACGTCGCCGAGCAGCTCAGGATGAGAAGAAGAAAGCCAATGAAGTGGAGGAACTCATCCGACAGATGAACAAGATGTCCCTAAGTGACCCTGAGTATGGTGTTCTGTATTTCCGTGCATGCACCATGAGTCCCTTAGCTGCCTCAGCAATCCGGCCTCCGGTCTTAGGCTCATCTACTCAGAGAAGTCCAACATCCAATGCGTTCACAAGTCCGCAATCAAACCCGTCAGCAGCTCCATCTCCTACGCAACCAAGTGCTATCCGACCTCCCATGAAGTGTTACGGCTGTGGAGGAACTGGTCATGGCATTGGAACATGTGCTGAAATCAACACCCTTATGGCTAAGGGAGTGATTGCACGTGATGCATCAGGGCGGCTGGTCATGAAGGATGGTTCACGCATCTTCCGTAACATGGACGAGACTTTTGTTTCGGCCATTCAACGGCAAACTGCGCCCACAGCACACTACATTACCACAGAGCCAAAGGTATCCTACTACGCTCAGGCAACAATTGAAGAGTACGAGACAGAGGAAGAGCAAGGGAATGTCCATGTAGCAGACGAAGAAGACTCAGAGAACACATTCAGCTTTGCTGGAGCTGAACGTGGCACTACCTCAACTCGGAATGCCCGTGAACGGGCCACGAAGGGTCCACTCATACCACCGGTATCAGTTCAAGAGAAGATCAACAAGCCACAAGCCACGCAGGAGCCAAAACGTGACAAACCACCACACCTGATTTCACCACCCCAGCAGTCTCCCGACGCGACGCGCAGCTCTGCACGCCTGCGAGGAGACAAAGGACCACCTATCCTGCAACATCCTGGTGATCGTGCGACACAGCCAACAGTGCCGACCGAACACAACCGTAGAGAGATCCCCACCACGCCCAAGCAACCTATTGATGTCACTAGCCGCCAGTTTGATGCAGACGACGACGACGAGATCATGGAAGATGTCTCGCCGCCGAAGCAATCATCCACTCAATCACGCACTACAGACGATACAACGAAACGTACAGAGTCTGCGAAGGCAGAGACACCAAAGCGCACTCCACGCCAGAGTCAAGTACAAGCACAGGTTGATACTTGGCATGTTCTGGGGAAAGTTCTCAATACTCCAGTAACACTACCAGTCGGGGAGATCTTTGGTATCTCAAAGGAGATGTCCAGCCACTTACAAGAGGTGCTTAAGCCGAAAGCTCCTCCAAAGAACATCGTCGCCGCCGCGTTTGGTCCTCGCTCGAAAGGAGCTTTAATCTATCTACGAATGGAGGTAGATGAACGCCCCGTTACAGCAATCATCGACACGGGATCTCAGCTCAATATCGCAAGCAGGAAGCTATGGAAGACTCACCTAAATCGACCAATGGACATCGCCCGCTCGTGTCAGATGAACGACGCGAACGGGGGAGCCGGAGCGCTGCGTGGACTAGTCGAGAACGTTCCCCTAACTTGCGGGAACGTTCGCACCTTCGCTAACCTCTACATCGGCGAACGCGTTCCGTTCGACTTGCTGCTAGGACGACCTTGGCAGCGAGGAAACTATGTGAGCATCGATGAACGAGTGGACGGCACTTACCTTATGTTCAAGAACCAAGACCTCGAGGTTCAGCACGAGATCTTAGTCATGCCCGATGGATATGACCCGGCTTGGTCATACGAACCGGCGGTATGGTACGCCAACGGCGAGGACCCTCCGAACAAGACGGACGTACCCTTGAATGTTGCCGATCACACAGCCACTGCGAAACCACACTCAGAAGACACAGAGTCAGGAGAAGATAAGCATTTAGACTCACCAAGAGACCCCGATCGACCGGCGGAAGCCGACGGACAGTTTGTAAGCATACTAACTCGCCCGCTGTACGGTCTTGCACGAT